TCGCGAGCTGAATTAAAAGAAGAAACCGGAGAATGGATTCTCGATGATGTTCTTCGCCAAAATAAGATTTCTTCTGGAGGAGAAGCAATTGTTTTTGAGGAAAAATTTGGAGAATTGGAAGTTGCGGTTAGGGTTCAGGCTTTTGATTCGGCGCTGTTTGTGGAGGAGAATGAAGAGTTTGTGTTTGAGATTCATCTTTCGGAAGGTAACTTGATTGTTTTAAAAACTCGTTTTATTTTTTATTAAAGATTATGACGTGGCTATTGGCATGAGAGAAGATCATGAAAATGTCATTCCTTTTCATCCAAACGTAATCAAAAACTTTGCCAACATCGAGATCTTCTCAACAGTTGATACAAAGAAAGAGGACTGCATTGGTTGGATCACAATTATGGAAAGATGCGACTCTGATCTACGAAGCAGACTACAAAAAGATGATGTTCATTTGGAAGAAAGGAAGGAGATCGCAATTGGAGTAAAAGAAGGATGCGACTATTTGGGAAACATTGGAATACGGCATCACGACAAGAAGCCGGAGAATATTCTTCTGAAGAATGGGGAAGCAAAATGGATCGATTTTGGAATTATCCAAGAAGAAAGTTCGCGAGAAAGCTACAGCGAGATGGGCTACGCGAGAAGAGGAAGCAGATACAAAGGCAATTCGTTTTTATGTAAGTTATGAATTGAATTTATTTTGAAATAACCACCTTTCATTTTATATTCTTCTTTTTTTCGTAGATGCTGGATCTGCTGCATTCTCGGATAGCACGCAGGTTTGTTCGATGGTGGGAAGAGAAGTATCAGCTCTTCACATTTTTATTCTTTGCGATTGGAAGACAGCCTGGAGTCTTTTGTTCAAACCTATCAAAGAAGAAGAGAAAAAAATGATCAAAGAGGAACTGAAGGTCTGATCTTAATTTTGGATTCGCGATAAAGTAACTCTTCAGACTTTCAATGCTGTCTGGCTTTCAGACAGAGATGATTGGGGATCAATCTACTCTCCTTCAGCGGAAGAAATCCGAAACTTGTCAAAAATCATTTCTCTGAAAAACGCTGCTTCTGATTTTTGCCTGGACGATCGTAATTTGACGAAGTCTTGTGCAATCGCCGATTTCAAGCAAAAAATGAAAAACCAGATCAATTTCGAAAGTATGACGAAGAATGTTTCAAACGAAAAAGAAAGCAATCTTTGTATCCCCATTTCAGTTTCGGTTCTTTTGAAATGGGGGATCGAAAATGACTTGAAACCAAAAAATTGGAAAATGAGAGACTGGTTCACTCTCGAAAAAATCTTTGCACATCTAACAATGGTGGTTTGTCCGCGAAGTTTTGCTGGCTTCAATCTCAATCCGAAGAAAGGGCAACAAGAATGTCAAGAAACCGAAATTGAAGTGCTTCTAAGAAGATTGAAGTATAAAACATATTTGAATAATAATAGTGGATGGGAAATTTTAAGAAGTGGCTTTTTAGCGGGGACTTTTGATTTCGAACAAGGTTTTTTTTCAGTTTAATAAATTCGACTATAAAATCATTAAGTTCTCCTTCATCAAAACTTTACCTTCTCCCGTCCTTTAACCGTCACCGTTGCCTACCTAAATCCCAACGGCGAAATCATTTTCCACCAAATGGTGCTGGACCGAATCGAAAACTCCGAGTTCGTTCTCCAAAACACTCTCAACGACAATTCTGCTTGTGAAATCAGAATTCCTACTTCTCGAGAATTCTACGCTCCCGAAGAAATGATGAAGGATTGCTTTAAGAGTAACAACGATTTTGTCCATTACGGAGACAACGAAGAGTTGATAGCTTTGGTGAACGAGCAGTTCAATATGGAAACAGAAAGATGGTATCTTCTACCGAAAGCTTATTCGATAACTTTAACTCCACTCGTTTTGGAGAAGACCCGTCCTGTGACTCCTCCATTGCCGCCAAAAAGTCCGAATATAAAAGTTTCGACGCATCCAAAAGAGTTGACGCGAGAAGCCGTTGAGGAATGGCTGGAAGAGTTTAAAAAGAAATTGAAGCGGACGACGAGCAGAGATGATTTGGATAGGTTGATCTTGTCCGTTGAAAGAAGCGAGTTTAAAGATGATGGCTGTGGTCAGTGGATCGAGGTGATCTTTCAAGATGAAAAAGGAAGAGTCTCGACGAGAGGTTCTTTCAGAACAGAAGAGTGGGCGATCACTTCACTTCAAAGGACGATTCTCGACAAAAATCCTGATCTGAAAGGAAAAACCATTGACCGGTCTGAATTAAAAGAAGAAACTGGAAGATGGACCTTCGACAAAACTTTTCAACATAAAGTGATTTCAGTGGGAGGAGAGGCGATTGTGGTGGAAGAAAATTTCGGAGAATCGGAAGTTGCGGTTCGGGTTCAGGCTTTTGACTCGGCGCTGTTTACGAAGGATGAAGAATTTAAGTTTGTTATTCATCTTTCGGAAGGTAAACTTGCATCTTTTACACAAATCGAGAGCTTATAGACTTCGAAATTGCTCAAAACAAGGAGAAGGATGAGGATCCTGTTATACCGCTTCATTCCAACATAATCAAAAACTTTGCCAACATCGAGATCTTTTCGAGCAATGATGAGGGAAACGAAGACTGCCTAGGTTGGATCACGATAATGGAAAAGTGCGACTCGGATTTGAGGAGCAAACTGAAGACAAATGAATTAAGCTTGGAAGAAAGAAAGAAAATCGCACTGGGTGTTAGTAAGGGATACTATTATTTCATAAAGATTGGGATTCATCATCACGACAAGAAGCCTGAAAACATTCTGTTGAAGAATAGTGAAGCCAAGTGGATCGATTTCGGAAATATTGACGAAGACACTGGACGGAAGAGCTATCGACAGATGGGTTACGTAAGGAGAGGGAGCAAATATAGAATGTCATTCAATTTATGTGAGTATTCAGTTGAACTGACCTGATTATCATTTTCTTGTTCCAAGATGCTGGTTCTGCTGCTTTTTCGAGAAGCAGGCACCTTTGCGAAAAAGATGGAGGAGACGAATCTTCCCTATATGTTTTGCTTTTCTGCGATTGGAAAACAGCATGGAGTCTTTTGTTCAACCCGATCGGAGAAGTCGAGAGAAAAGCAATTGAAAAGGAGCTAAAGGTTAGTTCTTGAGTTCAGATAAAAAAGACCTCTTCTATCATTATCGATGATTTTTCTTAGACTTGCGATGCAGAGTGGCTCTCAAACGAGACCCTAGACTCTTTACGAATAGAAAAAGTATCCAAAATCATTTCTCTGAAAAACGCGTCTTCTGATTTTTGCCTGGACGATCCAAATTTGACGAAGTCATCGGCAATGGCCAATCTCAAGCACAAACTGACGAGACAGGTCAATTCTGACTTCAGCAATCTAACAAAGAATGTTTTGAACCAAAAAGAAAGCAATCTTTGTGTTCCCATTTCGGTTTCTATTCTTTTGAGATGGGCACTCAAACATGACTTGAACGAAAATATTGATGTTGAAACAATTTTCACTCAACTGACAATGATAATTTATCCGCGCAGTTTGGCTGGCTTCAACCTCAATCCGAAAAGGGAGGAACAGAAATTTCAAGAAAATGAAGTTGAATTGCTTCTCAAAAGAATGAAATTCAAAACTTATTTGAATGAAAGTGGATGGGCCATTATGCGACCAAAAGACATGTACCACTCGAAAGAAGCAGAATTCAATTATGAACAAGGTTTTTGTAGAAATCATTAAAAATTAAGAATATTCTAGCTTTCCTGCATCCTAAATACGCCTTCTCTCGTCCATTAACCGTCACCGGGGCCTATCAGAATCCCGACGGAACCATGATTTTCCATCAAATGATACTTGACCGAATCGAAAACTCCGACTTCATTCTCCAAAACACCCTCATCGACCATTCTGGCACTCAAATCCGAGTTCCTCTTTCCCGAGAATACTATGCTTCCTACGAAATGATGGAAGATTGTTACAACTGTTACAACGACCATGTTTATTATGGAGACAACAACGAGTTTCTAACCTTGGTGAACGAACATTTCAAAATGGCTAAAGAAAAATGGTATCTTCTTCCGCAAGCTTATTCAATTACTTTCACTCCACCTACATCGAAGAAAACTCCTCCTCCGATGACAATTCCTGAAGGCACGATTCAGTACGAAGTAGTGGAGTACGTAGTGTATTAAGGGATCCCCCCTGTTTTTTCAACTCTTTGATAAGGGTCTATGTTTGATATTTTTAGATTCCCCGTCTTCTGAGGATCATTTTGATGTGTCACATGATACCCTTACGAACATCGATCCCCGAGATTTTGGCCTTCAAAAATGCATATAAATTGTACTTAGCGTGAAAATCGGATTTTTTTCGGTTTTTTAATGTCATCTAAATAAGCCATATAAGGGGTCTTTCGAAAGCTTAGAATCTGCCGATTTAGAATATAATAACCGCATTAGGAATATTTGCCCATTTGCTGGCGCTAGAGAGCAATGAATGACCAAAAAACGCCAAAAATGGCTACAGATGGTTGTTCTTAAGAATTTTTTTTATGACTTGAGCAAATGGGCTCTCTGTACTAGAGATTAAAGATTAGGCTCCATTCTACCTCAATCTTCTCTCAGATCGAGTCTATCTAAGCCCGAATCGGCTGAATTTCTATTCAAAAATGGCCAAAAATGGCGTTATCCCTTAAGATCAAATTGAGCTAATTCTATTAAATTTATCCCAGAAAAATCATCATCGAGGAGTAGTGGATCAAGCTCTGGAAACTCCTCTTCTGGTCCACAGTGCTGCGGCTTTGGATTAAACCGACACATCTTCCACGCCGCTAGCTTTCAGAAACCGAAAGCTTTAACAAATAAAACAACAAAGAAAAAAATCTTGGCTGTTTTTTAAGTTTGGGAATTGTTATAAAACATTTTTCTCAGAAAAAAAATTGTTAAATTTTCAAAATTCCTTATTGTTAACTTTGAGCTAATTCTATTAAATTTATCCCAGAAAAATGGCACAAACATTTTTAATCAAGCAGTAACGCACTGGCCAGCAACTGTATGAAACAACACAGGAGAAACGCGATAGCCAGGATTGTTTCCAATCACAGTAGTGGAAGCAACAGCTTCATCCTCGAGATCGATCCGTTGAATTGGATGTTCGTCTGATCCCGAATCGTCGCCCGGAAAGACAAAAATCGAGTTTTCAGTCAAGATTGCAGAACCTTTCGAGATGCTCTGAAAGCAAAAAGTTTGAAGTGATAAAAATTTCTTCCCAAACCTTTTCCATTTTTCCCGCCTCGAACCAGACATTGTCCTTCAGCTTCCAGATCTTATTCGTAAGCCCTTTAATATTTGGGTCTTCGTCGTATCCTCCGATCACAAAGAGCGCGCCAGAAGGCAGCCCAAGTAACGTATGACTCCAAGTCGCCCTAAAGACAAAAAAAGATCACGAAGAGTGCAATAGATCTGGCTTCTTACATTGGCGCGTCGGGAAGAAACGTCCAGCCGTCAGTCCCCAAAGTTTCCACTTTTTTCTGGCCTTCTTTGTAGTAGCTTCCGACCGACGTGGCTTGTCCTTTGTAGAGTGCTAGTTTCGCCCACCAATGCTGGTAAACTGTTTTGAAGCTTCGCAAGGACTGCTCGCCGTCGAAGAGGTCGCAATTTTTCGAGTCCCCGCGGGAGTAGTCGAAGCAAATTAGCGCTAGAACATTCATGCAGACAGAAATCTTGCTAGTCAAACCTTTGTTACCACCATCGAGAGCCACAGCAGCGCTTCCCCACGCGTAGTACGAATTCAACCGCGCAGCAAGTTCTTTAAAAACGCATCCTTCAAGCCGCGCAATTTTTTTCATGTCCGATTGTCCTCCGAAAATATGGAGCTGATTCTTTACCAGGGCAAATTGCGCGTACTGGGCATAGTCATTGCGTCCCGCGAAAACGCTTGCTTTTTTGTTGATTTTTCCATCTTCGGAGATTGAGTACACGAGTCGCAAATCTTCGAGAACCACGAGTATACTGTTTTTTGGACTCTCCATCTAATGAACAAACTAACAAAGCGCCCGATTGCTTCAACTACCTGATTCGTCTTGAAGAAGGAAAATTTCTTGATGAAGGTGAATTGATCTAGTTTCAAAATCTTGAGCGTCTGATTTTCGAGCAAAAGAAATTCTTCCTTGATTTCTTCTTTTATCGATTCTGACGATGCTCGAATTTCGAGATTGGTTTTATTCGCGCTGAAGTTGATTTCGACATGTGTCCAATTTGAACTCAGAATATTCGCTTTCAGTATTCTTTCGTTTTTGAAGAAATCCGACTTGATAACGATCGAGTCATTTCCGAGAGCGCCGATGGTGAGGAGATTTGATCCGTCTTCGAGCTCCATTTTAAGAATTTCAAGACGGATTTTAAACTGCTGCTTTTTCGCCACAAAGAACGAAAAAGTGCTGTCTTCAGTAAAATTCATTTCCACTGAAGAGATGTGATCAAACTCTTCGAGGGAAGAAAAGGAATTGTCGGGAATGACGGTTTTGCGATAAGGTTCCAGGAAATGTGGAAAGGGAGCTGGACTAAAGCGGGGCTGGGAAACGGCGTTTTTGGAGAAGCCGGGAAAGACGTCGTCGTGGAATGAAAAATATGGATTGCTGCACATGTGCATTTTTTGCACTTCTTCAAGTTGGCGATACTCGATTCCAAATCTTTCAAAGTCATATTCAATCTCGAAAGTAGCTTCAAACACATAGCTTTGAAGAAACAATCGATCGTTGAGGACGAATCCGTTTTGGAAATATTCGCACTCGTCGTTGTTCGTCCCCCAGAAGTTCGTGTACTGAAAGTCATCCGGGGCGAAAAGCGCGGAGAAGCATTTCGCATTCGTTTGGTATCGAAGTCTTGATCCGACCCATTCGCTTCCGAGCGTCAGAAATTTGCCTTTTTCTTCGAGAAGCAGCGAGTACTGCGTGTTAGAGAGGGGAACGCTGCGCATCACTAGAACGAGGAGCAATTTATCCAGGTCAATCAATGGGAGAATGTGAACTGGGTCGAGATCTCTGAATTCCGCGGGAAAGGCGATTTCTCCCTTTTTCCAGCCTTTTTCAAGCTCCTCGCTTTGGCGAATCCAGGGTTGAAAATTTCGGGAAAAAATCGCGGAGCGAGCGGAGCGATGAGCGATTTTTTCTTTTTTGAAAAAATTTACTTAAAAAAATAGAGTATATTTATTTTAGATAAATAGATATTGTAATATTTAATCAAGAGATATCTTATTTTTTGCCAAGAAATCTTGAATCGCCTTTTTCAACGGTTGAGCGTCTTGGAATTGTCCTGAAAATCATCACTCATGGTTTTTTTGTCTGGAGCGAGCGGAGCGATGAGCGATTTGAATCCAAAAAAGTCCGGAGCTCCGCTCAATCCGCTCGCTCCGCTCCGCGAAGTTTTCAACCCTGGGCGAATCCGATTGAGCGCTCGCGTAGAGGATGTTTTAATCCACAGCTCAGAGAATCTGATGCTTAGTAAATAAAATACACCTTGCCAACTCATCGAAGATGTTTTGGCGTTGAAATGATTACTTGCAATGTACCCTGAAATGCCGAATAAGGATATGTTTCGGCGAAAGGTGATTCCTACCTTGAGCAGTTTCGAAACGATTGAGATTGTAGTCGGGGGCGTAGTAATAGCACTTGTCGGGTCGTGTCGAAGGCGAACTTTTTACGGTCAAAAAATTTCAATTTGTTTTGTTCAATTTTGATTTTGACCTTTTCAAATGGCCACGACAGAAAACGTGTCTCTTCCTTGATCTTTTCTGCGTATTTCTATAAAGTGCGTTCCGATCGACGAGCCATAATGAAACATGAAGTATCCAGTGCTTAAAATTTCGGTTAGGTTTTAAGACTGTTGAATAAGCTAGTAGTACCAGCCTGGTACACTTTACTGACCTCCTGAACTTTCGATTTGGGATGGAAACCGCGAGATCGGCGCTCTTCTCTGAAAATTTGAGCATGTTGCCTTTTGCATCCACCAAGTAATGCTTCCCCTCAATAAACACGGCACCAGTAACCTGCTTGGTTTTCAAGATCGGTGATATAAAAGATATTTTCAAAATCACTAAAAACCTTCATGAGAAGTAAACTGCTCCGGGAGGGCTATTTCCATCGCTTTGTCATTTTCAGTAGCTGTGTAGTCGTATAAAACAGTTTTGGAAACGTCGATCTTTTCATCCCGATTGAGGTCTTTGCTTCTTCTGTAAATCAAGCTTGACCTTTCCGCTTCGGGAACTTCTAGTTTGGTGCTATTCGCCAAGTCCCAAACGGGAACGAGCCGTTGATCGTCAACTCCCAACTTCTCGCAAGCGTAGTGCAAGCAAGGGCAGCCAGTAGAACAATACTTTTCTCCTGGGCAGACAGCTCCTGCCGAGTCGAACGAGCGGGTGAGCTGATAACAGATCAGTTCGCACTTTGAAAAGGCCTTTTTCTTAGTTGATTGCAGCACGAGCGAGCGCGAGCACAAATGACGACAAATATTCGCGTCGTAGAACTTTTTCTTTTGGCAGCGTCTCAGGTTTATTCGATTTTCTTCGTCGGTGAAGGTCAGGGAAGGGGTTCTCGTCGGCCTAACTGGCTGAACTGGGGAAGGAAGAGTAAAGTTTCGGGTCCTGAAGCACTCGTGCATCAAATGCCCGCAGAGGTCCATTTTCTCCATTTTCACGCACTTTTTGTAGCTTGTTTGGCAGACAGTGGTGAGATAAGATGGCTGAATCCGCGACTGGATCATTGAAAGGTAATTTGCTAAATTCAAGCGGTAAGTGTGGTAATACGAAAAAATCGAAGAGATTGAAGAACGTACTTGTTACCATCACAGCCACCCAAAAAATACTTCCCAAAACGAGATAATTTGTGCGCTGAAAGGTCGTCGAAAATCCGCTACAAATAACAAAAGTTACCGATGACCCGGTTTTCTGCAAGACTTACTGTCTCGCAAGGCGTTTTCGCGATGTTTTCTCGACGTTTATTTCATCGGACAGAAATCTTATTGAGAAATGAAATTACATAAAAATCAAGAATCAAACCCCTTGAAAATGTTGCGAGTCGGTTTTTCTTTTTTCAGCTTTTGAATGCCGTAATTTTTGATCACTTTTATCGCTGCTTCTTTGACCACATCGAAGGAGTAATTCTCAGGGTCCTTGACGGTTCTGGCGATGTGCTCTGGAAAGAGAACGACTCCTTCGCTGGTGTTTCTGAGGGAACCGACGCATTGACATTCGAGACACTATTTTTTGGCTTTTGCCGAAAACAACTTATTATGGTCAGAAACTATGAATTAGAGCGGAAGACATTCCTTTATGTTTGCCTGAAAATCTTTTTTTCTCTTGTTCATTTTCGTATTAAACGATTTCCGTCAAGAACTAGTGGAGCAAAAAGGAACTCAATAGCCGAAAGGTGACTTGGATTGTCGAAAAGTGGCGACTCGAGATCTTCGGGAAAGAAAGTTACCTCAATATGATGGCAATTATTACGTCTGACTCGATAATATGTCAGTTGAAGGTGATTCGGATTTTTTAGATCTGAAGAACCTTTTGAAGTAAATACTTGGCGGGTTGACAGAATTAGAAGTGAGCCAACTTGCGCAGTTCGAGAATATTCGTTCGAACATTTGTCACCGTACATGTTGACAAAATATCTCAAGTTGGAATTATTGATGCTCTACGACTGCGCATTTATGCCTGGCTCTAATTAATTGCAAGCGGGCTATTTACTTGGTCCTACGAATAGGCAAAATGTTTGATCTGCCAATGAATGAAATAACTAGAGAACTTGCCCGTTATAATTGTGGCCCCCCTTTTATTGGGGAACACGGATTGAGTTGGCCCACTCCGCACGTGAGGCCAAGGCACAGGCGGTGTCAAGCCGAGATTCTATAGATGCAAGGGACCACGCCGGTGGGGTGAATATATGTTGGAGTTTTTCAACCCAACCTGGGTCGAAGTTGAGGTGAGTTGATTTTGCATCCCTGTTCACAACAATTAATGCCCTTATAAGAAATGTCCCTCTAAGGGTCTAGAAAATACGTTAAGAAATTAAGGGCAGTTATTATTGTAAAGAACACTGCCAATCGGTTATTAGACATTAAAAATCTACTTTGAGAAAAGATTCGAATTCTACATCCTTAATTATATATGGGGGATAAGTTTTATGCATAAGTTTGCATGATTTGATAAATTTTTATATTTAACTTATTCAAATCTGTCAGAAAAACATTTTTTTTTGTGCACGAACCCAAGCAAAAGGCCATTGCGAATGAGTGGTATCGAGAATCGTATTTATTCGAAAGGTTCTGAACAATTTATTTTTCTTCTCAACGTTAAAAGTCTAATTTTATAATTTCTTTTGAGGTCTTGTTGAAAAGAGCTTAAAATATCGCCCGTTCTCGCGACATTTTGACACTTAAGCCCGCGTTTACATGTTGTAAGCCTTAATCTGTCTTGTTTTTATAGAAATTCAGCACACGCGGTTTATCTTGCCATTTTCTTAAAAGAAGCGTTCTAGCTCGACTATTGTCGCCTTAACAAGTTAAATAAGCAACTTACAAGAAAAGTCTTGACATTTTGTGCGAAAATCCCTACTTATAATGCATTGAAGGCATATAAAAAGAAGCTAGAAAATAGAACTCTGCATTCTGAATTCAAAAGAGTTTTCTCAATTTGAATACAGAACGAAAAATGAATTTAATTGCACTTATATTTGCGATACAGGTTTCTGCCGGAGACAATCCAAAATGGCGATCCCTTACTGCCGAGGAAAAAAATGAGCGGAAAATCATCTGCGATGCGAAGACTGAAGAGACAAGAGCCTTTTTCGTCATCAAGAATGGATCTTGGGATTGCCCAAATCTAGCGCCGAATCGGGTCCGTCCCAAAATCCGTTGTACTCCACTGTGCGATGTTGGCTACGAGCTTACCCGGACTGATGTTTCGATTTCGAAATCGACAAAGAATACACCACGATTCGTTACTCGATGTAATGACCTGGCTACTATTATCAACAGGTAAATTTTCCACATTTTCGAATCTAAACAAATCTAGAAATCTTTTGTTGGGATCGACTTTGACTTGTTCACCAACAACTGCACTTTCATCAACAACAACAACAACTACAACGACAACAACTACAGCGACAACAACGACAACGACAACAACTTCAACAAGTACAACTACAACAACACCAGCAACAGCAACAATAAAAACAACAACAACAACCACAACAACTACAACAACTACAACAACAACAACTACAACAACAACGACAACAAGAACTTCAACTACAAAAACAACCTCAACAACAACAACAAGACCTACAACTACAACAACAACAACGACAACTATGGCGCCTTGTGGCTACGATCCTTGCGATAGACTTGATAACTGCATCGTAATCGTTGACGCTTGTGGTATCTCTCCATCGAGAAACAATAAAATAACAACCGCACCTGCTTCGTTGAACTACAAAATCTCCGCTGACTTGTACTGCGCTCCATTTCTGCTCTATGACAGTTGGAGAAATGTGCTTCATGTGACTGATGGGAGCAAGATAAACACGCTTGGAAGTCAAACTTTCGCAATATTTCAATCTCCAAACCAGAACATAATGAATATCCATACGAGTAATCCAGAAGGAGATCATTCTTTTAAAGACTGCACCATCCATAAATGGTACACATTTTCCGTCGAGGTTCGACAAGATGCCAACTTGTCAAAATTGAACTTCGAAATACAAATTGATGGGATTACGATCAAGACAGGCAGCTATCCTGCAAGCGGCGGCAAAAGCTCTGGTGATCTTCAATTCTTCGTAGCTAATGATTGGCTGGATCCAGCGACTCCTTATACAGTGAAGAATTTCTTCTATCAAACGTTTGCCGAAATTTAAACACTCTTAAAGAAGAGGTGGCCGGGAATTTTTTTCGACTTAGGTTAAGCAAGCTTTATTTATGAAAATCTTCGATATTATCTTGAGAATTACGATTGTGCGAACTCATGTTTATATATCATATTTGATTTTTAAAAATCGAAAAAATTACGGGTACTTTTTCTTTTTCTAAAATTTCCGTGAAAATAAGTTAAATAACGATTTTTACCAACAGAGCAAATCGGCTGTTTATCGCCTTATTTTTCTCAACATTGGCCTCTTAATTTTTGTCTCGAAAATATATTTAACCGGATCACTTTTCATAATTTTCGAGAAGATGGCCGGAATCCTTGTTAGGAGTAGGGTTCACTTTGACCTATAATTTCTCCAACATCATGATTTTTTAAAAAAGTCTTAAACCCGACCACCTCCCCCTTATATTCCGAACAATTTGATAATGATCATTTAGGTCGGAATTATACAGTATAAATTAAGAGCAAAATTAAGAAAATAATAAGAGTTAGTAAGAGAACTAGCAAATTTTGTAAGGTGCGAGTTATACTGTATAATTCATACCTTATTCAATTTGCTTGTTATCTTATTATTTTTCTTAATTTTGCTCTTAATCCTAAATTAGAGTCTAATAATTAGACCGCACATAACCAACGTACTTTTGTGTTTTTCTTCTCCCAATTTAAAGTTATTCTTACAAGTTAACTCAAATTTATTGAGCTCCACACATTGTTACAAAAACAATCTTTCATCTCCATACTCCTTGCTTTAGAATATAAATTGGCAAAAATCGTTTTTTTAATTGATGCCAATTTCAGAAATTCAAAAATTCAATTTTTCTATTCAAATTGCATTATTATTGGTCCAAATTATTCGAGTCAACTGTATTCAAATCTGTCATAAAATTATTTTTTGTGCACGGACCCAAGCAATAGGCCATTGCAAATGGGTGGTGATCGAGAATCAGATTTGTTTAAAAAAAAATCTGGACAATTTTTTTCTCTTCTCAAGGCGAATAAGTCGTATTTTATAATTCCTTTTTAAAAAATTTTTAGTTTTTGTTAAAAAGAGCTTAAATTGTCGCCGGCTCTCGTGACATTTTGACACTTAAGCCCTAGTTTACATGTTGTAAGCCTCGGTCTGTCTTGTTTTTTTAGAAATCTAGCGAATTGTACCCGGTTTTTCTTGCCGTTTTATTTAAAAAAAGCGTTCTAGCTCGACTATTGTCGTCTTTTCAAGAAAACCAAGCACCTTACAAGAAAGGTCTTGACATTTCGGTCGAAAATCCTATATAAAAAGACGCCAAAAGATAGAACTCGGCATTCTGAATTCAAAAGAAACTGCTCAATTTGAATACAGAACGAAAATGAAGTTAGTTGCATTTTTATTTGCGATACAGGTTTCTGCCAGAAACAATCCGAAATGGCCATCCCTTACTGCCGAGGAAAAAACTGAGCGGAAAATCATCTGCGATGCTAAGACTGAAGAGACCAGAGCCTTTTTCGTCATCAAGAATGGATCTTGGCATTGCCCGAATCTTGAACCAGATCGGGTCCGTCCCAAAGTCCGTTGCAATCCGATGTGCGATATTGGCTACACGCCTACCTGGACTGACCAACCGCAATTCGTTACTCGATGTAATGACAAGGCTACCATCATCAACAGGTAAATTTTCCACATTTTCGAATCTAAACAAATCTAGAAATCTTTTAATGGGATCGACTTTGACCTGCTCACCTATAACTGCACTTTCATCAACGACAACAACAACGACAACAACGACAACGACAACTACATTTACAACAACAACCTCAACAACAACAACAACAACTTCAACTACAACAACAACAACAACAACAACTACAACAACAACGACAACTCCGGCGCCTTGTGGCTACGATCCTTGCGATGGACTTGATAACTGCAGCGTAATCGTTGACGCTTGTGGTATCTCTCCATCGAGAAACAATAAAATAGCAACCGCACCTGCTTCGTTGAACTACAAAATCTCCGCCGACGTATACTGCGCTCCATATTCGCCCTATGACAATACGAGAAATGTGCTTCATGTGACTGATGGGAACGAGCTAAACACGCCTGGAAGTCAAACTTTCGCAATTTATCGAAATCCGAACCAGAATATATTGACTATCCAAACGAATAATCCAGAAGGAGATCATTTGAATCATTCTGACGGGACTCAATTTAGAAGCTGCACCATCGATAAATGGTATACATTTTCCGTCGAGGTTCGAAAAGATGCCAATTTGTCAAAATTGAACTTCGAAATACAAGTTGATGGGATTACAATGCGGACAGGCAGCTATCCTGCAAGCGGCGGCAAAAGCTCTGGGGATCTTCAATTCTTCGTAGCTAGTGATTGGCTCGTTCCAGCAACTCCTTATACCGTAAAGAATTTCTTCTATCAAACGTTTGCCGAAATTTAAACTACCTTAGAGAGAGGTGGTCAGGATTTTTTTCGACTTCTTAAAATTTTGATTTCTTCTCAAGATTCCTCGATAAAAAAGGAGTATTTTAGGTTTCAAGCCTATTTTTATTGGAGAAACTTAATTTATGAAAATTTTCGATTCCATCTTAAAATTACGATAATTTTATCAAGAGAGCATTCCAAAAATCGGCTGTTTATCGCTTATTTTTCTCAAGGTTTGCCTTCTTCTTTTTGTCTCGAAAATATATTTTACCGGTTCAATTTTCAAAATTTGCGAGGATTTGGCCGGAATCCTTGTTAAGAATAGGGTCCACTTTGACCAAAAATTTCTCCATAAGTCGAAATAAAAAAAAGCGAATAAAAAACTTCTTATAATGAATTCATGCAGTTATGCTTTTAAAAAGAAGTCTTTAAACCGACCACCTCCCCCTTATATTCCGAACAATTAGATAATGATCATCGAGGTTTCAATTATTCCGAATAATTCATACCTAATTAAATTTGCTAGTTCTCTTACTAACTCTTATTACTTCTCTTAATTTTGCTCTAAAATATAGTCGAATCCTTTATCAGACCGCAAATAACTAACGCTTTACAAGTTAGCTTAAATTTATTTAGCTCCACACAATGTTTGAAATGCAATCTTTTATCTCCAAACTCCTTGCATTCGAAAATAAATTGCCAAAAACAGCTTTTTTGAATTGATGCAAATTTCGCGAATCGCAAGATTTTGAATAAAATTTTTATCGGCCATACGGATGCTAGTACAGTAAAATCGATATAAAAATGTTACTTTCAAAATTCGCTATCGATTAATGACTTTCACGGTTTTTTTCAGGGCCTCGCATAAAAGCAGATGAAATATAATCCTGTCTTTAACGAATTCTTACAATTTAAAACGATAAGAGTTTAACTGAAATAACCGTGACTTATCCAAAATCAGTTTAAATGAGTTTAGCGGGAAAAAACTTCGCCGACCTTAAAAAGCACGTCAAAGCGACTGAAATCCAACTGAAGCGGAATTAAAATGACAAAATTTAAATGTTAAAAGGAACAAGCAATTTTGTTTCGTACCACACTTTTTTGAAGAAGACAGCAAAGCTCTTTTTCTTAGAGAGAGAAAATCAAAAATGGTTGCTGAAAAAGCGCAGCGCGATTATTCAAATTGGTTGGCCGGGCGAAAAATAGAGGTTTTATGACTTAAAAATTTATTTAATTTTTCATTCTATGAAGTGCTTGGATTGTCACTGCATTGGCGTTTTGAAGCAAAAAGGAAAGAAAATTTACCTTTATCCTGAAGAAGTTTTGAATTCTCGCAGCATCCACACTCAGAAACATGATCTGAAAGACAAAAAGGGATAGAAGGACAATTCCCCGACATACACTTTTAGCAGAGCCAACCACACCGCTCTACTAGCCTAGATGTTGGGGCGCAACGGAGCGCACGCGCTCATATGAAAAGCACTAGCGGGGAGAAGGATAATGAAAGCTTATCATTTAAAAATTAAGAATCAGAAGAAATTTCAAGGAGGGTGAATCGAAAATTGTGGAGACCCTCTCCACTGGAGAGCTTTGAAACTGGCGCGTTGTGCTCCATAGCGCTACTTTTTTTGGCTAGTAGCTTTCTGAATCGCGTCGTGGTGGCCCGCGAAAAGTGTGTGTCGGGGAATTGACCTTTCTTCCGACAAAAAGTATAAAAAAGTGACATCTTATGGGTTGAAAAAGCATGGCAACTCAACAATGAAACAAAAAGCTGGTTATGTTGTCGTCGGTTCTATTTTCTGGATTTCAGTCATGCTTTTAGGTAACTTTTATCACAATAATTTCTCTAAAAATTACCTCAGCAAATTGGTTTTCTTTGGAAAGATCAAGAGCTGTGACCACTTTTTTGACCTCGACTTGCCATAGAAATTACAAGAAATGCGTGCAAATAGAATCGACAGACTATTGCGGTTATTTGATGAAACGATGCAAAGAAACACAAAGATTCATCCTTCCTAAGCGAATTTCTGAAATCAAGACAGAGCGAGTTGAAGCGATGATTTTCTCTGAGGAAGAAAATGAAGTGAATCTGCGCCGCTGCAAGAAGAAAAGGTTCTATGATGCAAAAATCTGCCGCCATCTTTGTTCGAAAACGCTCGTTTTGGAGACAACGAGGACTAACCCGACCTCGCCCTGCGAGTCGATTTGTTTCGAGCTTTCTCGATCCTTTGATTCTGCGGGAGAAGTTTGCCCGGGTGAAAAATACTGCGAGAATGGATGCCCTTGTCTGTTTTACAAATGTGAAAAGTTGGATGAGTCGCATCAGAAATTGATTCCAATTCTTGATTTACGAAAGTCAGTTGCGGGAAACATCAAAACGGGATCGAAAGCAGACGATTATAATGATGAGTTGATCACTAGTCGCTGGGGGGATCGCGAGTCAAACAAAATTCCAATAAAGAACTTTAATTTTGCGCTAACGGACTTCACTAGCCCCGGCAGAGAAATTGCTGATGTCAAGATAGATGTCAATCCACGCTTTTTTCCTTATGAAAGTTTTTTAAAGCCTTAGAGTTAAGGTATTTTTGTTATTTTTTGAAATAATTGGCAAAAAACGGAAAAGTCAACCGGTGCCACTTTTCTCAATGGCGAGCACTTTTTGGTCGATGCGAGAGGGAGTCTGATGAAAATAAGAGAGACCAGAAAATCGTCGATGTTTATTCAAAACCGAAAGCAGGGACTGTTAGATAGACATCTAGTTTCGAGTTGATTAAATGTTTTTCAGTGGGTTCTTTGTTTTCCACTTTGGATCGTCTATTGGAACTCATCAAATCGAAATCCGCCGAAAGGACAACGACAAGAAGATATTCCCCGTGGTCGTCATTTGCTCTCCAACAGGAAGGTCGGACAAGTGCTTCTATTACGCCCCAGATTATAATTTGAATCGCTTCGAAGAGGCCCAAGGCTTCATCGCCAGCAACCATTTCAACGCAAAGTTATCTTCTGCTAGCTTCAAAGGTATTTTCTATCTGATGAGTGCCAGACTTGGTGAACGGTTCATCAAATTATCAACCACTACTGCGCTGAATAGGATTCGAAAAAACGAGGAAATGGAAAAAGGCTGGAAAAAGAACGAGATCGCTTTGCCGGCAGAATTTAGGGATCTAGACCTTGTTCATGTTGTTCCGTTGAAAAGGGTTGAAAAGAATGAATCTATTGCTCTTGTAAAATGCTTCCTCAACCCTCAGTAAATAGATCTGGGTCGTCTTCTGCTGATTCTAGTGACTAGGAGTATCGTTCTTTCAAACACGCTGTATTCATTGTTACTCGAAGCAGATGGAAAATTCCTCACTCTTGCTAGTGAATGGATTGGCTCTCTCGTCAGATACGATCAAAAATCCCGATGCTACTCCAGGTTGTTTGTGGAGTATGACCCGAACTACACAGATCTGCTTGGAAACAACAACGATGAGTGCGAGTACTTTGGAAATGGGGTCATCAACAATGACAAGATCTATATTCAAAACTATGTGTTTGATGCGACGTTTGAGATTAAATTTGATTTCGACCTAATCGAACTCGATTTTGTCCAGCAAAATGCCACAAAAAGAATGCACGTGACAAGCAATCCGTTTTTCATTTTCCACGATGACGTTTTCCCAGCTTTTTCAAAAAATCAGGGTCTTCAGCCACGATTTCCTCGAGGCGCAAACTCTATTTCTCCACCTTACCCAAAAACTATTGTCCCTGGAAATCGCTTTTCTTCACTCGAAGAATTCACACACATTTCAAGTCTTGAATTGAAGCTGGATCAAGAGACAGAGACCATCAATTTTCAATTGAAATTAGGTGAAATCGACTCGGCTGTGAAAATCATCGAATTGCAGTTTTTCGATAAAAGCTCGTTCTTCAGCCTTGGAACTTCTGTCAACAAATCTTTGTGGATTGATTCTGACTTCCTGAGTGAACCTTTTCTTGTCAATTCGAATTCATCAGGGTTCACAGAAATCGAGCTTAAATTCTTTTCAAAGAATTCACCACAATCAACTACCATCGAAATCAACGAGGAGAAAAAGCAGATGATTGGGCTTGAAACAATTAAAGACAGAAGAACAAGAGTTTATAAATTTGATCGCGTCACAGAAATCATGAATTTTATTTATTCTACCGACGAACCGACTCAGATAGCCGTCATTCTCTCTGATACTGCCCGTTCCCATCAACCCTACGCGTTTTTCGGCGATGGCTCAATCAGTAAAATGATTTCTATCGAACCCCCGACTGAGGAATTACAGGATTATTACAGCGAAACTATTTCAAGATATACATTCGGCTCAAAGCATGCGATTATTAATGATGATCTTTACATCTTCGGAGGATTTGAAAATCAAAATCAGAGGGTAAATAATAACAAAACAACAAAGGAAAATTAAACTCTGGTAGATCGCAATGTTGGATGGTTGCAAATTTAGACAGCTTTCAGTGCAGCTTGCCGGGGAGTACTACTACTCGCATGCAGCACTAACTCTTAAAAATGGCGACAAAGCAATGGTCTGCTTCGATCTTGTGACCAAGATGCGCTGTGAAGAATTTGACGGATCGAGGGTGACTTGGGTTATGTCGATGACGAACAAACCTCGCTCTCACAGTGGTCTGGGCCTGTATTACGGTCGACCAGTGACAGTAGGTGGAGGAAAAGATGCGCAAGGATCAACAGAAACACTCAGGAGAATTTGGATCCCTGTTGCCTCCCATCCAAGGTTCAAACGATACTACTTTTTGAATTATGACCAAAATTTAAGATGGATTGGCAGTTCTGCTCTTGTCGGAGTTAGTTCAGGAAGCTTGCTGACGATTGGAGGGTATGATGATAAGAATTTTTTCGGAGAGCTGGATGAAATCTGGCGATTGATGGACAACAAATGGGCTATGATTGGAAAACTAGCAAAAGTAACTCGAAAAAACATAATATTCTCCGGCTTAGACTCAATCTTGTAGGCCACTTTCTTCGCATCAGCCATTTTGGTCGACGACACCATCTTTGTTTTTCCAGGATTCTATCAGAATGGCTATACTTACTCCATTCAAAGAATTAATCTAGGCATAGGTTGATCATCGTTTAATTATTTTTTGAATGAATTGTGAAAACCAGAATGAGATTCTTACGAAAATTTTCTGTCAAGCGACATTGTTGCGGACCAAGGAAGAAGAACCATGAATCCAATTGTTTTCGTCACTCCTGTTGATTTCTGTAGCTTGTAAAATAAATCGAAGAGAGAAAGTTACTGTAAAAATCAGAGAAAAATAGATTGGTTTTCAAAGTTTGACAGGAAGATTCACAAACAAGAATGAGTGGCGCATGATCGGAGTTTAAAAAAACAAAGGCGTGACCTCCTCAGGGGTTAATTAGGCCCCCTTTGTCGTCTTCTGTGGTGTCGGAATTAACGGAATGCACTTGAGCTAATGAACTGATGCAACAAATCTCGAGCAGGACTCAGAGTTTTAAAGTCACTTCCACTCGGGCCAATTTCAGAGGTCAAAAGAATTAAATAAATCAGTCGAGAGCCCCTTCCGCGACTCTTCCTTGATTTCACTCGAAAAGTAAGTCTCTTTTCTCAATTTATAGTGCGGCTATAAAATTGTTCCTTGTCAACGGGAGAGCAAAAGACAGGGAATATTTTTGCACGTCGTTCGTTACCTGTACTGGTGGTCAAGTTAAGGTACAATGCGCGATCTTGTCACGCAGGATCAAAAAACCCGAGAACTGAAATATTTATTAATGAATTGGGCGACACTGAAAAAGTCGTCGAATGTCGCCACTCATTTTTGAAAACAGAATTTTCGAAAGAAACTTGGTTGACATTCGGCGACATTCAGCGACTTTCGGCGACATTCAGCGACATTTAGCGACTTTTCCAGGGCGCTCAAATTGATTCATTAAAAAAGCGGCTTATTATTTAACCTCTTTCAAAAACCTGACTCAGATTTTAAAACAGGTTTTCCATCAATTTTCCTCAAGCTTGACCATATCATTTGTGAGTATTCCTCTTTCTCCTTTTTGTCTTGAATAGCGCCTTCCACGGTGAACAAATCACACCGTATTGATAGCATATTATATGGTACAATTAATGAATATTTCATGAGCCAGCGTGAAGCAGCGACGTATTGCGTGCCTAACACCAGTGTCCAACAAGGCATTAGAGCCCTAAGGCCAAATTAAAGACTTAACATTTTGGAGCCAGTTTCTGAGATATTCAAATGCCAAGAAGAAACGGTAGATATGACTGAAATGCCGAGTCAACATTTGAACTGAGTCAGTAATTTGAACTCGTTTTACCCCGATTACAGTAACATTTTGAAATCCAGAAGCTACTTTACTATAAAAAACTCGTAAATTACCATTTTTAAATTTACAGTGGCTGTTTTATTTGATCAACCGCAAGGGCTTTACTACAAATGACGCGGTAGATACAGTTTCCCAAAGTGTTAAAGGTCTCAGACTTTGCACGTAACCCGCCTTGTCAACGCGTAATGGTACCCTTTATCCCCTCGCGAGAAGAGCATCCTCTCCCGAGTTTCAGAAAATCGCCCATCACATACCAGCTCAGAAAGAAAAGAGAGACACTGTTAGATATAATTGAAGCTGAACTGAATATCACTCTCAGAAGATTTACAGGTTGATTAAAGTGATTAAATAATTTTTATAAAAGGAAAAATTGGAGATCGAACATGTCAAAAAACAGTAGTTTTTCGCGGTTCTTCGACAAAATAAAAATTTTCTTTTGCGCCTCTGATTGGCCTACCGGTCGAATACAGAAATATGATTGGTCGACAATTTGACCAAAATTTTGGCCAAAACTGTCGGATTTTTTTTTCGTTGATTTGAGCCCAATCCCGATTATATTTTTCAGGAATTCGTCATTAATAGATTTTGAAAACACTCTCCTATATAATCCTAGCTACATTCTATATATAAAATAAATCGATTTTCTCCACATGAAGAATTTAAGAAGCAATACGATCTTAAATATTCAGAGCGAAACTTGTTACCACCTGTAAGCGTCTAAGTACTGCTGTATGCTCTCTATACTAGACGGTTCTCTTGCAGCTAGTCGTAGCCTCTACTGTATTCTTCAATAAAACACGGGAAAGGTAGTTTCCGATAAAACGTGTATTCTGCACTTTTACTGTGCGCGGACTGAAGCAGTGTTCGTAAAAAGTGGCAGAGAAGAGCGCGGCGCGAGATCCCTATCAGATCTCTAACCGACTTTCAGCACTTAGACCTCACAGCTCCCCAGATTCTAGAGACGATCGAGAATCTTCGGTTGAAGAGTTGAAGTCGGTGAGATGAGTCATCGTAGAAGTGCAGGAGGGAAAGGTGAAGGGAAAGGCGGCCAATCAGCTCGGCGCGGCGTCGGAATTGCACCAGCGTAGAGACGAAAAGTCGAGAAATGTCGGACGGAGATCGCACCATTTCCGGACAGCGGGAGCCAATCAGAGCGGGAGAAGAAGCAGACTCACAACAGACGAGTTTTCTTTTGCAGAAAACTTCCCTTGTTCTACGAGTACTCTTGCGAGTGTGGTCAACTCGAATCAAGGAAGTTTTTTTCCTGATTCTTCCGCCAAAGACGCTCGGATTTCCGATGAAGGAAGAAAGATCAGCTGACGAAGAAGGTGAATACAAATGATGTCCATGTAGAGAGTCTGCCGCACATCCACGAGGAGCAGAAGTCGCCCAATCAGGTAAATCTTGAACATCATTTTCCACCAAGTCAGTCGAGCGAGGCGTAGTTGAAGTTGACGTTGAAGGGGCGGGAGCGGTTGAATTTCCAGCAGTCGAGAGAGGAAGTGAAGCTGCATTTTGACGCTTCGGATCAGGCAACGAGTCGGGTCTCGCCCTTTTCCTCTTTTTTCTAGTAGAGATGCCAGAGGTTAACAATTGCTTTTCAGCAGCCGGCCTCCCAACCTTTGGTATTTTTGCTAGAGGTTCAGGATACGAACCAGAAGCGCCGACCAGTAGATTTTGAGGCGAATTGAGATCATCGCCACAAATGAGCTCACGTACTAGAGCCAGGTCGGAGGGAGATTTGAGTTGATCATTGCGCGGTGGGACCAAACGCAGATGAGATCGGTGAGCCCAGTCACGAAAGTCGGCTCCGTCGACGATTTTAACGACATTTTCTGAGGCGATTTCATAAGGGCCTATCCAGTGACAGTTGGAATCTTTGGCTACCTTAGTGACGGGTTGATAGAGATGGACCATATCGCCGTATTTGAGAAGGCGATCACGATGTAGACGCCTATGTTGGCGTTCCAGAGCTAGATCAGCGGAGCGATTGGCGATTTTCGCTAGCTTCGAGAGCATTTGAATCCGCTTGCCATAAGTTTCAGGCGAATCGTAGCGTACATCGGGGTCGTGTAGAGTCTCAGGCAATGTGAAGAAAACCACCACTTCGACAATCGTGCGAGCAGCAACATTTGCTCGCTCCCCAGTGGTAACTCGAGCGACGGAAAATCGCGTGGATGTGTCGAGTTTAGTGCAGCACAAGCGCTTGCCAGCACAGTTGGGGAATTCGCCGTTTGTCGGGATTCGGACGGGTCTGTAGAACAGGCCAAGCTCGTCAGTAGAACTTCCAGAGACGTCTTCATACTGGACACAAAGAAGGGCGAGTTCATGAAGTTCGCTTCTATTGTGGTAATAAGATGGAAGAACGAGCTCTTTCTGGCTTTGCAAGTAGCTCAGAAGGTCCGAAGTAGAGGTGTTGGGGCCTGGAGCAGGAGGATTAAGCTGAATTTTGGCAGCTTGAGAGGGTTGAGATCGACGAGCGTCAGAAATATGAAAATCTGCGCTACTGGGGTTGCCAGAGTCGATCACGGGCGCATTCCAGGGATCACGAGCGTACGACTTGATTTTGAGAGCCTGTGTGTAGATTCCTGCTCCAGGGCTATCTCGTCGTTGAAGAATGTCCTTGGTACCAGTTCCACCAAAGGAGACATTCGCGGCGTGATGGGTGACAGTACTGCCGATGAGTGGCGGCGCTTTGTGGCCATCTGTCACTAGAATGCGGGTTCCAGCGAATTTTGAGCCGCTGAATTTGATGGTAGTTCGGGACTTGCCTCGGGCCTCAGTCTCGGGGTTGACGCCAGTGACAGTGAACTTGGAGCTCTGCAGGTGCTTCAAAAGTTCGTCAGGGATGTGCCATTTCGGCAGCCATTTTGGCAGGATAACATCGTCGGCGCCAGTGTCGAACATGCCGTTTTTGACGGTGAAGGTGTGTTCGGCGAGAGTGACTGTGAAGTCAGGTCTGGAAGGTTCCGAGAAGGTGAGTTGCGCGGAGGAAGTGGGTGGAGAGTTAGAGGTGCGTCGATCTAACTCTCGATCCGAAGAAACCTGATCGTTGTCAACGGGAGAAGCGGAATTGGTGCCAGTAGCGGAGTCACGGACGTCAGCTGAGTCGTCAGAACTCTGGGTCTCGATTGGATCAGTGCGAGAGGCTCCAGGTGAATGTTCGAACTCCAATAAAGCCTTAATTCGGGCCTTTATTAGCTTATGGCGAGTTTTGATCGCTTCTAAAGAGGCTTTGAGTAGCGCAGGGTTGACCGATGCAAGCTTCATAACATAATCCGAGATCTCGGACATGAAGTTGGTCAACATGCTGACGCAGATGCACGAGTTGATACGATCTTCGGAGAGGTTGAGCGCGTAACAGGCGCTGGAAGAAGACATTTTGGCGGGCCAAACTGTCGTTGGAGATTGGGATCGGCGAAGTTCACGGGGTTTCGTTGGCGGAATTGATCAAAATCGGCGGCGCGGCATAACGGAATTGGCGGTAAGAGGTTCACAACAAGATATTGTACCTTTACAAGGCGCTCAAGTAACTGGAAATTTCCTTGAGCGGCGCACGTGGCGACTTTTTCATCATTCATTGGGTTCGAATCCCACTCTTGTCACCAGATGTAAGCGTCTAAGTACTGCTGTATGCTCTCTATACTAGACGGTTCTCTTGCAGCTAGTCGTAGCCTCTACTGTATTCTTCAATAAAACACGGGAAAGGTAGTTTCCGATAAAACGTGTATTCTGCACTTTTACTGTGCGCGGACTGAAGCAGTGTTCGTAAAAAGTGGCAGAGAAGAGCGCGGCGCGAGATCCCTATCAGATCTCTAACCGACTTTCAGCACTTAGACCTCACACCACCCCTTTTCTCCCATAAAAACGAACCCAAATTCTCTCACCATCTCCAAGTAAACGCACATCTGCAAAAATTCTCCCCAGCTATTCCTGACTCTAGTGTTTCTCTTACCAGTGTATCAAATAACATCGATTTTATTTTCTTTACGATTCATTTTCCACGATTCTTAATCACTCACTTCGCACCCCTAAGAGAGAAGTCTTCTTTCTTTTTTCATATAAATTTACGATCAATCTGGAAACGGCAAAACGCCTCCCATTGCCGGACCATTTCCTCGACCTTGATTGATGAAAAAATTAAGTGAAAACAAGGAAGAGCAGGTTTTTTTTATCGAGTCTTAATTTTTCTCTGACAGTAGATCATTTCTCATTAAAATAATTACCGAAGTGAGTGATCACGGGGCGCTGAGGGCGAGTTAACTTAAGCATTGTGGCTGAACAAATAGTAAAAATCGATTTTGTTCAGTATTGTGGCGCTCGTGACTGGTGCGGCATGATGGCGTAACATATTCTCACAAAGCTCCGAGTTGAGTTTCATTTTTTTTCCGAAATCCAGAGAAGCTATTTTTCCACAACTGTCAGAAAAAAACGCCACAATGAAATTCCTCGTAACTTGCCCTGGGGCGCGTTGACACGCACGGTGGTCCAAATCTCTTCCGCCGGTCAATATTGATACTTGCACTCGTTGTTTGGAAACGCGCTCGTTTTTCCGCTGGAAAAGGCAATAATAATTATGTCGACACCCTTATCGACACTCTTTTGGTTTCAAGCTGTCACACGCGCCCAGGGTCATTATCAGGGTCGTCCTGGCGAGTTGTGTTAGCTCTTCGGGGAGCACACAAAAGTACACCTATGATCAGTCATCTATGAACCAGAGGGAACAAAATAGCTTGTTGTGACTAATAGACTATTTGAATAGTTGCCGCCAGGGATGTGGATCCGCAGCGCAAAATCCGCAAAACAGCGCAAAATGCGGGATTTTTCATTCTGCAGCGCAAAACAACGCAAAATCAGCCCCAAAAATTTCCGCAATTTTTCCGCAAAATTGCGCGCAAAAGCGCATTTTGCGCGTAAATTCCACAAAATCTCAATACATTTGCAGTCCGCAAAATGCAAGTTTGCGGGATTTGGCGTAGAATTTCTACATTTTTTTTGATGTTAATTGTGAAGATTTCCGAATCAAATCCTCATTCATCATCGCATTTACAACTTCGGCGGTAATTTGCAGAAGAAAAACTGAAAAATCGGCCGACAAAAAACCGTCCGAACTCGTAGTTAACCGACCGGTCATTTTGCCGGCAAAAATAAAACCGGACGGTTCAATGGAATTTTGCTGGATTCCTTGATTTCTAAATTTAAGGGCTTGACGGCCCTTCGGGCCGTTTCAGCCCCGTTCCTTGATTTCTAAATTTAAGGGGCTTGACGGCCCTTCGGGCCGTTTCAGCCCCGTTCCTTGATTTCTAAATTTAAGGGACTTGACGGCCCTTCGGGCCGTTTCAGCCCCGTTCCTTGATTTCTAAATTTAAGGGCTTGACGGCCCTTCGGGCCGTTTCAGCCCCGTTCCTTGATTTCTAAATTTAAGGGGTTTGACGGCCCTTCGGGCCGTTTCAGCCCCGTTCCTTGATTTCTAAATTTAAGGGGCTTGACGGCCCTTCGGGCCGTTTCAGCCCCGTTCCTTGATTTCTAAATTTAAGGGCTTGACGGCCCTTCGGGCCGTTTCAGCCCCGTTCCTTGATTTCTAAATTTAAGGGGCTTGACGGCCCTTCGGGCCGTTTCAGCCCCGTTCCTTGATTTCTAAATTTAAGGGGCTTGACGGCCCTTCGGGCCGTTTCAGCCCCGTTCCTTGATTTCTAAATTTAAGGGGCTTGACGGCCCTTCGGGCCGTTTCAGCCCCGTTCCTTGATTTCTAAAATTAAGGGCTTGACGGCCCTTCGGGCCGTTTCAGCCCCGTTCCTTGATTTCTAAATTTAAGGGGCTTGACGGCCCTTCGGGCCGTTTCAGCCCCGTTCCTTGATTTCTAAATTTAAGGGGCTTGACGGCCCTTCGGGCCGTTTCAGCCCCGTTCCTTGATTTCTAAATTTAAGGGGCTTGACGGCCCTTCGGGCCGTTTCAGCCCCGTTCCTTGATTTCTAAATTTAAGGGGCTTGACGGCCCTTCGGGCCGTTTCAGCCCCGTTCCTTGATTTCTAAATTTAAGGGGCTTGACGGCCCTTCGGGCCGTTTCAGCCCCGTTCCTTGATTTCTAAATTTAAGGGGCTTGACGGCCCTTCGGGCCGTTTCAGCCCCGTTCCTTGATTTCTAAATTTAAGGGGCTTGACAATGGCTTTGAACTCTGAGTTGATCAATCTCAGTTCTGTCCCCAACCCCACCCACACCCAGCATTTAAAAAATCTTTTTTATCATTATTTTTAGCTTAATTATGGTTCTTTTTGAAAACCTTGAAAATTACTTTTTGTAACCTCGGAATAATGTCCCCAAAATTTCTCCATTTCAAGTAGAAATAAATAGGGCCAAAAATACCACAAAATTCGCAGATTTTCGCAAAATGCGCGAAAATTCCGCAAAATCCGCAAATTTCCGCAAAATGCGCGAAAATCCCGCAAAATTCGCAAAATAACGCAAATTGCGTGTCATCGCGCAATCCGCAATTCCGCAAAAAGCGCAAAATCCGCAAAATTTTCGCAAAATTAACAAATTTTGATTATCCGCAAAACAATGCAAAATTCCGCAAATTGCGTGATTTTCGGATTCCGCAGCGCAAAACAGCGCAAAATAAGTTCGAAAAATTTCCGCAATCGCAGCGCAAAACAAAGGAAAATTTTTGCTGATCCACATCCCTGGTTGCCGCGTTGAAAAGTCAAGTCAGAAAATTCCCACAACTTACGATTTTGTTTAACAAAGCAAATTTTTTTGGAATAAACAGTGAAAATCCCCATTTGGCCGAAAAATATTTTGGCCAAAATTTGGTCACAAAAATAAAATCTTTTTTTCCAAAATTTTCCGGAAAAAAAATCACCATTTTCGAAAATTTAGGGCCAAAATTTTGGTCATTTTTTTATCCTCTTTTCGTCAAAAAATTTCGTCAAACTGTAACTACGAAAAGTCATTATAAAAATATTTTAACGAGTTTATTTTCAGAATAAAAACACGTGTTAAATCGAAACGAGAAAGAAGACGAAGCAGAACATCATAAAGAAAGAAACAGAAACAAGAGAAAAGATAATTTGAAAAAAGAGAGATTTTTTATCAGAAGAAAAAACGCAGCATTTCACGGTGACAAGAACCACACATGGAATGTCGCCGTGTGACATCCGTCGAGCATCTCCCCACGAAAGACTTTGTGAAGAGCAAATCTTCCATAAGGTTAGAATCGTCAATTTTTAATGGCGCGTGTAGTTGCTTTTATAACCTCAGAATTATCGTTGCGCCTTTCATGTTGTATGATGGAACTATTTTTTGTTGAAGTTTCCTAAGAAGTCGCTAAAGTAAAGTCTAAGAGTTAGGGTTGGGGTTAGAATAAGGGTGGTACATGAAAATCAAACATTTTCTCATCCAAGTTCAACCCTCTATCCATGCCTATTATTCGAATTTTCTTTGTATTTATTTTTCTTGAATCTGATTCGACATCGGTCGAATTCAGAAATCTGATTGGTCAGAAATTTATCCATAATTTTGGTCAAAATAATCGCAATTTTTCTGGGGAGGTGTCTGGAACCGACAAAAAATTTTGACAAATTTTGCGTGGAAATTTTCAGCCAATCAGAAGCCTGGATTCGGCAAACCGGCCAATCAGCAGCCGAGTCGCGGCCTACGCAAAATTTGTCGAAATTTTTTTGTCGGTTCCAGACACCGTCCCATTTTTCTGTCGATTTGAGCTATTTTTAGGAAATTCTTTCTTGGATTTTTTTTAAAGGCTAACCCTAACCCTTACCCAGTAAAGTCAAATTTTTTTCATAGTAAAAAAATATATTTCTTTGACGAAATATCCCCTTTAGAACTTTCAAGTACATCTTCAAAGATGCACTCTTCAAAGATAGTCACGTCATGATTGTTAAATTTATTTTGTTTAATGTTTATGAATGAAAGAAAAACGATTGAACTTTACATTTAGAATGGCGATATCAATATTTCACTGCTGAGGGAGCACCTGCGTAAAGAGGGCCGCCTGACAGAAAAATGCTGCCGACGTATCATCAAAGAAGGAACTGCCATTTTGTGACGGGATCAGAGACATGGCTATCACCTGAGAAACAACAGCCCTGAGACATGGATCTGTTCAGCCGTCATAAATAATTAAATTTCAATCTCATCCCCTTCTAAAGAAAGCCGAAAAGACACTGCTCGATGTCGACTCGCCCATCACCATTTGCGGAGACATACACGGACAGTTCTACGATTTGCTCAAGCTGTTTGAAGTTGGGGGAGATCCTGTAAGTTTTGATACAGGAGAATCTACCCTCCATATCGTCGATTTTCTGATGACAAGCTGTGTTGAAAACCTGAGTCAGGATTTGAAAAAGTAAAAATAAAAGCCGCTCTCGGGTTTTTATGAAAGTTTTTTCAAAACCCTGACTCAGGTTTTTACACAGGTTCCCGAACCAAGGCCGATCATTGCGGTTTTAATATTCATATACGACTTTTTAATGCATTTGAACTTTGAGTCTCCAAATCGCCATTTTTTTGACAACTTGTCATTCGAAATTAAACTCAAGTCTGTGTTTTAGGCAAAGACGAAATATTTATTTATGGGGGATTACGTGGACCGTGGCTACTTCAGTATCGAGTGCGTGCTTTTACTGTGGGCGCTCAAGAAAACGTATCCAAATGGGCTTCACCTTCTCCGTGGCAATCATGAGGTGAGGACACTTCACAGAGAATTTATCATTTCAAAACGCGGCTAAGTCCACTTCGCTTAAAGTAGATGAAGATTTACAGCTTTGCGGGTGACATTCTTCTTTTCCTCGAAGTGAACTTGCATCTTTCCCCAACTTGTAGTAGCCTACTAGTAGGGGGTCGAAAATCGGGCAACCCCTAACCCTAAGCCTAACCCAGGGGCTACGACCCTCGCCCCCCTTAGGCCTAATCCAGGGAGGTCTCTGGAACCGACGAAAAAAATTCGACAAATTTTGCGTGGAAATTTTCAACCAATCAGAAGCCTGGAGTCGGCAAAATTTGTCGAAATTTTTGTCGGTTCCAGACACCACCCCCTTATCCAGGGGGCTTCGCTCTCCGGGGCCCCCAGTAGGTACCCTCAGTCCCCTTACCCGAACCCTAACCAAGATGAGGGCTAATAGAGGACAGTCACTTAAGGGCGCCCGACCGATAACCCCGCTACACCCCCTTAATTTTCCTTCAGTGCCGGCATCTAACAGAGTACTTCACCTTCAAGCAAGAATGCCAGATCAAATATTCGACGGATATTTGGGAAACTTGCATGGAAGCATTCGACGCCTTGCCCCTCGCCGCCCTCTTGAATGGTCAATTTTTGTGCGTTCACGGAGGACTTTCGCCAGAAATCCGGACATTGGGCAGGGCTTTTGAAAGAAGAACAGAAATAAATTGATCTTTGTGTTCAAACTCATACAAAGTAGAAGATGCGATAAGCAGATTACGGGATAGTTAAATCATTAGCCTTTCTAAGACGACATTCGACAGATCGATCGATTCAAAGAGCCTCCCCCATTCGGGCCGATGTGTGACCTCCTGTGGTCCGACCCCTTTGAAGAATACGGAAAAGAAAACTCCACTGTTGAGAAATTCTCGCAAAACCAAGTCCGCGGCTGTAGCTACTTCTTCAGGTACTAAACCATTCACCCGTGAATCTACCACACAAAATTGGAGTCAATCTATACTTTCCTAGTTTTGCTGCTGTTTGCGATTTTCTTCAAACCAATTCACTTCTGTCCGTGATTCGTGCGCACGAAGCACAGGATGCTGGATACAAAGTAGGGCTAAAAGTCTTTTATCCCCGACTTACTTCTTTCTTGCTAGATGTATCGACGCGCCTCATCTACCGGATTCCCAAGCCTTATTACGATTTTCTCAGCCCCAAACTACCTCGATGTGTATAATAACAAAGCTGCTATTCTGGTTCGTTTTTCTTATCATTCCGCTTCATCCAAGAAATTTCAGAAATACGAGAACCAAGTTATGAATATCCGACAATTCAACGCTTCCCCTCATCCTTACTGGCTTCCCAACTTTATGGACGTCTTCAAGTGGTCCCTTCCATTCGTCGCGGAAAAAGGTACATTATTATTCGTCATCAGAATTAAATTATTCTGAAATTAAGCGACGGAAATGCTCGTGGCCCTGCTGAACGTCTGTACCGTGGACACCGACGACGACAGTTCGATCGGCTCGCCCGTCCCCGCCGACGACCAAGAAGCCCTCGAAGCTCAAAAGGCGCGTCGCGAAGTTATCCGGAACAAGATCCGAGCAGTTGGAAAGGTAAACAGTAGTGGAACGCCGCTGTGCGTGCTCACGCCCGAGGCGCTCTTTATAATTTTATAAATTATTAATTTGTAGATGGCGCGAGTTTTCTCAGTGTTGAGAGAGGAGTCTGAAACTGTTGTCCGCCTCAAGGGACTTACAAATGGCAAATTACCTACAGGTCAGTTGGCAGCTTTCTACTGACAGATGATTACTGTTGCTGCTTGTTCAGGCTGTCTCACGACGGGAAAAGAAGGACTGCTCGCGGCGATGGACTCGAAAACCAGCGAATCGGGCGTCGAAATCAAGAACTTCACGGAAGCAAGAAAGCTAGACATTGAAAACGAAAAACGACCAGCCGAGAGGAACTCCAGTAGGTCGAAGAACTGAAGAAAATTGGAACTACTATTATTACGATTGCCTGAAGACAAGGACGACTCACGAGCCACAACACAAACCCAAAAACCGTAAAATAATATTTTTCTCATGGGCGTTACCTGCATTGATCAAAATCTATGAAATGTTCGATTCTGTTTACTCGCGATGCCGTGCATGAGCAATAAAACCTACATCGATAAATTATTTAAGGATATAGCCTATGAAATTGAACTTTCATAGCGCCTAAATGCGACGTCGGATCATCTTATTTCAAAAGTATTCCTATTAAAAAATGTATGCAGAACTCGATTCTGGTACTTTTTTAAAACTTTTCATTCGAATTTTTCTCTGTAGAGCGTTTTGAAATCTTACGATCGCGATTTCTCGAAATATTTACATTAAATCGGTCGAGTTTTTTTGATAAAAAAGTAATCTAGACCCTTATCTACAATATTGTGGGTTCGGTTTTCTCTTATCCCGACAAAAACCGATTTTAGAGCCATTTCCATGAGACTTCCCCAGCGCGTGAATAGTGTAAAAAGCGCTGCGCTGGGTGCTCGATCTCTCGACTCCTCTTTCCCGAGAAAGTCTGCGCGTTTGAAAGAGCGCTCTGATTGGTTGGATCCAAAAAAGCGCGCATGGAAGAAAAACAGGAGCAAGAAAGAGGAAAACACTAGAATGAAAATTTGGCCAAGTTTGAGGATTTTTCAGCCACAATATTTTATTAAAGCATTTTGCTAATGCAGTCATTGGTTTAGTTTTAGCAATTTAATGTAAATATTTCGAGAAATCGCGATCGTAAGATTTCAAAACGCTCTACAGAGAAAAATTCGAATGAAAAGTTTTAAAAAAGTACCAGAATCGAGTTCTGCATACATTTTTTAATAGGAATACTTTTGAAATAAGATGATCCGACGTCGCATTTAGGCGCTATGAAAGTTCAATTTCATAGGCTATATCCTTAAGCAAGATAAATGAGCAAAGTCTTCTGAAAAATTCATTAATTGTTGAAAAACTGCAGATAGTTTCGTATTTGTAAAACGCCGAGCTTCGCCAGAGTAAGCAATTTCAAAAGTCATCTGAATTGCCCTAATTTTGAATGGAGTGTTATTCAGTTTTACAGTGTTTTCACTGCCTATTTAAACGTAAAAGACAGGTAAGACTACATCATGAAAGTGGAAAATCAAACTTTGACATAAATAAAATCAAGTGTTGTCCTGAAAAAGCACTTTCATTTTGAGAAAGTCTGTTTCGGAATCAGATGTTTCTCTATGTATTTTTTTTGTTTCAACTTCGTTCGCGCAGAGATCATCTGCAATTACGATGAAGCTTGTATGAAGGCTTGTACTGACTCCGTTTGCTAGTATCTCTGGAACATTGAGACTTCCCGATCAGCTGGAACAATACGAAGCGGAATTTTGATATCATTCAAGAAGACATCAACAAGGGCGTGAACGAGATATTCGACAAGGACGGAAATGTAAAATATCCGTTAGACGAGCTTGAGAATCTATTTCTCGTCGACGGCCAAGAAATGCGAAAAGTAATAACAATCAATGGCCAAATTCCTGGGCCGAGCATCGTCGTCAATAAAGTTGGAGCTGAATATAAGTAATTTATCTCGAAAATATTTCATGAAAAACAAAATTAAGTTAACTTGGTAAACAGGAGCATTGCCGATGCTTAAAAATTTTAAGTTTAATAAATATTTCAAGTGTTTCTTTTATTTCTTGAAATCAAATAATGAAGCAAAGCCAAATTTTCAAGCAAAATTTGCTTAGAAAACTGTTTAATTTCTTTCATTGAGTTTGGCTTGCAACTGCATCTGACTTATCACACAAGCTGAGCAGCAGAGTGCAGCGAACCAATCTAAAATCATTTTTCCCAGATTTAAAATTTGTACCTACCCAAGCAACAGCCTCCCTTCACTCCATGTTTTTCTCGTACTTCTGTCCTCAAGCAGCAGAGAAAACACGAGCTGCAAGGCGATAGCGCGCAAGGAAGCGGACAAAATGACCAGGAAAGTCCAAAACAGCAAGCGACCGCGGATCCTAGCGCCACAGACATTATCCAACCATGGCCGTATTTTTGAGCTACATCTGTTACGCCAAAGCAGGGAAACCAAAAGTTGACGCAGCAGTTGAGCGGCGAATGGCCACAGCACGGTTTGCAAGCAGTCAGTTCTGCCTGCCACTGGCTTTATTCGAATAAGAAGTGAAAAATGAAAATATTTGTTACCCGAGGATGACTTTCTGCGCGTATGGATTTATCTTTGATTTTCTCTTATCTGGCTGAGTTCTTTTTGGCGATTTTAATAACAAACGTTACTCGGAGATTTATCTCGATGATGATTGTGGTGAAAAAACCGGCTCCTAACAACTGGTTCTTCAGGAGGAGCATTAGGATATCTGTCGTACTCTTCGTAATCGTCGTTCTCTCTCATTCTCAGTCGACTAAACTTTCTTTGACTAAGAAAACAGCACGACCTTCCAAAGTCTTTGTTCCATTATTCCTCGACACAGGATTCGTAAAAGACGGGATTATATTTCGTCTGCCATTATGAGATGGGAATGTTTTCCTAAAGTAAACGATTTTGAGTCTTTAGTTCATAAATTATGATTAATTATTCATTAAGGATGTCCGACAGGGTTCAATAAAGGTCTGTTGTATAAAATTCGTGCATAAAAATTCAGCAAGCAGAAAATGCTCATGATCCTCCGAAAAGTGAACCTTGTGCAGATAAGCTAGACCGTCGCAACAACCCTCTGATCATGATTTTCCTCGATAAATTAGCGATTTCCCACTTAGCCTCGCTGTTCCCCGCAGAGCTGGGCAGTTAGGCCGTGTTGGGCTTGTCACCCGCTTGGTCCGGTCATTTTTGTCACCCGCCGGATTGGGGGCAGGCGAATCCCTCTTACCCCAAAATATGGACTCTTCTTCAGTTATTTTTCGATGTTCTATCACAAGCGGTGGAAGAAAATTACCGTGAAAGAGTCGCTTCTTTTCTTGAGATAAAAGATGATGTTGGAAAAGCGGAAAATGATAAGAAAGAATTTCGATACTTACAGCTCAAGAACAGGATGAAAGTGGTCCTGGTAAAAGATGATTTAGCTGTCAAAGATTCCGTCTCTCTTGGCATTTCCGTTGGAATGCTAGAGGATCCTCCGTAAGTTCTTTTATTCAATTAACGAGTCGATTTTTCCGTAGTGATATGAAAGGAATGGCTCATTTTCTCGAGCACATGGTGAGTCGTTCCTCCAAAAATTATCCAGAAATACTTGGTTACAAGAATTTCGTTTATTCAAATGGCGGAAGAAACAATGCGTTGACTAGTTTGAAGCGGACTCTGTTTTTCTTTGATGTTCTTCCTGGAGAAGCAGTGCTTGAAGGAGCAGATAGACTAGCAGATTTTATAAAATCGCCAAAACTTGATGAAAGTCTGATTACTCAAGAAATAGACGGTAGAACTCGTTTTTTGCAATTTTTTTAACTAAAATTAAGCGGTGAATTCCGAATGGCTTGGTAGACGACAAGCTGATCGCTTCAAAGAATACGCAGTTTTCTTCAAGCTTTCAAATCCGAAACATCAACTCAGCTCCGTTTTCATTGGAAATGAAGAATCTTTACGCCAAAATCAGACAGACGCTGAAATCGCCCAAAAGCTGCGAAAATTCCACGAAAGCTATTACTCCTCCAACGGCATGGCTCTTGTCATTTCGAGCAAAAATATCTCTCTCGACACGATGGAAAACGCAGTTCTTCATTCTTTTGCCGATTTACCGGACTTGAACTTGCCGGATCCAATTTTCTATCTGGCTTTCAGAAAACGAGATCTTGGAAAAATTGCGAGAATTGAAAGAATATCCAGTGAACATAAAATGAGCCTCATTTTTCAAGTGCAACCGCGAGAAACAGATAAAAAGATCAGTCCTCGAACTTATATAACGAGCCTTATCAATGAGAAAGGGCCAAAATCCTTGTTTCAAAAATTAGAAACAGAAGGTTTCATTGATGGACTGAAAGCAAACACTAAAGATTATGCTCCTGGAATAGCTTTTCTCCTTATTGATTTGAGATTTACTGACAAAGGCTTGGATTTCTGGGAAGATGTTCTTGCATTGACATTTGAATACATCGAAATGCTGAAAAGAAACCCACCTTCATCGCGATATTGGAATGAAATCGTCCTCCGCGAAAAATTAAAATACCACAGCAAAGAACACGTGAGCGATGTTAGTTTTGCGAGAGGAATTGTTGAAGATCTTTTTGATGGAAAAAATCCAAGTTTTCTTCTTTCGGGACCTTCGGAAAATGACAAATTCGACAGGAAACTGCTCAAGAAGCTTATTCAAGAACTTCACCCAAGAAATCTTCTGATTTCGATCATTTCAAAACTTTCAAAGGCCAAACAGATCGTTTCGACGAAAAAAGCCAAACTAACTACAGTGGGTTGCGCAGGTAGTTGCCCCCTAAAGTGCGGGTGAAGGGTCAACCAATCCTGCAATCACTTTGAGCAAGTCTAGAAAGAAACAATGGTCGAGAAAAATATAATTTTCACCAAAATTTCCAAACTTTTTTTTTTGTTTTCTCTATACTCTCGATTTTTTTTCTTTGCTTCACGTGGTTTTTTCTGGCGAAAGGGGAGTTTTAGGAGCTCTAGAACGCATCTAGAGTATAGAGAAAACAAAAAAGTTTGGAAATTTTGGTGAAAATTATATTTTTCTCGACCAATAGAAAAAGCGCGGGCGAAGGGGCAACCAAAGCGGCAATCGCAAAGGGGCAACTACCTGCGCAACCCACTGTACCAAGTTTCAGACATTGATTCCGAGCTTTACCAAAGACTTTCTTCGTAATCGTCGTTCTCTCTCATTCTCAGTCGACTAAACTTTCTTTGACTAAGAAAACAGCACGACCTTCCAAAGTCTTTGTTCCATTATTCCTCGACACAGGATTCGTAAAAGACGGGATTATATTTCGTCTGCCATTATGAGATCGGAATGTTTTCCTAAAGTAAACGATTTTGAGTCTTTAGTTCATAAATTATGATTAATTATTCATTAAGGATGTCCGACAGGGTTCAATAAAGGTCTGTTGTATAAAATTCGTGCATAAAAATTCAGCAAGCAGAAAATGCTCATGATCCTCCGAAAAGTGAACCTTGTGCAGATAAGCTAGACCGTCGCAACAACCCTCTGATCATGATTTTCCTCGATAAATTAGCGATTTCCCACTTAGCCTCGCTGTTCCCCGCAGAGCTGGGCAGTTAGGCCGTGTTGGGCTTGTCACCCGCTTGGTCCGGTCATTTTTGTCACCCGCCGGATTGGGGGCAGGCGAATCCCTCTTACCCCAAAATATGGACTCTTCTTCAGTTATTTTTCGATGTTCTATCACAAGCGGTGGAAGAAAATTACCGTGAAAGAGTCGCTTCTTTTCTTGAGATAAAAGATGATGTTGGAAAAGCGGAAAATGATAAGAAAGAATTTCGATACTTACAGCTCAAGAACAGGATGAAAGTGGTCCTGGTAAAAGATGATTTAGCTGTCAAAGATTCCGTCTCTCTTGGCATTTCCGTTGGAATGCTAGAGGATCCTCCGTAAGTTCTTTTATTCAATTAACGAGTCGATTTTTCCGTAGTGATATGAAAGGAATGGCTCATTTTCTCGAGCACATGGTGAGTCGTTCCTCCAAAATTATCCAGAAATACTTGGTTACAAGAATTTCGTTTATTCAAATGGCGGAAGAAACAATGCGTTGACTAGTTTGAAGCGGACTCTGTTTTTCTTTGATGTTCTTCCTGGAGAAGCAGTGCTTGAAGGAGCAGATAGACTAGCAGATTTTATAAAATCGCCAAAACTTGATGAAAGTCTGATTACTCAAGAAATAGACGGTAGAACTCGTTTTTGCAATTTTTTTAACTAAAATTAAGCGGTGAATTCCGAATGGCTTGGTAGACGACAAGCTGATCGCTTCAAAGAATACGCAGTTTTCTTCAAGCTTTCAAATCCGAAACATCAACTCAGCTCCGTTTTCATTGGAAATGAAGAATCTTTACGCCAAAATCAGACAGACGCTGAAATCGCCCAAAAGCTGCGAAAATTCCACGAAAGCTATTACTCCTCCAACGGCATGGCTCTTGTCATTTCGAGCAAAAATATCTCTCTCGACACGATGGAAAACGCAGTTCTTCATTCTTTTGCCGATTTACCGGACTTGAACTTGCCGGATCCAATTTTCTATCTGGCTTTCAGAAAACGAGATCTTGGAAAAATTGCGAGAATTGAAAGAATATCCAGTGAACATAAAATGAGCCTCATTTTTCAAGTGCAACCGCGAGAAACAGATAAAAAGATCAGTCCTCGAACTTATATAACGAGCCTTATCAATGAGAAAGGGCCAAAATCCTTGTTTCAAAAATTAGAAACAGAAGGTTTCATTGATGGACTGAAAGCAAACACTAAAGATTATGCTCCTGGAATAGCTTTTCTCCTTATTGATTTGAGATTTACTGACAAAGGCTTGGATTTCTGGGAAGATGTTCTTGCATTGACATTTGAATACATCGAAATGCTGAAAAGAAACCCACCTTCATCGCGATATTGGAATGAAATCGTCCTCCGCGAAAAATTAAAATACCACAGCAAAGAACACGTGAGCGATGTTAGTTTTGCGAGAGGAATTGTTGAAGATCTTTTGATGGAAAAATCCAAGTTTTCTTCTTTCGGGACCTTCGGAAAATGACAAATTCGACAGGAAACTGCTCAAGAAGCTTATTCAAGAACTTCACCCAAGAAATCTTCTGATTTCGATCATTTCAAAACTTTCAAAGGCCAAACAGATCGTTTCGACGAAAAAGCCAAACTAACTACAGTGGGTTGCGCAGGTAGTTGCCCCCTAAAGTGCGGGTGAAGGGTCAACCAATCCTGCAATCACTTTGAGCAAGTCTAGAAAGAAACAATGGTCGAGAAAAATATAATTTTCACCAAAATTTCCAAACTTTTTTTGTTTTCTCTATACTCTCGATTTTTTCTTTGCTTCACGTGGTTTTTCTGGCGAAAGGGGAGTTTTAGGACCTCTAGAACGCATCTAGAGTATAGAGAAAACAAAAAAAGTTTGGAAATTTTGGTGAAAATTATATTTTCTCGACCAATAGAAAAAGCGCGGGCGAAGGGGCAACCAAAGCGGCAATCGCAAAGGGGCAACTACCTGCGCAACCCACTGTACCAAGTTTCAGACATTGATTCCGAGCTTTACCAAAGACTTTCTGAGCCAGAAATCAACGAAGATTTCGGATTTCCAGAAGAGAACATATTTTTCCCAAGCGATTTTTCCATCGAAACCGAATATGATCACGAAGACGATCTTTCTGAAACGCCTAATCTCGTTCTCGATCGACAAGAACTAGAAATTTGGCACCACCAAGATCGACGCTTCAACTCGCCAAAGACTGACATTCGATTGGTATTTGCCAAGCCAGAATTCATTTCTAGCGTGGAATCCTTGCTGTGGACAAAGGTTTATGTCTACCTTTTGTTGGACCACATGGTCCCGCACTTGTTTCCGCGGTTCTTGCAGATATACAATTATCACTTGCCTTCGACAATAAAAAACCAAGAAGAACATCAAAAAATTTTTTACCTCAGGTAAAAATTTTGGCTTCAGAGCGAAAATTTCCGTCGATTTCAAATCCTCAAAATTTTACAAGTAAACTGACTCTTTTTGACGAAATCAGTTATTTTTTCATGGTTTATTTAAATTTTAGTAAAAGCTTACCTCTTAAAAAGATCAAAATGACGACTTATTCTTAAAATAATACCTTCTTTTGCATTTGATTCGATCAAACTTGAGAAAATGGCATATTTTTGGGTAGTACTCGAAATCACCTGTTTAAGCTAGGTTAAGGTTAGGGTTAGGACTCAAAACTATATTTTTCTTGTCGCCAAGCGTCTCAACTTTAATCAGGTATGTTCAATATTCTAAAATCTTTTAATAAGTCGACGCTAGAACCCTTCAAAGGCACTGCGCAGAAATCTGCGCAATATGCGTTCAGCGAAACTTTTCAAACGTGCGTTCAAGCGTTAAAATTGGAATCCGCAGTTTAAAAATACAATAATTCTCCTCCATGATTTCATTAAAACTACAAAAATATCTTGATCTCGTCGCATCTGCCATCAATGCATAAAAACAGCGCGTCAAAAACCTTCAACTTTCCTCTGAAAATGGACAAACACGAATTCATCGACTTTTTCTACAATTTAGTTTTGAAGAGAAAATGATCGCAATTCCGACGGCCATTTTTATCGGAATTTTTATTCTCGCGCTGATCGTTTTTGGCGTCCATTTGAAAAGTAAACTTATTTTTTCTAATTAATTAATATTTATTTTAACAGTTTTGTCGGAGAAGAAAACAACAGCGAAGAGACGAGTGATTCCATTTATGCAAAAAGCGAAAAGTCCGGTGTCGGCGAAATGAAGATTTTTACTTCCAAAACAACTTTGAAAAGGAGCCTCTGTTCTTTTTGCGCCTGAATATATTTTTAAAAAATCAATTATATTTTGGGTTACCTTTTAGCGCCGGAAACTGCCTCTCAATGGTGTGCAAAGCGTCAAAACTTTTGATCTCCTGGGCATCGGCACCGGCGAGCTCAGATTCGTGTTGGAGGATTTGTACTGGCACTGGATTTTTCGCTTGATTGTGATAGAAACGATGTCGTCGATCATTTTCAGAATTTCAGTCGGGGCGTCTTCTTTGACGCTGATGTCGCTGAAACCGTCGCATTCGTGCTGAAGGCTGTGGTGGTCGATGTGATTTTTAAGGTTTCCGCGATCTGATTTGTTTCCTGAAAAATTGAAAAGAACCCAAATTGCCGCATTTCGCTTTCGAGAAAAGATGTGAAAGTTGACACACTGGGCGAAATTCTAGCACTTGTTGGGGCTTATCACAAAAAGCCACGGCGAAATTACGCGATATAAGCTTTCGAAAATTTGTCGGAGCATACGTGTGTCAGCTCAATTACTGCATTTTTACATATCTTTTTCATTTTCAGCTGTATTTTGTCAACCTAAGGAAAAAACTCACCAACAAGCCAAATAATCGGCGGGCGAATGCGCATGCTGATGGCGGCGCGTTCAATTTGTTCGCTGAAACAAGTGGCGATTTTCAACGAAGTGGCGTCGCTGTGTGAATAAACCAACAACACTGCGTCGGACCACATGGTATTGTAAGAAATGTCGCCTGGCGTGTAGATATTTAGATCCTGAACGAGAAATCATTCTTCAAATATTTACACCCTTTTCCACGTCGATTTTAGTTCTGCAAAACTTCAATAAAAGGCCTAATTAAAAGGCGCTTGAAATAATTGAAAAAATCGAGTGTGGAATTTTCGAATACAAAAATCCTACGACCCAAGATCGCAGGTCCTTAATTTTTGCCCAAATTAAGCTATTTCTCATTGTTGGACCTTACCTTAATGAATAGTACGTGTTTTTATTAAACTTTTCCCATAGTTTTTCGTAGACGCCTGTGACATTCGACGCGTATTCCCTGAAAACAAGAGGTTATTGACAATAACCTACTTGTACTCGAGTCTAAGAGTGTGACTCAGGATCCGAAAGAGCTTGAATGAAAAGCCGCGAAGCGGCTTTTAAAAACGAAGCCGCAAAGAATAAAATTGATAAAAATTGATCATTCGTATTAAATTATTTTTGATCAATATTTATCAATTCTTTGTTTTGGCGAAGCCGCTCTGCGGCTTTGTCTTTCAAAAAACCGCTTTGCGGCTTTTCATCCAAGCTCTTTTAGGCCCTGACTTAGGTTTCGTCCACAGGTTACCAAGCCCAGGAAGGAGCTTCCCAAAGAAAAACTCAAGAAATTCAATTCTTACCCGATAAATCTGTTTGTCAAAAGTCGAACCGCTAGTGCCGATTTCCCCACTTTTGGAGCTCCAACTATTGTAATATGAATTGGATTTTGATTCTCGCTCTTCCCGGTCTTGCTATGTCTTATTCTCGGTTTTGCTCTGGAATTCGTCATTTTCTTCCTTTTTCTACTTTTAGCTATCGAAAATGACTAGGTTCCTTTTCAACAAGTGAGAAAGGATTTTATAGTTTTTGACTGGAGCTCATAAAAATGATTTTTACCAATAATTATTTTTCACATTTTTTCGCAAAACCGTTTCTTTTCTCCGAGTTTTTCAAAAATTCAGCCGCCCCTTGAAAACGTTGTTTCTCCGAGAATTCATCTTTCTACGCTGCTTTTAATTTTTCTGATCGCCTTCGAGTTTGGTATAAAAATAGGCTTTGCAATTTGAATTGGTGCTTCCCATCGTTAACTCTTAACGCGCTAATGGTTACATCCATAAATCATCGTGTCAAAAATAGAAATCGAAAAGTACACAATAAAAATAGCCGCTTTTGACCATGGTTGATATTCATCATCAAAATTTATTGTAGAGAATCTATAAGGTCAGAAGAGGACCTTTTTCAGGGAATACTCTCCCGATAAAAAATAAACATAGTGACACCCTTATTCTCTTTCAGAAAGTTGATTTCACATCAAAAGCCGACTGGAAAATTAGGGAGGGTGCGGAAATCGGCAAGTTTCGGCCAAAAGTCTTCAGAAAATTTTTGACCAATAAGATTTCAACAAACGGCCAGATGGCCAATCAGACTTCAGAAATAATTTTGCAAAAAATAGGTTTTTTGAAAAATGCCTACCGTGTAGGGCTTTCGGTTAGGGTTAGGGTTAAGCTTTTTAACGCCAACTCTAACCCCTAACTGTAAGTCCTTTACAGTAGGCATTATTCAAAAAGACCTTTTTCTGAAATCTGATTCGCCAACACGACGAATACTTAAATCTTATTGGTCCAAAATTTTCGGTTTACTTTTGGCCGAAAATTGTCGATTTCTGCGGTTACACGACGTTTTCAGCATACCGACGTTTTCAGCAACCGACGTTTTCAGCATACCGACATTTTCAGCGCTGCTGAATTCGTCGGTTTGCTGAAAACGTCGGTTTGCTGAAAACGTCGTTTTTCACCTGAAAACGCGTAGGCGTTTAGAGAGGCAACCATTTTATCAAACTTCATCTGAAAAGATGTTTCCGTAAATCGTTAAATAACATAAAATCGATGTAATATTAATGAATCAGTTACAAAAGATTATATTTAATAAAATTATTATTCTTATCCTTTAAAATATTGATTTATCATTATTTTCAATGTTTTAAAAGCATATTCACGAAACTGAATAATACGTTAATATTGTTAATTAACTGGTGACTATGATTATTATGATAATTATGTATTAAAAAGATATTTGGCTTATTCTTATTACTTTTTCAAAATAATGAATTTTTAATGACTCATTTAGAAATGCTTTAAACTTTTAATTAGCCAATTAAATTCCGAGAACGTCATCTTTAGATCCGTTTGTTTGAAAATTTCGCCACTGCAAACGCCCACGCGTTTTCAGGTGAAAACGACGTTTTCAGCAAACCGACGTTTTCAGCATACCGACATTTTCAGCGCTGCTGAATTCGTCGGTTTGCTGAAAACGTCGGTTGCTGAAAACGTCGGTATGCTGAAAACGTCGTGTAACCGATTTCTGCAGCCTCTCTAATTTTTCAGTCGGCAGGTAGGGTTAGGGTTAAGCTTTTGAAGGCCAACCCTAACCCTTCGGCCCGGGCTTTGGACTAACCAAAAACTTTAAGCCGTACTAAAGGATTTCAATTGACCCCTCATGAAACGAATCTTTTTATCAATTATTTGCTCAAATATTGTTTTCAATCAGTTGTCCTTTTCGCGTTGTCAGCTTAAAAAAGAGAATCCGTAGACCTTAGCTCATGTCTTTTAACCTTCTTGAATTTCAGCAAGTTGATATTTTTTGGTTGAGTCCGATTGTGACCCAAATTGGGAGGATTGATCATTGATATTTATAAGAGCTCAAAAGATATTAAAAATAAGCACTTAGTGCTCTGCGGCCCTACTTAGCGAAATCGTCGCTACGTTTCACAACAAGCTGCTCCAACGTGACTCACGTGACTCAATCTCTGTTCAATCTCAGTCGTCTTTTTTTGCTTGTTGCCGTTTGCGCCTTCTCGAGTTGTTTAGTTCTGTATAAACAACGACGCATCGCGGAGAAATTGAGGCCGGATTAATTCATTTCGGTGGTTCTCAAAGGTGAAGTTTTAATTAGATATTGACCGCCGGGGAAGATTGCAAATCCTCGGCTCTACCTGGAAGACTTTATTACTGTAGCTGGAGTACACGTCGAAAATTAAAGATTTTATTTTTCAGAAACAAGAACAGTCGAATTTTTCAGGAATCAATAATGCAGATGGCTGGAGAACTAAATGGTCTACTACCAGAGGGCCCCCTTTAAGGGTGTCATCAACGATTTTTCCATAACATTATTGTTTAATCTTTTCCCATTTGCCCCCTTATTTTTGGGGAGGTCTCTGGAACCGACAAAAAAATTTCGACAAATTTTGCGTGGAAATTTTCAACCAATCAGAAGCCTAGATTCAGCAAACCGGCCAATCAGCAGCCGAGTAGCCGCCTACGCAAATTTTGTCGAAATTTTTTGTCGGTTCCAGACACCATCCCTTATTTTTGATATAACATACCCCTATATTTTCAAAGTGTTGAAAATGACGACGTGACATTGCAAATGAGTCATCTTTACTTTGTCACGTCGTCATTTTCACCATTTTGAGAATACAGGGGTACGCTTTACAATTGTATCAAAAGCTAAGGAGCAAATGGGGCATGATTTAACAACAACTTAAGGGGGTCCTATGGTAATTTTCATTCCGTAAAATTATCTACTAACTCATAATTATTTTCAGCCGAGACATAAGAATCTCTTGAAGACACCCAAAGGATTCCTTGAGGAATGATTTTTGGTGAGCACTGCAGAAAGCCGGTCTGTTCTTCGACATCAGGGCTGTTTTAAATCCAAGGAGCAGTCTGTACGAATAAGGCTGCTTTTCTTTATTATCGATTATCCAGGAAATGTTCAAGAAGTCTTTGTTCCACAAATTGAACTCGTCGAAGAAGGTCTTGTTGATTTTCAGCATTTCGCAGCTGATTGAGCTGTCGTTTATTATTATCACCCTCCCTTCCTCGTCGAATATTTGGTTCTGGCAGACGAATTGGTAGTTGGCTCCAATATTTGTCCAGATATCGGCGAATATAAAAATGCAGGACTCAGTTGGTGAATAAATTGCCAGACCAACATGTCCCCCAGTTTGAGAGACCAAATTTTGATGCTTTATTATTAAAAATTCAATTAAAAATCAAACAAAAAGCTTACCTTTTTATATTCAGGTTCAAGATTCTTGTCCGAAAAGTTTGTTCTCGCACTAATATTGATCCAATAGGGAATATCTTCTTCAGAAAAGTCAGAGATTTTCGTGACTCTTTTTTCATCATGTAAAACCATCACTACGAACCTAACCCTAAGAGTGGTCTCCGTTTGCCCAAGTCGCCGTTTGCCCAAGTCGCCGTCTGCCCAAGTCGCCGTTTGCCCAACTTGGGCAGACGGAGATCTTAGGCAAACGGCGATGTGAATTTTTTTAATTGATCATAAAATGATAGAAGTAAGGCGACAATTTCATTATCATCACTTAGTCTGCTGGTTGCGCTCTGATTTGCAGAGACTTTCAGGTGAAAACAAAGGTTGTCCTGTGATGTCTTTTGAACGGTTATTAACCGTGGATCCTTGACAAGACCACCACAATTTTCTTATATTGTTTTTCAATAGTTGTATCCGATTTTCGAATAAATTCTTGAGCATAAACACATAAATAAGAGACGAAATGAAAAAACAGTATCGTGGACTCTACGGAAGCTTTCCGAATTATGACATCGTTTACATTGTTAACGAAGAGCCTTCGTAATGGATGGTTTAATTATGAAAGTCGCTAAATTCTCAATAAAAGTCCTAATAAACTATTCCCGGAAGAGTTAATCATTCATTATACTTGAAGTATATTCGGTCGGTCATTAGGTACCGGTGAAAGCGAGCCTTTACCCGGGATTTCAAACATGTCTCCATATTCGTTCCATAAATAGAGTTTCCTCACACTGCAGCCGCGGAGCGGACATTAGTTTTTAGATGAGCCAGAAAATATGCTTGACTTTGGTACCGGGTACCAATTTGGTTCCGGCACCGTCCGTCTCCCGGAGGTTTTGGGAAGTGTTTCATCAGTTTTTCCCTTTTTCTCACTTCTCACAATGACTGTTTTCCCTCAGTTTCAATCAGAAGCAATTCCAAAAATAGAACGGACCGAAAATGAATCACAAGAAACAGCAATATGGGAAACCATCAATTCAACCAAGTTGGGGATTAGCGCTTGTGAGGACTCGGCGCATCCATCGTTTCCTCAATGTGTAGGCCTCGGACGTAAAACTAGCGATTTAACTTTACCACTTAAAATCTATCCTATCCTGCTAATTTTGATTTCATAATTAATTTCTTTGAATTGAATTATGATTATATTTTCAATTTGATCGCCGTCTGCCTAAGATCGCCGTTTGCCCAAGTCTCCGTCTGCCCAAGTTGGGCAAACGGCGATCTTGGGTAGACGGCGACTTGGGCAAACGGCGACTTGGGCAAACGGAGACCACTCTAACCCTAACTCAAGAATTTATCGGGCAAAACCGAAAAATGGAAGTGATTTAATGGATCATGGTTTTGATTGGCCGGTAGGCCAAATACAGCAATCTTATTGGTTATCCGAAATTCACTTCTATTTTTTGGTTTAGTCCAGAATATCAGCAAATTTTAAAATAAGGGAGTCTGTCTCCGTAATAGAAAAATTTTACAATTTCCTATTCCAGGCAAGGGTTCCATTCTTTTCACTGCAAAAGTCCATTGAATCTGAGAATGATGCATCAGAAGTGAAAATCGCAGTCATCTCTGATTATTCTTTTAGTTTATATTTCGCCTTTTTATAACCTTTGTCGTCTAATTCAACAGTGACAATTTTACTCTTCGTGAAATTGTCAAAGTCAAGATCCAAATCTTCGTTGATGGTAAATTCGTCATTCCCAAAATCAATAAAGACATAAAGTAGAACGCCCGAAGAAATGAGAAAGACGAAAAAAACTGTTAAACCAATTATTAGATTTTTCATTTCTCTCGTCCCCGAAAAATCGAATCTTTGATATGATCCATTTGTGTGAAGAAGAATTTATATTTGAATACATTTTTTATGAGCCATAAAATTATGTCAGTGGAACAACCTTTTTGAAAACGATATTGCTAAGAAATAAGAGAGAAATTATTTCCTATATTTGATCTAATAAAAATATATAAAGAAACCTTGAGCACCACAAACTTGATAAAACTACTTGTGGCAACAAAAAGAAAGATTTCAGCTCACTTTCTTGATACTGTTCATATTCATTTTCGTTTCGAAAATCATCATTCTTGATGTCTTCCCCCTTGAAATTCTTCCACTTCGATTTAACATATTTTTTGTTTATTTACATTGTGGCAATAAAAAATTTCAGCAGAAAAATTATAAATTAGATATTCGAGTTCAAAGCGCGGGCAGATTTCAAGGCGGCTTATTCCAGGACTTCGAAGGTGGCATCAGCTTTGATATTCTAAAAAATTGATTGATAGAAAAAGTCGAGGGTGAATACACTTACTTGAACTTCTCGACTGTCGAGATCGACGACAATCGTGAAATTTCCCGCCTTTTCAGGAGTGAAATCAAAATTCAACGTGTAGGGTGTTCTTGGCTCAAGTGTGAGTCTAAAGAAAAAAATTATAAAAATGTCTTCTTAAGGATCCCCCCGTCGAGTTTGACGATATTTTCAAACAGCGATTTCTACCTCTAGACTCTTAAGAAATCGAATGATTTTGGTATCAAATTGTAGCTCAGAAAGAGTTCTAGTGCAAAAAATGGATTATTCGGGGATACCCTTAAGTTTTCACTCTCAAATTGAGGAATAAATAAAACATTCTCATTGAAGCTTCTGTCAGCAAAAAGACCATTAGCTTCGACCGTGAGGGAAGCATTTTGAAGCGGATATGTCAAGGGGTTTGAATCTTGATCTCGCAGCTGCAAGGATCACTCGCGTAGGCTTTCTTCCGATTGAACTAAAATTCTTATGAAAAACAAAACTCATCGAGAAAATCGACTCACAGCAATGGTAACCATAGGAGGAACTCTGAGAGTAAAGTCGTGTCTGGTCGTGTGCGTCTCGATCTCGCCAGTTGTCGGATTTTTGACCTTGATCATCGCATCTGCTCTCATGTGACTCTGGCCATCGCGAGCGAGTCGCCCTTCGTATTCCTTGTGGGAGAAAACGACTGAAGAGTCGAAGCGCTTCTGGATGGAACTTTGCTTCAAAGCGCGCTGGCCGATAACCTGGCTTACTCCTCCTCTGTTTTTGGGTTCGAAAAATATTTTCTAAAAATATTCGAGAAATAATTTTCTCGAAAAAAGAAAAAAATCGAGAAATAATTTTCTCGAAAAAAGAAAAAAAAATCGAGAAAATTATTGTCTCGAATTTTTTTTTTGAAAATATTCGAAAAAATAATTCTCTCGAAAATTTTTCAAAAAAATTCGAGAAAACAATTTTCTCGAAAAAAATTCTAGAAAATATTCGAGAAAAAAGTTTTCTCGAAAAATATCTTCAGCTTTTATGGAACCGAAACTGTAGTAAGTTGAGTAAAGTGTCAACTTAGGCTTTTCAACGAGTTCAACGACTTTGTTGTCCGCAGAAACAACCAAGAGCTTGATTTCAAGGTCGTCGCCGATCGAAAATTCTCCCGTGACGATTTCTAATTTTAGCATCGAGCGAGTCTTGTTCAGAAGCTCGCGTTGGATTTTCGAGTAGTTTCTCAACATGAATTCTCGTCTTTCTCTCCTGCTGTTTCCGGCGTAAGCCACAGCCCGGTCGAATGCCTCTCGTTCTTCTTTTGACCCTTCCCTGAACGAAAATATTAAATATTATATTATAATTATAAAATATTATATATTTTTAACGATAGAAGGGTGTCAAAAGTCAGCACCCCTAAACCGTACCCAAAGGGTACGCCTTCAGGACCCCCTTACGCCTAACGCAGGAGGCTTCGCCCCCGGAACCCCCAATAGGAACCCCCAGTCGGTTGTCCCTAACCCTAACCAGAGTTGGAAATTTGTTGAGCTGAGTGAGCTGAGCAGTCGCTCAGTAATTTTCTAAAATGATCTGATCTGCTCAGCTCAGCTCATACAATTATCACTCAGCTCAGCTCAATAATTTTTGAACATGATCAGTTCTGCTCAGCTCAGCCCAGCTCAATGATTTTAACACAATTTTACTACTAAAAATACAAAAAAAACAGCTCAGTTCAGCTCACTTAGCTCAGCTCAGCTCTAATTAGGGTCTGCTCAGCTCAGCTCAGCTCAATGACCTATGAAAAAGGGCAGCTCATAGAATTTTTCACAAATATCAGGTCAGCTCAGCTCAGCAAAAATGAACCAAAATTTGCAACTCTGACCCTAACCGAGATAAGGGCCAATAAAGGACAGTCAGGGCGCCCAACTGATAACCCCGCTACACCTTTTAAATTCCTCATTTACCGGAATTTGTACTGATCTGTCAAATCCCTCCGCGCAAAATTATTTCTTCCTTCCGCTTTCGTCGAAATGAAGCGTCCAATCCCGTCCGTTTTCCTTTCCGTCAGCTCAACAATTTCGTAGTTTTCGTTCAGCCGCCAGGTGCATCTGTCCGCGTTGACCTCGCCATAGACAAAGTTGGTGTCGAAGTTCAAAAACGTTTGTCCTTGGCGAACAGCTATTACTGGCGCTGGGCCGCACTGATAGATTCCATTCGAGTATTCTTGCGGCGTGGCATCAACAGCCTGCCAGCCGTCGAGACCCATATTTTTCGGGAAGTCAGGGCGCTGGAGCCAGCACTCGTTCCAGACGTGGAAGTTCCAGACGGAATCTCTGCTTCTATTCAGCCGAACTTCATTGTTATCTTTGTCCTTGTAGATGTCGATTGTCATCGTGTCGTCCCCGTCGTGGGCGGAAGAGAAATTGGTGACAGATCTAGTCGGGATCCCGATCGACCTCAGCAAGCTCGTCAAAAGTCCGGAAAAGACCCAGCACTGTCCGTATTTGACCGGTCTGTATCCATTCTTGATGTATTGCCGGCAAATATTGACGGATCCGCTCCAAGAAGTCGGCCTTTTTCCATCGTCGTAGGGTTCTTCCCATTTTCCTACAAGAATGCCACGGTTGTCGTTGGAGTTGGCCTTAGAGCTCAACAAACGGACGATTTTAATGAGATCTCGAAGCCACACTCCCCAGACGGTTTTTTGGTTCGATCATCATTCGCGAGTAGATGGCAGGCAAGGTCGAGAACGGGCTCTTGAAATTGTCCGTAGAGCCATTTGAATCTGCCATAATCGCGGTCTTCTGACCAAATGGCTCCGACGTCGTTGAAGACGTACTCATCGAGGAACTCCTCGCTGTTGTCGTTTTCATAATAGCATCCGTCCAGCTCGGACATTGGATTCGCGATGATGTAGATACTTGGCTGGTTGGAGGAAGAAACGCTGATTGAACCGTCGATGAGAAGTGTTCTCAGCGACAACTGAAAATGAAAATTGACGAATAAGAAGTTGAGAATTCGCGGAAACCTTGACAGAGTATTTTCCAATAGCCGCTGTTGGAGGAACATTGACAACGACCTCGATCATTTTATCGTTCACTTCAAGCGTGCCTGACCAGCCGAGCTTATCCAACTTCCCGTCTTCCTTGCAATCGACAATGGCCATCGTTCCGAACTGAATAGCCGGCGCTTTGCCAGTCGAAAACTCGAGTCTAAGCGTGTCTCCTGCCGAGTTGAATTCGCGCATGAACGCGACCTTCAGTTTTATCGTTCCAGCGCGGCGCACGATCAGGTTTTTCTGATCGTACATGTTGGTCCGGTGCCTTTTCCCATTCTCGTCGACCAACCAGTCGACTGGATCTTTGAAGTTACCTTCCGAGGCTCCATTTGTTGGTTCGCCAAGCTCATTTACAAAAGGCTCCGCGACCTTCAGCTCCAGAGGCTTCGCTAAATAGAAAATTTTTAAATGAACAAGGCCATTGGAAATATTATTCGCTTACAAGGCTTTATAGCTGGCTTCTTTTCAAACAACCCACAAAAGCACTTTGACATGTCTGATTTTTTCTCCGTAAAAACGTCTCTTTGTATTTAATTTGAAAAAGCAGCGGGAGAACTTCTTAAAAGCCTTAATTTTATGACCTAATGATTGAATTCTGATGATTAGACAGCAGACTCATAGAAATGCTATGATAGCATGAACCGATAAAAAGATTCTTTGGTTCTTAGACCTTCCGAGATTCTTGATAATGAAATTAATCTATTTCCGGTGGGCAGCTCATTTGATTTATTTTTACGGCGTACGCCATCACAATTAGTGGGTTTTGATGATTTTTATAAGAAGCTGATTAATTTGATTTTTTTGGTCAGATTCTCAAAAAGGTATAAAATAAAGTTTGACCAAATTTTGAAAATTTTTAAAATTTATCATTTTAGAAAAAAATAATAAGAACAAAGCCTATGAGACAAAGAAAAAAGCAGAGTTATCTTAGTAGGTTTTAACTCTGGGCTAGGAAACCTGTGTGGAAACCCTGAGACAGGCTTTAACGAACTAAAATGATAGCGCAAAGCCTGACACAGGTTTTGTTCACAGGTTGCTGAGCCCAGTTGAAACGTTAAGGGTTCTGATTGATTCCCAATTTTTCGTGTGTTCAAAAGACTGCGCCGAATAAAAATGTTGTGTCCGTTGCCGGATAAAGTGGCTTAAAAACGCCCCAGATCCGATAATCTTCCGGCGCTCGTCTCTCCGGATGGCCCAATCGATCTCCAATCCCCCAAGCTTCTGTTTTCTTACTGGAAAGTTCAGTCTCAAAAAATAGCGAAGAAAAGAAACAAGTTGAAAAATTCTAGTTGAATGAAGAAAAGATGCGTTTTTTGTCGACTCTGATTTTGTTAGAGATTGTTGCCGATGCTTCCTTATTGCTTTTTTATCCGAATTGTTCTGATTACTCGGTGGAGAGCCTTAATACTTGGCCAAGTGCAGCTGGAGAGGTAAAATAAAGATCTTGTCTAAAAAGGGTTAGGGTCTACTAGTAGGTCGGCAGCCTGTGTAGAAATCCTGAGTCAGGTTCTGAAAAGGCTAAAATGCAAAGCCGCGCAGCGGCTTTTTGAAATACGAAGCCGCATAGCGGCTTCGCCAGAATTTTCAAAAAGATTGTAAAGTTTTATTTCCAAAGCCGCTTCGCGGCTTTAATTTGAAAGAAGCCGCTATGCGGCTTTTCATTTTAGCCTTATCTGACCCTGACTCAGGTTTTCTTTATATGTTTTTGAGCCCAGGAGAGGGTAATTAAAAATGCGAGGAACCTAAATCAAAATTTTCGGGTCGGCAAAAGCCTTCAGATTTAGGGCTAAAAGGGCGTCCGTAATAATTGCAATTTAAATCTTTTGATTGAATTTTTGGCAGTTCCATCCATTGGTGGGACATGCTAAGCGACAACTAGGAGTCTAATTAACCACGATAGGCGGTGAAGTTAAAACTTGCCGGAAAATTGCAGTCCAGCAGATGCCCAAGGGGCTTACAAGATCCACGATTCGACAAGCGGGATATGAAGAAACTCGAAAGGCAAAGGTTTTTCAAGTTCACAAAAAATTGAAAAAAAAATTATTTGTTCGCCATTTTTTTCAGAAATCTGATTGGCCCAACGGCCAAATACATTTATCTGATTGGTCAAAAATTTTCCTTAAATTTTGGTCAAAATTATCGGCTAAAAATTTCCCATTTGTGAGGCCTCCCCATTTTAGACCAATCAGATTAAAGCATTCGGCCGCTTGGCCAATAAGATTTCAGAAAAAGTTTCAAAAACTCTTGAAAACCGCTAAAAAGATCAAATTGGTGGTACGAGCGAACAGTTTCCTGCGACCCTCTCCAAGGAAAAGGTGTAAAATCTCATCCCATTATCGCAAAAACTCTAAATTGCGCATTCCCCGCGTAACTTCAAACTTGTGGGAAGTTCGCTTCCGCGTGTCATGTTCTTTCACATTCTGGAGTAAGGTCATCCGGCTTTCTTTCGCCGGTTCGGAAAACCACGGAACGAGGAGCTGGCAACGTGTGCCACAGCCCGCGATTCTAAAAGACCGCCAAATTGCTCATAAACTCACTAATCGAGCGCAAATGCACGCGCTCGAGAGTTTGGTGGTCCAAAGTTCCGAAAATTTTTCTCAAGTTCTAGTTCTTTGAGAGAAGGTGGGTTCAGCAGTCTGTGTAAAAACCTGAGTCAGGGTCTTTTCAAATATTACCCTGACTCAGGTTTTAACACAGGTTGCTGAACACAGGAAGCCAAAATCTCTAACGAATTATGAAACTTTCGAACCAAATTTTGGTTCAATTTTAGACCAATCAGATTTCCGCCTTCGGACGGTAAGCCAATCAGATGTCAGAAAAAATAACTGTCGAAAAATGGATTTTTCTTTCTTTTTTTGCCAATTCGAAAGACTCCCCAAAATATCGCTTAAAATTTCGGTCAACAACGTAATTCAGCAGTTTTTGCGCGAAAAATTCAAGAAGGAAATCTTTTTCCATGTCGCCGCATAGAGATAAGAGCCAAGATTCTTGGGATTCTCCATAATCTCCCCAGAAACGGTGAAAGCTCAGAAATACCAGCAAGACTTGTTATGTTCAACTCGCTAGCCTAATTACTAACATTTATAAGCACAGTAAGTCTTTTGGCGCCCAGCGAAAAATGTTACTAACGAGGCCACGAAGAACGCGAAAATTCTCGCCTCAAGTGCTTGAAGATGGGTTCACAAGGAAAACAAATTACGAGAATGATTCTTTTTGACAAATGATTTTATAACTTTTTTGTAAAAAAATTTTTTCGGCTCAAAAGACCTCAAGAAAAACCTGCGCCTTTTAATTTTGCTTAATTTTTGACTCGAAAAACAGAAATTAGAAAATTTCTTATTGAGCCAATAAGAGAGCTCCATTTTTGAAGAAAAACGCCACCAAGCGAGCATCATTTTCTTTTGACATTTTCCCGAGAAAAACAGCAACGAAAATTCGTAAAAACTCGAGTTTTCAACCCCTTGTTTACGAAATACAAATTAATCCCTTCAAAGGTACCTCTTACTTCGCTACAAAGTGAACTCAAAGTGTCTTTCCGTGCAATTCCGTCCTAGCTGCTCGTTATCATGCAATACACGCGTTTTTCCTCCGTAGCCCAAAATTAATCGCGAAAAAACTTGCTTTGAAAGCAAAATTCTCGCTCGTTTTTCCATCTTTTCAATCAGCATTTGGCGATTTTGTTCGACACTACTACGCGTTGAATTTCACCTCGGCGGTCGGCACCTTCCCCGAAGAATCGTGCAGCTAAGGGGCAATATCTTTGTCATTTTGTTTTTCAAATGACAAAGTATTATCCTTTAAAGATACTTGATCAAATTCTGCGTGGAGCATAACATTACCACGACGCTGTGGGGATGCAGTGGATACGATTTTGATAATTTAGGCGAAGAGGCGAATTTTTGGGTTTCCAGGTACAGTTATTGCTTATCAAAGAAACAAGGTTTTTGTGGGCATTTTGGCCGCCCAAGATTGTCAATTTTATTCAAATTTTCGGCCTAAGATAGCCCTTGATTGGCTTATACAGCCCTAAAATGATTTCATTTTGAAATTATCTTAGGCACGAATTTTGAAGTAAAATTGACAATCTTGGACCATCAATCCAATTTTTGATCCAGAATCTCCAAAAAAGCGGAGTCTCTAAAAAGATAAGTTCTAAAAAATCGCGAGACTCTTCATCTACGCAGTGATTTAAGAACCGCATGGTCCACTCTAGATGCGTCTTTTGAGTAAACATATCATCATAATTCTAATAATATACGCCTCTAACCTAGCATCTACAGCTTTTGAGTATGAAACGCTTAGCGAAAATTCATGAAAAAATAAAATCTATCAGCCAATCAGAAGGCTTGAAATAGCGCCACCACGCGACTTTTTATTAATATTTTTTAGGATTTTGCCGAGCTATCACAAAATAGCCCTTCTGTCTTCCTCAGTTTTATCTCATTTCAACTGGAACAGGATTATGATAGGGAGCGGGTTTAATTAACTTTTGATATCAGTCAGTCAGTTCCCAGGTACGTTGCCTGGCGCATAAGAGCGCATAATTAAGATCCGCTAAAAGTTACGATCCACGAACCACAGTGGTGGAAATTGGCGAAAGAGATGGAATTTCGACTCAATAGGATGCACAAAAGGTGAGTTACAGGGCTCGGAAACCTGTACTAAAAACTGAGTCAGGTTTTCAGACAGCTCAGATTTTCCCGAAGCCGCTATGCGGCTTTTCTTTGAAGCCCTTTCAAATCCTGACTCAGGTTTTCTCCACAGGCTTTCGAGCCAAAAAAACAAGCTTCTGACATTTGAAAATAATGTCTCTGGATCAAAGAGCCCGCAAAAGAGCAGATTAGCAATTAGCTTGAGCTGAAGCGAAGAGAATGAGCTGCTTGTGACCGTTCATTTCGGTTTACGCAGGTGTAACCGCGATGAACTGACCGAGTAAATTCATTGGCGACGATCTTGGCATCCGCTGAATTCGTCAATTCACCAATGTTTGGGTGTTATCCTCGCTTCTGCGTTGTCTAAATTCGACGGGTCGAGCTGATAGCTTATCAGTTCTTTATCGGTTCGAAAAATAGAGATACTAAGGAGGCAACCGGAGTTTGTTGGCGTTATGATTTTATAACACCAACAAAAATGCCCCTTCTGCATTTTCTCCGAGACTGTCTACTAGACAATTTCGAAAATGTGGTATAAAATTGTCGGTAAAACCCCGTGATTTCGCCCTAAATTGTCGATATTCCTCATAAAATATGACTCATACTGTATGAGCCATACGGAGGAACTGGTTTTGAAGTCAAATCGACAATCTTGGGCGCAATTTCTGGAGTTTTACCGACAATCTTGGGCCCAAAAGATCAATTTTCGGGCATTATCTTTAGGGAGTCTTATAAATTTTTTGCTTTGAAAAGATTCTATGACCAAAAAGCGGATTATTCAAAAGGCACATCTTTCTTTTTCAAAAGTCTCTCTAAAAACCGAAGAAAAATTCAAAGTTTTGCGATAACCTTACAAAATAACGTACCCCACCCCTAGCTCGCTCGCATTTTGTGAACATTTTTCCCTTACTCGCTAAGTTAAACTCCAACAAGATCCCCCTTGGTCGCTCGCTTTTTGTTACCATGTACCGTTGGTCGCTTTCCTTCTTTTGCATTCTACGCCCCCTTGTTCGCTCTCCTTGGTTTCGACGGCGCACCTTTGCTCGCCCGCCTCTCTCCGTCATTTATCCGTTGTTCGCTCTTGAAGCCCCGCGAGAACGCTTTATAACGCGTAGCTCATTTTTGTTTTCATTTTTAAAAGGCATTTTAACTTTGATTTTCATGATTTTTTCCAAGCAAACTTATCTTTTATTTTTTATGCTCTCTTACGTCCATTTTGTCAAATTTTCATATCTTCTTCATAAGAAGAAAATTTGGACACTCCATTTCGAGTAAACATAAGTACTCGAAATACTTGGATTGAAACTTTGAGACTGTTTTTATTAAAAATCTCATGCCTAGGTTTCAGTGGATTGAGCGGTTAGTGTATCCCTATTTTTCACCTTTAACCTTACCCCGCCAAATCGTCATTTTATCCTTACCCGCCAAAAACACCTCAGGAGGTGCATCGGCCCTTCAAAGGGGTTATCAATTGATATAATTTATATCATATAAATATGACATAAAATCACATATTGATACAGAAATGTATTTATTACATTTTCGACCTCTGTGTCTTAGGAGGTGTACCCTGGCGGGGTAAGGTTAAAATTCATATCTTTCGAGTCAGGTGAGATTATTTGTTTTTGAAACAAGAAATGAAATTCTCACGTCGTCATTTTGTATAAGGGACAAATACTGTTCAAAGAAATTCCAGAAATCTACTCTAATTTTTGAAAACTGCAGGGGTACACTACCCGCTCAATCCACAGTACATAGAACGCTAGAGTGAAATAAAATAGATAAGTCGGGGAGATTTCCGCGGCGTTTAAAAATATTCATGAAAATGAAAAATATAGTTCCCTTTGAAAAGCTTGAGTCGAAAGTACAGTAAGAGCTATAAGAGCGACCCAAGCCGAGCTAGGCTTTGGCGGTCTCGCGGCGAACAAGGGATAAATAGGTGAGGAGGAGCGAACAAGGGCGCGCGAGGTAAAAGAAGGATGGCGACTAATGGAGCGCGCTGAAACAAGAATGAGAGCGAGCAAGGGGACTTTGATAAAATTTAACTAAGCGAGCAAGGGGAAAATGTTCACAAAATGTGAGCGAGCTAGGGGTGGGGTACGTTATGAGCCGTAAAAGTGTGTCTTATGCAAATCGGCGCTCGTTTCCGACCACAATCTTACCAAGTCGTTTTTTCTAGCGTGGAATTGGTCTACGCATTCGATGTCGATTACATTCACGATCCTGCGACGGTGCCAGAAGAGTTCACACGAATGTTGCGCTCTTTTCCTCAACATGTCGTCAAGGTATGTTCGCATAAAAATGGCGACTCTTGGGAAAAATTACAAGCAGATGCGCTTTTTTCTTAGATTGTCTGCTAGACGGATCGACATTAAATTAGCGGGTTCCACTTCAACCCTAATCCTAACCTGAAAATTCATCTGAGAACTTGGAGCTAAATTTTCGATATCTAGTCATTAATCTTTGGTAAGAGCCACAGGTTGTACAGGTCTTTTTGCAAGATAAAGAATCTATCATAACGATAAGAAAAAATTTTGTCCTACAAGCAATTAACAAGTTCATGAATCATGATTTCACAAATTAGAAAAATCGCGTAATACTTTCATAGAACTCAAACTCTCGTAAATCCGCGTTCGAGATGGCCATCTGATGTTTCGAAAGCATTCTCAGCGCGCTGAAATTGTGACCAATTAGCCAGATTCGTATCACCGCACTGACAGCGCTTTTTCGCGAAATTAGCTTTCCCGCAGTTGACAAATTTTCCTATTTTTCTCCATCTGGTTTTTTATTTCAATTATTCTAAATTAATCATCGTTTTTCGCTTTCACGTGATCACGTGGTAAATTTTTCACATTTTTGTGACTCCTGAAAGCTAAATTACGATAAAAATTCATATAAAAGCATTTTTTTGTCAAAAACCCGCGAAGAAGCGAAAAATTGGTCGAATTTTTAGAATTTTTGAAAAACTTTCGAAAAATTTCGATCAATTTTTCGCTTTTTCGTGCTTTTTAACGAAAAAATCGGTTTTTATTTGAATTTTTTATTGTAATTAAGATTTCTCTCTTGATCGACTTTTTTTATCTTTTGTCCCTAAAAATTGTTTTCTAAAGCGCCCTTCTTGTCGGAACCCAATCTAATAAGAAACTTTCCTCGATCGTGACGCGTGTTTTCTTGTGTCACTTTTTAACTGGATTGTGTTCAGAGCATCTTGCTCCTCGCGCCTGCTTGGTACACAGGTTCGGGCTGCCCGCCGCTTGGGCTCACGCCCTTGTTCGCTAATATTTCTATTAGCGACTCGCTGATTAGATTTTTCCTCCTTTTTCGCGGATTAGGCACTTTCGCAATCTTCAAGAAAGAAATAGCGGCTCAGCCCGAAATAAAAAGACTCGAACGTTACGGAGCAGATTTTGTACACGGTCAAGAACGTGACCGACTTCCTGCCGGATCCGGTGGCGATCATCCAGCTTGAGCACCGACTCCCTTTCCACGAGAAGTACACAGAAGCAGCCATGTTTCCGCCGACCAACATGACGATTCGGAAGGAACTCTCGACAACGGTTTTAAACAAAATAGAAAAATAGCCTTGACTCTTAATTTTGTATTTTTGGACCAAGATTGTTAAAAAACATCAGAATTTTTGCCCAAAATTGTTGATTTTGGACAAAAATTGCAAATATTAAGCTCTGATTGGCCAATTTTCGCCAAAAACCTGACAAAAATGCTCTTTTGACCCAAAAATCCCCAAATTTGGACAAAAAATTTGATAAAAAATTAACAATTTTGGACCAAAAACAAAAATATCGATTTGGATTGGATTATCTTAAGAAAAATTTTCGTGAGAAAAATTTTCTGTTTTAATAATTTTAAAAACCGCTTTGAAAGAAAGTGTATGAGAATGTGCTGCTGATAGGACCATCTGTCGATTCGCGTTTTTATCAAGAACGTCAGCAACAAGAATCAACGTGGCGGAAGGCTGGCTTTGATGACGATAAAGGTGTCCAGTTCCCGTTTGGAATTTCACCGATGCATGCTTACATCGAAGACGCGATAATGCAGAACGCGTTTTATGAGGCGAAAAGTATTCTAGGAAACAGGTTCAAAATATGACTGACCCGCTCACCTTTTCTAGGCAACCTGTTTTCAAAACCTGAGTCAGGGCTTGAAAGAGCTGGAATTAAAAGCCGCGTAGCGGCTTTTTCAAAATAAAGCCGCGCAGCGGCTTCGCCAAAATATAAAATAAGTAAACCCTTTCAAAATGGTAATTTTGGCGAAGCCGCTGCGCGGCTTTATTTTGAAAAAGCCGCTACGCGGCTTTTCATTCAAGCTTTTAAGCCCTGACTCAGGTTTTCAAGGAGGTTTCCTTCTTTTTGAATAAGAAGAAAAATAATGAAAAATCACAGCTTTTTAAAATTTCATTTTCAAGCTTGGTTTCTTCCAAAGGCTCTTTCTAAGAAGCCGTTGAAACCTCGCTTGGGCTTGTCGTGGTTTGAACCTGTTTTGAAGACAGACAACAGGATGCGCCGGCCGCTGATTACCGGACAAAACCGCGGCTTCGCATCTGTGGCGGGACGGGGAACTTGACGCACGACAGCGTCTACGAACGCCCCGTCAGCTACACATTGTTCGACATGATCGGCCGCTTCCCAAAGGAAAACCCGGATAAAAGTAATTAAGAGCTGGTTTGGTGAATAAGCTGGAACGAATGGAAATTGATCATTTAAAATTTTTAACATAATCGCGTTCGCGTTTTACATGATTTCACTTTAGATGAACCTTTCAAACAAGATCATCCCTTTTCGCTCTCCGACATAATGAGCCGCTTTAATATTCAACTCGCTTAGAAACTCCAGCTCGTTTCATCGAAAACGGAAAATAAATTGATCATTAGACGGCATTTTTCCATTTTGAATGACAAAAAATGTCATTTTTGAGTCGAAAAATGATCCGTTATTTGAGTCAATTGGTTTTCGACTCATAAAGACAACTGTATCAAGAAAAAGCCGCGTGCGGTTTTTGTGGAAAAATACAGTCCTTTATTTCTGAACCAATCAAAACCCTTCTTGAGAAAAAGCGCCATCTTGCGGATTTTATTTAATTATTTTTATTTCTTGTTGATTTGAAGCCGAGGCTTCACCGATTGGAAAAATAAAGCCTTATCTCTTTGAACCAATCAAATCACTTCTTTTCAGCAAAAAGCGCCGCCATGCGGATTCATCGTTAAATTTAATAGGCAATTTTTTAATAGGCAATTTGGAGCTGCGTGCGGCTTATTTTTAAATTACGACTCAAAAGCCCGATTTTCGAGTCGAAAATACTTATTAATTTTCGGGGCCCCAATTCTAGCGCTCCGGAAAGGTTGATATTTAACGCGTGTTCTTCTGATCCGCGATTTTGGACCCAGTAATCTTTCGTATTGCATGGTTTGATATTTTGGCTTATTAGCCGCTGATCCGAACTCTGGAATTAACTTGACCGCTGCGCCTTGTTTTACGTGGAACACGTTTCTGAAAAGAGTTTCAATTAGAGTAAGGGCGTGACACGATATTTTTGATGATCCGCCGTTTTATCCGCTCCGAGGCCGCGTTTCGGATAAATGACACGATTAGCGAAGAAACTGGCCACTACAGTCTCTACAATATCACCGATCAGGGGCTCAAGAAAGAGTCTTAAATTTAAGTTTATTGACCCATTTTCTGTCATTTGAAACCGAAGAGTTCATTCTAAATTTGAACTTAGAAACTTATTTTTTAAGTTTTAGTTAGGGGTAGGGTTAACTCTAGGGTTAGGGCTAGAGACCCCAATTAGGAGTGACTCGAATTGACAAAAAGTGCGATGAGTTTGACCAAAATTTTGGTCGTTTTTAGACCGCAATTTGGCCGGCTAGCCAATCAAGCTCCAGAAAATTTTTTTGAAAAATTCAATTATTCATTGCGCTTTTTCGCCGATTCGAGATGCTACCCTTAATTTAGGTTCCAAAATTGATAAATAAGGGGATCGCTTGCATATTTCATGAACACTTATTTTTTGAACGAAATTGCCCCCAAAATGGCGCCGAATCGACATATTCGGTGATATTAAATGGAAAGATCATTGAAATCTCAGATGCATTTAGAAAGTGTCACATTTTTGACTCTAAGCAAAGTGGGGCGCTCTGGGCTGTCCGGTGCCCGACGACAACTGTCCAAGTGGCGACATCTTAATGTGCATGCTCGACGAGAGGGGAATCCAAGGTACAACTCTTCTTATCTACGTTTCTCTCCCTCACAGCTTTTCAAACAATCCCTCCTCTTTTCAGGCTCGTGGGTGCTCACCTCTCTCGTCGGCTTCCTGGTGATCTACTTCTTCCTGCACGCAGCTGCCATCCTCCATCGCAAGAAAAACGAGCTACAGCAACTGATGAAGGGCCCGAACAAGCTGATGCTGACGTACCAGGCAACGGTTACACGCAGCCGCCAATCCCGCTCAATCGGATTTATAACTATTCCATACTAATTAGTCCAGCGAGCTTCTTCCTTGCTCTTCCGATGGGAATGTTTTGGAAACAGAAGTTTTCGAGTTTTAGAAGTTTTTCTTCGAGAAAAATTCACGAAATCTTGGAAATACGAAAATTAACCTGTTAGAGCAAAAGGCCTTTTTAGTGCAAAATTAATTTTAAAATGTCTTTATCGCTAGAATTTCCTCTTTGAAGATTACCTGCCATTAACCCTAACCCTTCTCATTATACCTTCGAAAATAAAAATTAACCCCTTAGAACAAAATGGGCCTTTTTTGCTCTCTATCCTTTTAATCGACCCCTACACCCTTAAATCATCTCCAAAAACTGGTCAAATAAAGGTTAGGGTTAGAGAATAAAGTCAACTAATTAAGGGTGTACCCAACGATCCAATTTGAATGTGACACCCTTAAAATGTTGACTTAGAAAACTGAGAAAGCAAATTTTCGTGAAGTTTTCTCATGAAAACAATATTTTTAGAGCGATGTCAAGGGGATGACAATCCCATCCGTTTCGCCGTTTCCTTTTCACTTACACGGTTACGCCCTTGCGATAATATCTTCTTTGCTACGTGTCAGATCACCGACAGGGCAGTTCCATTTAAAAGTTCTAGTTTCGCCGGAACGCGGGGAGAAGCAAATCTCGAGGGCCAAGCTCATTAAATGACATTATGAGAGAAATATCTAAACGCTTGAACGTCCTAAGCACTCTTCTTGAGCAACATCTCAGCATCCTTAATTAGCGTGTAGAAACCCTTATCACGAATCTAAAGCTACCAATCACGATGGTGTTAGAACATCGCGAAACGAAGAATTTCACTTTCGAGCGAATTTTCGTCGCTGGAAATATTTTAAATTTCAACTTGTGTCAAAATTGACGGGTATTACATCGACGGTGTGTTCCTTATCTAAAAATGGCATCGGGCGAAAATTATAGTGTAACCCGAGAAAATAGGACGTCAATTTTTCTGAGGAAAATTCGGATAATTCCAAAGGCGGGAAAAATAATAAGGAATCGAAGAAGGACAAAAAAGCTTCAAGGTAAGGAAGAGTCTTATTGACCCATCTTTCGGCTTTTTGATTGGTCGACCAATAAGAATTCTTGAAAAAATTGGCTCAATCCATCTCACACCGAGCCTTGCTCAGAGTTGGTGCTAGGAAAAGTCTCTGCGGGACTTCGCAGTGGGTAGCACATGTCGGTGAGCCCCTTGCATCCAATTTGCACAGCTTGATACCTTGCCCGTACCTGGCCACTGTGAGTTTTTAGCACCAACACAAAGCGGAGTGAGCCGAAAAAATTAGTCGACCAATGAAATTTCTTAAATTAATTGGTCCACCAATCAGATGCCTGGATGGTGAACTTCACTAATCGAAATGGAAGTTGTAGAAATAATTCTAAATAGAGCTCAAAAATAAGTTTCAAGAATTGTATTTTGCGGCGTTTTTCGCGGTTTTTAGACGACTAATCCGAAGTTAATCTGGTAAATCGGAGAACACTTGGCTTCGCTTTCAATTAAGCTACTTTTGTGCAGTTTTTTGTGAACCTGTTTGAGAAGAGGAGGACCTAGAAACGGCTTAGCAAAAGGAGAAAATCCCGAAAATAGCTGATCAGAAATTAATTCGAGTTTTGTCTTCTTGGAGGCAAAATAAATAAATTTGTTCTTAGACGGCAAAAAGCTTCGCAAGGAGAAGAAGATGAGGAGGATCAAGAGAGGAAGAAGGATGAAGAGGAGGAAGATGAAGGACCGGGACGATCATTTTTCAAAAAAATGAATCAAAAGCGAAATCTTAAATTTAAAAATCCGAAATTTAAAAAAAAAATAGAAAAAAATATTTTAAAAATTCGGAAAAAAAAATCTTAGCTATGCAGTAGAAAAAGCAAAAATGGCAAGATCAGAAAAGATCACCCCCGCGAAAAGGCGTTAACATGACCGAGTCGAGTGGAAACCTGTGCTTCCTCAAAGGAACCGGTTGAAAACGAGACAAAGAGCGCGAAATTCCGCTTCAGATCCAAAGAAAACGAAATTGGCCACGTTCGGGCTCCTGGAATTTCAGCTCTCTTTAGACAGTTTTCAATCGAGAATAAGGCGACATCGTTTACATCAAGAAGTTTCCGACGACTTTCGAACCGAGGCAAAGCTTCAAACGGGAACTAAAAGGTAGGGCTATGGTCAATTTTAGGAGTTAAGAAGATTTGGAGTAAGCTAAGAGGAGCAACTTTATTTTCCGGAGATACTCCAAATTGGAGCAAAATTTCAACGCCGATTTTAAGGGTGTTGCAGAAATATTTAAGGGTATCTGAATAGCTCAAAAGAAAGCCCGGGCCCGAGGCGCGTTTTTGCCGGGGTTTGACAGGGCCGGGAGGCCCTTAACACCATTAAAATCGGCTTTGAAATTTTGCTCCGATTTGGAGTATCTCCGGAAAATAAAGTTGCTCCTCTTAGCTTACTCCAAATCTTCTTAACTCCAAAAATTGTGTCGAGCCAAAAGGTACCCAAAATTTCCAGCTTATTTTTCGTTTCGTAAACGTAAACCACAACACTCGTGAGTTGCGAATTTCTGGCGCTTGATATTTCTTCCAAAGCGATTCCGAAAAACATCAAAATATATATATCCTCGGCCCACACCTTGGAAAGAGTTTGTTCACATTTGCGAAGATAGCGGTAATACCCACTCCCGATAAAAACGAGTTTCCACGTCTTTCAGCAATGTTTTCACAATAATCTTAAGCCACTTCCTACCAAGAAGTTCATTGTTACGCGCAAGGCTTTACTTCCCAAGTTTCTAGTCTAAGAAGACCCTGAGTCAGGCATCTACAGATTCTACACGGGTCGCCAAGCCCAGTAGCGGTCAGATTAAAAGAGATAAGGCACTAAGTTAATGAATTTCTGCTTTCGAAATCTGAACGACTTTGTTTTCAAGTCTTGAACTTGAAGTTCAAAAATATACCATTTGCGGTCGTCTTATCCAGAACGACCGGAGCTTGGTACATTTCTAAGACTCAGTTTATTTTGGCGCGTGTTGTTTTTCGGTCAATTTAGATTTCTGCGGAATGGAACGACTGGGCAAACGGAATAGCGTGTTATTTTGCGAGGTGTATTTTATGTTTCTAAAGAGCTTGAACGGGGCTTGGAAAGAGGATGGGAACTTGGAAAGATGAAAACTTGTGCTAGAGTCTCTACAGAGTTACGTGGCGGGCTTATCGTTGAGTGGGCGCGTAAAAACGAAAGCCACATGAATAAGGAAAGAATAGTCAAATGGGAACAAAAACGTTTAATAGGTTCTTGGCTTTCGGCCTAAATTAGTTGATGTAGCTTCAGAGATTTAGCCCAAGATTGTCAATTTTAAAAATCGACAATTTTGGGCCGATTTTCTGGAGTTTAATCAACTCTCGTCAAGTTCCTGAGCACAAGTCACCTAGATATTGATTCTTCCTTTTTTGCGGAAATTCTTTGTTTCATCTTTCTAAGAGTAGCAATTAAGAGCTTCGCGATTTGCGCCACGAAAACATCAACACCTTCATCGGCTTCTATTCCGGCCAGACGTGCTGCGGTCTCCTTATGGGCTATTGTCTCGGGTTCAGCACAGCACTTTTCTTTCCTCACTTTTAGAATCCTCTAACTCAACAATTTTCTTTGAACCCGAAAAAGCTCGCGAGCTTGTTTGAACCAGCTGCTGACGAAATCGGAGTATCAGTTAAATTGGGATTTCAAATTCAGGAAGCGGACAGATTTGAATTTCGGCACAAACCAAAATCAGGAAGTATAAAGATAGGAAGCGACAAAAAAGGAAGTGCATTTTCTGAAGACCAATAAGATCGCTGCATTTGGCCTACCGGCCAATGAAAACCCATTCCAAAAGTATCACTTCCTTTTTGTCACTTCCTATCTTATTACTTCCTTAAGGGTGTGAACAACGATCGGTTCAAGTCATGTCTGATTTGCTGATCGAGCCTTTATTTGTAACATATCAGACGCTGATTCCAAAGCTTTTTCAGATCTTCAATATCTCATCTAGTTCTCGAGATATGACCGATTCTATGGGCGCGCTAATGCATTGACGTTCCATAGAAATGCACTGTAATAAATGATATTTTTAAAATTTATATTTTATAAAGCAATCTATATATTTTCTGAAAGCTTGTGAAATTCTCTTTTCAATGATACCCGTTGCGATAAGATCAAGCTATTTTTCGTGTTCAAACAGGGCGCCAAAAGTCGCAAACACCTGCACTTTGGCGCCGGAAAAGGGGATTAAAGGATTAATGAGTGCTCAATCTGAGCCCTCGGGGGTATTGTCATAGGATCAAACTATTATGATTCTGGAAATGAAACACATCGATGCACAGGAACAGTACTAGAATCGAGTTCAAACTTTGAAAAAATCGTTACTCATAACAATGCATGAAAAAAGTGCATGCAGTACAGTTTTCGAAAATCCCTCAAATTTACTTTGTAGAAAAGTGTTTGAGCTTTCATTCTGTGCAAAAACTATCGAAATTGAATTTTGGGAAGATACCAAAACTATTGTTACAAGTATACCGAATTTATGGATTCAAAGTTTCTTTGAAGCCGCGGTGGGGATTAGTGGATTAGTATTTTAGATTTTCGTCAAATTTACTTTGTAGATAAGGGTTCAATCTTAGATATAAGTGAAGAAAAAATTTAAATATGAATAGGGAAGTCACTTAAACTATTGTTACAAATATGGCCAGAATCGTTGTTGACACCCTTAAGGGACCTTGGCGAGCTGGCTGAAGCGCGACTTCACGAGCGCTTCATTGATTTTCGACATAAGCTATTTTCAAAATTCTTTTTGCAAACATAATCTACTGATACTCTTCTTTCTTTTACAGTTTTTAGATTTTCTCTACCATTTGTAATTCAGTCGCTATTGTCGAAAAGAGAAGTTAAACTTCAAAAGATTCAGCACTTTCAATTTTTAAGATATGAAATTATAATTACTTTCATCGAAAAGCCCAGAAAATTCTGCACAGAAGTTACCTAATGGGGTTATGATAACAATAACCTGCCGAGTCCAAGGCGAGCTTTTCCGGAGTGGATCGGTTCCACTTCGGGCTTTCTCGCTGCGCGAGGCATTATTTTGGCTTGTTTGCGTTCGATTCCCGCAAAGCGCGCGTTAATAACTATGGATTACAGATTCTTACCACTACATCAATGATTTTTATAAAACCCCATTAGGTAACTTCTGTGCAGAATTTTCTGGGCTTTCCGATGAAAGTAATTATAATTTCATTTCTTAAAAATTGAAAGTGCTGAATCTTTTGAAGTTCAACTTCTCTTTTCGACAATAGCGACTGAATTACAAATGGTAGAGAAAATCTAAAAACTGGAAAAGAAAGAAGAGTATCAGTAGATTATGTTTGTAAAAGAATTTTGAAAATAGCTTATGTCGAAAATCAATGAAGCGCTCGTGAAGTCGCGCTTCAGCCAGCTCGCCAAGGTCCCTTAATTTGGTTTAGCCCTGAATTTCAGGGAGCATCTCTTTCTCACGTGAGGATTTCGCTTCTCATCGGCAGGTGCGAAAGTGAAGACATGAAAATACAGGAAAAAGATCCGTAAAAAGTCTGATCGAAGATTTGGCAAGAGGGATGAAATATTTGCATGGAAGTGATGTCAAACTTCATGGAAGGTATCATATTCTAGAGCTCACCCTTTTAAGGGGTTAGGGTTGAGTTTAACAAAATTATGGAAGTAAATTTATGGATCAGGGTTCTGATTGGCCGGTAGGCCAAATACAGCAATCTCATTGGTAATCAAAAATGCACTTCCATTTTTTGGTAACGGCTAGGGTTAGGGTTAGGGTTTCGACTTGATTTTAGAATTTTTCGAGTAGGGTTTTCGACTTTTTCGAAAAAGTTTTCGACTCGAATTTTCGACTGCTCGAAAATAAAGAAGAATTTATTCAAGATTCAGTTTTCTACTCGACTAAAATTAGGTTTACACTGAAATACAACGCTCACCCTTATCCTTAACCTAACCCTAACCCTAACCGAAATCGATTTCGAACCCGGTTTAGTTAACCCTAAAAAGGATAGTTTTTCTGCTTAAAATTTCTATTTTCTTCGAACAATAATCCCTAATCGAGTGAATCAATCACTGCGGTTCGAGTACAACTGGGATTCCCTTAATTCGTAACTCTTGATTATCGTTTTGTCACTGGCGGTTTTTCGTTCAGGTTAAAATCAACCAACTGCGTGGTGGACGGTCGATTCACATGCAAAATCACCGACTACGGCTTGCCGCGGCTCTACGACGCGCAGAACATGTACGACGAGGTTCAAGAAAACGAGTCCTCCGAGGATTTACTTTGGGGTCGGGGTCGCCACTTATGCAGAGCAGATGTTAGCTCATTAAGGGAGCAGCGGCGGATAAATACAGAGCTTACGGTTGATCGGGCGAGAGCTTAGAGAACCCCGCTAAGTTCAGGGCTAATTGGAGGGGGCTTGGAAATTATTACACTGTGCAAACAAAAATGTCGCTTCAAAAATTGCTTTTGAAATTGTAATTTTGAAATGTTCAAGGTTTTTAAATCGCTGATTTAGTCAAGAAATGGCCAATTTTAGCTAAAAATTGTCCAAAAACTTGAAAAATTCGACGATTTTTTGGTCCAAAAGTGGCAATTTTGGTCGAAAAATTTTCGTTTGGACGAAAAATTGCAATTTTCGGACAAATTTTTACAAAAATCATCGAATTTTTCAAATTTTTCGACCATTTTGAGCCAAAAATTGTCGATTTTTTGACGAAATCGGCGATTTTAAAGCGCTGAGCTGGAATTCCATTTGGATTAAAATAAATTTTCTTTCTTGTTTACGTTTGCGAAAAATTCTAAGCACTTTAATCCGGCTCTCGAGGAAAAGAGAGGCTGAAATAAACCCCTGGCGATCCTTAAAATAAGACCGCTCCTGAGCTGCTCAAAGATGAAAAGTTGCGGCGCAAGGGGACTCAGGTAAAGTAACCACTTTGATCCATCTTCCCAACCGAGAGATCCCTCTTATCAGCGACCAGAGGCTTCCAATTAGCGGCTTACTTTTCTTTCATCTAGCTTTGCTTAGAAACTGCATCGAACTTTTATCTTGACTTTTCATAAGGACTAAAGATGGAGCAAAATCGATGCTCAAAGCAAATCAAAAGCTCAATTTTCGAGATCAGCCAATCAGAAAGCTTCTCATTGGTCAAAATAAACGGTTAAACAGAGTTTTCTGCTCGACCAATAAGAAACCGCGTCAAAAATCATCATAAATGGACGATTTTATTCGTCCGGCTTCTTATTGGACGAACGAATAGCTGTAAGTTGTACTTAAAATTTTGACCAATAGGAAGCAAGAAAAAGACCAATAGAAGCGATGAAAAATCTTACTTCTGATTGGTTATCCCGAAGATCGAGCGTTTTAATTGGCTTTGGGTTATTTTCATTCCATTATTTGAGTTTTTCTTGAAGAAGTTGTCGATGACACAGTGTGACCTAAACTCACGCTCAGAGTTGCGGCCATAGCGAGTGCCCCTCATGATTTAAGATCTCTGGGAACGAGGTTCACGGGGACTGAGACACCCGAGGCCTAGCAAAAGAGACTATGGATTGTTTAATGCTCCCAGATAGCCAAAAAACGCACCAACTGACCAAAGAAGCGGACCATTTATGGTCTTTGATAAAAATTTTTTGAACTGAGCATTTTGGGCTCGGAAACCTGTGTAAAAACCTGAGTCAGGTTCTGAAGAGCCTAATTGAAAAGCCGCGTAGCGGCTTTTTCAAACGAAGCCGCTTTGCGGCTTCGCTAATATTGACGTCTTTATCTATTTTTTATTCTACGCGGCTTTTCACAGCCTGACTCAGGTTTTCTATACAGGTTTTTAAAAGTGAAAAATGATAGTAGCATTGTTTAGAAAAAACTTCCGAGCGGTTGTTGTAATTAACAAACAAGCGCGACGGATATTACATGGCCGCTGTTCCTTTGCTTTGATCTGATACGGTTGAGAGCTTAGGGCTTAGTTTAGAGAGAGAGCAGCGATTAGAAAATAAATTCGTCCTCACATTTGCTTTTAGAAAGGAGACGTATACGCCTTTGCGATTATTGCTTCCGAAATCGTCCTCCGCGGTGAACCCTTTTCAAACACGGGCTACTCGCCAAAAGCGATTATTAGCAGGATTCGACGACCACCGCCGCTTCTCAGGTAATAACCGTATTTTCAAAACGACAATTTCTCTGGGCTTTCGATAATTGACAATTCCACTTGACTTTTGTGCTGATACCCTTAATAATTTTCCAAGTTTTTGGACAATCAAAGATTGAGACAAAAAGATTCGACAAAAAATCGATTTTTCGCGAAATTTTCTTTTTCTGAAATCTGATTCGCCTAGCTGCCTAATGCGGAAATCTGATTGGTCTTTAATTTGAACAAAATCTCGATCTGAATTATCGCGATTTTTTGTCGATTTGAGCCAGCCAAGCAGAATATATTGCACAGAAAGTGAACTTTAGACGCCAAGGGGTTAAATTTTCAAGTCTGATTTCAAAGATACACCCTAATTTTTCTTACGAAGTATCAAGCTCGATTCCCCTTAGGAAAAATGCTCGTAAACTCAGTGTTTACTTTGAGGTGTCTCCTCTTAATCACGAGCTAATTCAGTGTTTGATGCTATTTACCGAGCTTACAGGCACGTTACAAAACTGGTTAACAACGTTTTCGGCATGTAACTCCCCGTAATGCGCTCAATATCAAAGTGGGTGTTGTCCAGGATTTTGATCCACGTTCCCTGCTGCCGTAAACTGCCTCAAACATCAAAATAAACCGCTAATTATAGCACCAGGATACGTATCCTCGGATCCGTTAATTAGCCAAGTGGAGGTTTCCCTCTCTTTCCTAGCCCGAGTCTTTTTTTTTTTGACGCCTGATGAATTTAGAAAAAAGGTTAACAAAGACACCTCAGGTGTGAAATTTCCAGCGAACCTTCTAGTCACTGTTTTTATCCAACTTAGAAAATGCTTCGACTGCATTTTTTTCCTAGCAGAACCAAAAAATGCAAGTAATTTTATGAATTAGGGTTTTGATTGGCTGGTAGGCCAAATAAAGCAATCTTATTGGCAATCCAAAAATTCACTTTCATTTTTTGGTTTAGTCCCTTTCTTCTGGTTAGTTTTCCTTTGATCAAAGGTTTTGTCGACATTTTGACTCAAAATCTTCCTTTTTTGAGTCCGAGATAGTCAAATAAAGTTCAAAAACCGGGCCCAAGATTGTCAATATCGCGCAGATAAAGGATGTTGAATCACGAATGAACAATCTTGGGCATCTTTAAATTTAATTGACTATCTTGGACTCTAACCCTAACCCTAAAAGTCAAGAATTACAAAAACCGGGAAAATTGATCAGAATCACGTGACAATTGAATTTCTTGAGCTTTGTCGTGACTCACGAGTCATGTCGAATTCAAGTTGCTCGAGTTCTGGTTCAAAATTTTCGTACGCAAATTAATTCTAGTCTCGAGGGCTCCAACAGTACATACATATTGAGCCCACGTTCGAGTGGCCCTGTTTCACGGAAATGCTTCAGCTCATTAACCCATGTCTGATTATTCTCCTCTGGCAATGACCCGGATCACCATGGAATTTCGAGAATTAACACGCTTCATCTTCTTCATTTAGACCGTCGATTCCCACCTCGCTCTGCCCCTACCAAGTCAAGGAACAGGTCGAAAATGTTGCATTTTTCGTGGTAAAAGTGGCGTTTTTAAGCACTCACATTTCAAGATTAGACAAAGCTACTTTATAGAACTAAGGATTATTGCACGAGTTTCTCAGCAAAACCCACTTCTCGACAGCTTATACGACCAAGTAATTACATTTCATTTATTTAGCAGAAGCTTTTCGCCATTACGGCTTCTTCAGTGCTACAGAGAAATAGTTGGAAAATCAGAAACATAAAAAAAGCTGTTACCTTAAGTGATGCAAAGACAGAACTGATTGGAAAATCGAAAACAACTACCACAATCACTGGTGTTCTAGAGATTTTTCAAAAAGAAAAACAACAATAAGCGCCGAAATGTTGACAATGAGACAGGGGCAACCTTTTTCCGCGCGTAAAAGCCCCTGTCTCGATATAAAATCTTCAAACAAAACTTATACTCTCATGATGGACTTGAATATTGAGATCAGGCCTATCGAGAACAATATGGACTGCCTCTAATTTCTTCCTTTCTCTGAGATCTAAGTTACGCTCAAGGATTTTAAATCTTGATTGAAAAAAACTTTTTGGGTCAAGTGAAATGTAATTGAACTCTCGTCAACTAAAGAAACGACCAAGTAATTGTTTATAGAGATTTTATTTTTCTTGTACAATAAATGCTCTTATTTAAGGGTACGGGTGTCGGCTTTCTATCGCCCGTAATAATATAATGTGGATAAAAACAAAGTATTTTATCGAACTCTACAGAAAATTTAAGCTCGAGTCATAATTAATTGTCAGCCGCTATCATTCTTGTTTTACGAGTTATGCTCTCGTAAAAAATTATCGAAAAAATTTTTTCGGCTCAGATTTTTTTCATCCGGGGCTTTTTAGAAAGCTTAGAGAATGATGATCATCATGATATTCTCGGTTTTACGTGAGTCTGTCTCAAAACATTTTTAGAGCCGAAAATGTGTCGCTCAGTTTCAAAAAATGCTAATTTTCGGTGTAAAAACAAGGATAGTTTTTTTCAAAAAATTTAATTCCATACGAAATGTTTTTCAATCTCAAAAATCTCTTGACAAAATTAAGATAAGAGTCTGAATTTTCACATAAAAATATAAAAAAGGTATTTTTACAGGCTCATTTCTTCGGAATTGAAGCCTCTTTTAGGCCCATTTTCACACTTTTTGGTCGAGATCACGACTTCGAGCCAATTTTTAAAACAAAAAATCTATATAAATCCAAATTTCCTCTTGACAAAATGTAGAACTAGAATGGATCTTTGCACTGATGTAGGCGAATTTTGTCCACCACTTCTATATCACGAGGAATTGAGCCCTAGTTAGAGCCTCGCCGACACCCGTACCCTTAAGGCCGCGTAGCGACTTTGGAAAAATTGTAAAGAAGGTTTAGTTCGTATTTTTGCCGAAGCCGCTCCGCGGCTTCGTTTTTAAAAAAGCCGCTAAGCGGCTTTTAGTAACAGCTTTTCCATATTTTATATACAGGTGGACTCGGCAACCTGAGTAAAAAACCTGAGTCAGGCTTTGGAAGAGTCTAAATGAAAAGCCGCGTAGCGGCTTTTTTAAACACGAAGCCGCAAAGCGGCTTCGGCAGAAGTTTGAAGAAAATTTATATGGTTTATTTGCGAAGCCGCTTTGCGGCTTCGTTTTTAAAAAGCCGCTACGCGGCTTTTCATTTAAACTCCGTGGCGGAGTTACGAGCGCTAAAGGGTAGCCCTATTAAAAATTTTTTGAATAGGAAGAAGGAAGACCCCTTTCTTTGTTTTCTTTTTTGACCCGAAAAAGTCGATGATCAAAGAATGCTGGGACGAAGAACCAGAGCGACGCCTAACCTTTTCTCAAATCTGCGATGCTTTGTCAAAAGTCCAAAAAGGCAAGAAAACGAACATCGTGGACAACATGATGAAAATGTTGGAAGAATACTCGAACCACCTCGAAGACATCGTCAAAGCCCGAACAGCCGAGTTGGAAGTCGAAAAGAAGAAGTCGCAAGAGTTGCTGGCGAGAATGATGCCAGTCGAGATTGCCCAGCGATTACAAAATGGCGAGACGGTGTTACCAGGTATGTGGCCTTTTTTTTTATGTAAAGTTATGGAAAAGAGAGAGTTATCTTATCAAAGCGGCCGACAGAATACAAAATATTTTTAACAAGACAAAAGTTCAGTTTAGACGAGCGGACCTCAAGGAATCGCTTTTTGAGCTCAGAAACCTGTGTAGAAAACCTGAGTCAGGTTTTGGAAACCTGAATTTCAAGTCCAAACAATTGAATACCGAAGCTGCTTTGCGGCTTCGTTTAACAATAAGCGCGGCTTTTCATTTGAGATCTTTCAAACCCTGACTCAGGTTTTTTACACAGGTTATAACAAAAAATTACATGGTGTTAATTATTTTCTATTTTAGTTTGTTACGACGAAACGACGATTTACTTCTCCGACATTTGCGGATTCACCTCAATCTCAGGTAAGAACCCCCCTTCCCTTATGAAATAAACAAATTTGACCTTTCAAAACCCTTTCTTAAAATTCGAGCTGATGCAACGCTCAGGAACTGACCTTAGGAGCATTTTGATACGTCTCCCGCTGACGCATGCTTATGCTAATAAGCAAAGTGGATCATGATTAGATCAGCTCAACTGAGTTCGAATTATAAATCTTATATCCGGGTTTAAATGATTACCAAGGCTGATTTTCATAATTCTTCCTCCGACTATTTTTTAAAACAAAAATATTGATCCTAAGAGCTTCCTTTCTTACGTATACTTCTTTCAGCGGCCTCAACCCCCTTCGAAGTCGTCGATTTGCTGAACGACCTTTACACCTTGTTCGACAACATCATCGACGAATACGAAGTCTACAAAGTCGAAACCATTGGTGACGCGTACATGGTCAGTTCTGGAGTGCCTTTCAAGATTGGCGACCGACATGCGCCTGAAATTTGCATGCTGGCGATGGATATTCTATCCGCCACCGGGAGTTTTATTATGAGGTAGGGAGATCCAGTCGCACCGCGAAATAGGCTTTTAATTGAATGGCCTCTTTCTGATTCTTTTCAGATAAAGAAAAAACGGGATATTTCTGGGCTCAAAAACCCGTGTAAAAACCTGACTCAGGGTTCTGAAAGACTGTTAAAAACTTTTTCAGACCCTGACTCAGGATTTAACACAGGTTTCCGAGGCCAATGCCATTCAATTATGAAGTAATTAAGCTAATTTTTAATTGCTATTATTTCAGACATATGCCCGAGGTGCCGATGAAGATCCGCATTGGGTTGCATTCTGGACCAGCTGTGGCGGGAGTAGTCGGCCTTGCCATGCCTAGATATTGTCTCTTTGGAGACACTATCAACACAGCTTCGAGAATGGAGTCAAATGGGCTACGTAAGTTACGAGTAATTAGAAATGCTATTTGCAGTGAAACAAAACCAACGCGTGAAAAATGAGTTTACTCGTGGATACCATTTAGTTATAACTTTAAAATCGTCAAAAAAAGATCGTTCCATCACGTTTCTAGCGATTTACTCAAGTGCCACGACAGTCTTTTTGTCTATATCTCGCGCTACGTGCTCGGATACGAAAGGAACTCGAGATAAAGAGTTTAATCCCGCTGCGAAGCAATTATGCATCCTTTTTAGCCTCACGAATCCATATCAGTTGGTCAACGCGCGAATGCCTGCTCAAATCGGACGAAGGATTCCAGATTCAAGAACGTGGTACAGTCGAGCTAAAGGGCAAGGGTGTACTCACTACGTACTGGCTCGCAGGAAAAGAAGGATATGACAGGTCCGGCTCATGAATTCAGCCACAAAGATAGAATCGAATAAAGACTGTAAGAGCTTGTTTTCAACTGGCGATTTAGATTTGCGAATTTGACTTGACATCTATTTTCAAATATTTGTGAGCCCTTTACTTGACCGCTGCCTAAATGGGACCCTGATGACGCTCCGAGCCACGGAATCAAGCTCGACGAATACATGAACGTAAGTTGACTCAATTACGCGCGCATTGACCTAATCCCCTTGTCCCAATTTAATCGAGTTAATTGGCATTTTGCGTCAAATTATTTCACTTTTAGGGAAATCGCCCGCCTCCGCCCAAAGAACCGATCAAGCAAAAACCGTTCATTCCGTCGAAGCGAAAAGCGGTGAAAAAGGGATGGGCTTGAAATTTAACACTTTACCACGTTGACGCACTCTTGAAGACACCCTTATTCCTTTCGTCAAAACAGCAAGTCTTTAGTCAAAATTGCTTGCTAAAGATCGACGAATTTCTGTCCTAAATTGTTGATAAATCATCCAAATGGAGCCCTAAATTGTCGAGTCACGATTGGCCAATCAAATCCCTGCCAAACTAAAGCTCATCCGAAAATCGACAATTTAGGGATCAACAGTGAATATTTTACCGACAATTTAGGACAAAGAAAACTCGATCTTTAGTAAGCAATTTTGGGAATATCTATTGATTCTTGATAAAAAGATGAATATATTGAAAAGCCTAAAAGCAAGATTGAAACGAACCCCGAAGAAGCCGACCAGGAAGACAACGCTGAATCCAACAACGAAACAATCAACAATGGCCTTCCAATTAATCTATTCGCCCTTCGAGCGGGTCGATCCCGTCATCGAAGGCGTCGTCGCCGATCTCCCCGTTGGAAACCGCCAAGGTATATTTTTCCTCGAAACTGAAACCCTCTTTTTTATCTTTCTTTTTTAACCTCGTTCGCGCGCTTGTTTTATTTAACCCCTTTAGCGGGACATCCTTTTATCTTCAAAATAACATCTCCTAGCGGGTTAACACACGTTCTTCCTAGTTTTAAAATGCCATTACAGTACTTCTACTGACTTCTATGCTCTGACGTGTAGAGAATAAATATCAGCTTCCATCTTACAGCTTTGTATAAATTCGCGCTAACCGGGTTGTCTCGCTGCGGCGAAATATTTCGCTAATGGGCGCTGCTCTGCGCCGTAACGGGTTAATCTTGTGATAATCGAATTTTTCTAGCAACGGGGATTCTGGCTACGATTCCTCCAACCTTCTCCATCCTGGTCGGCTTCTCAGCTTCTTCCGCCCTGCCACTCCCCAAAAGATTCATCCCTTATGATTTTGAAAATATGATTCTTCTGTATTTTTGATACTGTTACTTTATTTTATGAATGAATAAATGTATATTTTTACAAAACAATTTTCGATTTCTTTTATTTCCATCAACAAAAATTTTTCACTGTTGAAATTTCCGTTGGAAAATTAGTCAATTTTCAAGGTCTTTGACTGTCGTATTTGTATTGTATTTGGTCAGCGTAAACATAAGTCTACTAATTCTTCTGCTCGAATACGGCAAGTCAAATAGAGTTGCAATTCTTATTCGAGAAAGACACGCGTAAAATGGATTCAGAATTTCGTAAAAAATTCAATGTAAGCTTTAAGCAAGTGAAAAGAGTATAAATTTATTTGAGGATAATTTTGAAAAATCAAAGGAAGATTGCATCGACAACATTATAGCAATGTGTGCAATGAGCTGCGTTGGAGACTTTCAATCAAATATACGATCTTTTATCCACTACGACAAGAATAAAAAGGACAATAAAAATCCAGAAAAACGAGTATATGAGACACGGAATCGGGAAAAACACATAACGGATCCGAAAGAACGTCAAATGGCTATCAACATGCTAATCCTGGGATCTCTTTTCTCAAACGAGAATTTTTCTTTTTATGTTGTGGAAAGAGCAACAAAAAATGAAAAGGACTGGAAAAAATCCAAAGTTATTAAGGTTTTTGTGGGCCTATCAGACAATTATAAGGTTTCGTATTATTTAAGGAAGTATTATTAATTATATTAAGAATCGGATGAATCAGTTTGATAGAACTCTCTTATCGCTCATGATTTTTCTAAGAAACTCACATGTTCATTTTGCTGATTATCCCCATTTTCCGGTTCTTTTCAAAACAAAATCAAAAATAAGAAATGGAACGATTTTTACCGAGTTTATGGAAAAGTCTTTTCCTTGTCTTCTCGATGCGATGATAATGCTTTGGTCAGCTGTAGCAGATCCAGAGGATCCAGTCAATAAATACTTCGGTAATGGCAACGGCCCGCGAAATTTAATCAATGAGAAAGAAATAATTGGTCTCCTGCGCGAAGTATTTGATTGCTGCCTTGGAGAAACAACAGAACAGCAGATCAAATGTTTACTTAAAGAAACAAAGGTTTATCACTGTATAGAGGAGCAAATTTATCCAATAGGGATCTGTCATGAGATAATTTTTGAGGAAATCATCAATAATACTAATTTTTTTTCGATTGTTTTCGTATCTGAACCAGACTTAGATACTTTCGTGTCAAGTGCTTTACCTCCCTTGCTTGGATTTCATCTTTTCAAGTTAGCATATTTTCTTAATTATAGATGGAATATCATGTCTTTCTCTAGTGATGTGATTTTGCTCACTTATGGAAATAATATTTTAAAAAACATTAAATTTTTTCCAGAATTTTTAGATTTGAAAAAGTGCTTCGAAAAAGAACAATTTTTTGTTGAGCGTATCACTGTTTTTTGTGAAGATCATTTTAAGCAAAAATTTAAAAATGCTTTCAAAGAAAATTCGTATAAAAAATTCCTCAAGTTTTTGGAAAATGCATATAAACACCACGATGATTTGAAAAAAACCGAGCAAGGGCTGGATGAAATACGCAAATCTTCTCAGAAAACATCATTAATATTCTTCCTCCTTTTCTCTTTCTTTGATATTATATTTGCGGTTGTATCGCTTCCATTTGAAAATCGACTCCCAATTTATTTAGAAAATGTATCTGATTATATGATAAAATTGAGTTGCTATCTCTTGATTTCAAAAATAATATATGAAATTTTCTTGCCTGAGAACGGGTCGTCTAAGAAGGAATGGGTGTAGGGCGGCTACGTTCGAAATTTCGAACGCCGTTCGAGATTTTTCGAACGCCGTTCGAAAAATTTCTGAAATTGCTTATAAAAATGAGCTCGTATGCGCTCCGCGCCTGATTTGTAAGAAAACTCCTTCATAATGATGTCAACTTCATCTACTTACACGATGACATTGATTTAAGCTCATTCTTAGGTCAAGATTTTTCGGAAATTTCGAACGCCGTTCGAAAAATGGGCCCAAAAACCGATTTCGAACGGGACCGCCCGCCACCCGAAGGAATTGAGATCGTCTATCGTGATTTTCAATTCGCTTATCATATATTTTCTGTTAAAACTTTAAATTTATATTATATATACAGTTGTGTGTGGAGTTACCGTACCCCTATTTTTCGTTTTTAAAAAATCATAGCTCTCGACTCGATTTAGATTTTTGACACCAGAAATCAATTTTTCATGTCATTTTCCTTTAGAAAAAATATAATTGAAAGAGCCATAAGTAGGGTAAACTTACAAAAAATGAGCTTTTGAAAGGGACATCCTACAGGGCTCATTTTCGGCAAGAATACTCTTTGAAGGTTGCTGATCAACATCAGATAAAAAAATTAATGAAAAAATATGAATTACGTCATTCTAGAGCCGTGTAAAAGTGCTAAAAATCTAAAATTTTTTAGCAATAAGATTGAAAAAAATGAAGGCAACCAATAGATTCGCCTTGAATCACTGATTATTTTCCACAAAAAAAATTTAGTAATCGGCCTCACATGACTTCAGAAAAAGGAAAAGAAGCTGAAAGTCTTTGTTATTGTCTTGGAGGACCCCCTTGGAGGACTTTATCTGCTGGAAGACCAATATTATAAATATTCAATATATGGCCGTGCTGGGCCAGTATATGGCCACCTATGGTCAACTTTGGTCAAGTTCGGCCGGAAGACCCCCGGAGGACCTCTCTGGTGGAAGACCATCCGCTGGAAGTTCAATATTTAAAATTTTCAAAATATGCCCGTGCTCGGCCAGTATATGGCCACCTATGCTCAACTTTGGTCAAGTTTGGCCAGAGGACCCCCGGAGGACCTCCATTGTGGAAGACCATCAGCTGGAAGACCAAAATTAAATATTAAGATAAAATGCTTTGCTGGGAAAAGAAATGACACTTCCGGTAAACTTTGGTCACTTTATGCCGGATGACCCCCGGAGGACCCCTTTTGCTGGAAGACAATCTACTGGAAGACCGACATTTAAAAAATAAAAAAAATAATCACAGTCAATTTAGTGAAGAGGTGGGCCACGCCGACCACAAGCTATGTGGCCAGTCCGTTCAGTGAAGGGCAAGGCAAAGAGAATGAAACGCCCGTTTATTTAGCTAAGAAAAGGGCGGGTCAGAGTCAGGGCGAAGCCGACCAAAAGGGGAGGCCTCGCCCGTTCATTCTTTTGAATCAGAGTCAGGGCGAAGCCGACCCAAAGGGGAGGCAACGCCCGTTCATTTTTTCTAATCAGAGTCAGGGCGAAGCCGACCCGAAGGGGAGGCCACGCCCGTTCATTCTATTCAATCAGAGTCAGGGCGAAGCCGACCCGAAGGGGAGGCCACGCGCGTTCATTCTTTTCAATCAGAGTCAAAGCGAAGCCGACCCGAAGGGGAGGCCACGCCCGTTCATTTTATTCAATCAGAGTCAAGGCGAAGCCGACCCGAAGGGGAGGCCATGCCCGTTCATTCTTTTCACTCAGAGTCAGGGCGAAGCCGACCCGAAGGAAATGCCACGTCAAAAGAATGAACGGGCGTTGCCTCCCCTTCCGGTCGGCTTCGCTCTGACTCTGATTCAAAAGAATGAACGGGCGTTGCCTCCCCTTCGGGTCGGCTATGCCCGACTCTGATTCAAAAGAATGAACGGGCGTTGCCTCCCCTCCGGGTCGGCTTCGCCCGAACTCTGATTCAAAAGAATTAACGGGCGTGGCCTCCACTTCGGATCGGCTTCGCCCTGACTCTGATTCAAAGAATGAACGGGCGTTGCCTCCCTTCGGGTCGGCTTCGCCCGACTCTGATTCAAAAGAATGAACGGGCGTTGCCTCCCCTTCGGGTCGGCTTCGCCCGACTCTGATTCAAAAGAATGAACGGGCGTTGCCTCCCCTTCGGGTCGGCTTCGCCCGACTCTGATTCAAAAGAATGAACGGGCGTTGCCTCCCCTTCGGGTCGGCTTCGCCCTGACTCTGATTCAAAAGAATTAACGGGCGTGGCCTTCCCTTCGGGTCGGCTTCGCCCTGACTCTGATTCAAAAGAATTAACGGGCGTGGCCTTCCCTTCGGGTCGGCTTCGCCCTGACTCTGATTCAAAAGAATTAACGGGCGTGGCCTCCCCTTCGGGTCGGCTTCGCCCTGACTCTGATTCAAAAGAATGAACGGGCGAGGCCTCCTTTTGGTCGGCTTCGCCCTGACTCTGACCCGCCCTTTTCTTAGCTTAATAAACGGGGTTTCATTCTCTTTGCCTTGCCCTTCACTGAACGGACTGGCCACATAGCTCGTGGTCGGCGTGGCCCACCTCTTCACTAAATTGACTGTGATTATTTTTTTATTTTTTAAATGTCGGTCTTCCAGTAGATTTTCTTCCAGCAAAAGGGGTCCTCCGGGGTCATCCGGCATAAAGTGACCAAAGTTTACCGGAAGTGTCATTTCTTTTCCCAGCAAAGCATTTTATCTTAATATTTAATTTTGGTCTTCCAGCTGATGGTCTTCCACAATGGAGGTCCTCCGGGGTCCTCTGGCCAAACTTGACCAAAGTTGAGCATAGGTGGCCATATACTGGCCGAGCACGGGCATATTTTGAAAATTTTAAATATTGAACTTCCAGCGGATGGTCTTCCACCAGAGAGGTCCTCCGGGGGTCTTCCGGCCGAACTCGACCAAAGTTGACCATAGTTGGCCATATTCTGGCCTAGCACGGCCATATATTGAATATTTTAAATATTGGTCTTCCAGCGGATGGTCTTCCACCAGGGAGGTCCTCCGGGGTCCTCCGGCCGAACTTGACCAAAGTTGACCATAGGTGGCCATATACTGGCCCAGCACGGCCATATATTGAATATTTATAATATTGGTCTTCCAGCAGATAAAGTCCTCCAAGGGGGTCCTCCAAGACAATAACAAAGACTTTCAGCTTCTTTTCCTTTTTCTGAAGTCATGTGAGGCCGATTACTAAATTTTTTGTGGAAAATAATCAGTGATTCAAGGCGAATCTATTGGTTGCCTTCATTTTTTCTATCTTATTGCTAAAAAATTTTAGAAGGAAATTGACGAAAAAGGGATGAAAAACAATAGAGATTCTTCCCCAAAAAAATTTTGAAAAGTCGTTTTTGACCATCTATCATCTGGCCAAGTTTCATTCCCTTACAATTTGCCGTTTAAAAGTTGATTTTTTGTAAGTTTACCCTAGCCATAAGGGTCCGATAAATTTTTCGACAGATTTAAGCGCGTAAAGTTGCCCTGCCCAGCACTTGTTTATACTGTATGAGTTCACTGGAAGCCTTTGTCTCTAAAATGCTTACATATTTCATCTGCAAATTTATATTTTAAAAAATTCTACTGTCAAATAGAACTGCTCTTGAATATTCTGTTTCTCACTTTTAGAATCTCTCAACCTGCTAATTAGTGAATATACACGAGCCACTCAAAAATCAACAATGAGCATCTATCACACGTCGTTTTGCATTTTTCTAGCGCTCGGAAAAGCTCTTAACGAGCTGTCGTTTTCGCTCGGATGCGAATGTTGCTGGAGACAACAGAAAACACTTTGTAGATTTTCGAAAAAAGGACTTGCGGCACGTTTGAATGCCATGCAAACATCTGTTTATGATCGGGCGAAATTTTGATGAAAAGGCTATTTTAAGGAGATGTTAATCCTAAGAATTTAACGGCTTAAAGCTAAAACTTTGGTGACGACAAAAACTGTGGTGTCTTTAAATAGAAGTTTATCCTGCAAGAAATAATAAGAAAGATCTTCTGGAAATTGATTTTATTCAGGAGGAATACAGAATGAATCGCCAAACAGTGAAAAATTCAGTGGATTCGTTTGTCCTGCTTTGATTCCTTCAAAGAGTCTGAAGAATTTAGGTTGAGGTTGATTCGTTATAAAAGTGTTTCTACCTGATTTCGCTCTTATCCGGACTTTCAAAATCAAAAGACTGACGAAAAAATTAATTTTGCTCAAAAAATAACCCTTGCTCTAGAAACTTGTTGACGAAGGACTCATACGAACTCATTGATGATGATGATTATTCTTCAGTTAGTAAATATCCTGTCAATAACTAAAGTGTGAGTAAGCTGTGAATAACGTCTCGTGAATCCTCATATTCCATCCCTTTGGCGCCCTCCGATCAGCGTTCGCGCCGCCGCCGCGCGAACGGCGCTCGCGAGCCGCACTGAGTTCCCATGAGAGCGCTGAACTCGCTTGATTTTTCTCAAAAAACAAAGAAATTTTTTTCACTGAATTTTTGAACAAGATTTTTTTCATTTCTGTGAGAGTTGCTTCCACTTAGAGATGGTGACGATCGAAGAAAAACTTACGTCGGCGATAGGAAAACTTTTCGGAAAAGCGGAAAAGAAAGAGCCGCTTTTTAACACGACAAAACTCACTTTTCAAATTGAAAGGACAAATGTCGTCAAAGATTTTGCCATCGGTAAGAAATGGCATTTTTTTATCAATAAAATTTTTGATTTATAAATTTTTCCAACAACGTTGTTAGGGATATTTTTTTCAGCTGAGTAAAGCTTCATTTTAATATCATTTGAATCTCAATAATTTTCTATTGATAATAAATTATAATTGATCGCTGTCGCTTTTATATATTATTAATAATAGCATAATTATGATCATTATTATTTATATATCAACAGTTTTTCTATCACTAATTTCGATGAATAATATGTTTCACGTTGGCGAAATTAAATAATTAAAATATAAATTTGTCATAAAATTGTTCAATTATTAAAATTAAATGACTTTATTGCCTATCGATTTATTTGAATGACTTATTTTCTTGTTGCGACAAAAAATATGTCGACTAAAATAAAACCCAATCAGAAGATGGAAAACACGGATACCGGCCGGAATGCAGCCAATCAGCAATCAGATTGAAAAAATCACGTTTTGGTCGCAAAAACTCGTGATAATAAATTCGAATTTCGACAGATTTGTCGGACAAAAAATTAGTCTCATTTTTCCTGTCGATTCCTGACTCTAGTCAGAAAGTTTCTATTTGAGCGCTCATTTTGTTCGGCTTTTGAAAAGATATTAATTATTCAAAATTTCTCGTCATTTTTTTCTAAAAGTACTGTTTGTAGAATATGTACGTGTCCCGGCAGCAGTAAACATTTAGAGACCAAAATCCCATCTCTTTAAAAAGTGCTTAAACAAACTGCGCTGAAAACACGCCAATATATTTCTCATCCGAGCTCGTGGCGATTTTCCGAGGCTTCAAAGATTGAATCGATTCCAGCGCTGTTTGATTGAGCATCTCTCCATCCTCGGAAGAGCTTAATTCTTTTTCGGGCGGAAATCCTTGACTCAAAATAAATTCCTGGCTTTGTTGATAATACACGTTACGAGTTTTGGGGAAGAATCCATTCAGACTTTCTTTGAAGGAAAATTCAAAATATGGGTTAAACCAAAATAAGGAAGTGATTTTATGGTTCAGGGTTTTGATTGGCCGAAAAGCCAAATACAGCAATCTTATTGGCTAGGGTTAGGGTTTGTCCGAAAATATCGATTTTTTTTTGACTGAACCAAAAAATGAAAGTGCATTTTTGAACTACCAATAAGCTTACTGTATTTGGCCTACCGACCAATCAAAACTCTTAGCCATAAAAGAACTTCTATATTTTGTTCTAGGCCATTTTTTCGATAACTTTTGAAATTCGATCTGGCCAAATAAATTTTCGTTTCTTCCAAAAATCTGCAGAAGGCCGAAAGTGCTTCTTAGAATCTGAATAGAGCGGCGATTAAAAGCTTTCGCTTAGTATTTCGCCGAAAATTACAAAATCATCGAGGCTCATTAGAGGCTCATTTATCTCCTCAACAAGGGCAGTTTGCAATTTTCAATTTTCAATAAACACTCGCTCAGGGTCCGATAATTTGAGCTCACGATAAAACTCATTTTTGGCTGAGTTCTCAATTTTCTCAAATTGAGAACTCAGTGTGACTTGAGAAATCATTTGGAGATTTTCTGAGATTTTGCTTGAGAGCAGGGAAATCTCATGAGTTTTCAAAAACTCCATTTGAGCGAGCGCGGCGGCGAGTCGGCGCAGCCACAGCGGATCGTAGGCGCGTTGCGTAAGGCTGCGCACTTACAAAAATCGTCCACCCCGCCTTGACTGGCTCGTGGATCGCGAGCGCCACCACAAAATATGATTTCTCACGCGAGCTCTCATCTCTGAGTTTCTCAAAACTCCAATTTAAAACCTGAGTTCTCAAGCTCTGTTTCGTGGAGTTTTAGCGTGAGCTCAAATTATCGGACCCTGTGTGACTCGCTAAAGAGCCAATTTTGAACTCAAGTTTTTGTCTTTCTCTTTTTTCAATATCTTTATGTTAAGTTTTGCGCCAATCAGAAGCCGTTTTTCTTGAAAATAGCGCCATCTTCCGAGTTGTATTTTGAAAACCAGGTTGTCGGATTCTTCGTTTGTAATTTTTTATTCATTATTTTCGATAAAAAAGGTTGAAAATGAAAAAGATGTGCCTTGACTGTGGATCGAACACAGGACCTTCAGATCTTCAGTCTGACGCTCTCCCAACTGAGCTATCAAGGCAACTGGAGGGACTAATTCCAAAATGCACCAGTATCGAATTTTCAAAAGAGCAATGTCTTGGATTTTTCAAATCAATAGGCCCCTTACCGATTTTAACCTAATTTCTGTCTGTAGCGATCTTTTAATCAAAAACTCGGTTCATGAAAACTTCTTGAAACGGTCACGTGGGTGATCGTTTAGAATCGAAAAGGTGCAACCTTTGCTCAGCTGAAAAAGATTATCTTTCCTAGACGCTCCTCTCTGGTAACAACGGAATTCGATTCGCGGATTTTCAGAACAATTTTTTCATTTTAAAATTTCACAATACTTTTCACCAATTATTTTCTTAAAAATTAGCTCTTCGTAATTTTTTCTTGAAACTTTTGAAAAAATATTTTTTTTAGATCGAAGGAAAGGGTCAGAAATATTTTTAAAAAGAGTAAAAAAATACAAAAAAATAATAAAAAGAAAATTTTTTATTAAAATATTTTCAAAAAATGATAAAATTTATTTTTTTTTTCGTAAAAAAATTTTTGGGACAAATATGAAAAATTCAGACGAAAAGTCAATAGGTGGCGCTATTTTATCGATAGCCAATCAAAAACCTTTGTTTTTTTACCAATTTATTTCTGATCCAAACAAAAGCCTGAATCCAGAGCAGATCATCAAATTCTTGCGCTGTCGCTGGAACGGATTACCTCCTGGATCCGTCGGTTTATATGTCGAGGAGGTAAGAAAACCCTTCTCAAACAAGCGCTAGAATAATGGTTCCCTAGACCCCTCTGTGCAAAGAACGCTGGCTGCCGAACGAACCAATCGAAAAGAAACGGGTTGATATTTTTTCACTAACCAGGTAAGCACAAAAACTCATTTGACAGCGATTAATGTAAGGCACGTCTCAAAATAAATTAAATATTTTGTTTGCTTTGTCAATTCTATTTACCAAATATTTCTGACAAGCCATGTGAATAGCGAATGAAAACTACGGTTGCAGCGCCCGGCACCCTGAGTCAGGTTTTGAAAGGCTAAAATGAAAAGCCGCGTAGCGGCTTTTGAAAACGAAGCCGAAAAGCGGCTTCGCACTACAATCACTCTTATCTGTATTAAAATATTGGCAAAGCCGCTTCGCGGCTTCATCTTCAAAAAGCCGCTACGCGACTTTTTATTTTAGCCTTTCAAAACCTTAGTCTGGTTTTCTCTACAGGTTTCCGAGTCCAGTACCGTTGTTATCGACTATAATAAGGTCTGGAATCGACTTTGTTGATATTTTTGACTCTGAGCATCTTTTGGGTAAACTTGAGTTGCCACAAATGTTTTCTTTCTCGGTTTAAAATCTGGCTTTCGTGACTAGGATATCCATGTTTTAAAATTGCTTTATTGATGTTTCCAATTTAGCAAATCTCTTTCAAGGGGGCTTTATTCTAATTGAGACGTGCCGACAAAATAAATTTCTTTCTTGTCTGAATTTATTCTCTGTAAAAGTTCTTTGACGATTTTTGCTTGCATTTCACCACCCCTTTCTTTATCTAAAATTTCAATAAAAAACATAAAAAAAGCCGCACGCGGCTTCAAATTTTGAAAGATAACCGATCTAATCGTTACAATTTTGTTTTGTGATAATTTGAAATTTCGACTAATCAGATGGCTCGATTTTCATGAAAAAGCGCCATCTACCGACTAATTATTTCTAAATCCCCATTTTTCCCCACTTTCGCTTTTTCGCCAATTTTTTCAACCAACTAACCATATTTTTAGATTTTTCCTGCTTCAAGTCTTAACCTGTTTCCGATTATTCTGTCTATAATTTTATCTTCTCAAGTGTTTGGTAAGACACTTTGAGAAGCAAAAATTCTCCTTTTCTTATAAAATTACTGGTAAAAAATTATAAAACCGCAAAAAGCGGTCAAGGATGAAAAGCTTAACCTGCTGGGCCCCGTTTTTTGAGTCGCCTAATTTGCGGACTTATTGATTACGTGGTGGTTTCGATGGGGATGACACCGCTCGAGTCAAAACGGTAAAACAGGTTTTAAACGTGCCTTTGTTGAAAGAAATGGAGATAATATTTTGATTCTTTGAAATTAAGCATGAGAGAAATTTAAATATTTGGCCGTTTAGTGTCAATGATTTTGGGATTATTCAAAATTGAAAATTTTCTTCTGGAATTTCGGGATTAATAACGGTCATAGAGAGGTTTTTTGAATAATTTGCATAAAAATAAGGAGCAAATTTGATTCAATTATTATTAAAAATCATTTTCGTTTAATATTATTATATTAAATTTATAGAAAAGAATTAAATCAAAAATAATAACAATTTAAAATATTTAAAAAAATTAATTAATAATTATTAATAACGGTATATTTATAATATTGAATAAATTAATATTTTGAGATGAAAAAATCTAACATTATTTCGATTTGAGGTCGAAATCGAGGAAAATCAATTCATAGAATCTGATTGGTCGATCAACCAATAAGGTTTCTCGATGGAAAAAGTCATTATTGATAGAAATTAAGTAGAAAATCATGAAATAATTTCGACACAAGTTCACATAAAAATCACTTTTGCGTTCCAAAAACAGAAAGTCGTGACCCTGGACAATTATGAAACCGTCTTCATCGTCAATTTTTCCTTGTTATTCAATAAAACCTAGCAGTCGCAATTACTAATTAGTGGTTCTTTTTTCAAATAATTTATTTTGACGGAAGCAGTATTTTATCAACCCGGCGCCCTAGTGTCTAACCGGAACGGAAAAATCATCAAAATTCGCGCGAAATCAAAGTTTTTAAAAATCGCGCTTCCAGACGGAAGTCTCAGGACGCATCTGCTCGACATGACTGTCCCCATGTCGTCGATTGCGGAGACTATCGCGGACAAAATGATGCTGCCGCGGTCAGAGTATGCCTGCTGCATCGAGCTCGACAAGGAAACATCGCAGCTCGAATCGGCCATTAAACTGCTGAGCTCGGCCAAGAGCCTAATCGGCCTCAGCAAACGCATTAAAGTCAAGAGCGCGATGAAAAGTGAGCTATCCAAGGACAGTGCTTATATAAATTACTACCGCTTGGATGGGAAGTCCACTTGAGCACTTTTCAGCCATCCACGTTCTATTTTCCTGAAATTGGGCATAATTTCTAATTGCTTTAAAAGTGCTCTTAGAAAACTAATTCAGTGGAATTCCAGTTAAGTTTTCGATCAAAAGCTGGAAATGTCAAGAATCGACAAAAATCTGAAGAAATTTTGCAAAAAAATTTTCAACCAATAAGAAGCCTGGATACGGCTCAACCGCCAATCAGCTGCCGAGTAATCGCCCAAGCAAAATTTTTCGAAAATTATTTGTCAATTCCTGACGCCACACCAAAAATAAAGGCGAAAATCTTCTCATATGAACGAGAGCCAATCAGAAACCAGGATTATTTTAAACAGCGCCACCTTAGTTTATGTAGAAATTTTGTGGAGGCGAGACGAATCACTAATTTTGGCCGAATATTTTGACCAAAATTTTTAGAAAATTTTTGACCAATCAGAATCGCGCATTTTGCCGGCTGACCAATCAGATTTCAGAAAAAATGTCGCCAAATTCGTGTTTTTGTCGGCTGAAAATTGGCGACAAAAAGATCCTAAAATTCTCTCATTGATTTTTTGTAAAGCACTTACAAGAAAATTCGCTCCCCACTGTGGCTAGATCCGACAAGGACGCTCACAGAACTAGAACCATTAATAAACGCGCGGCCACTTTGCTTCCGCCGTCGATTCTGGTTTACGCAGCGGCCGCTCGACAACGGCGACAAGGGACAAATCTTCACGGAATTTCAAGAAATCAAGGAGCACCTCAAAATCGTCGGGACTTTGGTAAGGTCTTGTTCTATAGGTTTAGCGGACGCGGCGAAGCTGGTGGCGATACTGAACAAAATCGAAAACCCAGAGGAGCCAGAAAGCGCGATCAAACAGGTGGCCGAAAGTCTCTTTCCGGCGCAGGACTCGGCGGCGATCATTGCTGTTATTAAAGCCAAACGAGGCGCGGGAGAGATCCGGCTTGCCAAAGACGAATTTTCTCTACAGGAATGGACTGAATTCTTCATTTACAAGCATTTATATTTGAATTCCGAAATCGGGGAGGCAGAACGAATCGACAAAATTTCGACAATTTTCACCAATTTTTGGTCGAATTTGAGACCGAATCAGATGTTCGCATTTTGCCGGTCGGCCAATCAGATTTCAGAAAAGAAATTCTGAAAAAGTCGCCAAAACTGGGGTGGTGTCTGGAACCGACAAAAATTTCGACAAATTTTGCGTAGGCGGCTACTCGGCTGCTGATTGGCCGGTTTACCGAATCCAGGCTTCCGATTGGTTGAAAATTTCCACGCAAAGTTTGTCGAAATTTTTGTCGATTCCAGACACCTCAGCAAAAATTAGTCACCTGCGTACAGAACCTGAGTCAGGCTTTTACACAGGTTGCAATTTCAAAATTTTCGATTCTGTCATTCAGAGAACGTTTCCGACATGTTTTTAAATCAAAACTTTGTAAAAGTCCATAAAAGCGGGAATTTATCAAGCACGCTCGTGAATTGCCCGGATTCGGCGACACCTTTTTCGCCACTGAGAACGACAAGAACCGAGAAGTGCTTTTGGCGATCTCAAAGAGTAATCTGACTTCTTATCACAATGGGAAACTAGAAGAGCGATTTCCGCTGGACAGAGTGAGGAGATGGATGAGCATCGCCGATAAGGAAAGTTGAATAACTCACGAGAAATTCGATGACTTCCTAAGTTTTATCTCAAGGGGCGAAAACATCTATAATCATAATTGTTCTGAGGACTTTTCTTCCAAAGATTTCTTAATGACAGCACCTTAGTTTATCCTCTAAACTTAAAAGTCTAAAGCGAAATACGGATATTTTCTTAGATATGATTGGTTTACCGGCCAAATCAGGGGATCTGATTCGTTGAAATATTTGAGCCGCGGTTTTATAACGGATACTTTTATTTATATAGTGATACCCTTATTAAAATAATAAGAAAAGTCGTTAATTCTGATTATTGAAATAAGGGTATCGCCATATTAATAAAAATATCCCCATAAAACCACGGCTCAAATTTTACGACCAATCAGATCCCCGAATTTGGCCGGATGACCAATAAAATTTCAGAAAAAAATTCTTGCCGGACTTTTCTGTGAATTTGAACCTCTTTTTATAGAGCTCAATTATTAGATCGATAATCAGATGATCCTCTCTTTTGTGGTCAGACGCAGTCTAACCATTGATTTGGAATAAGCTAGAATTAGCAAAGTGCGATGAGGAAATTTCCCAATCGTAAAAATATTTGATTTTTCAACGAAATAAGCGTCTTTTTACGATCGAAGTGGACCAAGGCAACGATAACATGCAGGTTCTTAATTGGACTACCGACGACGGCGCTGAAAGTAAGTCCAAAAAGGATGACTCATAGAAAATCAAAAATTCTAGTTCAACAACTGCTGGATGGATACGTTCAACTGACGCTTCATAAAAAGCGGGAAAAAGTCGTCAGCTTGACCGAAAAAATCGCGAAAGCTGGCGAAGCGCTAAAGGAAGAATTCCAAGAAAGATTTATCTAAAGAAAGAAAAGCTCTTGGAGCACTTTTTTGTCGGTCCTCTTGCTTTTCTTTTCTTTGTAAATTTTGCTTGTTTTCTTCCCGAGGCACCGAAGTTTCGTCCACCACGCAGCTGATCCTTCAACCAACTTAAACAAATTGACATGAATGCTTTGAATCAAAATATTCAAGCTTTTCTTTAACTGTAAATTAGGGTCAGGCGATATCACAAGACGACCGCGGAACACGCACAAACTTTTTTAGGTAGTAGCCTGGGGGGTACTGATCACAAAAAACATAGCGGCCCTCGCTTAACCCATCAACACCTAGACCATTTTAACCCGTTTCCTGATTTTCTCGTTTTCGACCATTTTCAAGGAAAAACCGCATTTTTCTTGATTTTAAACGTATAAAACGAATAAATTATTATTTTTATGAATTAAAATAACTCTATTAATGAAAACTTAATAATAAAATTTTAAGAATTTTCTACAATTTTTACGTTAAAATCAATATAGCGGTTGAACTGGCAAGAAATGGCCGTCTCAGCCCCGTTCCTTGATTTCTTAATTTAAGGGCTTGACGGCCCTTCGGGCCGTCTCAGCCCCGTTCCTTGATTTCTTAATTTAAGGGGCTTGACGGCCCTTCGGGCCGTCTCAGCCCCGTTCCTTGATTTCTTAATTTAAGGGCTTGACGGCCCTTCGGGCCGTCTCAGCCCGTTCCTTGATTTCTTAATTTAAGGGGCTTGACGGCCCTTCGGGCCGTCTCAGCCCCGTTCCTTGATTTCTTAATTTAAGGGCTTGACGGCCCTTCGGGCCGTCTCAGCCCCGTTCCTTGATTTCTTAATTTAAGGGCTTGACGGCCCTTCGGGCCGTCTCAGCCCCGTTCCTTGATTTCTTAATTTAAGGGGCTTGACGGCCCTTCGGGCCGTCTCAGCCCCGTTCCTGATTTCTTAATTTAAGGGCTTGACGGCCCTTCGGGCCGTCTCAGCCCCGTTCCTTGATTTCTTAATTTAAGGGGCTTGACGGCCCTTCGGGCCGTCTCAGCCCCGTTCCTTGATTTCTTAATTTAAAGGGCTTGACGGCCCTTCGGGCCGTCTCAGCCCCGTTCCTGATTTCTTAATTTAAGGGGCTTGACGGCCCTTCGGGCCGTCTCAGCCCCGTTCCTGATTTCTTAATTTAAGGGGCTTGACGGCCCTTCGGGCCGTCTCAGCCCCGTTCCTGATTTCTTAATTTAAGGGCTTGACGGCCCTTCGGGCCGTCTCAGCCCCGTTCCTTGATTTCTTAATTTAAGGGGCTTGACGGCCCTTCGGGCCGTCTCAGCCCCGTTCCTTGATTTCTTAATTTAAGGGGCTTGACAAGGGCTTAGAACAGGGATGGAAATATGACAAAATTTTCCAGCGGCACCGGCACGGCACGGCACAACCAAAATACCCGTGCCGCGGCACGGTACGGCACGGCACGGCACAAAATTCAATAATGGGGTGCCGCGGCACCACGGCACGGCACGGCACAAATTTGAGTCATATAAATTACGTCAAGCCCCTTAAATTCAAAAATCAAGGAACGGGGCTGAAACGGCCCAAAGGGCCGTCAAGCCCCTTAAATTCAAAAATCAAGGAACGGGGCTGAAACGGCCCGAAGGGCCGTCAAGCCCCTTAAATTCAAAAATCAAGGAACGGGGCTGAAACGGCCCGAAGGGCCGTCAAGCCCCTTAAATTCAAAATCAAGGAACGGGGCTGAAACGGCCCGAAGGGCCGTCAAGCCCTTAAATTCAAAATCAAGGAACGGGGCTGAAACGGCCCGAAGGGCCGTCAAGCCCCTTAAATTCAAAATCAAGGAACGGGGCTGAAACGGCCCGAAGGGCCGTCAAGCCCCTTAAATTCAAAATCAGGAACGGGGCTGAAACGGCCCGAAGGGCCGTCAAGCCCTTAAATTCAAAATCAAGGAACGGGGCTGAAACGGCCCGAAGGGCCGTCAAGCCCTTAAATTCAAAAATCAGGAACGGGGCTGAAACGGCCCGAAGGGCCGTCAAGCCCCTTAAATTCAAAAATCAAGGAACGGGGCTGAAACGGCCCGAAGGGCCGTCAAGCCCTTAAATTCAAAATCAGGAACGGGGCTGAAACGGCCCGAAGGGCCGTCAAGCCCCTTAAATTCAAAAATCAAGGAACGGGGCTGAAACGGCCCGAAGGGCCGTCAAGCCCCTTAAATTCAAAAATCAAGGAACGGGGCTGAAACGGCCCGAAGGGCCGTCAAGCCCTTAAATTCAAAAATCAAGGAACGGGGCTGAAACGGCCCGAAGGGCCGTCAAGCCCTTAAATTCAAAAATCAAAGAACGGGAATTGTCCTTTATATTTACCGATAATAAAAATTTTATGTGAAAATAGTGTTATACTGTGCCGCGGTGCCGCAACCAGATTTTATTCTGCGGCACGGCACGGTACGGCACGTGCCGTGCCGTGCCATGCCGCTGTGCCGTGCCGTGCCGTGCCGCTCAGATTTGCATCCCTGGCTTAGAACTCTGAGTTTATCAATCTCAGTTATGTCCCCAACCCCACCCACTCCCATTGCTGTAAAAATTCACATTATCCTAGTTTTTGCGAAATTATGGTTTTGATTTTATATTGTGAAATTGATTTTCTTTAAGTTACTTAATAAAATAATTAATAATTATTAATTATTCATCTGTTTTTCACGTTTAAAATTGAGAAAAAGCGTTTTTTCATGAAAATGGTCAAAAACCGGAAAATCAGAAAACGGGTTAAAATGGTAAAGGCGTTGATGGGTTAAGGGAGGGCCGCTATGTTTTTGTGATCAGTACGCCCGAGGCTATCACCCAAAAGTTTGAGCGTGTTCCGCGGTCGTCACGTGATATCGCCTGACCCTACTGTAAATAAATTCAAAATCAAATCATCAGAATCATTGTCGTTTTTTATTTTATTTTTTTCTTAGTTTTGTTTGAAAGAAATATGAAACAGTATGATACTATCACTGATTCAGTGATAGCTCATCAATCGTTAAAGAATATTGACTAGTGTTTAGTTTTCATTTTAAAAATTTAATCAGCTCTATAAATTGATTTTCGCGTATTTTTTAGCCTATAAAGGGGTTAAACCAATTTATAGAAGTGATTATATGGATCAGGGTTTTGATTGGCCGGTAGGCCAAATAAAGCAATCTTATTGGTCATCCAAAAATGCACTTCCATAAATTGGTTGAGTCCCTTTCAACTTTAGGCCATGAATTAAAGCATAATCAATGGTAAGATTGAGGAGGTGAAAATATGTTTTCCCAACTTTACAGAAATTTTTCGTAGTACATTTTATGCACGTGGGCTCAAACAAGTAATGGAATAATTTGTGTTTTTACATTTTAGTTCGATAGGCTGATTTTTCTCCTGTTCTATATTTATTCTCAGAAACAGGTGTCAATAATCTAGGTCTTCTGTTTCGAATCATATGAAACCAGCTGGAAGTTGAGCAATCGCGGAAAATCAGAGCAGCTTGCCAAGTTTTTCAATTTTTGTTTGCGATATTAAAAAAGTATGGAAGGTCTTCTCTGGAAACGTGAGCAACGAGCTTAGCTTAGCTGCCCCTCAAGACGTGGTCTCCTCTTTTTGGTGTATCTTTCTAATCCACGGAGATTATTCTCTAGCTCCCAGTCACGGATGGAACTCGCAAGAAAAATAAAGCTTTCAACTTTTTTGAAGAAAGAGATTGGCTTATATTTACAAAAAATGTCAGTTTCTATAACAGGCAAGAAAAAACAGGGAGGAAATGAATTTACATCTCAGTATCCGCGGCGGAAATTCGACTTTCAGAAACATCCGGCAACACATCTTCAAAAAAGCTATCAGAAAAAGAAGCTCTTTTTAACTCACCTAAGTTAATTGGTCTATCATTTGCCCTGCTATCCGCATTTGTTCCAAAAGCCGTCTGCCTGCCACTTTTCATTTCCATCATCATCAACATTAGCTCATCGAGACGTTTGTTCAGCGATCTGAAGTTCCAATTTTAGTCATAAAAGTGCTCAAGAAAGATTTTCTTCGTTTTCAAAACATTTATTGATGAACCACTAAAACATGAAAAACTGCCATTACGCGTATGAACGTCTTTAAACAAAGATTCATTAGTTTTCTAGGAAAAAATCCATTTTGAAAACACCGAAAAGACTTGATGAAAATATGAAATCTGATTGGCTATTCTAGTGAATGTCATAATCTGATTGGTGCATTTTTGATGATGGGGTTTCTTTTTGGGAAGACGGCACGAATCATCAATTTTCAGCTGGCAAATTGGGTAAAAATTTTGAGAAAATTTTTGACCAATCAGATAACCGCATTTGGCTTGTAAGCTAATCAAATTTCAGAGAAAAAATGACCAAACAAAATTTTTTGGGCAAAAATTGTTGATTCGTGCCGTCTTCCAGAAATTTCCGGTCAAAAATGCGCTTATTAAAAGATAATGTGTTCCTTATCATTTTCGATTATTCAGAAAATCAAATTAGCCAAAAACATCTCCGACAACTCCTTGTGGTCGCATATCGGAAATTAAGGTTTCGCTATGTCATTCTAAACTCTCTTTGCATAAAATTCTAGCGCGCATCTAAAATCCCTTCCTCCTTCACGATTTTAGTATTCAAAGGAGTCAGAATCCTTCCGAGCTTGAAGCTTATCTCAAAATTGCCGCCCTAAATTCGAGATTCGCGGATATTTAAAAACCCTCTTGCAGTTATATTTCTTTACGGTTTTGAGATGATTTTCTAAGGCTAGATTAAATACCGCAGTTGTTTTATGCTCGGTCAGAGGGTGATTTATTTGAATTAGAACACCCTAAGAGTAGACAGAGCAAAAGTGCTTAGCATAAATATTTGAAGCTGAGGGAAGAGGATTATTTTTGCAATTTTGAACATTTTATATAATGGCTTAGGGTTTGAAATTTTAGCTTTATGGCAGAATAAACGAATAAATTTGAGATCAAAATTGCTTTTGTTGGAAATTGTTGAAATTTTTATTTCATATAAAAGAAAGCGCAAGTACCAATAACTTTGCTTGATCGTTAAGCTTTCATTTAAAAAAGTAATTCAATCAATTTAAACAATCAAAAAATGAGCAGTTGATGTAAGATAGATACTCGAGAGATCATTTCAATCAAATATAAAATTATTTTGGTTGAGAATGATTTTGCTTTTCATCAAGCCTCTTATATATCTAAAAACAGCTGTCAATAGCCAAGGTACTGTGCATCTTTTCCAGACAGCCGGACAGCTGTTTTTATGGTAGGGAAGATAGGGAAAATAGATAATATCAAACTGGAATCAATAGAATTTGAACTTCTATTTGAAATAATGGTGACCCTAAGTCTTTCTAGCAAAATACGAAAAATGCAATTAAGGGTGTCAACATCGACTTTGGCAAACTTTTGGGACAGGTTTAGACACTAAGATCCAATATTTTTCTCAATCGATGTTGAAACCCTTAAGAAAAAATGTCAAATTAGTTGACCCTTGCATGAATTAACCAAGAAAAATCATGTTTTACGACGTTGATTCCCTTAATAAGTCCACGATTGAATTTGTATTCAAATCATCGTAACATTCCTTTTGAAAGGAACAAGCGTTGCTTTCTTGAAAATCCAACTTAGTCTTGAAGACGTGAGAAACGCCGTTTTTCAGCTGATTGATACTTAGTTTTTTCATTGAAACTCATTCTGGGCGCGATTACGCACGTGCTCCTCGTTTTTCTAGTGACTTACAAATTATCCTCGTGAAGTTGTTTGCAGATGCAATTAACGTGTATCGCCTCTTCTTTCAAATTTCCTCCTTCTTCGACATTTTCTTCGTTTTCGACTTCCTCTTCCGACGAAAAAATAGAATCTGCTTTCTTTTCTGCGTGTTCCGGATCTGAACGGAACAAAGAATCTCCTGGCAAAAGCGTTCCCGCAAAATCCTACCTTGATCTAATAAGCTGCCATCAATAGCATCAGTAGAACCGCGGGCTGAAAATCGGTCATAAGCGCGGTCAAAAAATTAAGATTAACGGACAAATAATCTCCTGTTTTTCGTTTTTAGAAAAAATCCATATTTTGAATTGAAATCTTAAATTCGTGCCGAACCAAAAAGAAAGAATTGCATTTTTGGAATACCAATAAGCTTGCTGTATTTGGCCTACCGGCCAATCAAAACCCAGATCCATATTATCACTCCCTTTTCTTGCTTCTGCCCAAAATTTGGGTTAAACAAATTTATGGAACTGATTTTATGGATCAGCGTTTTGATTGGCCGATAGGCCAAATACGGCAATCATATTTGTAATCCAAAAACGCTCGTCCTTTTCTTGGTTTTGCTCAAAATTTGCGCCTATGTTTGTCGATGAAATTTGGGAGAAGGGGCCAAAGACTGTCGGCCATTTTTGGCCAATTTTGATTGGCTAATCGAGCACTAATTCTGCTTCTTCCAAAAAGCGACAATGTTTGGCCCATTTTCAAAATTTCACTGTGAACTGTAAAACCTCATTCATGATAGCGCGTAACTCTTTTTAGAAAAAAACTGCCTTATTTTTCATGGGCGAGGGGGTATGTTTTCTCCCTCCGATATGTTATTGGAAGTAGATAATCGGCTTTCATGTTGCTCCAACCCAGAATTACACACAAAATTTTTGTTGAATGAACTTTCCTCTCGATTTTTGTGTGCAACCTGCGTAGATAACCTGAGTCAGTTTTTGAAGAGTAAAAATGAAAAGCCGCGTAGCGGCTTTTTTAATAACTAAGCCGCGAAGCGGCTTTGCCAATATCAATAAGATAGATTCGAAAATCACCATTCAAATCTTTGAATATTGGCAAAGCCGCTACGCGACTTCGTTATCAAAAGCCGCAACGCGGCTTCTCACTTGAGCACTTCAGAACCTGAGTCAGGTTTTCAACACAGGTTGCCAAGCCCAGAATTGGACTCTAACGAGAAATTGTCCAGAAACTTGCTCTTATCGCTAATTCATCAATTTTAAGAGACATGTAACTTATCTTTGACACGTCTTATCATTCTGCGTTTATGTCAAGATACTACAGTAATTGAAGCTTATCATTGCAAGCTGCACATTTTCATAAAAGTCCATTTTCAAATAATCATCACCGCTAATTAGCTGATTCACCAGTTCAAAGACCGCGGATTTTCGCTGCCTTCTAACTGGATTCGAAAATCCTCTAGAATTTTTTTGTGTGAGCCCGTTATCATTATTTCGTTATCTGATTCTGCTTCGCCATCAGCGGCAAAATTACCTGTTAGAAAATCGCTTCTATGCTCCAAGTTCCGAACGTCCAGCTCTTCAAAAATAATGTCAAAAAGCGGATTTCAAAATCGCTTCTAAGCGGTGTGAAAATTGACCAGTACAAGTTTACTAATCCGTTCCTGAGTCGGGCTTTGTCTCGAAACTCTGGTTTTTCATGGACTTCTTCGATCCTCGACGGATTTCTGCTTCTGCTGAGCTTTTGGAAATGTTGCTTTTTCGGCGACGCAAATTCAACTAGGGTTGTTTTTAGACGATTTTTAGTGGTTTATTTCAAGTTAGAAATTTGATTGCTAAGGGGGTAGGTTAGGGTTAGCGTTAGGGGTTAGGGTCAAGGGTCAATAAGGGGGGGATGGTGTCTGGAACCGACAAAAAATTCCGAAAAATTTTGCGTGGGCGGCTACTCGGCTGCTGATTGGCCGTTGAGCGAAATCAAGCTTCTGATTGGCTAAAAATTTCCTCGCAAAATTTGTCGAAATTTTTTGTCGGTTCCAGACCCCCATTTGACGAAGTCATTTTTTACAAAAGTGCAAGATTAGAAATTTTCCGGCATTTTTTCTAAAATCTGATTGGCTTACCGCCAGATTGATTGAAAACTTGACCAAAATTTTGGTCAAAATTGTCGCATTTTTGGTCGATTTTAGGGGCTTCCCCGAATTCTAAAAAGATGGCCCAATTTTGTCCCAAAAAATTAGGGTTATGGTCTAGATATATTTTTTTGATAAAGAAACTCTCTAAGATCAAATCCGCTTATTTATGTTTGTCTTATTCACGATAACTTTCATTTCGTTCACGTTTTGTTATTCTCAGTGTCACCTGACTAGAGCGGGCCTTGTCGGAAGCTGGATCTTCCTCGATATCCGCCAGGATTTTGGATAAGCCGGGACGAGGTGTTTTCCTAAAAACCTTTTATCGCGTCAATTTTGTTTTGAAGAAGTCACCTGATCTTGTGGTAGCGGCGCAGGTTGTACGTCAGGCGCATGTTTTGCTGGAAATGGCTGCGGAACTGCTGGTAGAATCCCAGTACTCGGTTAAGAGCTTTTATGGTCTTTATTACTGCTCTATAAATTGCAAAATCTATAATTAAAGGTTTTGAAAGTATAAAACAGGGGGTCCCCCAGTTCATCCTTGACTTTTAACGTGTGGCTCCTTAGTTCATCTTGCCCACGAACAAGGGCTCCACACGCTGAAAGTCAATGATTAACTAGGGGACCCCTATTTTACAGAAGAGTCATGCAGCATGACTCATGCTTTAGCGATTTTTTCATCAAGTTTCCGATTGGCCATTGATGAATTTAAGCGAATTTCGCTTATCCAATCAGCGGCTTGTCGCGAAAAAATTTGGGAATGAAGAAATCTTGATTTTTGATGTTTTCCCAGATTTTTTCGACAAGCCGCTGATTGGCTTAGCTAAAATCGCTGGATTTCAGCGATGGCCAATCAGAAACTTGATTAAAAAAATCGCTATAGCATGATTCAAATGTATTTTTTGATAATTGAAAAAAATTAGAAATTGACGAAAAACCGCATAACCATTTGTAACGGGCACGAATTTGGACCATTCCTGAGCGCTAAACCCGGGCTCGTCAAAAACGAAAAAAATAAATTTTCTGATGGCAAAGCGCTTATTTAGTTTGTAAGTAAGTGAGGCCCTCGAGAATCGTCGCTAAACCGGATCAATATGGTCAACTCAGCGACCATGTGGCCGTTGATCGAATCCCGAAAAAGCCCATCAAAAGGCCGTTTACAGCCAAAACCGGAAAAGTTCAACTACCGCAACGAAAATTACAACGTACGGCGATGGGTATCTAAACCTCTTAAAAACTCATGAAAGTAGCGTTCGAGATAGCATATCGGGTTTAAATTCGACCACAGTGGACCTTTTTTGAAGCTATTTTCTCGAGAATTTTAATGTAATTTCTGAAAAAGAGCCATTGGAAAAGCAGGGAAAAACGGTTCTAAACGGTTGGCGTTTCTTATATTTAGAATCATGTTTTCGTGAGGATTTGGACCGCATTTACTCAACCTCAAAGTTGAAATGTTTAGCGGTCCTCATCTGGCTCTAGAAAATTCTGGAAAATTGAAAATCAGGTTTCTTACTCTTGCTATTCGAAATAGTGAATATTGCCATCAAGCGATCTGATTGGCCAGAAAAAGCCCTTTTTTTGAAGAGCGAAATTGTTGACCAATCAGATGGCTTGGTGGTAATAGTCTTTATCGGCATAAAAGTGTAGAATTTTTTCAATAATCCTGTCCGCGAGTTTTCCACTGTGCTGAAGAAAATTTAATCGCAAAATGAATTTGCTAGGAATATTCCTCCCAAAATTCGCGTCACAAGTTTGTAAACGCGTAAAAACTGAATTGATCCCTTAGTCTGAATTTTGTCACGCTCCTTCTAACAGGCGAAAAGCATGAGTTCACAAAGGTCTCTTTTTCAACACGACATTTAAAAATGCGCTTTCCCACAAAATTGAATAACAATAATAAAGTTTCACTTTATCAACAAAAAGAAAGGGTTTTGACGAGCCCGAAACTTGATCACGTGCAAATCTGTGTAGGTCAAAGCTCTGACGTAGACAGCCGACTGTAATTAAGGGTAGATGCTGTTTTATCTATTTTTTCTTTTGGCGGCATAAATGTCAACTTGCGCGTCGGGGAGTTAAAAATAGAGCTGTTTTGAAAAGAATCCTTTTCTTATCAAAAAATTTGTTATCAAGAAAATTATTTTATTAATAAAATTTAATTTTAAAATCATTTTTATTTAATTAGTATTTAATTAAATTTGATATTATTTAATCAAAAAATAATTAAATTATATTTATTTTAAAAATTATTTTATTAAAAATTAAATTTTATAAATTTAATTAATAAAATAATTTTCAAGCTAACAAAGTTTTTCTGATAAAAAAGATCCCTTTCAAAACAGCTCCCTTTTTAACCCCCGACAAGTAGCAATTTGAAGCCGCCAAAAAGAGCTGTCGAAATATTTTCTTCCGAGTGTTCGAAAACGTGTAATTAGCCGCGTATTTTGGCGGTAACGATTCGAAACCTTCGTGTTCGGAATCCGCTTTATTTTTCCTCGAAATTCGGAGAATCCGTCTTCTAAAAAAAATCTACCCTTTTTCCTTTGAAATCAAGTTCAAATCGGACTTGAGCCAAATGTCGTCGCCAAAGACGTCGCCGTTGGAGAGGATTCCCACCACTTCGTCGTCTTGAATAATTTCCAGAGAGCCGGAAATGATAAAATTCAACTCGTCGACAGATTCCCCTCTAAGAAACAAAGCCTCATCCAAAATCCGAAAATCCGCAGTTTTCAAATTCAGCCACGAACAAATAGAAAAAAACTACCAACAATGGGATCTTTTAAGGAGGTCAAGTTGCAATGACTTTTTCAAACAGCGATTTCGAAGTGATCCCCTTAAGATTTTCGAAAGATTTTTCGCTCAAAATATAGCCCGATATTTCGTCGAGGGCAACAAAAGTACAAACACGATCGTCCACTTCTTAAGGGTGTCGCTTCGATAGGTTAAAATTATCGTTTTCTACTTAAAAATTATCTGTACTAAAAAGTTTACTTACTAAATAAAGCCTGGGTTGTATAAAACTTGGTATAAAACTGGGTTGTTCTTACTATAATTGGTCTTTAAAAAGACCGTTTTCGACTGAAAATTACTGTTGCTCTTTTCAGCTCTCTTTTATGTTTCAACTTGTACTATAAATATTGACTTACAGGGGAAAGTTACAAAATGGTTCTGTCAAAACAGACTTTTTTCTCTGAAACATGATATAATTTTAAAGATCGCTATCTTTATAACTCTCTCAAAATGCTCTTCAAAATAACGAGAATTGATAAAAGTGAGTGTCTTGAGTCTGAGTTCGGCAACCTGTGTAGAAAACCTGAGTCATGTTTTGAAGAGTTGAAATTAAAAGCCGCGCAGCGGCTTTTATATAAACGAAGCCGCAAAGCGGCTTCAGCTCTCAAAAGCCGCTACGCGGCTTTTCATTTTAGACCTTCAGACCCTGACTCAGGTTTTCTGCACAGGTTCGCGAGCCCAGTTTTGATTTCATTTTCATTGTGTTGATCGCTTTGGAAAGATTGATTTCAAGTTGCAAAAACGCGGTTTGTTTTGGAGACAAGAAAAAGTGTTCTTTGGAATAATTACTTTTGCGCGGTGAAATTGTTATGATCCCGAATTCGCCAGTTGAATTGCCAAACAAATCAAAATCAAAAGCTTACTTGTGGTAGACAATATCGCCCGGTGACATGTGGCAAGTGGTAAATTCTAGCGCGAGCGCGCGGAGACACGAATCTGAAGAAAGTTAACGCGACAAGTGTTTATATTCATTTACATTCATTCGACCAGCGAAAGTTACAAGCAAAAGTAACGAAATATGAGAAAAGTAATGTTCAACGCAAATTTGAATTTTTCAACACTGAAAATTTGAAAAGTAAACTTTTAAAAAAGAAGATACCGTGAGTACAAAAATTCTGAAGAGCATAAATGAAAAGCCGCGTAGCTGCTCTTAAACAAACAAAGCCGCAAAGCGGCTTCGCCATATTATTATTTTAACCTAACCTAGAAATCAACAAAAATTTCGACCAATTTCGCATGGAAATTTTTAACCAATCAGAAACCTAGATTCGGCTCACCGGCCACTTAGCAGCCGAGTAGCCGTCCACGCAAAATTTGTCGAATTTTTGTCGGTTCATAACGCAACCCCGTTTCCGAGCCCAATTTTCGACCTTAACCCTAACGCTAACATTATCCCTAACCCTAACTTCGGATTTGCCGCAATTTACCTGTAGCATATCGAAAAGCATCATGATCGTTGAAGACCCTTCTGTTCAGATGGACGCAAATGTCCGCTCTTTATTTTCGGATCCCAAATATCAAATTTCTGCCAAGCAAAAATGAAAACAACAAGAGACAAGAATTCAGCAACGAAATGCCGCTTTCAATCTGTGCAAGATATGCAGCTCAGATTCAAGAAACAGCTCAATCTAAATTTCTACGCGCAAGGAGCAAAACCTTCAAGCTGAAAATGGATCAAGTAGTTTTAGAGGCGCTTGAACTTGCTTTAGAAATCATCAAATACGTCGTTTTTTCAGCACCATTGATGAGCTTGGAAAGTTTCTTTGAACCTCGTTTTCTATCATGTGGATAATTATATGCGTCGAACCGCAGGGGCTAGCCAAGGCCTCAAAACAGGGTTCACTCATCGACGCAGATAATGGTTTCGAAAATTGACACTTGCTTTTTGCTTAGAAATGGTCATTTGTTCAAGAAAACCCTTTTCAAAGCGTAGAGAGGAGCTATCATTCGACCATCCAATATCTCTAGAATCTTGGCTTGTGGTTAGGGTTAGGGACTGGGAACTCTTGGGGGAGCCGGGGGCGAAGCCTCCGGGTGTAGATTGGGGATCCTGGGGGCGTACCCCTAGGTTAGCGTTAGGATTTAGCTAGAATGATAACCCCCTACTACCTTTGAAAAATCTGTTTCTTTGATAAAGAGTCTCCATTTTTAATCATTAATTGTTCAACAAGAATTTTAAGAAAAAAGATGTTCGACAACGATTATTTATAATCTTCGATTGTTAAGAGGACATGTTTCCAAATGTTTTACTTTCCAACATCGCAAAGCCATTGATAATGACTCGTGGTTACTTTACTTGAAGCACCTATTGAAAATTGAACCGCATCTTGACCAGAATATATCAACGGGGAACTTTCAAAAATCTGCCCTTTTGATGGAGAGTCTTAAACGTGATGAAGTCAGAATTATCCAGTTTTTGACCTGATCGATCAAAATTTACAAAGCCCTCTATTAGCTCAACTGTCGTTTACAAATGACACGCAAGCGTTTTAGTAATTGGAGATCCGGTCCGTAAGTCTTTTGGGCAAAAAGACAACACTTTCTGAGTATCAATCCCCTTCGTCAGCGTCCATGTTGAGACAATGTAATCCATTATTCGTTCTCGCAGACCGTGCGGTATCTAAAAGCGTTTTTTTATTTGTATAGGGTATGAGCGACCACTTTGTTGTTCAAAAAAATTTCTTTAGAAAATTTGAGCTTTAGAAAATTAAAAATTTAGATGTTTTCGTTTAGAATCTAAACTTTAGATTAAAGATCAGAATTCGAAGGCCAGAAGTTTTGGAATGCTTGTGGTCATAAACTGTTGTCGTTTTCAGCTGGTGCAGAAGGTTGAACTTAGGATGAGGTTTACAACATTTTGTGGTGGGAGAATTAGAACTGTTCGGAGAACATGGATTTGAACCACTTGGATCAAGAAAAAGTTCGATCAGTGAAGCCTTCAATAAGAAGAAACAAGGTTCAATAAGGTGGTAGCAACTTAAAATTATGATTTTTTACCCTTACTCAAACTTTAACCCGAAATTTTTGAAGGGACTTTAATAAGGGGATAGACCGCGTTTACTCGAAATTTTTGATTTCTATTCTTAAATTCTACGACAATTAATTAAGGGTGTCACTAGGAAAATTGAACAGCATCAAGAGAAAGGTAAGGGTATCTTTGTGATGTTTAATTTTTCGAGTGACACCCTTAATAAACTGTCTTCGTAAAAATTAATAATAGAAATCAAAAATTTTAAGTTAACGCGGTCTATACCCTTATTAAGGGATCCCCCCCCGTTTTGGCCATTTTCAACTGGAAATTCAGCCGATTTGAGCTGATGAATTGGGGCGTATAATACCTCTACGGATAGCCCAGGTGCTATCCGCTATTCTCTAGTACAGAGAAATTTTTTGCTCAAGGCAAACCTACCACTAGGAGGGGCCAAAGTTCGAAATTTTCGAAAAAACGCCATTTTAGGCCATTTTTGAATCGAAATTCAGCAAAATTGGGCTTTGATAGACGCAATCTGAAACAAGATTCTGAAAAAATAGAGCCTAATCTACAATCTCTAGTACAGAGAACCTTTTTGGTCTAGTAAGAAAAAAATTTTCTTAAGAACAACTTTTTGATGCTACTTTAGCCCTTTTCTGGCTTTAATAAGCTCTCTAGCGCCAATATATGGCCAAAAATTCTAGTGCGGTCATCATATTCTTTCTCCTTGCATTCTAAGCTATCGATAGACCCCTTATTCGTCTGGTTTCGTTGACATTGAAAAGTTGAAAAAAATTGCAATTTTCACGCTAAGTACAATTTATATGCAATTTTACGACTTTCGAGGGCCAGAATTCTGGGTAAAGATGTTCGTAAAGGGGAAGTATGATACATCAAAATGATCCTCAGAACATGGGGAATCTAAATATGCTATAAAGAGACCCCTGATAAAGAGTTGAAAAAACAGGGGGGGATCCCTTAAGGACCTTTCTAAAATTTCTGTGATAAAAATTTTTAATAAAAGATAAATTTTCTTATCAAAAGCCAACATATTTTTTTTCGTGTCATCTTATTCTTTGGTACCTGATAAAGTCGCATGAATTCTCTGACAGAAGAAAGCATGTCGTGATATCGATTTGTGTCCGCGTAGATTTGCTGAATGATGGTCGTCACATTTCCGAAGATGGTCGCGTACAGCAAAGCGCCGAAAATCAGCATGCAGACGCAGAAGATCTGCTCCGCTGCGGTGTTTGCCGCGACGTTGCCGAAGCCAACCGAGGTAAGCGAAGTCATCACGAAGTAAAGCGATGCTAATGTCTTGGCTCGCCAAAAATTGACCACGAAAGCGATTTCTTTTCAAAAAAATTCTAAGGATTTTCCAGCCACGAGCTCAATTTTATGAGAATCGGTATTTTCGTATTAGGAAAAAAGGAACCACAATTAATATTTTACATTCTTTTGGGGAAGAAAAACTCATTTTTACGAGAAAACCGACCTTCCTGGGAGTAAATACTTGGGCTGGAGATAAATGAAATTCCGGACGAATAAATGTTGAATTCTAAATCGACTATCAATTTGACTTGCTACAGTTGCATAAAGAAAACAGCAATTCATTGATCCCGCAGGAATTTCGACCCATCGTGGCAAGTTCTACGACAAGTGAAAACCCTAAGATTATCGAGTCAAAAATGCCATTACTTTCCATCCCCCACACGAGGCATTTTACGAAGAATAATTGACAAAAAACTGACTGGTTTGCTTTCGAAGATTTGGAAAGCTGAAGATATTGCTGGACACTAAACGTCGCCAAGAACACTTGAGCAAGTCACCTCCGGTACTTATGCGGTTGCCCAACGCCAGATGTCACATTGTGGCGAATGGAATCCGCGATTCTTTTCCGAGGACACGGCAGATTTGTTTTACGAATTAATCTTTTCTTGAAAAAAAATCGAGTTTTCTTCAAAAATGAAAATCGATCGCTAGATGGCGTTTTTATATATTTAGCGCCTTCGAAAAACGTTCTCTGATTGGATAGCATCTTAAATTCACATTTTTTGATTGGTTTGTCTTATGAATGCGCTAGAATTGTTGATAAGATCTCGCGGTAAAATTCGACTGAACCTTCTTCCACCTTCTCCGCAAATTAGCGGATAAGTGGCAAGTGATCCCTTTGGATCGACGCGTGGCTTTTCTAACGTTTACGCGGCTGATTTGACGACCCAAGTGCCTGAATAACACTCGCTTGACGAAGGACAAATCCATAATTTTTTCTCTTCATCGCTTTCAAGCTTTGTAGCATCGTATTGAGGGTTGTCTACTTCGCAGTCCCAGTTGCAGTCGACGTCAAATTTGAAGGGCTTGTTGATGGTTTCGCCCATTATTATGAGCCAAGAATGCTGAGTTTGGAGTTCCTCTTTTTTAATAACAAAATAAGGGCGAGAAAAATCAGCCAATCAGAAGCTCATATTGGTTTTACCAAGGAAATTTGGATAGGAGCATATCTGATTGGACGGTAAGTAGATTTCGGGCTTCTGATTGGCTGAAAATTTTTCTGCAATTTTTTCGCTATGATTTTTTGCTTATTTTTTCGAATCAAATATTAAAGTTCTTATTGAGGAAGCCCTGGATGTAAAGCTTCGCCAGTTTCTTTGTTGCAGAGTTCCTGGATCCCAATCGAGTACCAAAGACACGCCAGCCAGTGCCCGAATAATCCAAAAGCACTTAGTCAAAAAGCTCTTGAATCAAAATCCACTTCCTCAGAACAAGGAACGTGGCCTTTTCCAACCCGTGTCAAATCAATAATTCTCAGCCCAAGAAATTGACTAACTTTATTTGTCGCTTTCTGATGATCTCACTCATTTTTTCAAGTGGCGGATCTGGGAAGATGAAGCAATTTAGATAGGACAGAAGTCGATTAGGACCTGTATTAGAGATTATTACCTAGGACGTAATGAGCACGCAGTTTGATAAAAAGGGCCTCTTATTTGAAACTTAAATCCAAAGAAACGTGAGTTTGTTTTCTTACTGAGACAAGCCAAAAAGCGAATTCAAAATCACGTAAAAATTCCGCCTCAAACGGAAGTGAAAATTCAGTGAATACCCTTTTGAAAAATTACTTAGTCTAGCGAAACGTGGGACAACATTCGAAACAGAGGCGCCGGAGAATTGGGGTTAGGGTTAAGGTTAGATTAAGGATTCATAAAAATCTGATCTTGGCTAGTAAAAAAACGGACTAAACCAATCTATGGAAGCGCATCTTTGGATGACCAATAAGATTGCTATATTTTGCCTGCCGGCCAATCAAAACCCTGATGTATAAAATCACTTCCGTAAATTTGTTTAACTAAAAAAAACTAAGTCAGATTCTGAAGGGCCTAAATGAAAAGCCGCGTAGCGGCTTTTTTAAAACGAAGCCGCCAAGCGGCTTCGCGACATAAGTTATGTCACATAACCATTTTCTACAGTTACTGTAGCACAGTCTTTCAGGAATTAATGTACATGAAGAGTGTCACTTTTATACCTCTATTCTAAAATGAATGTGATGGAATTTCTATGTTTCGTAAAAAGTAACGAAAGGGCGCTTTGTTAATTTCAGCAGAAGGGTTTTAACACACGTCGGTGGGCAGCCGGAGGTGGCGGAAAACTGAAAAATCATCCACGGGTTGGATTCTTGCGGTCGCAGAGAACGTCTTCTCGGAACCGAATTAGAAAAGACGTTCCCGCCGCGCTTGAAAGAGACGACTTTCATGAGCCCTTCCAGACAAGCAGAATAAGCATGACGCCTTTCAACTGGGCTCAACGTCAGTCCAGACTTGGGAATACCGTTTTCGCTTGTTCCCGCGTCAGACACTTCAACTGTCAATTTTTCTAGTGCGCGTTCAAGCTTCTTACACGAATAAGGGTATAACGTGTTTCTTCTTGAAATTTAAGGGTATATCCGACGTTATTTTTGAGGGACAAAAATAATTTCAAAAAAGGGAGCTCAAAAAAGAGGGATAATTATTATCAGCTATTTTTTAAATAACATGGTGACACCCTTATTTTATTTTATAAAATAGTAAGTAAATATAAAAGTAAGAATTATATTCTGAACGAAAAAGAGGCTCAGAAAAAGAGAGATAACCATTTTAAATTATTTTTTTTTAAATCATGGTGATACCCTTATTTTATTTGATAATATAAAACCTAAAGAAAGAATTATATTTCGAGTCAAGAAAAAATATTTTTTATTTTTAGAAAAGCCTGGTAATTTTCTCGTACAAATTGTACAAATTTGATGAAAATATAAGGGGGTCACATTTGTTAATTAGTGTGCAAGAAACCATAATCAAAAATTAAGACATCTGCTTCACGAAAACAAAAAATAAAGCCACGTTGCTATTCTTTCCGCAGTTTTTTGTTATAAAAAAAACAAAATTACAATATTTTAAAATTATCAAGTTATCACTTTTTTTCGTTCAATGGCTGTGTTAAACTTTGTTTAAAACGCATTATCTCTCCAGGTGAAAAACGTAGCAGTTCTGATAAAAAAAATAAGAAGTTAAAAACAAAAAGATTTCGTAGAACGAAAACGTCTTCAATCGTGGAAATCCATTTGCTTGCAGATTCTCGCGGATTCTTGAGTCCGACCAGACGCGGTAACGTTACCGTGGTTATGGCCCTGGTCAATTTTGGGAATGTTCTTGTGGCCAAAATGACGATTTTTCTTAGGGAGGAGTTTCTTTTTCTGCAAGAGTGTTAGTTTTTTCGAAAAAACATGAATTTGAAGATCAAAAGATCAAAACTAAAACATCTCGAGTCAAAAATAGACGCCAAAATGACAGTTGAAGCGTCTGATGTGACTTTTAAGGGGGTAGACAGCGTAAGTCTCAAACAGATTTTATTCAGTAGGTAAAATTTAAGGGTCTCAACTTCGATTTAAGAAGATTAATTCAGAATACTACTTAGTAAAATAATCAATAAATGTCAACTTGAAAATAAGCTTATTCGACCTCTACCCCCTTAATTTTCCAAAAACGGGTGGAGCCCAGTTCCTGAGTACTCGGCAAAATGGTCCAGTTTTCGAGCAACTCTTGCCACTCTCAAAAGTCGCGCCACTTTCAAAGCCGAGAAAAGAGACGTAATTCCTCCATCAGTAGTTCCTGGCTCGTCGTCCTCGCCCGAGATGATATAATTAATGAGATCGTAAGGCAGACTGGGGAAGAATGAGATAAAGCAGCTGCGTAAAATAAACGTCCTTACCAGGAAAGTAAATCCAATGAGAACCAATTTGAGACGTAGTTCATGCGGATGATCTATTTTTAAGAATTAAGGGTTTTCAAGGGAAAAGTTTTCAACGAATAGAAGCATGAAAATTTTTCGAATTTTTAGCCAATGAAAAACCATTCGCAAAATTTTCAGCCAATGAGCAGCCGAATCACCGCCAAGGCGAAAGAATCGGCTAGATTATTGCGTTGGCGCCTTTTCGGCTTCTGATTGGCTGAAAGAGAGAATACAGGAATCTGATTGGCTAGAAATATTTTTGTTGCATAACTTACCTTTGGGTCCATAATAACTTCCCCACTGCTGGAGACAATGGAAGTCATGAAATTAATAACGACATCAGCAATGAAGATAACATCGACCATGCTGTCAATGACGAGCCAGCTCATCTTCTCCCATCTCTGAGCTGCTCCGTGGTGCGCAAGATTATTTATTGATAAATTCTTTGCGTCGATTATCAGTGTATATTCTGGATAATGCGACGCTGACGTGAAATTTTCAAAACTGTCAAACACAAACGCAAAACTCGATTTTCTTTTTTGCGAGAAATCGACTCATTCTTCCAAAAGAACGAGAAATCACCACTTTCCTGCGCCAAATTGATCCTTATGATTAAATGCTACACTGTAAGGAACCATCATTGCGGTGTAAAATGTCTATTTTAGAGGGTCCGCAAACGCGTTGTTTTCAGCGCTCCTTTATTTGGACTAAAAATTTTAGAGCGGCGCTGTTTTGAGTCTGATAGGTTCCATAGAACATGGGAAAAATACTCGCTTATCTTGTCAGAAAATATAATGAAGACAGATTACCAAAATGAGACGCCAGCTCAACGTTGATTGAATTAGGTCTAAGTGGATTCACTTACAAGAACTGCCCCTCGAGAAAAATCTCTAGAAAGAAGGAGAGTTTCCTTTCAAGAGGAGAAGCTTATCTATTTTGGCAGATTTTTGGGGACCCTTTCATGGCAATAAGAGAATGAACCAGCCCCAGATCTGCTTGAACGTTCCATAATGAAGAATAATATAAGCAGGGACGGATTGACTGCTTGTGTCGAGGAGTTTGACATCCGGGCCCGTCTTGCTTTCTCGCTCGGGGATTCGCAACATGTCTTCATTGCACTCTTCTGAAAATAAACGCTTTTTATTTTGAAGCAAATTGTTGAAGCTTTTGAAGGTATTCTGAAATTATACGATATTGATGAATGATCTTATGAATAACTTTTATTTTGACAAGTTAAACTTGCCAGGAAATACTTTGAAGAAACGCCTCATATATTCATCTTATATATATTTTCGCTTGAAAATGGCAAAAGAAGAGACGGAAGACGGTTTGAAAATAAATTGGGATTTGTTCACACAACTTCTCGTGAATCGGTTCCGATTGGCAATAGGTTTTGGCATGGGCAATCTCCATGAGGCTTTGGGCTACCACAAAGTCATGAAAGAGAAAGACTTATGGGAAATTGACATTCACCCTCAAAAATTTTATGAGCAGCTCGAAGAAGGTGAAAATAAAAAGAATAAGCTTCTCAAAAAATGATTGTTGTTTTTAGGGTGGCATGAGGTCTTCGGAAATGAAGGACGGTCAACCCTGGAAAGAATAAAAAATGATCGAGACTTGTATTGGAACAGGATTGCGGCTAAAGATTTATATCAATATAGTTTAAATTCTAGACTTAAAGTATATATAATATACTCAAAATCAATTTGATCTAGCCTGTCGAAGCGATAGGCGTGACGTTAGCAAGCTCCAAATTGATGACGTCGTTAAGTTCTTAGAGACAGCAATTCAACATAATTTTTGTGCCCGAATTCCTCCCGAAGGAAAAGAAATGAGTTGGAATAAGGATGGCGGGCGACTTGATTCAAAAATCATTTAATAAATAAAATTAATCTCATATCAAAGCTACCAGCCTAGTCTATACAGTAAGTCAGCTTTAGTCTATAGATTCTATGGCTAATAGTCTATAGGCTATAGACTATATTGTACAGATTCAATAGTCTATAGAATCCTTCACTTATTTTGAAACAAGCCGTCTGCTATCCTTTAAGCTTGCTCATGATTTCGTGAGCATTGTCTTTGTGGTGCTATTCCGCGCGTCTGCAGACCATAAAGAAGCAAATGACAATGTAAGTGTATTTACTTTTTTAGTCGAAAATGTCAATTTTGGACATGGAGCCTCTTGGGGAGACGGACGGTTCCGGTACCAAATTGGTACCCGGTACCAAAATTGGTACCCGGTACCAGAAATTTGGTACCCGGTACCAAAGTCAAGCATGTTTTCTAACTGATCAAAAAACTAATGTCCGCTCCGCGGCTGAAGTGTGAGGAATCTCCATTTATTGACCGAATATACCTTTTAAAATCAATTTTGGCTCGGTATCCTGACATTTTTGTGAATGACTTTTCCGTATGACCGAAAAAATGATTTGAAAAGTCAGTGGAATACTGTATTCCGAATACACCTTCTGTCTCGTGTGGTTATCTTTATGTTAACTTCTCAATACACGGGGTCGGTAAAACCGACCACGGCGACTTTGTCCCTCAATTTCAATCCGTTTGACCTGATTTTTGCAATGTGCACTTATATGAACAAATCGAACCACTATGCGAAGTTTCATGAAATTTCTCGAGAGGGATGGCGTTTTGCACCAGATTTCTCTCGAGCTCATTATCGAAAAATTGGGAGGTTGTTTTTCCTTGATAATATCGTTAGTGAATAGCTGTCAGCTCAGAGTGTTCAAGCTTTCTTACAGTATAGTTTTGAACTCATAACCTCGACGGTAACATGAATAAGAGGTCAACATAGTCGGCGCTGTTTTTCACACTACGGATTTCGCGCGCCGCGCGGGGCTGAATAATGCTTGGTGGTCGGTTTTCCCGACCCCGTGTTTTGAGCGCTTAGTCGCGCGCCCGTGTATTGAGAAGTTAACTATACTTTTAGTATGCTGGAAGGCGGACATTACATAACAATGACGGTTTCAAGACGCAGAGTCTACGTATGGCAAGAATTCTTGAAATGACCATTCGAGGAAATTTATAAGCAATGTCAAGTTGCCAATTATTTTTCCTCTGAAAAAGAAAAAAAAACTTGAAAATCAACCTTACCATATAGCCGTTTTGTCAGCTGAATAAAAACAAAAAACAAGTGTTCTAGCTTTTCAGAAAAAAAAAACTTGCTCATTCACTGTTCACAAAAATTACCGCTGTTGCTTCGAGTAAATACGAGTCAGGGCAATGATGCAAAAGATAAGAATACACAGACGTGTCAATTTGTGCCGCCGATAAATGCTAGCTAGAAGAGTCGTACCTGGGTTTGTCTGGCGACTTGAGCGAGAAAACATCCCAAATCTGCCAGGACCATCGCGGCGCATTGGCGATTTTAGCTCGGGCTCGTGCAAATGCACCGTGTAGAAAATGATTTCCTCTGTAATTGGTTTGATTGAGCCCTTTCGAAATGAGCCTCTGAGAAAGTTATGCTATAAGGATCTACTCGATCTTTGTAGCAGATGACAGGAAAATTGAAGCAAACTTGCGTTCAGAAAACTAGAATATTTCCATTCAAGAATTTTACTTCCCAAAAAAATTTAAGATAGAACGGAAGAAAAAATCATGTTCTTGTCAAGAGTTGAACCCGCAATCTTCAGATTTAGTATTTTTGGGGTGACTTCAGGAACCAACAAAAAATTCGAAAATTTTTGCTTGGGCGACTACTCGGCTGCTGATTGGCCCATTAGTCAAATCCAGGTTTCTGATTGGTTAAAAATTTCCACGCAAATTTGTCGAAAATGTTTTGTTGGTTCCTGATACCTCCCCTCTTTTTTGCCTAAAATTTTAATTTCCTTTAAAAATAATCTTGATTTTCCTTATGAAACCAGTTCCTTTATGATTTCTTATCGGAATACATTGAATCTGAAACATTCTCGCCGCTCCAGATCGTTTGTAAAAAATAGCATCGACCTAAAAAAACATGATGTTTTACTTACGAAGATCAACAGTAATTTTCCTGTTATCAGTACTGTTTTAGTGGGTAGTTGGAAAAATACAAAAAGTCCGGTAAGACAAACAAAAAATAGCCAATTTACAACTTTCCAGTAAGATAACGTTACAAACAACAATTTTTTCCACGACGTTAGTTCCCTTAGTTATTTTCTCGGCATTCCCGCATTTCCCCCCAAAGCGGGATCGTCTTAATTCCTTACCTGGAATGTTTCTTGCTTTTCCATGCCATTTTCGATCATGGAAATGGCATTATCCGTCTTCGGGCCGGCCATGAATTCCAAACTGATTGACTTGAACAAGACATCCCCGCGCGTGTATCCTGTCGTGTAGGTGAATTTATCCGACGAGTAGACGATCGGTAGGCCCTACCGAGGGATCATTAATCAGGCTTGCGTGGATAATTATTAATCCAAAAGGATTAAGACTACAGCTCAAATTTTAAGGCGAGAGCAAGGTGGTGACGAAATTTTCAAATATTATTCCCAAGGTTATCAATTTTTGGTGACGCTAGAAAAACGTGGTCTTTTCTTCAGAATAACAAGGTATTTCTGGAGCGGTTTTTTTTTTCTACAATCGTTTCTTCTGATAACGAAATTTTCTATCTTTCTCTTCATTGGTTGAAGCTTTTTTTCGACCAATCAGAGGGGAGGTGTCTGGAACCAACAAAAAAATTTCGACAAATTTTGCAAGGAAATTTTCAACCAATCAGAAGCCTGGATTCGGTAAACTAGAAATCAGCAGCCGAGAAGCCGCCCACGCAAAATTTGTCGAAATTTTTTGTCGGTTTCTGGCACCATCCTCAATCAGAGGATTGATGAAAAATTTCGTTATCGCTGACAAAATTCTAGCGAAAAATACTTTCAGATTGATTTCTAAAAGAAACGTTTTTTGTCTCAAATCCTCTCTTTTACGCTCCGCTATTTCTCAAAATTCAACTTATAGCTGTTCTGACGTATTGTCAGCTTGCTTCCCGCCTGAGAAATACTCAAATACACACTCAAATGTCAAAATGTCTTAGGTATGTTAAAAGACGCTAACCTCGAATTTTGTGGTTGTTGCATGACGAGTCAAGCTCGTGTACCTAATTTAATGCTGAGTTTACGCGTGTTTGTTCAACCAAGAAAAAAGCGAGAAAAAATGAATGAACCCTCTCCTGTATCTTCGCATTTGCCAGGAGAAATGAGCCAGCTGAAAATCATTTTTGAACAAAAAAAATTGTCTTATCAGTTTTTTTTTCCTTTCAAAATGCAATTTTAACACGTTTTAAAATGCTCTGATGGTGATTTTCGCAGAAACTGCTAGAAAAAAATGCTTGATTGATTAATATTTGAGTTTTTTAGGCTTCAAATGGAAATGCTTCAAATGATGGAAGATCAATCGCTCAGGGCGATTAAAACTTACGCTGCAGTTTTAAAGTGCTGGAAAATGATTGAATGCACATTCGACCTGATAAGGCTTTTTAGAAGGAAGAAAGGCAAGGGGGAAAATTAACGGGAAGTTACGTTTATTCAATTTTTATAAATTTTTTCAAGGAATTATGCTCTTTTACTCCTGAAATATGAAAAGCTTCATTTCTTATGCTTCAAATGACCGCACTATATCTGTATGCTTTTGTTTCATTTCTGTTCTTATACTTCTCCGCTGAAAAGATCCCTTTTAATATCGAAAATTCAGCAGGTGGAAGAACCTGATCAAGGCCACTTGATTGAGAAAATCTGCGGAAAATTCTTGAATACTTTTCTTCGCTCTATCTACTTCAAATTTTACGCTCTCATCCGACTGAGTACCATGAAGTTTAACTCTTTGGGGAGAAAGCCCCTGGCCCCTCTTTCCCGTATCCCGCACAAATCACTGTCGGGGAAGTCTAGAAAATTTCTTTCACGCTTGCTTTGCGGTTTAGAAGAATCTCGAGATTCTGAAGAACAGAATCTGGAAAGTAAAGGGGTCTGAGCCAATAAGAGAGCCGACGAGGGTTTTTGCCATGACTAGGTGCTCTTGCCGCGAAATTGCGCGCGCTGCACATCGAGCGACTCTCAGGGCCAGGGTCGCTCAGATTCTCTAATCTCCCCTTAGAGCTCAACTCCATGGTATAAAATGCGGATCTGTTGGCGGCTCACTCAAGTTTTCTTAAAATGTAAACGAAATCATAACCCCTGTGCTAGTTAGAGCGCTTGAACCACAAAAACTGAAAAAAATGATTCAACTGAGAATAAAACCACGTCAGCTCAATCAATTCAAACTTCGCCCAAAAGTGTCCTCTCAATGAGACTCTTCTCGCGGCTCAATTTTATGCTCTTTTTCAAGTTGACGATCAAAATTCATCAACTTCGAACTGATCATTGAAAAAACATAATTTTCACCGTGATCCGAAACTGCAAGCATGAATTCCTAGAAAGAAGCAAAGGGACCTCTCGCATGATCTGGAGCAGGTTAATCTCGAATCTTGGAGTTGTAGTTTTCTCAGGGTTGTTTTCAGCTGATGCGTGTTGATGATAGTTGCGCAAGGAAAAGAAGCGTTTTTTCTTGGGAATCAAAAAAAATCAGCGGGTTAACTTAGAAAACCATAGAAAAGATCGAAGAAAAAAATGGGCAATCTTGGGCTCAAATACGATAATTTCATCGTCAATCTTGGAATTGAGATTTTGAAAAAAGTCTCTGTTCTGGGCGCGGCAAGCTTTTTCCGAAACATGAGTCAGAGCCCTAATGAATATCAATGAAAAGCCGCGTCGCGGCTTTTTTAAAGCGAAGCCGCTTCGCCCAAATTTAATAAAAGACTCTAATAGTAATTTCGCGAAGCCGCTTTGCGGCTTCGTTTTTAAAAAAGCCGCTACGCGGCATTTCATTGATGTTCATTAGGGCCCTGACTCAGGTTTCGGACAGAGCTTGCCGAGCCAAGTTTGTCGTATTCTATCGGATTTATTTTTTGGGCGATTATCTTTGGACTAAACCATGTTCTAACCAAGTGTTCGATAAAAGAAAAAATCAACAGCAAATCGGCTTCTGAGTAAAAGCCCTGCACTTTGCATGACTTTTCGCGCGATAAAAAGTAATTCCCTTCTAGTTTTAAATTGCGATAACTTGCTTAGAATAAAATCTGCTGCAGCTGGCAGCCTGGCACGTAGAAAATGCGATGTGATGTAATTGGAGTGAAAATGGATTACCCGTGTTTGACTTTCTGATGATCGCTTCTAGGAAGTTGGATTGCGCGCCGCCCCCTTCCTTATTCTTCCGCATTTCCGAAGCTCAAGATTCCTTTTCCGAGTACACGTTTTAGATTTCGCCAGCTACAAGGGTAGGTCATTTACGAATCTGATTGAAATTTCGTGGGGTGTTCAAAATTGGTAAAGGCGATAAATTGAGGGATAAAAAAGGGATGTACCGATGATGACGTCTAAAAACCTGAGTCAGAATTTTGTGAGCGAAAATGAAAAGTCGCGTAGCGGCTTTTTCTGAAAACGAAGCCGCAAAGCGGCTTCGCAACGTATTCACTCTTATCTATTTAAAAATTTTAAATAGATAATAGCGGCTACAGTTTCAAAAAAAAAAGCCGCTACGCGGCTTTTCATTTTCTCTCTTAAAAACCTGACTCTGGTTATCTACAGAGGTTGCCGATCAAACTTTCGGATACAGGAAACTACCTGTGTAGAAAACCTGAGTCAGGGTGTGAAAGAACTCGAATGATAAGCCGCGTGGCGGCTATTTTTAAAACGAAGCCGCAAAGCTTCGAATACATTTTTTTCAATAGAGATCTTCCCTGAGTCAGGCTTGCTACACAGGTTGCCGACTACAGCCTCGAGACCTCTTTATTTTCTTATCTTACCTCTTTCTAATTCTTTCTGAGAAATTTCATTTACTCTCGCGTTTCCATTGATCTCTAATAATTGTGCGACTCTCTCAAAATACTGTAAATTTCAAGTGACACAGTGGGCTTTCTCTTTTCTCCCTCTTCCCTTCTCACTTTCTTAATTATTCACTTTCTAAAGCTGGGAGGAGAACGTGATTAATTCTCGCTCAGGGAGAAGTTATAGATAATTCAAAATGCTACTCACCTGCGAGAATTTATTGTTTCGCTCAATTATTCCAGCACCACGGCCTTCCCTTCTTTCGTTTCATCTTTTATTCTGAAAAAAAAAAGCCTGCAATAAAATATGCTTTATATCAAAATAAACAACACGTATAATTCTTTGAGGTACTTTTTCTTCTCATAACATGGCTCAATTTAACAGATGCGATAAGAAATAATTGCTTTTGGGTTACGCTAGCTTGGATTATCAGAATTACGAGGGTCAAGCTCTGACGATGAATAATTTTTTTGGAATAAACCTGTTCATGCGTGTTGATCTTTCAAAAGTCCAACAACAGGCAGTAACAAGATCAATCAGAAGCAGAATTCACCAGTCGGCGTGTCGAGGATTTTGATAAATATCGGATGGGCTTCTGATGTTTTCATATCAGAAAAAGCTTCATTCATAAGAGCTTCCTCCTGAGTGGCTAAAATGCGCAAAAAAGGGAAAATCTTGATTTCGAGAATCCACTGTCGGCATCCGATTAGCCCCATTCTCACCATTCACTTCATCTTTTTGAATAAAACTGAAGTCGCTTTGCTGTCAAAAAAAAACAATTTTGAAGAAAATGAGAAAGCTAGAGAGAACTCTTCGAGTTTTTCCTCGAAATGAGTTCGTCCGACACTGGGGATTTTTTGGCCTTTGTCACTCTTGCGAACGGTTTTTCTAACAATTTTATTTTCAAATTATTTTTTAAAATTAAAGCGCGGTCGAATCAACTGCCGAGATAAATGGTCAACGATTCTGTCGGGACTGCAAGGCTGAGAAATTCCCAGAAATAGTAACAGCAATATTCAACGATTCTGATGCCACCTTTGCCTGCCCTGCTGGGGCTTGTGGAGCTGACGATCTTACCCTCGAAGGGTTTTGGATTGGTTCATGCTGTGAAAATGCTGCTTCTTGCGTTGACGATGAATGTGAGTTTGAAATTATAAAGAGATCATTAGTTTTATGCTCTATTCAGTCAAATATGAACGACTCTCGATTGTCAACAAAATTTACGAAGAAGCGAGAGATGAAGAAGATTCTGCCGAGGAGGATGTTGAAGAAGCGTCAGAGGCGCTCGAGAAGGCTCAGAATGATGTCGAGAGAATCAAAGAAGCTTTGCAAAACGCTGAAAATGCTCAGCAGAACGCCGAGGAAGAACACGCAGCAGCGAAAGAAAAGCTCGAGGAAAAGAAAGCCTGGCGAAAGAAAGTTCAAAAACGAGCTCTTGTTCTTGCTGAGGACGCAATGAAGGAAGATAACCGCGACTTGGGTAAGCTTCTACAGAGAATTTCAAAAAGAAATAATATTAACCTAGATGACGAGGATGATTCTGAGGACGAAGATTGCGAAGAAGAGGAATTCGAAGAAGAAAAAGACGCTTACAAATGCAAAGTCTGCTTTGAATTCTTCGATGACGAGCATCAAGAAGCCGCGATCTATCCATGCGGTCACAAAGCCTGCTTCAACTGCCTTTCTTCTCTTCAGCCCATGGTCTGCCCAATTTGCCGAGCGCCATTTGCTCCTCGCTCAATCCTCAAGCTTTTCAATAACTGACCATTTCTGCCTGCAAGTGTTGAAATGCTTCACTTTCCTTGGCTCCGATCCTCTATCGTCGAGCAAAAATAAAAAGTTAAAAAAATGACATTGAAGTCTCCTCCATTGCAGTCACGTTCTTGTTTCTTATCTGATCAACGGGCTTTTCCAAATTGATTTATTGCACAAAGTTTTTCAGTAAATAATTTTTCCTACAACAACAACTGGCAGTAACAAGATCAATCAGATGCAGAGTTCACCAGTCGGCGCCCCCGCCAGCTTTGGCTCCCCACTTCGAAACACGTTCCTTTTTCGCTGGCTTTCCACCTTCTCCAGCGGCGGTTTCCGCAGCACCAGCTTGTTGCTTGAGCTTTTCTTGCTTTTCCTTGCGCGCTTGGGCGAGTTTCAACGCATCTCGACGGCCGCCAGAGCCGAAGCCGCCGAATTTCTTCGTGCCAGTTCTAACACAAATGTTAATTTTTACACTTCCTTGAAGTCAAATCGCAAAAATGCGGCGTGAAATTGAAGGAAAATCGGAGAAAATCTTAACATATCACGCACATGTGGACAAGGACCATTTGCGGGGCATTTTCCGACCTTGAAAGAGAGCCAAAACTAGATGCTCTCCCCAAAATTGATGATCAGAACTTGACTATGCCAGTCCAAAATTTTTGAAAAGTTTTCGGCAAAATCAAGTTCTTATAATTAATTTTGGGGAGAGCATCAACTTTTGGCCCTTTTTCGAGTCGAAAACCCTTTGAAAGTTGGGACTAAAGTCGGCTGTGTAGAAAAACTAAATTTGGGCCGGAAAGAGTGAAAGCGAAAAGCCGCGTAGCGGCTTCGCAAGAATTTTATAATAGACCGGAATTGTAATATTTGCGAAGCCGCTTCGCGGGCTCGATTGTCGTAGCGGCTTTTTATTTTAGCTCAATCAGACCCTGACTTAGGTTTTCTACACAGGTTGCCGAACCCAGATTTCGGGAGAGCCTTAGATATTTGCAAGTGAAAAGCCTATTTTCGCAGTAAAAACGTGACTAAGAAATTTTAAAAGCCCTTTTAGACGCGCCACAAAATGCCCCCTTCATGTTTCTATCAAAACTTACTTGACGATTTTCGTTCCTTCCCATTTCGGCTTGACAGGTTCGGGTTCAACTCCCGCCTTGATCATTTCTAATCGGTCCTGGACTGATAGTTCCTTTGGCTCTTCTCCGACCGCGGTTTTATCGTAAGCGGGACCAGTCATTGTTGGAACACTGGCGAAAGTTATCGAGCCGCTCAGGTCCAGACGAGAAACTGAAAATGACGATGAAAATCAGTTCAGAAAAATCGACAATTTAGAGGAAATTGGGCTCGGCGACCGGTGCACAAAGCCTGAGTCAGGGTCTGAAAGATCTCAAATGAAAAGCCGCGTAGCGGCTTTTCTCTAAACGAAGCCGCAAAGCGGCTTCGCCACATATCCTATCGACTCAATTTTCAGATTCTTCCGAAGCCGCTTCGCGGATTAGTTTTATAAAAGCCGCTGCGCGGCTTTTCGCTTGAGATCTTTCAGGACCTGACTCAGGTTTTCTACACAGGTTGATGACCCAAGAGCGAAGGGTCTCTCTGTTACATCAGTATTTTTGAACAATTGATAATGAATTTCTAAAACGAGTTTACCTAAAGTCTTTCGGCGATCTTTCAGGTGAGCGTCGATAATTTCGGCGAAGAGATCACGATCGCACCTTGTGTATGCTGATACTAATAATTGACTGAAACAATTCGTCAAAACATGCAATTTTTAAATAACACTGACCGCGTGAGATCAGCTAAGCACGGGCTGCCATCGGCAAACAAGCTTAGACCAACTTCAAGTGCCATGCCAGGGTTTCCGGCGTCGCACTCTTTCATTGCTTGGTAGTACAGGTCTTTGATCGGCTAGGAGAAAAATGAGTAATAATGGGGAAGAATTTGTAGAAAAAATCAATTTTTTAGTTCAAAATTAGACGAAAGAAAATTTGAATTCATAGTTTATTTATAATTTCAATGACGTCAGTGAAAAAGAGCCTAGAAAGGGAAAAAGGTCGTCCAATTTTTAATTACTACAGAAGAGTATTCGCTTCATTTTATTTCTAAGTATTTTTTAAGATATCAATGCACTAAAATCTTTGGAGTTGTTTCATTTGACATATTTTATTCTTTCCTTCAGAAAGTTCGCTTTTTATATCGGAAATTTTGCAGGTGGAAGAACCGAATCGAGGCCATCTTTCCACTCGATTGGCAAAATCTGCGTAAAAATTTTTCCGCTCTATCTACTTCAAATTTTACGGTCGAGAATAGAACTCAGTATAAAATAAAGCAGAGACTCAAAAAAATATTTTAAAATGCACACAACTTGAGATACAACAATCGGTCTTAAAGTATTGTTAATTTTCATTGTCAAAAAATGTTAAAATAATAAACGAAGCTTCCAATGTCCTATAAAAGCGTCGTTTTTATTCTTTCAACCTCAGATTCCCAGCTTTCTTTCGAGCCCCTTATTTCAGAGGCTGAAAATCTGTCTCTTATTAGTAACTTTACCTTGAGATGCATCTGTATGAGCCCATCATTATGTGAATTTTTCAGCGTTTTGAGCATATTGACAAGTTCCTGTTCCTTCTCTTCTGTGAAGCCGTTGTAATCTTCAATGACAAATCCGACCTAAACAAGTTTTAAAAAGAGATTTGATAATTTAATTGAACAAACCTCGTTCACTGTTTTATTGACAATGAGCATATCGCGCCGCTTGAAATCCGGTGTTTTTCGATTGAAATCGATCTCGTTCCGCTCGCAGTACTCGATAAGCGCTTCGTACAGTGTTCGTACAGGAAGTGTTTGGGTTCGACGATAAAGGACGATTTTGACGGCGCCGAAGATGTTTGCTGCTACACTGTACATAGCTCCAGTGCGCTAGAATCAAATTTATCCCATGAAACGTGGATGAGCTCGGTAGCCTGTGCAGAAACCCTGTGTCAGGGTCCTGAATGAGCTAGACAGGGATGGGTAGTTAAGCAAATCCGCGCTGCGGCTTCGTCTTTAAAAAGCCGCTGAGCGGCTTTATTTTCGTTTCACGATCCTGACTCAGGTTTTTTACACAGGTTGGCGAGTCTTGATTCAAATGTGCAAGTTTAGCGCTAGAAAAAGAAATCTTGGAATCGGGATAGAATTCTTTAGAGGATAACGGGTGTCAAATAATCCTTCCAAATCGGAGACTTGAAATCCGGAAATCTTTATGAAATATGAATATACATTCGCTGTCATCCGCGGCGAAAATAGTGGCGGATTTTCAACACGGAAATCCTTTCGTTTCGAAAAAATTCTGAGAAGAAAGCTTCTTCAATTATTAATAAAAAAGATGAGTTGCGAAAAATGTTACAGGAAGAGGACGACTGTAAAGCCGGATAAGTTCCGTCAAGATTTCCGGGGCGTCTATTTTTATAAAAAGCCCCGGTTTCAGGGGCCATGAAAAACAAAGTTCTGTTGAAGATTGTAGTCATCGGAAAAGGGAATTTTCCAACTATTCTTCGAAAAAGTAAGAGACTGAGAAGTTTTAGTTCAACGAAACTAGGCGAAAAAAGCCGTGAGCAGCTGTGCTAAGCATCCTGTAGAATACTTTAATCATAGTCTGAAAGATCTCTCATGAAAAGCCGGGTAGCGGCTTCAGAAAAACGGAGCCGCGGAGCGGCTTCGCAAGAATTTAAAAATAGACTGTAAAGATAACTCTGGCGAAGCCGCTTCGCGTCTTCGTTTTCAAAAAACGCCGCTACGCGGCTTTTCATGAAGGAGATTTGAAACACTTACTTTTCAATCAAGAAATTTATAAAATGAAATCTTGGGTAATCCCCCTGTACAATCCAATTTTATTTGCTTCCAGAACAAAACCAAACCTCCCTAGTTTATGTCACGCTTTGCGTAATTCCTAATTAAGGATGTACCTGATCGTTGGAGACACAAATGGACGCGGTTTCTTGCGGCAAGTCATTATAGACGCCGACATGCCAGTGGTCGCGCACGGAAATGATACAGACGAGCAGTTCCGGCGGGTCGTAGTAATATCTGTAGCGCATGTGATTTTGGATGCACTTCTCTGGGTCGGGCAAGTAGCCAGGGTTTGTGTAGCACTTGTGTAGCTCTTCGTAAGGACCGACCATTTGCATTCCGTTTTTGACGAGTTCATTCAGCGGGTCCTCTAAAATTACGAAATCCAGTTCACGTGGCTCCCGTCATCGGTATTCCTTAGAGCCGGGCGCAATGGCAGCGCGAAATCTAATTTCCGAAAAATTCAACGAACGAAAATTTAAATCAAAAAAATCACATGGGAACAAAAATCAATTTTGCTGGAAGAAAAATTAAAATAAAGCCGCGCGCGGCTTAAAAACCGAAAAACATTTTGTTGAAAAAAGCCGCGTGCGGCTAAACATATATTGAGTTAGAAGATCAATAAGGAAAAAGCCGCGTGCGGCTATTTCTTTCGAAAAATTTTCGATCGTTTAAAGTGAAAGCCGGCCGCGGCTTTTACGATAAAATCAGTTGTAAATCGTGAAAGCCGCGATTTTCTCTTACCTTTGTTTAGCTCTAGCATGAATTCATACATCAAGAAGAACGACCTCGGGAACTTGATTCTGTAAGCTCGGTTCATCGCATCTTTGAACTTGTGATGAAAGACGGGCTCAACCCTTTCCGGGATCGGCGGAGGTGGCTCCTCCGTGAGATCCTCTGGCACTTCGCCGCGCATAATTGCTTGGATAAAAGATAGCGGCTTTTGCAGTACGCGAGCCACATGCTTTAGAAATGAGTTCAAACTTGAAAAAAAATCGACTTTTCAAACTATTTTTCTCGATTTTTGAACTTTTCCTTTTGCTCTTCCAAAAGTCGAGCTTTTTTGCGTTCTTTCCTCCTTTTCGCCCTGTCTTCAAGTCGTTTTTCTTTGTCCTCAACGGATTCATTTGCAAAACGCATTTCTCGCTCTTTTCTCCATTTTTCTGCGTCAGTTTGGTTTGCTACTTTTGCCGCCTCGATTTTGACTTTGTCCAGTTCTGGTACTCCTGTCAGTTCTTGAGGCTAAAAAATGATTGGTTCAAACGAAAACATTCACACTTATTAAATTTAAAACATTTTTTATTCGGATTTTTTCAGTCAGTTTTTTTTTCGTTTAACATTACGTCAAAAGCAATAACTGAATTAAAAGAGGATTCATTTTAAAAGCTTATATTGACAAGTGTGCCGAAATGGTAAATATACATCTTTTTGATATTCATTTTATGAGTGCCGTTCTAGTCCCAAGAAAGCTTTATATTAGGCGAATTTCCAGGTGGTAGAGGCCTGGTGTTCAGGCAATAAGGTAAAAAATGGTTTGTTCGTACGCAAAGGACGATAGATTCGTATCTCTATAATGACCGAACCATCCATTTCTTTGAATTAAAAAAAATGACCTTTCAGGAGAAAATAGGAGGTATCCTTATTTATCGTTAACTGGCTGCATGTGTACCCTTATTCGACCTCAAAGTTCTTGCATGTGTGCCCTTGTTCATCCTTGAGCCACGTCGCTTTTTACGACTTTCAGATTTGAATACCACGGGTAAAGAAATACCCCCGTTTTAAGAGAACATCATCTTTTTCATAGAATTACAGTTCCCGTACCTTAGGAGCGCGTGGATCGGGTACGCCACAAGTGTAATTCCTCCGGCGCGCAGCAATATCTCCCATGTTTTGTTGCGCCGCCATTGCTCCTCTTCCTCGGCCTCTACCGCGGAATCCGCCTCGTTGATTAGCTTCACGCTCAGCGATCTTGTGTGCGAAGGGATGATCCGCAACCCATCTGTCTTTCGGTTTCTCCGGCCCGCTAGAATTAATTTCAAGAAAAGATGATAAAATGAAAGAATGCTTACTTGTAGTTCGCTCCAGCTCTGGCTACGTAAGGATCGTTGACCATCTGAGGTGGCGGGCGATCGTGTTCGACGGATTTGGCAGCGGCGGAGGCAGGAACCAGCGCTCGCTCACGATCTGGAGATCTGTTTTCAACCCGGTCGTACGCATCGTCCGGCGAAGCTTCGCGCCTGAAAATAATCGAAAAATATTCTTAATAAAATAAAAAAAATCAGCCCATTTTTTACCTGGCGACATCAGAGCTAGAACTTCTGGAGGAATCTGAACTTGTGCTACTGGAACTACTGTAACTCCTTCTTCTGCTCTTTCTCTTTGATTTCCTTCCTCTGCTTCGACTTCTGCTTCTCCCCATAATTCTGAATTTCCTCTTTTTTTCTTTTCGGCGCGGGATGAAAAGAATCTGATGCGCGCGCTGATTGGCCGCCCGCGATGCGACTTTCCAGAATTTGAATTCGCTGAAAATTGAAAAACGCGCATTTTCAAAAGCTTCAAAAAAGGACGAGAAATGTCGGAAACAGAGAAAAAGGAAGATGACTGGTTTGGCCAAAAAGAGAATATTCAGCCGAGAAGAAAGGGGCAATCTTCAGGTAGTTACAATAACGCTAAATTTTCAAGCGTAATGATTTCAATACATTCTGACTGATATATTTTCGCTAGAATTCCGCTTCAAGCTCAAAAATCGAGAAGCCGCTTGCGGCTTCGAGTAAATTATCGCTTTAGCCGCGCGAAGCGCGGCTTTTCCGTCATATTTCACTCGAAGCCGCATGCGGCTTCTCGATTTTTGAGCATCAACCGTAATTCCAGCGAAAATTAATCAGTCAGAAATCAGAGTACTGTAAGTTCCGTAATTGTTAAATTGAGCTTGTATCAAAAAGGCTTGGTTTGCAAAATTTCGTTATCTGAAAAATTGTTGTTTACAGAAAGTAACACAATTTTGTTCAAATTTGTTTATCCAAAAACAAGTTAGAGAATCTCTTATTTAGAGTGCCTGTAAAACTGACCTCAACCCTATAAGAAGGGTTATTATATCAAATTAACCAAGTTACGCATGTTTGAATATGTTTTTTAGATTATCTGGCAAGACTGGCAAAACAAAACGATCCAGAATTCCAGGCACGAGTGAAAAAGGAGCAGGACGAGTGGGAAAATCGAGTCAGATACGAAGCGCAAGAGAATCCAATGATTTGGCACGAATACTTCACTTGGGCGAATCAGAATGTTTTCGATAGTTATCAACTAAAGGTGAGCTTTCTCAAATCGAGAAAAAATTATTGAAGCTTTTGAGTCAAAACTTTTGACGCCCTAAAAATTCTAGTTGTTATCCTAGAAATTGAGATTTAGGGCTCCAAATTGTCAGTAAAACTTCGAAGGTATTGTCCTTAATTCTCGATTTTCGAATAAATTTGTCAGATCGCGCTTTTGACCAATGAAAACCGAGCGCTCTCTATTTGAAATTCAAAATTCGGCAATTTAGGACGGAACCCCCGTAGTTTTACTGACAATTTAGGGCGGCTTATTGACAATTTTTAATGGAAAATCGTTTCATTCGTATTTTTAGATTCTCCAACACAAAGCCCTAAACGGAATCATCCGCAGCGAAAACTCTCTCGAGCGATTCGGCAAAAACGAAAAAGTTTTCGAATTATTCACCAGAGCAGTCGACGAAGCTAAGAACTGGCAAGAAATCATGAGTTTTGTCCGTTCAAAGAAGTTTTTTGTCAACATGGCGAAGTTCTGGACGATCTGGGCGGGAAGACACGAAATCGAAGAAGGAGTCCGCGAAGCTGATGAAATTTTGACGGAAGGAGAGAAATACTTGGCGGCGAAAAAAGAAGAACTCGCCGAGTTGCGAAAGTGGCGGAGCAATATGGACATTCGAATCGCTCTCGGGCGATCTCGACAAAGAGCTAGTGACTTGGAATCTGATAATTCGGAGAGGCAAAGGAACAGGTCGACGAGGCCGGCGAGGAAGTTCGGAACGATGATCAAGAGGGACGACGATCCACAAGGAGATAGACCTGGTGGAGTTAAATCGAATGCGAAAAGGAGTGGCTTACAAAACTCGCTCTAGCATGATGAGAGTTACGAAAGATCAAAACAGTCATATAAAAATAACTAGCCCAAAATAAACCAATAGCTCACTATCAATTTGATAGTATCAAAACCACAAAATGGATTTTTTTGGACAGATACAAGATTCTTTTTTTCTTGTAAATAGAACTTTCAATACTCGAATAAGCAGAATTTCCGTTCAATCGAATTCTGCTTATTCGAGTCTTGCAAGTTCTATTTACAAGAAAATAGGAATCTTGTTTCTGGCCAAAAGAAAATCCACTTTGCGGTTTTGATAGTGAGCTATTTGGTTTATTTGGGCCAGCTATTTTGCCGATTATTCGTTTTAAAAACTGATAAGATATAAAAACATCTGAATGGATGAAAGCTCCCGGAGTAAGCCTTTTCAAGAACGATTTCTATTTTCAAAGATAAAACGGAGCCCACGACGGTGGCGGGTTTAGAAGGAGATTGGAATCGCCAGAAAGTGCCGCCCAACATCAAAATTAAAGGAAAAGAAAACAAAACAAAGGCGGAAAAGTGGAATAAAGGAGGACTCAAGGATATTGAAGCGCATGTTCCAAAAGCGTCGAAGTTGATCATTCCCATTGACGATGAAAGTGACGACTCGGATGATGGAAAGATCACGAAAGGAAGCTCGAAGTCCACGAAGGGACAGGGGCAATTGAAGGAGATCAAGGGAAAGAAACTCGACCAGTTCTGGAGCTTCGATGAAGAGAAAGAAAAGGAAAATGGAAAACAGAAGTTTATGTACCGAAAAAATGTAAGTTATTTCAGACCATAAAATTTTTCCACGCCTTGAATAATGGATTTTTCGAGGGACGGTTAGAATAAAAATGTTAGCTAACAAAGTCTAGCCTTCATTATTTTTGCTGGCTCTCAGAGTACTTCAGACGGATGCGATTCTTAGCTCTCAGACGGGCAGGAAGCTAGTCTGGGGACCCTTCTGGAGAGGGTTAGGCTACGGTGGACAAGGCAATTTTGGTAAGCCCTCGGTCGCCTGCGCGGGAAACTGAGATGAGGTCTGTTTGAAAAGCTCGCGAGAGGGCCCTATTTATAAATAAATGTTCCAAAAAGAAGTAACTAAAATGAAGTGATATTTTTAACAATTGATATTTGATAGCTTTCTAGAAATCTTGGAAAGAATTGCGTACTTAAGAAACCGTAAACTATTAAATAAGTCTTGCAAATATAACAATATTTGAATTTTTACGGACTATTAACAAGCTTGTGAACTCGCGAGTTCTTACTTTTTGACAGCTCTTTTGCACGGCCTAGATTTCAAGATCGGCAGATCGAAGCCCGGCGGCGAAAGGTGGACAAGGCAATTCTGGTAAGCCCTCGGTCGCCTGAGCAAAACGCATTGCAGCGGGTAGTTTTAGCTTAGTCGACATCTGTTCGGAAAGCTAGACTAAAATCTGCTGAACTAGTTCTCTTCGGGTGCTCAAAAAGGGCCTATATTTATGAAACCAAACCTAACTGCTCTTCAGGAGATCAACATGGGACTGAAAGAAGTTTCCTTCGAAGAGCTGCGCGCATTCAAGTACTCCCGCTCGATCGAAAAAGCCGCTGCGAAAGAAAAAGCGCTTGAAAATATTCGCACTCCCGTTCAGCGAAAACTTGACGAAGACGAAATGCTCAAACGAGGCCAATTCTCGCCCGACGCCGAAGCCCACGATTTTTCGCCAGTCAAATTGCAGTAAGTTTTTTCCTCCGTCCTTTTTTAACAAAAATGCTCGCGGAAAACATCGTTTTTGAACGGTTAACAACGTGTGACGAGGTTGCTAATGAGCTTTTTGATCTGAAATTGATAAACTAGAGTAGGTAGATTTGCGGAATCGAATTTGGACGAGTTGGGCTGCGGCTTGATTCCTAAAACACCCGAAATCGAAGCAAGAGATCGGAAACTCTCGCGCATTTCCGAAGAAGCCAGCGTCGATTTGGAACTTGAAAAACTCCCTGACGCTGAAGAAAAGCTCCGGGAGCCGGTTGTGAAGAAATCGAAGAAAAAACTTGCCTTTAAAATTTTCTGCGATGATCAATAATTTCTCCTCCTTTTTAGCTTTTGTTTACTGCCGTTCTTACTCCATTCCTATTGCTAATAAAAGTTCAATTATCGGCTGTACAATAGAAATTATCAAATAATCTTTATGCTGGTGTCGGCAACCTGCGTCAAAAACCTGAGTCAGGGTCTGGTGTTTATCTCTTTCAGACCCTGAGTCAGGTTTTGTACACAGGTTTCCGAGCCCATCTTTTATGTTCATTGTTTCCTCAAAAATCATCTGGATTTCCTGAGAAATGATCTTTCTTTTGCAAATTTTAGTTGAACTAATTCAATTGATATCAAGGAAGAGAACCCTCAAACTAAAAACCTCTTCAGAGGGGCTTTCGAAAATGTCCGACGGTTTAGAAATCCACTCAATTCTCGAATTCGGCGACGAACCTGCCCCCGGCCTCTGGTGGGTTCTTTCTCCTTCCGGCGAGTCCCCGCCAATTCGCGCAGGAGCTGCCTCCCTCGTTGTCAAAAACGAGGAGCGACCAGAACTCGACGAAAAAATCGTTATCACCGGTGGCGCAACACCTGACGGATTCATCGACAATTGCGTTGAGTTGAATTTATTTACGGGCGCGTGGAGGGCACTTGAGTCAACACAGTTTACCGCGAGATATGAGCACGCAATGATATCAACAAGCGCTGATGATAACAATGGCGGTCAACTAGCGCCACTCGTGCTGCTCGGTTCGAGTAATTCAGAAAATTCGACGGTGCAGGAAACGGGATTTGCGAATGGCTACCGGTACTCTTATTTGATTATTTTAAAAGCGGAAACGGGAGAAAATCCCCGTCCAGGCTCAAAAGCTTACAGTTTCCGGCTGGGAGAAGGTTGATTTCAGTGGACCTGCGATAAGCTCAAGAACCGTGGCTCAACCGTGCTTTAGCGATAAGAAGCTCTTCATTTGGTCAGGTAAACTTATATCATCCCCGGAAATGGCCTCCATTTTTGTTTATTCGGGAACTTCTAAAATCAACTTTTCCAGGTCTTTTCCTGTCTAAACTTTAGAGCGACTTTAAGATTATACAAATATTTCATTCTTTTTTTGCGTTTTGAGGAAAAACGCTAATTCAACTATTTTTGTTTTTACTGCACTAAAAGTTAAACTCGAGTTTTGCTGGATTATATTTTATTGATAAACCGTTAAATTATAGAAGTGTAATATTGTATCTTACGAAACTCTCATAGAATCCAAATTTAGACGCCATTCTTTGCGCGTGTCCATCCAACTTGCTTGTCGTCTCTTCTCTGCTAAATTCGTGTCCGTTGTGAGTAAGAATTTCCTGCACGACAGCTTTGAAGGGTACTCCGCCGTCTGAAATTTTATTTAAAAACTTTTAATTCTGGTGCTTTACCTTTGTTGCAGATCCAGAGATAATGGCATCCTCCCCATGTGGGGAGTATCGAAGCGGGTGGCAGCGTCGCCGACGGACATGTGGCGCCTGCGAACTTGAGCGTCCATCCATTCTCTTGCACCGTTATCACGTCACGGCTGAAAAACTTCGCAGAGTTTTTATTTGAATTTATCAATTATTTATAATTGATAAATTAATATTTAAAAAATCCCATTCCTTTAAATTTATTTGCGTTTCTCCAAGTGCCAGTAATTTCAGGACGTTTTGGATCTCATGTTGGCTCATCTGATTTCTTACCCCGCCAGTTTCAATTGACTTATCATTCTGATAGAAGTGCCCAACGCCCCGAAAGGATCCTATTTTTTGTCTCGCCTTTTCCAATTTCTTTCTTCTAATATTATCGGTTTCTTGGCCCGGAAACCTGTGTAGAACCCGAGTCAGGATTCTCAAAGAGCTTTAATAAAAAGCTGCAAGTGGCAAAATGAAAGCCTCGAAGTTAAAGGATCCTGACAAAGGTTTGCTACACAGGTTGCCAAGCCTAGATCAGTAGCTCCCTGTTCTCGTTGTTGTCGCTCACTGGCCGGCGCTTCGTTTTCAGTTTTAACTTCAACTTTCTTCCTTTTTGGCCCAGGTGGTTGTTCCTTTTTAATCTCTTCAAGTTCTTTGGCCTGTGCTGCGTATCTTTTCTTCGCTTCTTTTAGTCTTCTTGCGTTTTTCTCGAAGCACATCCAATGCTCGTGAGCCTTCTTCAGCGAAGTCGCCTGCTTGCACTCTGGGCATTTCTTCCCCTGCAACGCGAGGCAAGCTTTCTGATGCTCCTTGAATTTGTCGTAAGGCACCGACATTCCACATTCATCGACAGGACACATGAGCTTGATTGTGCTCAAAACCTTCGCCATTAGTCGTGCCTTCTCCTCTTTGAAATTCCCCTTTCGGCAATTCGGACATCTTGGAGCAAAATTGTTCGCCAAAGCATTTTGTTTCACCATGTCAAGGCACTTTTTACAAAAATGGCCTTGGCAGCAAGTTACAACACTTGGTTCCTCGAATTTTTTTAGTTTTAGTTCCTAGAAAATTTTTACCTCTAAGATTGAGCGACAAACTCCACAGTTAATCTCGTCGTTGATCTTGGACGATTCGTCAATCTCTGCATCGAATCCCATTTTCACTTTTTTTGAAAATAGAGGAGCTTATTTTTCCCAACAACGACCCTATTCTCGAAAATCTAGAATCAACTAGAAGAATCGTTAATTTGTCCTTCTTAGGCGGCACTCCTTCCGGCCCATCACAAGATCAATCCGTCTACGTCGTCTCCGATGGAACCAGCGTCGAAAAACACAAGATCTCCGGCGAAGTGCCCTGCCCAACTCAAGAATACGCCGCTTGCGCTAACGAGGAGTTCATGTTCATCCACGGGGGCTTGACTGCAACGGGAAAATCAAATTCTCTTTACCGAATCAACCTCAAGGTGAGCACCCGTGTGTGTTTATTCAATTAATTTTACATTTGATCCATTAAGACTTTCCGCTCAAAATGCTGCTCAATCGTCAATCCTCCTGGAAATCTGGCAATGCACAAAATGGTCCTCTTCGACGACCGAATCTTCCTCTTTGGAGGTTTGAACGAAGAAAACATCGTTTCCGACGAGCTTTGGGAATTGAGCCCGACGAACGAGCACTGGACTCAATTCAAAGCAAGAAAAGTTGTTTTCGAAACGAAGCCCACGCCCAGATTAGCCTTCAACTTCCATGTTTTGAATCTTCCTATCGCTCCAAAAACTTCCCAGAATTCTGAGCAACCAACGAATCTACCAGGTAAGAAAACATCTGTTTTCACTGCTCCAGCCAATCAAATCCGTTAGTTCTCTGTATAAGCCAATCAAAAACCAGTTGTCTTCGGCCAAGCTTATAAAATAGAAGTGTTTCTTTTCCTAGCCAATTAAAAAGGCATTTTCTTCAAGTGAGCCAATCAAAAGATAGCATTCACTGTTTGAGCCAATCAAAAGCCTCTTTCAAGTCAACAAGCAGAATCTTATCAGTAAACCTAGGAACACCAAACATTCAACCCATCGACGACTGGAAAGTCACTATCGACGGAGCCAACATCAATCCAGAATCCAGCGAATCAAAAGTCGACGTTTCCGGCTATTCCTCAACGCCAGTTCTTTTCATCCACGGCGGTTGCGATGCTGAAGGCGAGTTTTTCAACGATCTCTACGTTGCCGCTATTCCTCCGAAAGCAGAATAGAATAAGAACGAATTCTTTTTTGCCTCAATCATTCTGTAACTCCTCGATATTACTGTATTCTGTATCTTGTTTTTTACTATCAATGAAATATTTTTCTACAAAATAAATTCGCTCAAATTGCTAGAAGAGTTAGAAAAAAGAGTTAGAATGAAGGTTCAACTCCCAGACTCAGAAACATTCCTCAACTTCGACCTAACCGAGGATCAATGCGACACAGAATGCCTCAACCGTGCTTTGATGATATGAAGCTCTTCATTTGGTCAGGTAAACTTATGTCATCTTCGGGAAAGTCCTCCATTTTTGTTTTTTCGGGCAACCTATAAAATCAAAATTTTCAAGAACAAACTTAAATTTAGAGCGACTTAGAGATTTTATTTAAAATATATTTTACTGCTTAATGGTATCATGGAGGATAATTTTTAGTGTTGAACTTGCATCTCACTATCTCATAGAAGGTTGATTTCAGTGGACCAGCGATAAGCTCAAGAACCGTGGCTCAACCGATAGAATCCCTACAAAGACGTGCTTTTTTTAAGGTTAACGAAGTTTTCCAGCCAACTTCCGCCTTATAGACCCCCCAACACCATACCTTTTCAGAATCACCAGAGAATTTTAAGAACTTTGATGGTTTTAGATTCTAGAAAAGTCCACTTCCGGTCGATTCTAGAGCCGGAAGTTGAGGAAATTTGGGAGTAATGGTAGAGTGTGACCTATCAAATTAATGCCCAGAAGATTTTGAGTCATCCTATGATCAATTTATCAGAAGAGACAGTCTCAATCGTGGTCAAACCGACCGGTTAAATTATGTAAAAAAGCGCTGAATAGATGATTTTTTTCAATTTTATTCGGTTGGTCTGACCGCGGTTCGGGTGGGTTACCCAAAAGACTAGAAATTTCACAAGCTTTAATTTAATAGGTCATATGCATGCTTTTATTAAGTTTTGAGCCAACTTCCGGCACTAGAATCGACCGGAAGTGGACTTTTCTAGAATCTAAAACCATCAACGTTCTTAAAATTCTCTGGTGATTCTAAAAAGGTATGGTGTTGAGGGTCTATAAGGCGGACGTGGGCTGGAAAACTTCGTTAACCTTAAAAAAAGCTCGTCAAAATCAGTATCTCTGTGATTTTTTCTTTAAAAGAACATGAACAGTTTCAGCAAGCCGGTTAGGGTTTTTGAAATGATCCGCTCTCATCTGACTTTTTCGCTTGGACGCTGATTCGTCGGTGAAAAAATAACCGAAAATGCACCATCCTGGTCTATCCAATAACTCTTCATATATAAGACTCTGAATCAGAGAGATACTTTATTGTTCTTTCAGGCGAAACGAATCCTCGACAATCGGCGGAATGCGGCTATTCTTCAACCCCAGTTCTTTTCATCCACGGCTGCGACGCTGAAGGCAAGTCTGTGTGTTGCGGCTTTTCCTCCGAAAGCAGAACAGAAAAAGAACGAATTCTTCTTTGCCTCAATGGTTCTGTAGCTTCTCGATCTGGCCTCGGAATTCTGACCTGTCTAAAAACCTGAAACAGGTCCTGTTTCCTGTTTTTGGACCCTGTCCTGTTTCCTGTCTTGCATTTCGAGACCAAAATAAACCTGTAAACAGGCCTGTTAACAGGAAATACAGGAAAAACAGGAAAACACGCCCGTATACAGGAACAGCCCTGTAAAAGTGAAACAGGCCTGTAAAAAAAATTGCAGGAAAACAGGCGAGAAATGGGGAAGATCAGGTATTTTTCGTAAAAATTTTCTTGGAATTTCTTTCAAATATGTTATAAAGAACCTTTTATAGTTGAAACTGTCTATAGACATGATTATCACGAGAAAAAAATTCTTAACTTTGATTCTTCAAGGAAAAATTAGAACCCTGAAATTTGAGTTTACAGGCCTGCAAAGCCTGTGAAACCTGTAAAACAGGACCTGTTCCTGTGCTTTTTATCCTGTCCTGTTTCCTGTTTTGCAAATGGGCAAAAAATAAAATCCCTGTTCCTGTCCCTGTTCCTGTTTACAGGAATCCGAGGCCAGTTCTCGATATAATATCGATAGTAATTTACTGCATTCTGTATCTTGTTTTTTTACTTCCGATCAAATGTTTTTCTACAAAATCAAATCGCTCAAATTGGTAGAATCGTAGTTAGAATGGAGGAACATCTCTCCGACGCAGAAACCGTCGTCAACTTCGACCTTACCGAGGATCAACTTTCCGACACTGAATCAATCGGCTCTGCTTCAACCTTCATTCGTCGCGCCACTGCCCGCAGCTCACTTCGCAGCGAATACAGTACTCTTGATCTGAGTGAGTCGACAAAGCATTCCTTCCCTCCATCGGGCTATTTAGGTAAGTGGGAGGCTGCTTCGCTGGCGAGCAGTAGCGTTTTTGACGACTCGGGCAATGCAATTATGGGCTACAGGGATCTTGTTAGCGAGTTGCGAAATGTTGAAAGGGAGAATTTCACCCTCAAGCCATTTTCGGGTTCACATTAGTTAGAGTAGTTCCTTTATGTCTCCCCCTCTTTGCCGAACCTAATTGAAAGACGAGAATTTATCACTTGGAAAACCGGCTGGGTCAGTTCATCGACCTCGACGATGAAGTTCCTCGATCAGAGCTCATTGATGAATTGAATCGAAATGCGGACTTGCTGGATCAAGCTAATGAAACAATAACTCAACTTAGAATTGCCCTTCATAATGCTCAAACCCAAGAAAACGGCGGATTTTTCCTTTTCCGAAATAAAAGATTTCAAAATCGAGCCTTTAAAAAAGACTCCAAAAGCGAAAAAAGCTTGAGTTCATTTCTGGAGCACGAGCGGAGTATCCAAGAGGAGATTGAAGAATCCAAAAAGCTCGAGAAAATTTCCAATTTGGCAGAATCTTCCGAAAGAGACGGAGTTTCGGAAAAGGCGGAAGAGAAGTCACCGAGTGTTTTCAGTTTATCGTCGCTTCTATTCCTCGGTATTATTTTTCTAACTTCGCGGAGCAACAATTACAAATAAAAAATGATCTTTTTTGATTCTTTATTTTTTGTTTCAATCGTACAGAAAATTGTTGAATTGTGGCTAAAGTAGTAAAGAAGATAAATATGCATGCTAGAAGCTAGTTTTGCTCAGGCGCTTCTTTCGATTCTTCCTGATGCTCTTCTTGAGCGCCTTGAGAATCGTGGTCGCCATGGGATTCGTCATGATGCGAGTCAATCGCGTCATGTTGGATTTCTTTGAGTTGAGCGAGTTGGTCTTTGATATTCTGAAGCAGAAATGAGAGGTTGATATTTAGACTTTCTTAGAAAAGAGAGCTTATTTTATTTTTTATTATTTGTCAACGGTATGGCCCCGTATGAGCTTTGAACTTTTCCATCTAAATTAACTTTATAATTTGACTTTTCCCAATTTCTTTCGGTGACGGCTTGGTTTGGTGGTCCAAGTCGAGGGCAAAATATGATAGGTTCGGATAAATCAATTCGCGCTGTTCGAATCCTATTCTTCTTAGTCTCTTTGGATCAACGCGAGTTGATCCGAAGGACAACACGCGATAAAAAACTGTAGATAGAGTCTCACCAACTCTGGAGGTTCTTTCGAGTTCACCACGGTGAAGTACGGTATTCGCGAAGGTACTTCACCCTGCCCTGCTCGAAAGTTTTGTCTTTCTTTATCTTATATTTTTGAATTCAAAGATAATTTTTCTTCCTTGAAAACCGTTAAGGAGAATAAAGACTTACATTGACAAGATTGTCGATTTCTTTGGAAGTCAGGTCTTTTAATTTTTGATTCGCTTTGGCGTGGTCATTCGATTTCTGGTCCCTGATTTCGTGATGCGCCTGGTTCACTTTTTTCACCTAAAATCACCGTTAAATCCTCGGTATCGGAAAAGTAACAACACTAACAAGATCCGAATAACCCTAAAAAGAGATTCTTAAGAGAAAAATTCACCTGTTCTTGAAAACGCGCGTGCATCTCCATCATTTCTTCATTATGAAGCGCTGACATTTTCTTTAGCTCGTTGCTGTGCTTATGACCGATGTAGAAGACATCAACGACCAAGAGGACGGCGACCAAGGCGACTACGTAAAAGACGTCCAGGAATGTCGGTGCATCGCGTCTGAATAAAAAAAGTGAGTGAATTAAAGTGAAAAGTCCACTATCTGGGAAACACAACATAAAAAAACGGGCCCCATTTAACGGGAAAGCTCTTTTGCGACAACGAATTTAACGGACTTATCATTCCTCAAAAGGGTCATCATTTTAACGGATTTTTATAAACAAGTCATGGGCTCCTAATCCGTTAAAATAGTGACCCTCTTGAGGAACATTAAATCATTTAAACTTGGAACAAGATGTGTTTACCCAATAAAATGGGCAGTCCCGATTGGGAACCCCTTGTTTCATGATGGCCTCTTCGTACCTGACTCTTCTGAGCGAAGTTTTCCAACTAGCAATAAATCCCTCTCCTTCCAAATTCGATCTTCTATGCCTCCTACTCGACATCTTCCCCCTTCTCTAACAGCTACAGTATCTACTTTCTTCCAGGGAGCTATCTTTTCATCTCTAAAAGCTAAGGAAGCTCCGGGAAGCCTCAAAAGTATAAAAAATGCAAAAGAAAAAACTTGAAAGTCAAAAAGGCCCTATTTTGAGAGATGAGCTGAGCGCGCTGCCCAGGGGCATAGCGCTTGAGCTCGTTTACGCGGTTTTTGACGATTTTTTTTTATTTGAAAGAGAAAGAAAATCCGTGATTTGAAATTTTAAATGGTTGACCGAGTGAATACGTTTCTTTTTCGAGCTCTTTGCGGGGTCTTCTTCGTTTTTCTTGTTACGAATTTCATCGCCAGATCGCTGAACAACTTGCAGGACAAGACTTCCCTGGCGATTTTAGAGAAAAATAATCAAATAACTCTAAGGTATATAAATTAATTAAGATATATTAAAAGAATAAAGTAATTTCTCGGAATTTCAGGTTATTTTATTTACACTAAAAGATAAAAAAAAGAGGCGGTACAACTTTATCGGGATATATAATTTTCTGATTCATTTTACTTATCGTTTATGTTGTCGAATGCAAATCAAAATCGTTAAAAACACCTTTCAAATGGTTGTTGAAGCTTGTGATTCTCATTTTACCATTCTGCTTTGAGTTTCCATTTTCGGTTTATATGCTTGGTTTTTCCAGGTGTTAAACACCTGGTGTTTGAAATAAACAAGTTAGGCCTTATGTTGTACTTAGATTTTTATCTAAAACATAAAAAAAGGAAAGATCGAACTACTCTATGCCTTCATTCTGTAAGATGAACTTACACTTATTTTTCTAGCACTCAAGAATGCGAACGCAAGCTGACAGAAACCGAGGATAAATGGCGAATGGAAATGCAGGACAAAATCGACGGGATGAAAAAACTGCTGGATCGTGAATCTCAGCGTTGCCAAGACATGGTCAACGGAGCTCCTCCACCAAAGAAAAGCGACGATGACTCTGGTGGCGAATCAGTGGAAAGCCTCAAGTCCATCATTTCCAGACAAAACTCGATCATCGACGAAATGAGGCTGCAGATCCAAAAGCTCAATGGCGAGCTACTGTAATTTACCTTCGCAAAAGATTCTACTGTTTTTCTTGTTTATTTTTAAAAAAATTAGCAAAAATTTCTGCAAAACTTGCTTCAAAAAAGTTCCACCATTTTTGGTAAATGATTTTTTTATTGAAAATTTTCCTTTTCTGTGAATAAATTTTGCTTGCGCGAATTTTGCTACTTGTTCATTATTTGCTTCTGCGAAATTGAATCGCGCGCGTTACTCAAAGAAATAGCTAAAGAGATCTAGAATGACTCAGGACGGAGAACCCCAAGCTAAGCGAGTGAAAGAAAGTGAAGACAACGAGGAGAAAAACACTCCTGTTGAGAAAAATGAAAGTGAAAACGAAAGAAATTACGATCAGGAGCTGCTTGAGGCGGCAAAGGTTGAAACTTTTCCGCGATTTTGTTGATAACTATTTTTCCTGCAGGCAAACGACTTCGAAAAAGTAAAAGAGCTGATTGAGAAATACGACGCTGATACAACTCATCAGGAAGATGAGACTGGATCAAGGTGAATTCGGGATTGCGTGATAATTTACTGATCTTATTCTTTTCTTAAAAGAGGGAAAAGGGGATTCATTTTAAGTTTTTTTCATATGAAAATCTTCGTTACATTGCTAGTCATCAAAATCATTAGGAAAACTTTCCACAACTTTCAAAGACTCTTGTTTTTCATTTCATTATAACCATTTAATTTTCGAGAGCACTCTATTTATGCTGATTTTACAGGTGGTAGGAGCCAGCTGTTGAGGACGTTAGATTAAAATCTAAAAATATCGAACCATTGTAAATTTTTGAAGGCGTAAACCCTACAAATTTAGCGCACTGATGTTGGCTGCTGCTCATGGAAACTGCGAAATGATCCAGTTTCTCCTCGAAAATCACGCTGTCTGGAACGCTGTCGACCGACAACACAAGTGCGCCGGCGATTACGCCGTCGACGGAGGCCACCAGGTGAGTTTTGGACTTCTAGAGCAGCTCATAAACCAACCCTAGCCGGCGATCGACAAATTGCTGCGACACGGTGTGATCAGCGAAATGCTCCTTGGGCGTGCTGCATTGAACGCGACAAAGGAGCAAAAACAAAAGAAAATGGACGCGCAAGGTTTCGAAGACAACCGCGCTTATTTACGATCCAAGCTCAAATACGATAATAACAAGGTCGAAGGCCTCTTGCTGGACGATAAGGAGGATGCAGTGATGATGTCCTGGGAGACCAAGTTGATGGAAGAGCATGCAAGGCTGATTTGTCACAACAAAGGCAGTGTGCTGAATGTTGGACATGGAATGGGAATTGTTGATGGAAAAATTCAGGTAAAAAAGAGCCTATTTTTGGGCGAAACTGCGACAAACAGTCAGAAATAGATCTTGGCTGCCTTGAGCTTGTATGCCTTTACGAGATGCCACTTGATCTCTAGAACTTCTTAGCAATCTCTCCACCAGCTTTAGACCTTCCCCTACTGACTCACTACGAATTATTTAGTGCTATCGTCTTTCGGGTCAGATATTTTAACAAATAAAGCTGTGGTCTCACTAAAAAAGACCAAAATTCATCGAAATTTAGGCGAATAACCCAGCTCACCATACAATTATCGAAGCTCATCCAGACGTCCTCAAGCGGCTCCGAGAAACCGGCTGGTACGACAAGCCAAATGTGACGATCCTAGAAGGCCGATGGCAAGACGTCATTCACAAGGCTGGCCCTTTTGATGGTGTCTTTTACGATACATACGCGGAGGATGATGCCGATTTGAAAGAATTCCACTCGCATCTGCCGCGAATTTTAAAGGAAAATGGAATTTACTCGTTTTACAACGGCTGCTGCCCGGATAACTTGTTTTTCCACGGTGTTGCTTGCGAGGTAAAAGGGGCAAGAAAGAGCTCTCGAATTGATTTTTCGTAAGGTTATGAAGCTGGAACTGGAGGACTTGGGATTGAGCTGCGAGTACACAGCGATGGAAGTGAATGTTTCCGATCCGGAAATGTGGGAAAAGGTCCGCAGAAGATACTGGTACAGAAATACGTACTACGTTCCTCTCTGCAAGAAGATGGAAGTCTTGGACTGCACATAAACTATCCTGACTCAAGATCTCTCTTTTTCATTTTTGATTTGTTCAGAAAAGATGCAGTTGAGTCGTTTGTTGTTGAAGCAGCGATCGCAGACGCCATTCAACATCTGGATGACGCAGTTCCTCGGCGGCCGAACTGACCCAGACTTTCACTACATGCGATACGAGTACCAGCAGTCTCCACGAACCTACGAGCCACGAGTCAAGCCACCAGGAGAGAACGAGAAGCTCCACTGTAAGAAAACTCTCTAATCAATCTCCTTTCAACCATCTTCTTTCAGCCGTTGCGTACATCTACAGAGACGAGCGACGAAAAGTTCAGCCACCAATGATTGTCTCTAACGTCGCTGATGCCACAACCAGAGAAGGTAAAAGCTCTTTTGAAGGGATGATGCCAAATTTTTGTTCAGTAACTGGCCGACCAGTCGCTGGATTTGGCCTGAAATGGTCGCTTAACGCTCAGGAGCCCGTCATTCGTCAGCATTCTTCCACTTTCGGCATCGAGCCTGGATACAAGGGTTACCGAAATAACGAATTTTACAAGGAGTAACTGTCATGTCAACCCTATTTATTCAAAAACCAAACACTAAGAGTCTAAGACTAAACTGTTCAAATAACAAATGTCTAAAACGAAGTCCTTTCCTTCAACTTCCCTCTTTTAGAAAACGATGAAAGTGAATAAGGCGATGTTCTGTCATGTGAAAGTTGAAAAATCAGCGCCGTTTATTGTCGAAAAGATCGTGCGAATTGATTTATTTGAGTAACTGCTTGTAAAACCAGGTCAAGATGGACTTTTATTTGCCAGATCTACCACCGATTGTGTACTGATTACCTTGGGATAGCTCTCCTGCTGTGGAACAGCGCCATCTCCTGTGAATGTCGAATGCGGACGAAAATTCATTTGATTTAAATCAAAGTCAACTCATTTCAAAAATTCCCTCTTTTGGAAAATATGAAGAAAGTGAGCCAAGAGAAACTAAAGATCATAAATCAGCGAAGTTCGTCGCTAACAGCATACGTTCAATTCAAACATGATTCCGACTGCGAATTTCAAATGAAGAGCCTGTTTCTCTTTTCCGATGATACCTATTACCACGAATTTTCGTGTGGTTGCTGCTTCAAAGTTGATCCAATGATGACCGTGGATGAATTCCGTATAGACAGCGGATTTTTTCTTGATACATACCGAATTGCGATGGAAAAATTCTTCCGGACATTTCGTCTCAGGAAAAAGTCATCGCTTTGGAAGAACGAAAATTTCGTAAAAACACCTCACCAATACTGCCCGGCTGATCCACTATTTTTGAAGAAAATGTACTCCGTGCTCAAGAATGCACAGCAAGAAGTGCTTGCTTACAAGGGAATGGGGTTGAAGTACTCGCAAGAGCACAAAGAAATGATCGCCTGTATATGGTTCAACATCTGGCTACCTGTATTTCAAAGCGAAGCCATGATGCCCGTCGAAATTTCGACGGACTTTCAAAAAGATCGACGTCTCCCGAAAAAGGCAAAAGAAGCCCTCCAAGTGTGTAAGAATCAACCTGAAAACCGACCACTGGATGATGACGAGCTTGTTTCCCTCTTCTCAAATGCATCAGTCAAGGAAAAACAGCAGAACCAAAAGCCATCAAAAGAAAGGAAGAAGCCAAACAAAGGAAAAGCTCCAAATGCGATCAGAAAGAGCAAAAAGCCAGCCAGGCTTTAAATCTTCTCAATAGTAAGCAAAAATCTCCAAAATAGCGAAAGCTTATATTATAAATATAATCGAATTTTAGCCCTTCGAAATCGCTGTAAATAATCTCCGATATCTAGTATCCTCCCTCATCATGTAAATACGAAAACATCCTTTAGCTACGATTACAGCCAAGCCAAAAAGGTAGGAAAAACATTCGCGCTTATCAATCATCTTTCAAATCCGGGCATTTCTGATAAAATTTGTCGCCGCTCACGATTATTCGCGTGGGATCAAATCGTTCTTATAATCACCCGCCCAGCTCATTTTTCCTCTCATTCAAAGAAGTTCAAGTTTTTTCTTCAGAGAAAAGATGCCAAAAGCCGAATTTATCAAATGCCACGACGATCATTCTGGAACCAGTTTCCAAATCAAGCTCCTTTCTTTCCCCGACCACCAGATTTTCGAGTTCTCGTGCGGCTGCTGCTTCACTATCGACGAATTCATCAACATCTCTCCCTGCCTCTATCGGAAGGAGCACGCTCCTGGTTTTCTCTATTTTCACCAAATAAGGCTGGGCTCAGCAATCTGTTTCAAATTTAATTGGTCATTTTGCGAAGCCGCTTTTCGGCTTCGTTTTAAAAAAAGCCGAGTCGCGGCTATTCTCAAGGCTCTCACAAAACGCTGACTCAGGTTCTTTACAAAGATTGCTCAGCCCAGAAATAAGGCTCGCCTTCATCAAATGCTACAACGCCCGTTTCCTGAAGAAAAATGACTCTCTTTGGGCGAACGATCCTGTCTTCGAGAAAACGCCTCATTTCTGCTGCAAAAAAGACCCCTGGCTCATCATTCGTCTCGTTGGAATCATCAAGGCGAGCAGAATGGAACGTATTGGCTGGATTTTTGGACACATTGAGGAGGATCTCACCTGTATTGCTCGATCAAAGGAAAAAGAAGCTACAAAGAAAAGGATCAAAAACGGCAGCTCGATCCTCCAGAGCTTGTCGAATATGGACAAGATCTGGGAAGCCTGCGATGAAGCAGAATTCGTCTGGTACCCGATCTTCAATTCCACCGTCCAAATTCCGACTCAAGAACGCGAAGCAAAAGGAAAAGAACGAAAGCTCCCGAAAGAACTGAAAAATGCTCTACAAATCCAACCAGTTGCAGAAAAACCACTCTCGGAAAAAGAACTCGTCGATCTCTTCAACCAGTCCAGTGAGAAGCTAAAGAAGCGAAAAGCGAAGGAAACAAAGAAGCCGAACAAAGGAAAAGCGCCAAATGCGATTCGAAAAACGAAGAAGCCGACAAAACTCTAACTCATCCCAATTGTAAGTTAAGGCTTTTTCGTTTTCAAATTTTGATCAATTTTTTTAGGATACACAATCGAATGCACATAGAAGACTGAAAACTACTGCTCAAACTCATCATCATCAAGTCCTGGCAGCTTCCTCAATCCTCAATCCTCCATCCCTTGTCTTTTCAATTCAACAAAAAAATCCTGCCAGAGCATCATTCATTTTCTGCCACAACTTTTCTTCCTAGAAATTCCCGCTCTTTGAAATTACCAAATACTGAAAAAAGACCCACATTTGCAACTTTCTTTCATCTTTTCCAATTCTAGAGCAGAGATGGCGTATCACGACGAGCCCCCACTAGAGCTTCCTTGCACTTTTTCTACGTATTTGGCCGCCGGTGATAAATACGTGTCGACCAAGGACTTTCAAAAAGCCCTCGATGAATATAACAAGGGTAAGAGTTACTCACTTCCCGACAGTTTAAAACTCTATATTCAGCACTCCACGCCAAGCCGAACGACAAAAACTGCCTTATCGCTCGCGGGAAGTGCCACATTCTCAACGGCGATCCAACTTCTGCCCTTGACGACGCCGACAGCTGCATCCGCGACGACAAGACCTTCCACCGCGGCCTCTTGCTCAAGGCTGAAACGCTCTATCTCATGGGCGAGTTTGAGCACGCGCTAATGTTCTACCACCGCGGACAGCGACTACGACCGGAAACTGAAGACTTCCGCCTTGGAATCCAAAAGTGTCAAGAAGCAATCGCCAACTCAGTCGGCGGCCCAGAAGTAATCCAGCTCGACGTTGAATCGCGCAAAAAATCAGCTTCGAAGCAGCGATCAAAGAAAAAAGCGACGCGCTCAAATCTGGGTGAAATGTACGAAGATCGACAATTCTTGGAGAAACTAGCGAACGATAGCGCATTAATGAAGACTTTTGACGGGAAAAACTCGGTCGGGGAACTTGTCAATCAAGGAATTCGGTACTTAGACGATCGGGCTGACTTCTGGACCCAGCAGAAGCCTGAATATACTCGGTAAAGACAGCCTTTTCAACCCTATTTTTAGTCTCTTTTTATAGCTCGCGGGAGAGAACGATGCTCAAGCCCATTCCTGTTGAAGCAATCAAGACTGATATTTCTGCTGCTGTCAAACGTAAGAACAATTTTATCAAGAAAAACTAACGAAACCGATCAACTAAAGCTTCAATTTAGTTTTGGACGACAAAGAATACGAAGAAGCCCTCAAAGCAATAATCGATATCAACACCAACGTAGAAACACATCCCGATGTAAACAAAGGACCAATGATGTGCGCCCTCCAAGCTGATATCAACTCTGTCTACGGCCAAGCTCTCCTTGGTCTCGGAAAGAATGAGGAATCAATTACAAGACATAAGAAAGAACTGGCAGCAGCGAAAAAGAGCGGAATAACCGATCTTAAAGTTCGAGCGATGGATAATCTTGCGGTGAGTCAGTTCTCTTCCTTGATCTCAAATTAATTTTTTCTGAATTCAGGAAGCGTACGTCAAAAACCAGAACTACAAACACGCGATGAACATTTACCAAGACCGTCTTGGCAATTCAACCAGCGAAGGTGAAAAAGCGTGGCATTATCACAACTGGGCCCGTTGTCTTCTGGAAGAAGGGCTTTTGGTGAAAGCGCTGGAAATCGCAGAATTGGCGAGAGAGACAGCGCAAAAGGCGGAAGATAAGGTCTGGGAGCTCAACTCGCAAATAATCGTCGCTCAATCGCTTCGTAAGTCTTTCTTCAGATCGAAATAGGGAGAAGTTGATCTGGGCTTATACGCTTTTTAGTGAAGCAGACGAGAATCGATGAAGCTGAAGACGCTTACGTCACTGCAATGGCTATCGCCGAGGAAAACAACGATGAACAATGCAAAACAGCGATTAATGATCAACTTGTGGCGATCAAAGCGTACAGAAAGGCTCATCCGAGTTCTAGAGCTCCTCATGTTTCTGGTCTTCCCGCTGAAGGTGAGTTTTCGGGATTGAATAGAAATTTCTTTTCTCGAAATTTGGTTGAAAATCAATCCTGAGACAAATTCCAAGACGCTGAAAACGCTGTCCAAGAAGCCGAAAGCGCTCTTTCCCAAGAAGAAGAAGCCACAGAAAAGACTGAACCGGAAGCAGCTGAAACAAACCACGAATCCCAAACCGCTCCTTTACCAACGTCTGAAGAGTCAACTACTGACTAGCAAGTAGCGGGACATCCTTAGAGACTTTTTTCTGCGAAAAACTTCTTATTGCCGATAATAATTCTTTCATTATTATTTTTTCATACTCTCATAATATATATTTTTACAGTAAAATCACAAATCTGCGTCTCTCTTTTTCTTATCAGTGAAAATGCTCGTGTTCTTCCATTTCCGCAGTCCAAATCTCTTCGTAGTACTCGTCGTTGCAGATTTGCGACTCGAGCGAGTCCAATTTTTCGTGTTGTTCATCGACTAACGAGCCGAGGGAGGCATCCGATAACTCGTCGAAGTAGATCATTAGCTCCTCGCCTTTTTGATATTCTTCGGTGAAGGTGTCCATTTGAGTGGTGAGCTGGAACTCGTATTCTGTACTGCAACTTGTTGATGACATTTCGCGGCGGAATGCGTTTGCGGGGCAGTAGTACTCGCTAAAAAAGATGATAAAGGAAAATTCCTCCGAATCGATTCTCTAAAAATGTTTAAATTAAAGTGTCAAACAGCCTTGTTTTGTAAAAATCTTCGAGGATTTTTAAACAAGAAGACTTATAGTTTCACAAAAGAAATTTTCCATGTAGATTTTAGTGATAATCACCTGGAACTAAGCAGCGAAGATGGTACCGCGACGGAGTTGTAATTGTCCCTCTTTATAAATCGAAAGAGCCTGTTTTAGTGAATTAATTTTTGATCACTTGAGATAATGAAATTACCTCGACTCGGTTAAACTGGCGAAAATACTGCGATAAAAGTTTGATAGAAACCTTTCAACTTTGTCAAGTTGTCGAAAAAGCGTTTCAGCGCTTCTTTTCGCCTCACTGATTTTCTCAGGAGGCTTTTTGAAATGCTGTCGGTCGTTTTGGAATCGGTCTTTGGTTCTGAGCTTGAAGAGGGACTTGAAAAGTCCGATTGAATTTCCAGGTCGATTTTTCGGACTGTTAGGGGTTTTGACATGGAGGCTACGCGTTGGATTTCGCTGTAGTAGAATTTTTCGTGGACAGGAGTGTTCCATTTCTGAAATAAAAGGCTTCAAGAAGCGTGTTTTTTGTTTGACCACTACCTGTCTGTATTTCGCCCTTACTAGAGTTATTATCATGACAGCTCGTTTCGAGCCAGCTCAACTTAGTTTTCGGAACGAGCTCAGCTCAGCTCGATTTCGACTTGCAATTCGAGCTCAGCTCGAAATTTTTCGATCGGGCTCAGCTCGATCCGAGCCAGCTCGAAAAATAGCGCTGGGCGACTTCCGTTAAAGACTGAGAAGTTTTGCGCGAACTCTATTTTAGGCGTACTCAGCTCAGCTTAGATGAAAACCTATCAAATTATAACTCTTTTCCTGACTCTGTCCATATAACTTTAATTGTCTCTTTTTCTTCCTTCGATGTTATTTTCTGGAATGCGGCCACGGAAAAAAAAAGAAGGAGTAGCAAGGGTTGAAAATCTGTGTCATGATAGTTTATATAGAGCGCGCGGCGCATGCATTATCCCGACTGAAGCTCGGTAATGCGCCCTCTGCTATTCGATATCCTGATAGCGAGCCATGCCGAGGCAGATTAATTTACAGGGATTGACGGACAGCGAACTCAGAGGAACTGTACCTCCTATTTCCTGAAGAAAACTTCTGTAAAATCGTCATTTTGCTGGCTATCCCGATCTGGGCTCGGAAACCATTTTTGAAAACCTGATTCAGGATTTAAAATAGCTTCAGTAGAAAGCAGCGTAGCGGCTTTTATAAAGTCTAAGCCAGAAAGCGGCTTCGCCCGAACCGCATTTTTCGAACCCCTGTTTCAGACCCTGACTCAGGTTTTCTACACAGATTGGCGAGAAAAGACCTCGATAACCTCGTTTTCTTACTCAGAATGTCGCATATGTTCTCCTCTACCCCTGTTGATCCCTTTGCCGGATAATCCAAAAGATCGTCATCCGAAAGTCCATGTTCACTCAGAACTACAGTCGTCCTGGGTTCAACTGATTCCAAGGCTAGAGAAGAAAGGCCTCATAAAATCGCCAAATCGCCGTTTAGCTTCTGTTTTGATTGGGCAAAGAAAGCCATTAAAAGCACCTCCTGAGCTCGACCCGGCGGGCGACGAACAGCTGAGTGTGAAAAGTTTCAAACCCGTCCAGTATTTCGGCGTGTTACAGTCGTCCTTGAAAATGACGATGCTTTGGAAGCTATTTTTACTCGATTTTGTTGCTGGCCAGAGAGCTACTTCTTTTGACCAAATGGAGACTTTGTTGAAATTTGAAGAAAATTTATTGGAAAAGCTTTTACTAAAATTGGAAGAGAAAGTAGAGAAACTCGCTTTTTTGGAAGAAAAAATTGAAGAAATGCAAAAAGAACGAGAAAGCCAGGGAAACGAGCATTTGAGGTAAGAAAAAGGGCAAAACTGATGCTTTTTGGTCATTTTTCTTGGTAATCCTGGATTTTAGTCACCCAGTGAATCAATTCAAGCTGATCCGGCGCTTCTCAAAAGACTGGCACGAGATCTCCGAGAGTCTCACTTCCCACTCGCCAGAATCTGACTTGATCAGTCAAATTAAACCGCTCACCAGCAAAGTTCAAGACACAAAAAGGTATTATTCGCCATTACTGTTCTTGCCCCAACCTTACTCTTTTTCAGTGCTGAGATTGCTGAAAATGGCCTGTTGCGTCTCCAAGAGACCTACTTTCTTTCTGCGGCGGATCTTCAACAAGGCTTGGGAGAATTCTACAATGGAGGAATGGAAAAGGATCTCCCTAAGTTAACTGCGAAGGACTGTTTCGATATAGGAAGACGAGCTTACATGAACGGCGGTTCTATGCGCGTCGTCCATGACTGGATGAAGTTGACTCTCCAAAACGCAGACAAAGAAAAAGATTTCGACCTGATGATCGACGCTTTGGACCACTTGGCGTACGCGAAATCGCAGATTGGCGACCAGCGAGGAGCGCTGATGATTTACAATAAACTCAAATCGCTGCAGCCAGACGAAAAGCGATACGAGCAAAACGTCAATTACTACGGGCGAAAGTGGATTGAACGAGCGAGGGGTGAAACCGAACAAGAAGGGATGGACCATTCGAAACTGTCCACCCGCGCGGCTGATCATCGGCCAGAGAGGGAAGAAACGGAGTATTATGAAAAACTCTGCCGGATGCCCAACGAACTTCCTGAAGAAAAACTGCTGAGGTGCTTCTATTGGTCCAACAATGATCATCCCTTTTTGATGCTAGGACCAGTCAAAGCGGAAGAACTCTGGGACGAGCCAGAAATCATCCGATTCTACGAAATAATCACGGATGAAGAGCTCGAGATTATTAATAAACAAGCGAGGCCAAAGTCCAATCTTGCCACAGTACAGGTATTCTACTGTGTTCAGACAAATTTTGAAATTGTTGTCTTCAGGACCCGATCACAGGAAAACTTGTAAATGCAGATTATCGAATTTCGGAATCAGCTTGGCTACCGGCCAACACAGACTCCGAGGAAGATCAGAAATTGAGGCAATTTCGCAACAGAATTTCAATCATTACAGGGCTCACGATGGAGAGAGCCGAGGATATTCAGTACTCGAACTATGGTATTGGCGGTCAATACGAGGTCCGTTCTCTTCTTTCTCAGGGGCCATGGCCTCCAAATTTCAAAAGGATTTCTTCTGATTTGATTGATTTTAGCCGCACTACGATATGTCGACTGAAAACGACGCTGGAAAATTCGACGAAGAAGACGGAAATCGCATCGCTACCTGGTTGACTTATCTCAACGAGCCCAAACATGGCGGAGACACGGCGTTTCTAGGGCCAGGTAATGATCACTGCATTGATCGGACTATCGTATTTGATCATCCGGTGAACTTCGGGTCAAATCTTCAGACACTCCCCTTCCCGGCCGATTGATTTGCAAAGTAAATTTGTGATAAGCGGGGTTGTTTGCCGAAGGTTCGCCGAGAATAGTGCGGTCGCATCAATTCTTTTGATGATGTCTGTAATATACAGTAACTCGCCTCACCTCACGTGTTCAGGAATCAAAGCCGAGCCGATCCACAAATCCGCCGTCTTCTGGTACAATCTGCTGCGCGACGGCTCTTGTGATTACAGAACGCGACATGCCGCCTGCCCAGTTTTAATAGGACAGGTAAGGCATCACCAAACTTATGCTCAAGGAGTCCAAGCCGCTTACTGACTGATGATTTCTTTTGTAGAAAACTGTTTCGAACATTTGGTTCCACGAACGAGGCGAAGAATTTTCGCGGAAATGCCTTCTCAATCAAACTGATAAGAGCACATTAAACATGTTCCCTGATATTTATTAAAAAAGACCCCTAAATTTTCAAAAAGCAATTTCTTCTTCAATCTACTGCAGGCTACTGCATTCTTCTATTTTACTTCGAAGGTCAAGAATTCCACTTTTCAAGCGGACTATATACTCAAAAAATAACATATTGACACCCTTATTCTATATTAGAAGAAATCTCCTTACTCTAAGGCCCTATGACTTAGAGTTAGGGTTAGGTTAGGGTTTAAACTAGAAAATAAGGGGGTCACTACTGCAAATTCTTAAGAAAAGACCATCTCGAAAATTGGAATCTTGTTGTCTACCCCCTTAAAATTCTCCTAGAAAAAAATTCCTATTCAAAAGTGACCCTTTTAAAAGCCCCGTTCAAGTTTGCCGTCCATTTCTTTAGATGAAATTAAAAAACTTTTTGCAGGGAAAAAATTGACTTCGGCCTTTTTTGGGCTCATAAGAAAGCCCGTAAAATTTTGAGTCGAATGGTCAAGATTTGGCTCCGAAATATAAGCCGATCACGTCACAGGTGACGCTAGAAGATGGTGAAAATGGCCATTTTGGGCAAACTTTGAGTCACTTTTTGAGAGACTTTTTGATGGAATTTTTCGATGTTTGATAGCTCAAACGAAAGCTTATCAAAAACTGAAGGTTCATTTTTAAGGATTTTCATTTTCGATGAAATTTTTTTTTCGAAAAATTCTAGAACCAATTTTTAATTAAATTCTTTAAAAATTCGTCAAAATGTACCTTCAATTTTTCCCGAGCTTTTATTTGAGCTATTGAACACTGAAAACTTCGAACGGAAAGCCTGTTAAAAGTCGACTCAAAGTTTAGCGTTTTTAGAACCTTCTGACGTCATTTGTGACGTCATGCTCTAGAAAATACCCACATAAATAAGAAATATTCTACTCAGTTTTTCACGCTCTTTCTGATGAGCCCAGAGTTTGAAATGCTCGCAAATGCTCGCGAGCGCAGAGAGCGAGAGCGAAAATTTATTATTGCTCTGAGAGCAGGGGAGCGGGAGCATAAAAATGAAGTTGGCTCGAGAGCCAAAAGAGCGCGAGCCCAAATTTGAAACCGCTCGCGAGCGCGGAGAGCACGAGCGCATATGTCGGCAATGCTCGGGAGCTAGACGAGCGGGAGCGGCTGCTCTCGTGCTCGCTATGGAATTGACTCACGAGCGGCTCGCGAGCAAAATTAAAAGAACATTTTTTTTGCATAATTATTCACTTTCATGGATAAATTTCTCTCGTGGATCAATTTTTCGTGTTTCCGTTTTGTGCAAGCTTCATTAGGTCCGTTATCTCGGCAGCGGAACTCGAAAAGCCGAGAGTAAACAGATAAAAGATGCCCACCGCGAAGTGCTAACTCCTTTGACAGGGACTCATTTGGAATTAGTTACGGGGTCGTCGAATCATTTTAGGCTCTTGAAAGCTGCTCGCGAGTCAGATTTTTCAGCTCGGGAGCCAATCGAGCGAGAGCAAAATTTGACAAGTGCTCGGGAGCCAGGAGAGCGAGAGCGCGAAATGAAATGTGCTCGCGAGCGCAAAGAGCGCGAACGCTGAAATAAATGTGCTCGGGAGCACAAAGAGCATCATGCTCGTGCTCGCTCGCTCTCAAAAGAGCCGCTCGCGAGTCACGAAAATTTCAAACTCTGGATGAGCCTAAGAACGGAATGTGTGATTTTTTTTGCTGCAAAAAGTTTTTTTATTTCATCTTACAGATTTATGTTTTATTTGAGTGGAACCAAGTTACAGCAAAAAATTCTTGTCTGATCTAATTAAACCCGTTTACAAGCTCTAAAAAATAATAAAACGCAGTCTCCTCTTCCTCATGTTTTTCATGCAATTTTCAGTCAAAAGAAGTGTGGCCAGAATTTTTACAGTCGTTCCAAATCGATCGCAATATTACTGCTTACCAAAATACAATAGTTTAGTGCATTTTAGAGGTAGCTTTCCAATAGTAGCAATTTTAAATTTGCCGGATAAATAAGCGCAGATGTGCTGAATCAACTTTTTTCAGTTCAAAGAAAAGCTACTCTTTGATCGGAATAGAGCTTATTGTACATGTAAATTTATATAAACTACGGGGCATATTTAAGATTTTTTGACGTGAAGGATTCTTGAGCTTCAGAATCATTTGGCAAATAGATTTGACGTAGTTGTCAGAGAATGAACTTCCGTAGTGATTCAGGCGAGTCAACGCCTACTTTTTTTGCGATTTGCGTCTATTTGGGCATGAACTTTAGGATGCCAAAGAGTTTCCCTATCAAAGAAGGAGAATATTTTGAGTAGTTTGAAATTTTGTTTTTATGCGAGGGCGGATTGTTTGATCTCGGACATCCTGAGGATCTGAGCTTTGAGTTGCCAGCTGTTGATAATTGATGATTTGCATAGTTGTTATAAATTGATATTTCGTATTTTTTTTTTGCCAGTTTGAATATCGAACCTTCAAAAAATGGTGGAAATATGTGTAGGCTTTGGAAATTCTAGGGGCCTACGCAATATTCCTCCAGTAGATATCGATATTCTATGTCCAAAATTAATGATAAAACGTTGAAATTCGGGCTCAAAATTGTCGATTTCAAGCGGAACCAGCTTTGATTTATCAATCTGGCTGAGACTGTATGACTTCTCGAAATCGACAATTATGAGGCTTTCTTTCAAAGTTTTACCAACAAATTGTTGGCAACAATCTTGGACTGGCAATGTCGATATCTACCGACTGATTTTATTTAAGGGCTCCTCAGATTTTTCGATGTCAACGCCTATTTTCGCCAACTTGCGTCAGTTTGGGATTTGAACTGGTAAGGTATAAAGTTGCGAAATTACGATTTCATTATGCAAGTCATCGATAATCAACAACTGGAGACTCCCAGCTCAGATCTTCGGGATCTCCGAGATCAAATAATCCGCCCTGTCAGGAAAGCAATTTATTTGCTCTCACATCTTACAACCAAAATATTTTTTGCAACTTCAAGACTGGGTGTGCCCCAACTGCGCTATCAACTTGACAGTTCCTTCGATAAACTCCAAGGATCGTTCAAACTATCATAAATGCTCCATTTCTTGTTTGCACTGTCTATCGCATTCTCCTGTGGAGGCACCGGATCGGACTGGTTCAATTGCCGAGTCCATCGTTGGAAAATTTTCCATTCAACTCCCGCTACCCTTGCTGCAAGCAACGGGAGTTGGTTTCGAAATATTTATTACCGATAATAATTATGAATTCAAGGACATTTAGCCGGCCTTTTGGACGTTCTATTGTACAGTTGCTTATTTAATTTGTCAATAAATATCTTGTATATTTGTTTAAAAATTTGAAATATTTCGAAAAAAGCGATTTTTGACATTGTGGGTTATTTTTTGCGTTTGGCGTTGAGAGAAATTCGTTTTTATGAAGAAATATTAGAGAAAAATGAATTGTCTTTGTTGATTTGTCTGAAAAAAAAGGATAAATTTGTTGACTTTTGAAAGCTTTTTTGAGCTTTCTTGGACTTAGTTTTAAACTAATGGGATGCAAAGCAGCTGGTTAAAATTAAGTTTAGTAAAGTAAAACAACTAAAGATATGTTGGTTGAGTAAATTTCCGCTTTCTGCAGATTCCGAGCGAATCACCCGATTGTCATGTCCCGCGCTCGTGGCGCTGATGCGACCCGTCTCTTTACTACGTAAAATGGGGGGTATATAAGCGCCCTAGAAGTCTCCCTACGACCAAGAAACTTAAAAAGCTACTCAAGCTTAAAAAAGCTAAACTTTTTTCACGACTCACGAATGGGACGGCCAAGCAACTCTTCCGTCGTTCCGATAGAGAACTCATCGGAACTCGACAAAACAAAATGTTCACCAAGTGAGACGTCGAGCACGGTCTCTGACGAGAACCGGTGCCGACGAATCACGGTGAACGTAATTAAGGTAATGGCGGCCATCTTCTTCGTCTATACATTCATTTTTGCCATTGGACTCCTGTCGGATTCGTTCCAAGTTCTTGGTGGAGCCTTCCTCAATGATGGTGAGGGACACTTTTTCCAATCAGAGATAGTTTAGATTCTAGCGTAGTTACAATCCATCGCATGTCAGAAAAAGTGACCCCACAGGGGCCTCTCTCTTATCACTAGAGGCCAAATTTCACGAAATTCTTCCCCTTTTTCTTCAATTAAATTTATTTTTAGTGATTGCCAGCGTCCAAGATATCCTTGAAAATCCATTCTGTGGATTCTGTATGGGCATTGTGCTGACTGTACTTTGCCAATCGTCCTCAACTGCGACTTCGATCTTCATCACACTTGTCGGCTCCGGATTGTTTACAGTGAAAGTCGGTATTTACTGCATTTACGGCGCGAATGTTGGAACCGCTATTACAAGGTAAGATTTACCCTCGATAACGGGTTGGTAAACATATTCAAGCACCCTGGTTGCGTTTGGAAATGTGGCCGAAAAGAAAGAATTCGCAGCGGCAATGGCATGTGCCGCAATTCCCGCCGTTTACGATATCCTGATCGTGTTAATTTTGTTCCCGCTGGAAATCCTGTTTGACATGATGGAAAAACTCACAGGACTCATGGTCGCCCCATTTGCCGATTGCGTTGAAGATTGTAACTCGGACGGCTTGGACTTTGATCCGATCGGCGCGATTACTGACCCCATCCAGCAGTACATTCTCGTCAAGAATAAGAAGGGACTTGGATCGCCAGATTACAACGGCACTTTTGTCAACTATTGCAAAACCAAGCTTGGAAATGACAGTAAGTTCTCAAAGAAACACTTGAAAGAAGACTTGATTCAGGCGACTTGTATTTACATAATCATTCTAGCGTCCCTCTGCACTGATTTCTGCGACTACCCAGACATGGACGGCTGTCCACCCGGCGGATCCACTTGCATGCAGTCCGGTCCATCCTACGAGTGCAGATTCAAGGACTTCTCCGCCCCCGATACCTTCATCGTCAAATTCACCGACCACTGCGTGGAGAAAGAGAAGCACATGTTTGTCAATTCCTGTCTATCCGACGAAGCCATCGGTGGAATTTGCTTCGCCATCAGTTTTATCATGATGTATGCTTCGGTAAGTGATTTTTCCCCAGTGTACTGTATTCTGGATTATATAACTCTCAACTGGGGCAAAAAAGAACGCCAGTTCTCACGAAGCTTTTTACGATGCAATAAGAAGTCTTAAAGTTTCTTTCAGTTGGTCGGCGTTGTCAAGTGTTTGAAATCCGTGCTCGTTGGCTCAATCACCGATTTGCTGAAAGAAAATGTGGACAAGAATCTGCCAAGCCCATTCGGCTGGTTCACCGACTATTTGTACATCATCGCTGGCGTCCTTCTGACGTTTGCTGTTCAATCAAGCTCGATTATTCTTTCGATTTTGACGCCCATCGTCGCCATTGGAGTCATCTCCGTCGAGCGAGCGTATCCGATCACTGCTGGCGCCAATCTTGGTACGACTATTACTGGTTTAATCGCTGCCTTTGCCAATGCCAGTGGTGACTTTTCACAGGCCCTTCAGGTAAGTCCAAAGAGCTGAGAATCTCTTCAACTTTCCCTTTCAGGTCTCGCTCTCTCACGTGATGTTCAACTCTTTTGGAATCGTCTTCTTCTTCATCATCCCCATGACCCGATATCCAGTCGTCCAAGGATCCCTCTGGATCGGTAAAATGGCCGCTCGATACCGCTGGTGGTCAATTTTGTACACGATTATCGTCTTCATCGCAGGTCCCTTGATTCTCTTCGGAATCTCGCTCATTGATGAAACTGCTGGTCCCATCATTTCAATGAGTAAGTTCATAAATCTCAAAACAAGTTTTCAATCTTTTTTCAGTCATCATGTACGTCCTGGCACTCATCTTCGGCGCTGTTGGCTTCATCACGTGGCTTCAGCAGAATCATCCGAAAGTTCTCCCCGAGTTCTTGAAGTCGTGGAAGTTTCTACCTGTCTGGATGCGATCGCTTCGGCCAATCGACAATGCTATCTGCAGGTAATGATCTGTTTGAAGACGTTTTACGGTCTTATGGGGAATTTCAACCAATCAGACGGCAGAATTATCTCTTTGGTCCAATAAGAGCCCATGAATAGGTCCCAGTTTTTTACCTATTTCTTAGAAATCCACGAATAATGAACATGTGTTCCTGCTGTACAGAGGAGCTTCCTGATGACGAAAACACTACCGTCAAAGTAGACGAAAACGGCGTCGAGAATCCCGCCCTGAAGACCTCAGAGAATCTCCCAGAATACAAAGACCTCGAAAGTATGGTCACCGATCTATAGACTAACTTACTCTTCATGTAACGCTTTACTACTATCTTACTTCACCTGCCAAAAATGTAGACTATTTCAATTTAACTTATTTGTACAAACACTCTTTTCTGTAAATATCACAAATAAAAAAGACAAAAAAAGAAGACTCTTCCTTGATTTCTTTTGTTTTCAGCGGCTCGAGTATCGATCGAAGAAGGCGCAAATTGCAAATGGGAAAGCTGGTAGAGCTGTTTGATAATGTTCGCCAGATGGCAAGGTTTTACATGACAAATGATTCGAGCACAATTGCCGATTTTCATAAATTTGCCAGTTCGAGCGTTCAAGTGGAACAGATTGATTCGACGAAGAGATTGGTGAAACCTTGTTGGAATTGCGAGATTTCGAGAGGAGTTATTTTAGGAAAAAGAGATGAAAATTCAGAGAAATCTTCTTTCCGAAAATGAAGTCATTAACTGCTTGCAAGAAACCTGCCTGTGTAGAAACCTGACTCGACCTGACTAAGGGTCTTCTAATCTGTTCTTGAAGTTCTGACGAAGCCGCTAATCGGCTATATTTTAAATAAGCCGCGATGCGGCTTCATTTTGGAGCTCTTCCATGAGTCCTGAAATTCCATATCCTGACTCAGGTTTCTTCACAAGTCGCCAAGCCCAGCCTAAAAGCTGTACTAAAAAAGCGTTTTCAATGAAAACTTTTCATCCTTTTCTTTTAGCTTGTTTAGCACCAGTGGCTCTTAAAAAATTCTCCTCGAAAGCGTGGCTCAACAGAAGTTTGGCAGGATCGATGGGAATTATATCTATAGCTTCCTTTTACCGTTCCGCTACGCTTGACTTCCCAATCGATACTTTACCTAGTTCTTCCAAAGAGTAAAGCTCGCTTTTCAGCTCTTATTAATTTAGAAGGAATCGAAAGCGAAACAGAGAATAATGATTAGCGAGCAGCATTTGATCGCGCTGTGCAATTTGAGTGGATTTCTTGTTTTTATCCTCGTAAGTAAATGACTTTCACAAAATTGTCATCTTCGACTGTGCTCCTGAGCCTGCGTCTAAAACCTGAGTCAGGGCCTGAATGAGCTGAATGCCATGACTCACGTTTTCGGCACAGAGTTCCAAGCCAAGATCCGTCGTAACCCATACTCTTCCTTGATTTCACTTTTCAGATCGTTTTGTTCCACATGCTCACCGCAAAAAGCCGCGTCTCAAGTACCTCAACCGTCGTGAAAGCAAAGAAGACACGAAAGAAAATGCGAGCTCGCTAAAATACAAATCTAGTTTTTCATCCCTTATCTTATCCGATCCGCTGCTGCCAATTTTCACATCCTCGTTCCATCTCCTAGCTCATTTAAAATTCCTCTTATCAAAGCAATACTTTGTTTCAATAGGATTTGAAATTTTAAGTGTTTTTTCTTCAATGTTTACCAAACTGTCTTCAAAACGAAAATTCTTGCTGTAAGAATTTAGCCAAATTTAACTCCATTACATGTCATTTTTTCAAAAAATTTGCTCAAGATTGCCTACTAGAGATCGCCATTTTTGGTCAAATTTTCCAACCAGGCTCGTCAACCTGTGTAGAAACCTGAGTCAGGGTCAGAATTCCTTCGGCAGGGCCACAGAGGTTCTTTTCAGACCCTGTCTCAGGTTTTCCATACTGATAGCTGAAAATCCTTTGAATGAAGTCAACAATCTTTGACCAAAAATGACAATGTCTAGTCGGCAATCTTTGAAAAAGCTTCTGAATTTGCAATAAATGTTGAATAATTTTACATTTCTATCTATTTTTATCGAAAAACGCAGGAGGCAAAAATTTAATCAAAGTTCATTCAAGCAAGAAGAAATTCTAGCCCAAAGCAATCAGTCTGTTTTCTGATTTTTCAATTCCAGAGCTAGAAATTCGAACAAAAACGAAACTTGCTTGATTTTGAAAGAGTTCAGACTTCGAGATCCTCTGAAATCCGCCTCTGGAATGCCCGACATTAGTAAATACCCCGAACCTTCTTCCGGTGAAGCCCTTCACTTATTCGCCGCCTATCAACGCTGGGTCCCTATTCTGTCAGATCTTGCAAAAGAAAAGGAACGGGTCGATCTTCTTTTTCAAACAGACGCCTTCAAATTTAAATATTTGAACTGAAAACTCGCAGCGATCCCGAAAAACAGCTCTTCGCAGATTTTTGCTGGATGATCCGCTAAACCAAGATCCGGAGAAAATTGAAGATCCAGAGCTCCGCCGAGCTGTCAGAGACGAGTGGGTCGATGCCTTTCCAAAATGGCTCAAGAACTTCCGCCCGTTGAATGGCCGCGAAGACGGAAGCCAGAGAATCCCGATGGCCGATATTTTGGCACTCAAGCGAATGTGGCAGATTGAAATGCGTAATCGAGGAAAAACCTGTTGAAAAATAACTGACACTATTTTTTTCTGTTATTTTCTATTTTTAAAATGATAACTACACTTAAATTATGACAGGCAAAATAGCAATAGACGTTTTGGCATATGAAGTTAATAATTAATAGTTAACCGCTTTTTTAAACAATTAAAATGATATCAATACGATACAGTATCTAATTCCCAGTCATCTTACTCCACTTATTTTTCATTGTCTAATAAAAAGTCTTGCTCCGAGCTTTTTCATTTTCGATTCTTTGCGCCCGAATTCTGAACGTACAAGCAAGTTAAAACTGCCAATAAAAATGAATAAAAGAATATTTTGAAATTTTGATTATCCTTGAAAATCGGGAAATTGAAACTTTCTTACTTGAAATTATTATTATAAACTATTAATAATTATTTATTAAAATAAATTACTTTGCTCTGAAAAAAAAAACAAACAAAAAAAAAATTGATTTTTGAATTTTTATTTTTGAGAATAAAATACAAAAAATTCTTTACAAAATATACAAGCAGAGGAAAAAGCAGGGAAATAGTTTTAGGAGTGCTTGATGAGCGAGTGAAGGACGATCTTGGCCTTGGATCTGAATCGTTTTCCGCACTTGATGCATTTGAACTTCTTCTTATGCGCGTTGTCCAGCTCGTCTTTCAGCTCCTTTTCAATTTCGCCGAGGAAGTTGATCGAGTTGACTTTGAGGGAGGTCATCGAAGAGCCCGTAGATCGTCTGGAGCGAGGAAGAGTATCGTGTGATTCGAGATGGATGTCGAGGGCGGTCCGGTGGAAGAAAGTCTTCGGGCAGATTTCGCAGGAGTAGATCTTTTCTTCTGGAATTTCGGACGGGAGCATCGTGTCTTTTCGGGCGAGCAGTTTCTTTCGCGGCTGAGGAGTGGTTGGAGAAGAGAATCGGGCGGTTTTTCGAGCTGGGGAGGAAGAAGAGGAGAGCTGGCGGGCGATCTTTGGCGAGGGAAGATTGATGGATTCTGAGAGTCTCTTGAGTCGGACGACTTTGGCTTCAGTGGGCAGAAAAACTGGTCGGAGAGGAGAAAGAACTTCCATTTTTTGTTGTTTTGGTTTTTTTGATTTGTTGGTGTTTCAATGTTTTGATGATCTCCTCCGCCCTGGCGTCTTGTTTTATATCCGCAGCGCGTGGCGCCAAAGAGCAGCAGGCGTGCGCGCAAAGTTTGAATCCAGCTGGAGCGCGCACGCTGTAATTTTTTTGAAAAATAAATCGCCGGGCCGCCCGATCAAAGGCGCAAAAACCAGCTGGTCCATCTTAATCCGGTTTGGCAGGCTGAACAATAATGAAAATAAATTGGATAAAGATGTTGCCAATCGGAAAGGGCGGCGGGAAGAAAGATTGGTTTCTTGTGTGATTGATAAGGGAATTTAAATGGAAATTGATCAATTTGATTTTTTATGGTAGAAGATAGAAGACTCTTATTTTATCTTTTTTTAAAGGTTTTTATTAGTAAAAATACTTATTGTTGGAGCTTTCCAAATTCATCAGTCGAAGATTTTGAAGAAAATATTATTTTTTTATGATTTTCTTTTGAGAATTTCGAGAAAGAACTCAAATTTTTACCAAAAATATAAGAAAATTGAAAAGCTTGATGATTTTCTTTGTAAAATATTCTTTCGAATTTCCCATTTTGTCTTTTTTTTTCTCGAGAAAAAGGCATTTTAGGGGCACGATTCTTTGATTTGTCGGATTTTTAGCGGCATTTTTGTAAAAAATCTGAAGAGACAAATCTTCGTAGATAAATCGATGCTTTTTGAAAATGTCTTTTGTCCGATAAATCAACAGGAAGTGTCAACAAATCTCCCCATAAAATCGTCCTTCAGAAGCTCAAGACTCGACCTTTCCCAGGAAATCATCCTCTTCCGTGAAATTCGCCGCGAATTTTATTGCCCTTATCCTCCCTGCATCACATCTATATCGGCCTGATCCGCGAAGGCGCAAATATTTATCAATCCAGGCCAGGCTCCTTAGATCTTCCTTTTAGCATTAATTTTGAAGTCGCTAGGCGGAAAATTGAAGGGTTTGCCGAAGTCGGTTGCTCGCGACTGGTTCAAGTGTGTATTCGGATGTTTTTCAGAAGACTGGCGAGTCTTATCGGACCTGGCGAAAAGGCAAACCCTTCTAAAACAAAAGACCCATTGAAATTGCTTCCGGTCGGCTCAAATCAAGATTTCAAGCCTTTTTGAATTCAACTGCTGAAATACCAAGAAAATTTCTAGGGCTCGTTTTGTTTAGGAACCTTTAAGACTGGGCTCGGCGTACTGAGTAGAAAACCTGAGTGAGGGTTCTAAATGGGTAAACTGAAGAGCCGCGAAGCGGCTTTTTTTATAACGCTTTATAATTCATTGAGTTGGTAGCTTTGGCGAAGCCGCTTTGCGGCTTCGTTTTTAGAAAAAGGCGCTACGCGGCTTTTCATTTTACTCTTTCTGACCCTGACTCAGGTTTTCTACTCAGGTTGCTAGGCTCAGCTTTAAGGATTTTGGGTAGAACGGTCTGAAATCTTTTCATTAGTTTTTACCCCGAAATCATTGACAAATCCAACTTTTGGGAATGCATGAAATAGGATAATGATTGAATCAGCTGTAGCTGCAAATTAAAACTTCCTGCAGCATTTCTATTTCCCCCTTATCCCCGAAATCCCCATGAAATGCGCTCACCTTAAAATTAATAATTTTCACCACATGCTTCCATCTCCCAAATCCCGCTTTGGGAATGCTTTTTTGGACCTTGTTATTAGTAGACTAATCCCTAAATTCAAGCTCGTCGAGGTAGAATTACGCGCTGCTGTTTACAAACTTTACAAGCTCAAGGCAGATTTACTCGGACAGGAATAGGTCGATCGGAACGGAAGCAGTCGGTGAAGGACCATAAATTTCTCTTGTTGAAAATTGTCGCTTGTCACGTGACAGTATTTGCTGCCGGTTCTTTTTCGATAAACATTTGGTAAACCTTCCTTTTCCGAAAAAAACGAAAATCTCTTCGGCGAAAAAGTAACCGATTCTTTGAAGCCGGCTATTTCACGCGGTCCGGCTCAAGGTAAGAAGCCGCCAAGTACTGGGGATTAGTTTCTATTAGCCTCTTATATTTGCAGCAGCGTAATCTGCCAGTTCAACTACGGCTTTGAAGAAGTTGTTGTCGCCTTTTTTCAAGTCAAAGCTCCGTCCTTCAAAGCAGATTATATTTCCTCCTCTCTCTTTATCCAAAAAAAAAGAAACAAATCAGACCGCGGAAATCTCTCAAATCACATCGATCGCCACAGTCTTCAGCACGAATGCGACGGTTTCAGCGACATAAGTGTCAAAGAAGACGCGCCGACTGAAATCCTGAAAATGATCGACGACATCGTTTCTATCACAATCAAGCGCAAAATTCAGTGCCAGTACAAATCTTCAAACACAAATCTGAACTCGCCGGTGCCGATGCCACGAAGATCCAAAAGTTTTGACGCTTTGCACACCATTGAGAGGCAGTTTCCGGCGTTAAAAGGTGACCAAGAATATGACTAATTCTTAAAAATATATTCAGGCGCAAAAAAGAAAAGAGGCTCTTTTTCAAAGCTCTTTTGGAAATAAAAAAATCTTCATTTCGCCAAAACCGGACTTTTCGCTTTTTGCATAAATGGAATCACTCGTCTCTTCGCTGTTGTTTTCTTCTACGATAAAACTGTAAAAATGAATAAAATTAATAAGAAAGAATATTAACTTTTCAAATGGACGCCAAAAACGATGAGCGCTAAAATAAAAATGCCGATGAAAATGGCGGTCGGAATGGCGACCATTTTTCTCTTCAAAACTAAATTGTAGAAAAAGTCGATGAATTCGTCACGAATTCAATTCGTGTTTGTCCATTTTTTGAGGAAAGTTGAAGATTTTGAGGCGCTGGTTTTATGCGTTGGCGGCAGATGCGTCGAGATCAAGATATTTTTTGAAAGTTTTAAGGATATAAGCTATGAATTTGAACTTTCGTAGCGCCTAAATGCGAAGTAGGATCATTTTCACTTCAAAAGTTATCCTACCTAAAAATGCACGTAAAACTCAAATCTGGTACTTTTAAAAAAATTTTATTGAAAATTTTCCTTTTAGAGCGTTTTGAAATCTTACGCTCTCGATTTCTCGAAATTTTTCCACTAAATCGGTCGAGTTTTTTCGACAAATAACTTCTCTTAACCCTTATCTACAAAATTGACGGATCAGTTTTCCCTAATTCCGACCGAAACCGATTTTAGAGCCATTTCCATGAGACTTACCCAGCGCGTGAATAGTGTAAAAAGCGGCGCGCTGGGCTCTCGCTCTCTCAACTCCTTTTTTCCGTGAGAGTGGCGCGGTTGAGCGGAGCGCTTTGATTGGTTGCACGCGAAAAAGCACAAAAAGAAGAAAAACTCGAGCAAGAAAGAGGAAAACGCTAGAATGAAAATTTGAGGGAGTTTTGAAATAATAGCCCGTCAATTTTCTAGCTTAACATTATCAAAATAAAAGACACGGTTTAGTTTTAGCGATTCAGTGGAAAAAATTCGAGCAATCGAGAGCGTAAGATTTGAAATCGCTCTAGAGAAAAAAATTTCCATAAATTTTTTTTCAAAAGTTCCAGATTTGAGGTCTACGTGCAATTTTAGGTAGGACTGCTTTTGAAATGAAAATGATCCTACGTCGCATTTAGGCGCTACGAAAGTTCAAATTCATAGCTTATATCCTTAATGAAATCATGGAGGAGAATTCTATTTTTTTGAACGGCGGAATTAATTTGAAGAAAAATGGCCGAATTTCTTTGATGCTTTTTGCTTGCACTTGCAATTGGCTAATCAAACAGTCTGAGTTCCTGGTTTGAATAAGTGATTTATATTTACAGAAAATAAACATTAAATCTTACAAAACCACAATCAGAAGTTTCCATTTTGTATTTGATCTTTTGCCGCTGTCCATCCGCCTCGCTTTCGATTTCTTGTCGATTCCTCTCTTTTCCAGTCCAATCACCAATTTCTTGCGCGACAGCTTTGAATCTTACGCCGCCTTCTGAAATAAAATTAAAAAATTGAAATTTTAATTTTTACCTTTTTCCAGATTGATAAGTAGTACCAACCATCTCCTCCTTTATATCCATAAGCACCTTTGAATTGCAAGTGCCATCCCGCTTCGGCAACCTCCCAATTCTCAGAAAACCGAAACTTGTCGGAGAGTTTTTCGAAATTCTTTTCGCTTAAGGATATAGCCGTTCTCAAGCCACTTTCGTATCGCCGAAATGGGGCGATAAAATTTTTTCATTTCAAGACAGCTCCTACCTAAAATTATGTGTTAAATTCGATTCTGATGTTTTTAGAATTTTTTCAAAGAAAATTTCTCTCTGGGGCGATTTGAAATCTTACGATCACTTTTTCTCGAAATTTTTCAATTAAATCGCTAAAACTAAACCGTGTATTATTATATATAACTGCTTATCTATCTTCCTAAGGCCTCAAAATTTTAAAACCCGAGCAAATTTTCATTCTAGCGTCTTCTTCTTTTTGGCTTTTCTTTTTCATAAATGCTGCGTTCAGGGCGCTCGGCCAATCAGCGCGCTCTTTCACATGCCCGCCTCACCGCGCGATGGAGGAGGGCGCCCAGCTCAGCAAACCAGAGCGCTGTCTGACGCTTCGGCTTACTCAAGTAAGCCTCATAAAAATGGCTCTAGAATCATAAATAATTGGAATCTATCAAACTTGAGACCCTAGGAATGTAGATAAAGGTCCAAATTTTTAATTTATCAAAAGAACTCGACCGATTTAATTGAAAATTCTTGAGAAAAAATGATCGTAAGATTTAAAATTGCTCTAGAGAGAAATTTTTCCATTAAAAAATAAAAAAGACCACTAGAATCGGGTTTCTTAGGCAATTTTAGGTAGGGTTCCTTTTGAAATGAAAAAATTTATCGTCCCCTTTTGGCGCTACGAAAGTGCCTTGAGAACGGCTATATCCTTAAAAATTAAAAACTCTCTTTCCTTCAGATTTATTGTTTTTCTCCAAGCGACAGCAGCTTCAGCACCTTTCGCAATTCTTCTTCTTGCATCCAATCTCTTACTCCACCTTTATTAATCATTTTATCATTTCCAAAGAATTCGCCAGCTCCACCGATCGCGCCCAATTCCTCCCTCAGCTTCTCCAATTCTTCATTTCCCGCTTCATTCCTTTTTTCCTCCTTTTCCGCGTTCGCCTCATTCTTTCTTCGCTCTTCTCCCAATTTAAGCTCCAGCTTTTCAATTTCCTTCTTCTGATTTTCATTTTCTCGCCGATTTCGTTCTTTTTCTTCTTTCAAAATTGACTCGAGCTGTTCAATTTCCCGTTTCGCTTTTTGCACCTCATTTTCTCGCTCCTTTTTCTCAGACTCGTTTTGCTAGAATTTTCTTGTCAAAAATTTAAATCAACCCATTTTCTTACTTTTTTCAATTCATCGATAATTTTCCTCGAGTATTCGAAATTCTTCTCATATTTTGATTTCATTTTCTTCATTTTGGCCAGTTCCTCCTTCAAATATCCGTTTTCTTGTTTCAATTCTTCATTTTCCTAAACAAGATTTACGAAATTTTTATGAAAGAGACATTTACCCGAGTTTGCTCTGCGATTTTCTCATCCTTTTGCTTTGATTCTTCTCGAAGTCGGTATTCCATGATGTCGTTGAAAGTGTCGAGTCGGCTTTGCAATTCTTGAATAGTCCTGTCTTTTTGCTGAATCTCTTCCTTGAGTCGCTTAACTTCGTCGATTTCGTTTGGAAAAGGAGGAGGAACGATGCTGCTCGGTCGCTCGCCATTTTCGATCCGCTGCAGGAAATCAACGAAGACAGCTTCATTTCGCAGCTCGATCGCGTTTCTCGGCCGCTGGGTGCTATCGACCTTTGTGCATTTTTCGATGAGAGTTTCAAACTCTTCAATTTCGTCCGTTTCGCCGAGAATTTCAAAGAGAGATGTTCGCTTGCCACTTTGAATATTATTCACTGAACAGTTTTTCATTCGAAGTCTTCATTTTGAAACTTACAAATCTCAAGAAAGAGAGCAGGTCGGCCTTCATATTGAGCAAATGGATGTTCAAGAGTCAATAGTTCCTTCAAAAATGCGTTGAGAATTCTTAAAACTATCGAAAATGAATACCTGCAAGATCAGTGCGAATCCCCAAACATCCAGTCTTGGGTGTTTCTTCGCATTTTCGTCTGGGCTATTGATTTCTAAGAAAAGTTTGGTTTTTGGAAGCACTTCTTTCTCACCTGGAGCAGCGTATATAGGTGTGGACTTGATTCCTTCTCCAGTCGAAGTCGTCATTGTCTGCTGAATCGATCGAACAGACTGGGCGCTTCCGAAGTCCCCGATCTTCACCTAAAGAAGATGTTAATTTGTTGCTTGAGAAATGTTGACTTACCGTAATGAAGTCGCCAAGGACAAATATATTTGCAGGTTTGAGGTCGAGATGGACCTTGTTCTTCTCGTGGCAGTAGCTCAGCGCGGAAATAAGCTGCGCCGCGATGACTCTTGCTTCGTCGAGCGTTGTTCGTCGCTGGGCGTCCTTCATCTTTTCAATCCAGTTGGCGAGGCTGCCACCGGCGCAGAATTCCATGACGATGAAGCACATGGAACCGAATGCCCATTCTGGCATCTGGCGATCGAGGAAATCGACGAATTTCACCACGTTAGCGTGATCTTAAAATGGGATGGGTGCGCGTCAATAGCTACGGTTTGGGGGGTTTGCGTCAATAGCTACGGTGCGTCAATAGCTACGGTTAAAAATGAGTCATAAGGAGCATAGAAATTAACACACAGTTTAGGGTGAGCATCAAACTAGGTCGTGTTTGCCGGTTATTTCGAAAATTACAAGAATCTGATGCTATCTAGGTCGGTCGGAAAGAGAATGTTGTCGTTTTTCGCTTACAAAAATGATACCAATATGAAAAAATAACTTATTTAGCCTTGATTCAATAAAAATTGTCCGATTTTGATGCTTATTCAAATTTTTGCAAGCGAAAAGCGACCACATTCACTTTCCGACCGACCTAGATAGCTTCAGATTCTCGTAATTTTCGAAATAACCGGCAAACCCAACCTAGGTTGATGCCCACCCTAAACTGTCTGTCAACCGTAGCTACTGACGCAAACCCCCCAAACCGTAGCTAATGACGGGCACCCAAATGGGATACCCTCCTTGTGCCGGGAAAACCCCGTGTGCCGGGATTCTCGGCCAAAATCCCGATACATGGAGGATGGCGTTCTAGAAATCCCAAAAAGCAGTTGATTTTGACCAAAAACTCTTCATATCGAGTGTTTTTGAAGAAAAACTAATTGTTATATAAAATTCAAGACAGTTTTAGTCATTTTTTATACCTAACCCTAACCCAAATAAAAGAAGAATACAGTCGTAAAAGATTGATTATCTGCTTGATCGTCATAAGAGTCAAATACGGGGACACATGAATTGTGGCTGTTTCGCAAAATGCGTGAATTGTGGCTCTGCATGAATTGTGGCTGTGCGTGAATTGTGGCTCCCAAATTTAGTCAGAGAATTGTGATAAGATTCAAATATCGTTTTCAGTAGAATGACGATTCTGTGGGGTGTGCCAATTTGATGAACTGGATGAAAGTATCTTTTGAGCCAAATAATTAAAATTGAATTTTTATGTTCTATTTTTTCATAAAAATAAATCAAGTCTAATTAACTTAAACAATAAATTCAGACTACAATTAATATTATAATAAAGAGAGTGGTTTTCCTCGATTAAAGCAAGATCTTTTGAGCTCACAGAAGACAGATCAGATTTATGTATCGAAAAAGTTTAGTAACGTTATTTAATTTTAGATAATCTTACAATTGTCGAAATTTTCATGTTGAAATATATATCACCAAATATTATAGAAAAACTCTTTACAAAACCTTTAGAATCCCCGAAACAGGAGATTTCTAGAACGTTTCGGATTTGACCCTCCATGTGCCGGGATTTTAGGGTTATTCCCGGCACAAGGAGCTTAAAATTTTCATATTGAAAAACGAGAAATTCGTTCACAAAATCATTTTTACCAATGCCTTGGTCGATTTAACTGCAAGGGTTAATAATTAAATTACCGAGCTCTCGAAGAGTCGCTGCTTCTTGTTTCGTACTTTTCCAGTGATTGGCGTTTTGGAGCAAAATCGCCTTGACGATGACAGTCTCCCCAGTAGCAGTGTTCAAAGCCGTAGTCACGCCTTGATTGGTTTCAAACTGACTAACATCGATGTTCGCGAACTGTCCATCTTTCTTTCAACAAGTTACAAAGTAAAAAGTAAATATTGATTATTCATATTAATTTGTAACCGTAACAAGCTCTCAGTCATTTTGGAGTATCTCAATTGGTATTTTCTCGCTCAAAAGTCTTCCTCTCTTGCAGCAGAATTTGCAGTGTTTGAAAAGTGCGATCGGAGCCGCTGCCACATGCGCTTACTGCAAATATTTGACTGTTGGGCAGAGCCAGGAATTTGGTTTGACGTTTTGGACTTTCCTGGTCATCTTGTCCAATTTCCTTGCGCTTTGTCGCCTTGCAGTTCATGCTTCCTTTGCTGCTTGAGGACAGAAGTACGGGAAAAACGTTCAGAAAATTTTCCGACAAAATGAAACAGCGGTAGTAACCAGGGCAAAAACTCAAATATTTGCATGCAGCAGCGCATGCAGCAACTCGATCATTTCCATTCTTCATTTCTATTTTGTGAGAGGAGAAAAGTTTAGTTTTGCGAAACAACGAAGCAATTCCAATGACTGTAACTTTGTTAGGGTAAAAGTTGCGTTTATTATCGTTTCGTTAATTCAAAAATTCTGTAACTTTTTAAAAGAGGGATGATCGATATGTCAACAGTGACGAAGAGCGCTTCGGAACTAACCAAGGCGTCGCTGAGGCCTTCGATACGGCTACTGGAGAGACTGTGATCGTCAAGGCGCTCTTTATCCAAAATAAAGAAGGTTGGACAAACACGAAGCGAGAAGCTGAAACGCTTCGACAACTCGGTAAGGTCTTGAGTTTTTAATTGATTGATAAACGTGTAGATCACGCGAATGTGGTCAAATTCGTCGACTTTCTCGATCGACATACGCCAGAATGGGCTTATGGATCCATGTGCTTCATCATTATGGAGCACTGCGCCGGCGGAAGCCTTGCCGATTGGATCGAGAAGATGAAGGCAGCGGGAAGACGAACTACTCTTGACGAGGCAAGGGTCATTGCGGCTCAGCTCATCTCCGCGCTGAGCTACTGCCATGGAAGAAACAAGGTCCATCTGGACCTCAAACCCGCCAATATATTCGTCCTCGGCGATTTCATTACGGTAAGCAAACATCCTCTAGCTTATAAAAATAGTTTTATTCAGGTGAAGATCGGGGACTTCGGAAGCGCCCAGTCTGTCCGATCAATTCAGCAAACAATGACGACTACGACTGGAGAAGGAATCAAGTCCACGCCACTTTATGCTGCCCCTGGTAAGCGATTTTGAATGAATCAAAATAACGTTTTTCTTAGAAATCAACAGCCCAGACAAGACGGCAAAGAAACATCCAAGACTGGATATTTGGGGATTCGCACTGATTTTGCAGGTATTTATTCTCAAAAACTGGCAAAACATCATAATGCGTTTTTAGGAACTGCTGACTCTTGAGCATCCCTTTGCTCGAAAAGAAGGAAGACCGGCCTTGTTTTTCGAAATAAGTAAGTTTCGAAAATTGAAATTCGAAAGAAGAAATATTTCTTTAGTAACGAATATTCAAACTGGCAAACGAACACCTCTCTTTGAAATCCTTGGCGAAACGGACGAGATTGAAGAGTTCGAAACTCTCATCGAAAAATGCACGAAAGTTGAGAGCTCAAGACGGCCGAGAAACGCGATTGAGCTGCGAAATGAAGGCGTCTTCGTTGATTTTCTGCAGCGAATGATTGGGAGATTTTTGATTTGAAATTTTAGGAAAACGAATCTGAGAAAAATGAACGAGAAAATGAATTGAAAAAGCTAGACAAGAAATCTCAAAGCTGGAATCGATTTTGAAAGAAGAAAGAGAAAGAAATCGACGCGAGACTCAAAAGCAGAAGAAGGAAATTGAGAGATGGGGGCGAGACTTGAACGAAAAGAGTTCGAAAAAGATGAAAAAAGGGATGAAGCGAGAAATGAAGAATTAGACAAGCTGAGGAAGGAATTGGGCGCGATGGGCGGAGCGGGCGAGTTTTTCGGGAATGATAAAGGGACTGGTTGGGGTGGAGTAAGAGATTGGCTGAAAAAGGAAGATTTGAAAAAGGTGCTGAAGCTGTTATCTCTTGGAGAGAAAAAATAAATCTAAAGGAAAGAGAGTTTTTAATTTTTAACGAAAAATAATTTCGAAAACTCTCCGACAAGTTTCGTTATTCTCATAATTGGGAGGTTGCCGTAGCAGGATGGCACTTGCGATTCAAAAGTGCTTATGGATATAAAGGGGAGATGGTTGGTACTATTTATCAATGTGGAATAAAGGTAAAATTTAAAATTTCAACTTTTAAAATTTTATTTCAGAAGGCGATGGAAGATTCAAAGCGGTCGCGCAGGAAATTGATGGTTTTGATGGAGAAGAGCGGAATCGACAAGAAATCGAAAGCGAGGCGGATGGACAGCGGCAAACTATCAAATAAAAAATGAAAACTGAATTATATTTTGTAAGATTTAATGTTTATTTTCTGTAAATATAATCTTACTCCCTCAATTGAAGACAAAAACATAAGAAAACCTATTTATTACTATGAAACTCGTCGATCGCGTAGCCAAATAATAAAAAGTCGACAAAGTAGATTTTGTAAAGTTTCTTGATGATTTCTTCTGGGATGTCTTTGTAGAAGTCGATCAGGCCAGAGCTCAGAAGCGGCGAGTCAGAATACTGCCCCGGCAAGTGGGTCAACCCTTTCAGCTTAATTTAAACGGTTATTTTGAATTTCATAGTGATCTTACTTGAGCGCGTTCGGTGACGAATTCGGTGTCTGTCGAAGAAGTCTCTTGCTTTGTCACGATCGTGTAGTCCACAAAGCAAGGTGAACACTAGAAACAATATAAAAGCAGGCAATTCTTAAAATTCGTCGAACCTCAAAGTCCATGGTTTTCCAGTGATAATCGAATTTGTTGATTTCGGCCACATCGGCGACGTATTCCAAAAAGGCTCGAAAAGAAAAACATTCTTATTTTTGTAATTGATCTTCTCGAACTTTGAAATGGCCGCTCCATAGTTTCTCACATACGCTTTCAAATTCCAATTGTCTCTTCCAAATTTCTATCGCCAGGCGAAAAGAAGCCGGGCAAATGGATGTCGAACGTTGATCATTCGCATTTTTACCTCATGAATTTTTTTCTAAAAAAAATTTTCAAAAATAAACAAAGTTGTAATGGCCTTACTTGGTTGATCTCATTCTTCTCTTTGTAGCGAGGCAAAACCTTGAAGATTTCGTCGATTCCAAAACTCTCCGGCTCGCGTTCCGGATGCAGCAGCACGGCAAAGTATCGTTGCCAGTTTGTAGTCCCGGTCTGAAATTACCCTCAAATGCAATCAGCTAAAAGTACCTTTGGAGGCAAACAGGTAAGCAGATCGATGTTCTTCAAGTCGAAAAGGTCGAAAAGTTGTTTCTTGTTTTCAACGACTTTCATTTTAGAACCGCTTTCATTTTTCACTTGCGAGGCATTTTGAACTTCAAGCTGAATTCTTCGCAGTTCATCAAAGTCCATGCTTTTCGACTCCCGGAAAATACTTTGTTCTAAATTGCAGCCTTTTCTCAGCAAATTTACTCGTTCTTTATTTCTTTGGCTTAGAAAATCACTAGAATTCTTGGCGATTTCTTCGTTGTCTTCAATTTTCTCGGGCTCTTCTTCTTCAGAAATTCTGCTGCTCTCGATTTGAATAACGAAACTTTCGTGACTCTCGGAACAATAAAAAACCAACCAACAAAATGTTCCAAGAAAAATCGCGGCAAATTTTTTAATACTATTAGCCATGGTCTATTTTGAAATACTTGACAAGTTCAATTTCTTTTGAAATATAATCTGCCTTTGAGGGTGGAGCATTGACTTGACCATGGCGTCAACAAGTCCATCAAAGGCATTGTTGAATTCTTCTTCCTTGAGGTCAGAATCTTGAACTTACAGTCATTTGTTTGTAAATATGTTGGTTGCTTCGCGGCGAAAGTGAAAGAAACATGAAAACAGCGCTTCGAAAATCTCCTTTTTGGAAATTTAATGTTATTGAAAAGCATCTGCTTCGCAAATTTGCAAAATCCAACCAGCAAAAATAGAAAATAAAAAATTACAGCTGATTTTTAATTTTCGCTTTTTAGCGTTTTTTAGTTTATTTTTAACGAAAAATGACGAGAACAATCACTGACATTGTCGCGGTGACAATTGTGCTTGGAACGGTTGGTTACTTTTTGTTCAATTCTGTCGAGAGCGAAGAAGGCTTGGAAGTTCAAATCGACGTCGAAATGCCTGAAAAAGAGATAAACATCATCGAATTTCTTACTCAAAGAAATAAGAAGCGAGTGAATTTACTTAGGAAAGGTTGCAATTTGGACCAAAGGCGGCGCTAATTTATCCTTAAAAATAAGAAGCTATTGCAAAATCGAACGAGTAGAAAGGTTTTTGCCAGAAAAACAATGAATAGCGTCGTGAAAGCATTTTCCGAGAGTCGAAAAACATGGACTTCGATGAACTTCGAGAAATCCAGCTGGAACTTCAATTCAGTGCCTCGCCAGAAAAAATGAAAGCGAGTCAAAAGCGATGCTCGTTGAAAACAGGGACCAACTTTTCGACCTTTTTGACTTGAAGAAGATTGACCTCCTTGCTTGTTTGCCCCAAAAGGTAACAAAAAACGACTACTGGTACATTTGAGCGAAATTTCAGACCGGAACGACAAATTGGCAACGATACTTTGCCGCGCTGCTGCATCCGGAACGCGAGCCAGAGAGTTTTGGAATCGACGAAATCTTCAAAGTTTTGCCTCGGTACAAAGAGAAGAATGAGATTGACCAGGTGAGTTGAAAGCAATATTAATTAGATTTTTCATATGTAGGCTTACCGGACTAAATTTCGACCCATATTTCTAGCTTAGTTGGGTAGTCATATGACACAGTTTTAGAAAGCCTAGCTTCTGGGCTTTCATTTGGGCACAAATTCAAGGGGTCTGGGTCATGCCCGCAAGGCAATTCATGGGACCTGAAGTCCCATTAAAGCATTAAAAAGTTGAACCGAGGTCAAACCGGGTGGTCAACCGGGTGGTTCATCGTTGGCCATATTTCCATGTTTTTGAAGGTTTCTTGAGTTGAACCACCCGGTTCGACCACGGTTCAACTTTTTAATGCATTAATTATTGTTTATAAATGTTTTATACATATAATTGGAGAGTTAAGAACTCAAAAACCGAGTTTTCCGGCATTTCCGGATTTTTACCGCCAACTTCTAGCGCCTCCAGGTGGACACAAACCACTTGGCACTAAGATTTTTGAGTTCTACTGAAAGCTCAGAGCCTGAGCTTTCTAAATATATGACTTTTGACTACTCTCGAGCCCGGACGGCCATCGAAAAAATAGTTTGAAGTATTTTAGTACCTATTTTGGGACTTCAGGTCCCATGAATTGCCTTGCGGGCATGACCCAGACCCCTTGAATTTGTGCCCAAATGAAAGCCCAGAAGCTAGGCTTTCTAAAACTGTGTCATATGACCACCCAACTAAGCTAGAAATATGGGTCGAAATTTAGTCCGGTAAGCCTATTCATATGTTTTTAGGAGAAAATCCACGAAGTAGAAATGCGAATGATCAACGTTCGCCACCCATTTGCCCGGCTTCTTTCCGCCTGGCGACAGAAGTTTGGGAAGAACTTCTGGAATTTGGACTTGTACGTCCGAAGATTTGGAGAGAGCATTTCGAAGTTTGAGGAGATCAATTACGAGAACGAAAATGTCTTTTCTTTTCGAGCGTTTTTGGAATACATCGTCGATGTCGCCGAAATAAGCAAGTTTGATTATCACTGGAAAACCATGGATTTTGAGGTTTGAGAAATTTTATTAATTGCCTGCTTTTCTGTTGTTTCTAGTGCTCGCCTTGCTTCGTGGACTACACGATCGTGACGAAGCAGGAGACTTCTTCGACGGATGCCGAATTTGTCACCGAATGCGCTCAAGTAAAATCATTATTCAATTCAAAATAACTGGTAAAATTCAGCTGAAAGGGTTGACCCACTTGCCGGGGCAGTATTCTGACTCACCGCTTCTGAGCTCTGGCCTGATCGACTTCTACAAAGACATCCCAGAAGAAATCATCAAGAAACTTTACAAAATCTACTTTGTCGACTTTTTGTTATTTGGCTACTCGATCGACGAGTTTCTAAGTCAGCAATAATTATACATCAATAATTGAGTTTTCACTGTATATTGACCAAATATATGACCAACTATTTATACAATTTATTTGGATATATTACCACTTTCTTGTTCAAAAATTTTTTGAAAATAAAAGATAATGAAAATTGCTGTAATGACTCACTTAGTTGTTACGAAGTCTGACTCGTTTCCGGCTGCCAAAAATGAAAAATATTCAGTTGATTCATATGTTAAAGAATCATTAATATTGAGAAGATTAATAAATGGGAAACTGCGCAGCAAAGAGAAGCGAAAGTAATGAACAAAAATCTCGTCCGGAAAAACTAACCGGTTCGGCAGAGCCGACAATTGATGCGGTAGACTACTCAAGGTAAGAGCCTGCGAAGTAGTAAGGGATAAGTTTGAATGAGCCCCTTTTATTTGCAGCAGCGAAATCTGCCAGTTCAACTACGCCTTCGAAGAAGTTGTTGTTGCCTTTTTCAAGTCAAAGCTCCGCCCTTCAAAAGCAGATTTTATTTCGCCCTTTCAAATCGAAAAACTGGAAGACCGAATCGTTTTCAGGTAAAAGATGTTTGGCGAATTTGAACTTACCGAAAATTCTAGACGAGAGGAGACGAGAACAGTAGATGTCCCTTGGCTGTTGAAAAAGATATGTGACCCGACTTTCGTAATGGCGCACGAAATCAGCATTTTCCCGAACGAAAACAGACTCGAAGTCTATGTCAAAAATAGCTCTGTAAGTCCCCTTTTTGCCGATTATTCTCACAGAGAAGTGTTAAGCATTTAGATTACGGACTTGTTTCTGACCAGGAAATTTATACAAAAGGCGAGGGTCTTTCAAAAACGACCCTGAGGAGAAAAATCGGCGTTGAACTGAGCTCGGAGAAAAGCTGGTTTGGATTGAAAAGCACTGCGGAAAAATGGCTCAAGAAAAAATCGAAGGTAAAATAATCATGTGCGAGATCGAGAGACGAAATTTTAGGTGCTCTTTTCGAAGACTGATGAAAAACTGGAGAATATTTTGGAAGAAGAGCCTTCTTTGGACAAATACTTTCCTTTCATACTTGATGGCTACTTAGAATACCTCGAATAAAATGAAAAAAAGAGTTCAAAATTCACAGTTTTTTGCCCTTGAAATAAATCACACCCCGCGGACCTGATGGTCGTCCCAAAAGAATCTTCCCACTTTGGCTACTATTTGTAGGGCCAAGATGCAGAGATACTCCCTTACGATGAGACAAACCTTTACACAGAAGACCGAATGGGTTTAAAAAAGCTGCATTTTTTTCACCTTTGCTGGCGATCAACTCATTCTTACTGACGAAGAATTTACAGAGGACCTCGCCCAGTTTCTTGCTTAATTTCTGATTTCAAATACATGTATTACGATTACGATCTCAAATGATTTGGGCTTTGAACTCTTACGGGGCCTAAGACGCTAATTTAAGACTTAGAGACTCTTCGTTGCTCTTGCAAATTAGCCAAGTTTGATCCATGTTGAACAACAAAAATAAACACCAGTTTTCAATGGTTCACAAGCATCAAAAAACCTTTGATAATCTATTGTTCGGTTCTACCGAATAATAAAACGTAGCATGTTAAATGCTTTGATTGGCTATTTATGCTGATTAGTATTATTTTCCATCGTGAGAAAGTTTGTCCGCAATGACTTTTTTATTTGACGGAAATTCACTTGATCTTAAAGGTCCAAATGTGATTTAGTACTGCTTCTTTGATTTCTCAAGAATGTGGATAATTTCGAAATAAGGTAACGATCTTTTTTACAACGAAGAATATAAAAAAGACTATAAATTGAAGCGGTTCTTCGCTCTCTTATCGACCCGGAAGGGTTCTGACCCAGAACTTCTGAGAGATAATGCCAATCGTTGGTCCGATAAATGAGCTTTTTGTGCCTCCTACCGTTCCTCCTTGGAACTTCAATGGAGATGACATCCTTTGGACCAGAGAACAAGCTCAAATAGCAGGAATAGACACTTCAAAGAAAATGTTGTAATAATCATTATTTTCATCAGATTTTAATAAAAATTTTTTGATAAATAAAAAAATAATATTTGACAGGCGATGATTTACGATGGCCCTTTTGACCCGACCTCTACAAGGGAAAAAAGAGCAGCGATTGTACAGAAAAAATGGCCAGGAAATACTGACGGTGTTGAGGATAGAAGTTACCTTCTCATTCCTTACCGATATTCCAACGATAGTCAATTTTCAATCGACCAACAAGAACACATCGCAGATTCATTGGATTTGATTACAGCAGATCTTGGTGGATGCATTCAATTTGTCGACGATTCAATTTCTAAAGCGCACTCACACTGGATTGACATCCGTCAAGAATCGGGTTGCTTCGCTTCTGTGGGTTATAATCCAGCATTTTCTGGTGGGCAACCATTATCTCTTGGAAATGGTTGTCTCGGCAAAGCAACGATTAGTCACGAAATGATGCACTCGCTTGGATTCTTTCATGAACAAAGTCGACCAGATCGGGATGAACATGTTATTATCCATTTTGATCGAATAGTCCCAAATTATCAATTTGCTTATTATAAGATTTCTGAACTTGGAAGCACCTGGTTTGACATGTCAAGTCCTTACGACTACAAATCTAACATGCACTACTCAGCGTGGGGTTTCCGGACACCTGAAGCTAAGGAGGCGGGCTTACCTTCGATTACAAACTTGGCTGGTGAGCCAGTTCAATACCCGACGGTCACAAGACTCTCATCGAGGGACATTTTTCAACTCGCAAAAATGTACGAAGGCTTTTGTGGAGAACCGGGAGGAGAGTTCATCAAGACGCGATCTTGCGATAATGGGGAGAAATATCTTGAAAGCCGAGCTTGCGATGGAATCTTGGACTGTTCTGACGGATCTGATGAGGATGCCATATTTTGTAATATAGCAGAAGAGTGTTCTGTTCAGGAAATCGAAGCAAACAAAACTGATCCATGCTCTGGTCTCGAGAACTGTATAACATTCGTCGGGGCATGCGGAGACGCACCAGTAAGGCCTCTCAGGAATCGAGTTTGAAATCACATTTTTAGGCAGGGCTGGCAAAATGGTGCCTCAAAAGCCGCACTAACAAATGTTGATTAAGGATATAGCCGCTCTCAAGGCAATTTCGTAGCGCCGAAATGGGGCGATAAATTTTTTTCATTTCAAGACAGGTCCTACCTAAAATTATGTATAGAATTCGATTCTGATGTTTTTTAAAAATTTTTTTAAAGGGGGGGTCGTCAATATTCGGATTTTTTTTGACCAAAAATACGGAAAAACCTGATTGGATTGAAAAAAATCGAAGTGTCCGGTGCAAAGAAAAGGGTTTAAATTTTCGACCGGCAATAAGAAGAAAAAAAATTTTCTTGGAAAATTTTTCCAAATTTAGGGTTGAAGTGGGGGTGTCTCTTGACCAAAAAATCTCGAAACCAAATTTTTTTTTCGACAATCAAATTTTAAATACTAGTAGTTTGGACCCTTCTGCATCGACCGGCGATCAAAAAATTAAGGGTCACTTCATTAAAAAAATTTTTTCTTATTGATTAAAAATATTCGATTTTAACAAAATTCCATATTTTTACTCGTTTTTGACCGATTTTTTTTCGAAAACCGCAAAGACTCGGAATTTTTAATAAATATTGATTAAGAAACTATTAAAAATAATAGCTAACGAGAAAAAACTTCAATTTTGATTGTTTTTGGCCGAAATCAGCTTCTTTAAAACTCCCGTCGCGCGCTCATTTTCAATGTTTAAGTCGATTTTTACCAGGTTTTACGTGGACCAATCAAAAAAAGCTAGAGACCAAAAAGATTATATTTTTGACAAGGAACTCAAAAATGTGGTCAAAATTTCAAAAGTACAAAAATTTCCATATTGACGACCCCCTCCTTAAAGAAAATTTCTCTCTGGAGCGATTTGAAATCTTACGATCACTTTTTCTCGAAATTTTTCAATTAAATCGCTAAAACTAAACCGTGTTTTATTATAAATAATTGCTAATCTATCTTTCTAGGGCCTCAAAATTTCAAAACCCGAGCAAATTTTCATTCTAGCATCTTCTTCTTTTTGCGTTTTCTTTTTCATAAATGCTGCGTTCAGGGCGCTCGGCCAATCAGCGCGCTCTTTCACATGCGCGCCTCACCGCGCGATGGAGGAGGGCGCCCAGCGCAGCAAGCCAGAGCGCTGTCTGACGCTTCGGCTTACTCAAGTAAGCCTCATAAAAATAGCTCTAGAATCATAAATAATTGGAATCTATTAAAATTTAGACCCTAGGAATGTAGAAAAAGGTCGAAATTTTTAATTTTTCAAAAAAACTCGACCGATTTAATGGAAAATTCTCGAGAAAAAGTGATCGTAAGATTTAAAATTGCTCTAGAGAGAAATTTTTCCATTAAAAAATTAAAAATAACACTAGAATCGGGATTCTTAGGCAATTTTAGGTAGGGTTCCTTTTGAAATGAAAAAATTTTATCGTCCCCTTTTGGCGCTACGAAAGTGCCTTGAGAACGGCTATATGATATAGCCTATATCCTTAAGTATGACTTATCATATATAGATTTCGAACATCGCTGCAAGTGACAATAAAATAGCTACGGTTTCTGCCGCTCTGAATTATAAATTCTCCGCTGACGTCTTTTGCAATGAAAAAACCACCGAAGGCGAATACCTCAACATCATCCGGGTCACGTCTGGTAAATGGGAGTCTCCAGGCGCTCGTCAGTTCGAGATTTGGCGCTGGGGCAAGACGAACCACATGTTTATCCGCGTTAATGATCCAAACGGATATGATCATGGGAAAGGTTTCTTATATGAGTGCGAAACAGGATCCTGGAACACATATTTTGTCGAAGCCAGTCAAGTCGAGGAATCACCAGAAATCATTGAATATGTGATAAACGTTGATGGCACCGAAATCGCTAATGGTAGCTATGGTGTTAATGAAGCGTATATGTCTGGCGATTTGAAGGCTTATGTCGGCTCCACGAACCATGCGATCGAAGCACGAGTCAAAAACTTCTTTTACCAGACATTTGAAGAATTGAGTTTTACATCAAGTAATGAAACGACAACGACAACTTATTGCTACGACAATCCTTTTTATCCTTCCTGCTCATATTGGGCCTCTATCGGATACTGCTTCACAGACGGACAAAGAGATTTCATGCTTGATAAATGCAAATTTTCCTGCGGAGAGTGTTCTAATTCGACGCGATCTTGCGATAACGAGGAAAAATATCTTGAGAGCCAGGCTTGTGACGGAATCTTGCACTGTTCTGACGGATCTGATGAGGATGCCATATTATGTGGTATAGCAGAAGATTGTTCTGTTCTGGAAATCGAAACTAACAAAACTGATCCATGCGCTGGCCTCGAAAACTGTATGACATTTGTCGGTGCTTGCGGAGACGCACCAGTTAGGCCTATCAGGAATCGAGTTTTAAATAACAACTGGCAAAATCTTTTTATCTGGCTCGGCCCAAATAAACATTTTAAAGAGCTATTTCATTTCCTTTATCGCTCCAACTCGCTGCAAGGAATAATCAAATAGCTACCGTTTCTGCCGCTCTGAACTATAAACTCTCCGCTGACGTCTTTTGCAACGAGAAAACAACCGAAGGTGCATACCTTAACATCATCCAGGTCACTTCTGGTAAATGGGAGTCTCCAGGCGCTCGTCAATTCGAGATTTGGCGCTGGGGCAGGACGAATGACATGTTTATCCGAGCTAATGATCCGAACGGATTTTCTCATGCAAACACTGTCCTTCTTGACTGCGAAATTGGAACCTGGAACACATTTTCTGTCGAAGTTAGTCAAGTTCAAGACTCACCGGAAACAATTGAGTACGTCATAAGCGTTGATGGCGACAAAATCGCTGACGGAAGCTACGGTGTAAACGGAGCGTATAGGTCCGGCGATTTGGAGGTTTATGTGGGCAGCCCGTCGAGTCATGCGCCCGAAGCACGCGTCGAAAATTTCTTCTACCAGATTTTCGAAGAGCAAGATATCACGACAACAATCAATGAAACGATAATAACCACTCCTTGTTTCGATAATCCTCTCCATCCTTCCTGCGCATATTGGGCTTCTGTCGGGGAATGCTCCAAAAACCCCGGATTCATGCTCCACCATTGCAAATTTTCCTGCGGAGAGTGTTTTTCTTCCACAACAACAACAATAGCTGAAACAACAACTTCAACTTCATCTACAACTACAACTACAATTACAACGACAACTACAACTACTACAACGACAACAACGACAACAACGACAGCAACAACAACAACTACAACTTCAACTACTACAACGACAACAACAACCACAACAACAACAACAACAACAACAACGACAACAACAACAACAACAACAACAACTTCAACTACTACAACGACAACAACAACCACAACAACAACAACGACAACAACAACAACAACAACAACAACAACAACAACAACAACAACAACAACAACAACAACGACAACAACAACAACAACTACAACTACAACTACAACTACTACAACAACAACAAGAACGACATCTGAAACAGTATCTCTTCCGCAAATCAACGGTAAAGTCTCATGTGACGAGGGAATTCTCAAGGTAGAAATTCCAATAAACGAGCTTGAAGCAGAAAATATCGACCGATCAAAGCTTTTCATGGGTATGCCCGTTTATTTAACAGGATTAAGTTAAAAAAATTCAGAAGCGGAAGGAAACTGTCCTGGTCAAGAAATTGGCGATAATATTATTTTCGACTCTTCAAATGAAAATTGCAAGGTCAGCCCTGTTGAACAAGATGACTCTTACGTTTACTCGACAAGAATTATTGGCAAAAATCAAAACGAAGGTGTAATCAATCGTGGAAGCGAAATTGTAAGTCTGGCTCTTGATTCTTTATCGTGAATTGTTTAATTTTTCGAGGTTCTGAGCTTTTCGTGCTCTCTAAATGCAACACAAACTGTCAGTCTGGCTGCACCGATCAAGACAAACATCAATAAGCACTTTGTCGATCTCGGCAACGGAGTTGGTAGTTTCGCTATTGAGCTCGCAGTTTACGACAATAATGATTACTCAATTCCAGCAAGGTTTCATCTCATGAGAATGAAAGAAGCTCACATAAATTTTAGGGTCGATCATATTTTCAAAGTTCCAGAGAAAGTCTTTGTCGGAATCGAAAACAAAAACAATGAACTGGCCATTGCTATTGACAGCTGCAAAACTTTCGCAACTGATCATCCTCAAACAGGTAAAGTTATCGAATGATCCGAAAAGACGTATGGAACCTACGGTTTCGTCCGATAGGTAATTGTTTTTCTTAAAATGCACCTCACAAATTGTAAATTATGAGTTTTTTCTGTCAATTGACAATTTTTAACAAAAAATTTTTCAAGAATATTTCTTGATCGAAAATGCTTGTCCTTCCGACTCTTCAACGGCCATCAACGAAAGCGGTCAATCATCAATAGCACGCTTTCAGTTCGATAGTTTTCAATTTTCCGACAATCCGGATTCGTCGATTTCGGTAGAGTGCGTTATTTCAATCTGTGATGCAGATAAAGATGACTGCAATGTATGCGCCTCCTCTGCAAGAAAACGGCGATCGACTGACAACGCGAAGAAAACACTTGTTTCCGCGATGATTTTCACCGGGAAATAAATCGACTTCTGCTCCATTATTTATCTTTCTTTCAGTTTATTAAATCATCGTCTGCTTTATCCCCATTTATTTGCAATAAAATCAATTGTATATTATATTCTCCCCCTTGAAATCAAAGAAGAGAGGCCTGTTTGTGCTGATTTCAAACTGGTTGTTTTTAAGTTTTCTAATTGAAAATTTAAATTATTATTTTTCTCTCGTGAGAATGGGATACTTTTTTTCCTCCAAATGAGCGGCCATGAATAAAAAAGTCCACTTTGAGCGTGATTAAAAACGATTTTCCGTTTTGTATAAATTTCAGAAGAGCCAGAGACGAAAGCTATTTTGATGAAGACGAGATACAGTCGACTCTGGCAATTACGAGCCTTTTTTTGTCGGGAAGTTCGTGAAATACTCGTAATTCTCCTAGTCGGAAAAATTGCCCGATTTTTATCGATTTCATGTTTAATTTAAAAAGTCTCTAGACAAAACAACATGGATGTTTTTTCTTAAGCGTTTTTCTTTGGTTTTTTGAGATCCTACGTTAATATGTCAGGAAGAAGAATCCGAAAGCAACATACTGGCAGAAGGGATGTTGACATCAAAACCATTCGGGAGTACTGTCGTGTGATTAAAGCTGGTCGGTCGAAGGAAGTATATGCGCTTTACAAGAAGAAATTCAATGGAGATACTCTGAGTTCGTCGACTTTGGCAACATGGAAGAAAAACATGGACAAATACTTGAATTGTGATAAGAAAAAAGGATGCAGACCTTCGTACAAGCAGGAAGAAATCAAAGAGATATTCGACAGTGAATTATTCAAAAAAATCGAAGAACTTGATTATGATTTGGAGGGATACGTTGGTTTGAAAGAAATGGCAGAAAAGCTTGCAGCTACTGATCAATACAAAGACGAGCCCTGTATACAATCGATGACTTTTTCGTTCTCTTACTGCGAACGAATTGTGAAAAAATACAACATGATGGTCACTACAAGTTGTTCGACACAAGTCATACTTTCTAATGAAGCAAGATTGATGGAGAACGCACGTCTTCATGCAATTATGTCTTCTTATAGTAACGATTGTATTTATAACATTGATGAGGTTTGTCATGATATCCTCTTAAAAATATGCAAGAATTATTTGTAGAGTGCGTTCTACGTGAATTTTCAGCCGCGCAAACGGCTGATTATCCGCAAGAATCAGGCGTTTCGTAAAAGCCAGCCAAAAGATGAGAAATTAAGGAAAGGAATAAAGATCATCAGCTTATATGATTTTAATAGTGATACCCTTATTTTACTACGGTTCGCGAGAGTGCCAGCTTAGCTCATTCAACAAAATTTGGAAAGAATTCTTTTGAGCGAAATTTTCGCAAAAATTTTTGGTAAAAAGCGAAAGCGAAGCGAAGCGAATTGAAATTACAAAAAGCGAAACCGAAGCGAAGCGAATTCGCAAAGCGAATCCAGACCCCTGATCCATTTAAAGATTCACTTACGCACCGGCTGTTGGTGTTGATGGCCCTGTTGCTGGCTTTAAGCCTTGCATTATTGTCAAAGGTGATTTTGTTCTATATAAATTCATTATTTTTAATTTTCTATATATTATTAATATCTATTCTAGGCACGAAGATGCGGATGTGGAAGGGCTCGCAGTCGACGCGGAAAATCAAGCATGAGGGCGGCGAGGTCCTGTGCAAAGTATTCGACGAGGCCGTTGTGTACAGCAATGCGCGGGGCTGGATGACTCGAAAAATTTTCCAGGAGGAGATTAAAAGGTTCTCTAGGCACCTATCCCGCACCAAGCCCGGCACCAAGAACCTTCTCCTCCTGGACAATTTTTCGGGTCATCTTATTGACCCCGTCGCACTTAGCGTGCACAACGTCCACGTCGAATACTTTAAGCCGGGCTGCACAGGCCAGTACCAGCCCTTGGACATGCTCTTCTTTGCTGCCCTTAAAAATCAGTATCGAATTTTCTTAAGAAAATTTCGACAAGGGCAGCAGAAGAGCAGTCCGGGGCTGGAGCTGTCTGTAAAGACCGTCGCCCGGCTTGGTTCCGAGATGAAGCCCGGCATCGTCAGGGCTTGTTGGCGAAAGACTGGTCTCACCAGATTCGCACAGCTTCAGGTAATTCGTTTTTTTTATTTGTATATCTTACCTTTAATCTTATTTATTAACTATTTTAGGGCGAGACGATTGACAATGAAGAAGAGGAGATGAACCGGCATTCAATCGAGAAGATCGAAGAAGAACTCGCCCAGCTTCAGCTTCAAGACGACGATGAAGATGATGATGTCGAGGTCGAGGAGATTGCTGAACAACCAGTTGAAGCTGCCCAAGAACCTGCTGAACAGCCAGAGACTCCAAAGCCAAAGATTAAAAGAGTCCAATCAAGCATTCTCAATTTTTTTTCCAAAAAATAAATTTTCGGTCGATGATCCCCCGTTTTTCAAATTGTCAAGTTTTTGTCAAAATGCTCGTAATTCTGCTACTCGTAATTGCCAGAGTCGACTGTAAGTCCAAAGTTTGGAAACGGTTGTAATAATTGACGAGATTTGCAAACAACTGAATGCAGAGATACACTTTCTATCTCGCCCAGGCAAACACTCTTTGCGCCTATCGCTCCGTAATCGCTCAAAATCGAAATCAAAACTGACAGTCGATTATTCAAGACTTTGGCCGAGAGACTCTTCCTTGCTCCTACAAGTCAGTTCTGGCTGATTTCTTGTAGTCACATTCTAGTTACGTCTTGAGCTCTCCTATTAGCCTCTAATCCTAGATCAAGTATTCACAACTTTGGCCTAGAGCTACCTGTTTAGAAAACCTAAGTCTGGGGTGCGAAACGGGACCGGGGCAACGGGACACTTGCCCCGTCCCGTGCCCCGTTTTGCCCCGTTACGGGACCGGGACGGGACGGGACACCAACAGTATTTGCCCCGTTTTGCCCCGTGTTTGGTCGTATTTTCGCCGTTTATTTAAACTTTCTAAGAATGTCTCTAGAAAGGACAAATTGAATATTTTTTTAAAAACACGTTAAAGTGGACCATTTTCAATTAAAATTTCTAGACGTAGTTATTTTTTTTCGCTCTTTTGATGGAGGAAATTCAAAAGCCACACAAAATGGTAGAGCAAGCACCAAGTACCAGTAAAAAAAGAAAACTCAATGAACGATTAACACAAGCTGAAGCCGAGACAATAATTAGAGAAAATAAAGGAACTTGGAAGCCACTGACTCATACTTGCATCACAACTGCAAAGGCGAATTTCCGCTCATCGGAAGAATTTAAACGTAAGCAAGAAGCACAAAGCGAAGAAGCAGTACTGTGCTCTTTTGAGGAACTAACACTGGACGGGTCATCAACTTTAATTGCTCGATGTACATCAGCCGAATGCAGAAAAAAGTTGGAAGAGAAGTAAGTGATACTTTTCTATTCTATTTTCGATTCTTTATTCAGTGGTTTTTCACCTATTGTGGTGGAACTCATCGGTATTATGGAAAACATTTCGGCAGACATTTCAAAGCATCATTTCTCGGTCCGACTTCAAAGTCTAAATTGCCAAAAAAGAGCGATAGTCAACCATCTGGTAGGATAGTAGAAAACAACATTAACTGTATAAAAATTAGCTGCGTCATTCGCGATGAAGAAATACATTCCAACTCTGTCTGATACAGATGTCGAAAACATCCGAAAATGTCAAGCAAGACTCGTTTCGAAAGAATGCGTCCCTCTCAGAAGATTCATGATGTCCGAAATGCAAGATTTATTCCGAGAAATCGTGCGCGCAGTGGCGCCAGAAAATACTCACGAGGACATTATTGACAATATTGTCTCGAAAATCAGCACTCACCGTGACACACTCAAACAATGTGCCGAAGCAGATGCGAAAGACCTCGAAAAAATGATTGCTTCAAAGGCAGAACGTATCGCGAGATCGGGCTCGGCATGTCTAATGGTCGACCATCAAAGCCTTAAAAATAAAGGTTCCGATACTCAGAATGTAAGCTAATAAATTATGAACTACGTCTAATTTTTATTTAAGAAACGTCTTGGCTTGATTCTATGCATAACAGATGAATTCCTCAACGTTTATAAATCCTTGCTCACCTATCTGCCGATTGGATCGTCCGCAATGGAAGCGAACCTTGAACCAGTCAAGTCAATTTTGGCCAAATATGGAATCCTGGAATATGTTGAGAAAGGGTTGATATGTATAGTGGCGGATTTCGCCGCGCAGAACCTATGTCGGGCGCTAACTTGGAACCATAATGGATGCTGCGCGCATTCTACAATGAATCTGCTCAATCGAACGTTTACTCTTTTCCTCAGCGAAAAGTAAGTTATAAATTAGTGGTATTAGAGTTAAAAATCACTTAAGGGTATACACTCTGATATAGAAAAATAATAAGAATATTGATATGAACTTAAGGATATGGCCTCTGATATTAAAAAATGCTAAGAAAATCGATATTTCTTTAAGGGTATACACTCTGATATTCGAAAAATCGATATTCATTTAAGGGTAAACACTCTGATACTATAAAAAGCTAAAAATATCGATTTAAACTTAAGGGTATAGACTCTTGTATTTAATAAACCTTAAATATCCATATTTACTTAAGGGTATAGACTCTGATATTAAAAATGCGTAGAAAATCGATATTCACTTAAGGGAGTTCACTCTGATATTCAAAAATCGATATTCACTTAAGGGTACACGCTCTGATATTATAAAAAAGCAAAAATATCGATAGAAACTTAAGGGTATAGACTCTGATATAAATAAATGCTAAGAAAATCGATATTTACTTAAGGATGTACATCCTGATAAATTTTCTTTAGATCATCTGACGAATTTTTGAAGGCGAAAAATATTTTCTTGATCGCGGATCAAAAACACGATAACATAACGTCTGCTCAATACCCAACTCTCAATTCATACCTACGAAGAACAGCAATTAGTGAAGAAGCAAGGCGGAAACAAGTCGAGCTCAATTACGAGCTTGATTACGAGGCGGACAAAGATGAAAATGGCGAGTTAGACGAAGACGACGATATTTCGCAACGATACCAGTACTATCCATCTCTTCCAAAGGATTTTTAGTATCTACTCGGTATAGAAAGATTATAAAGTCATTCAATGTAAGGTTTTTCTTCTAAATCAGATTCACAAAATTTAGTCGCTGCTTGTGTCATATGATGCAATCGAGCGTCTTGACTCGTATTCACATCCTCAAAAACACCTTCGAGTCATAGAACTTCCCGACAAAAACTTTGTCGAAGCGACTGTAACTGTGCTGAAATCAGTTGCCAAAGTAATTGATACTTTTGACTCCGATAATAAGAAAACCGCGGGACTTTTGTACGAACAATATGTTTCCTTGGTCGTCTATGCATGTGATGGAATCAAAAACTCAATCGGATACAAGCGTGATCTTTGGTTTGTTTGAAAAAATACGGTTTTTACTTTTGTTAAGCGAAGCGTTGTTGATTACTATATTCGAACAGTTGTTCCAAGTAAACGTTGATCGACAGGGAAATCGAAAAAACAACCGAAGAGTACAAGCGCGATTTGCATCCAAAGAGCTGGCGCAAATTTATTGCTGGCTCCCCCATAAATGGCTCGATTTCTATGAGTTGAAAGAGGCATTGAAAACTGTGAAGGAGTCAGCGATGTGCGTTGAATTCATCAAAGTCATCGTGGAATCAAATCAGACTGAAAGCGGAAAAAAGAGCCTTATTGACAAAGCGAAAGATTATATTAGAAAAATTGCGTCAGCAATCGATGTTGAAGGCGAAACAGAAACAGAAGTCGTTACTGAAACACCTTCACAAGAAGTTCAAGGTTATTTCAAATTTTCTCCCATAAAAATACTCTGAAATTCTAGGTAAATTTGCGCGACTTTACACAGAAGATGGATCCAGACCTTCATCACCGAAAAAATCAAACGAAAAAGAATCGAAAATAGACATGGAATTTCGCGACTACGAAAGTCTCGGAGGAAAGGGCCTCTGGAGTAATTGTAAGTTGTGAATAATTAAATTAGCTTCTCTATTTTATTTAGTTGAAGCGAAAATGAAGTGCGAAAAAGTGCCGGAATGCCAGTGGCGATATAAATTCTGGGTTGCGAACAGTTCTCGATTCCCAATCTTAGCAGCTGTGTCTAATTTTGTAAGATTTTTCTTCAACACTTCTTATCAAATTTACTAGTTATACCGTGGTTCAAAAGACAGCACTTCACTCTTGGAGCGGACCTTTGCTCTGGCGACCTCTTTCTACTCAAAGCAGCGGAATGCTCTTCTTGCGTCTACTGTAGAAGCCTTTATCAAATATGGATTTAACGAAGAATTCAAGGCTCATTTATCAACTATTTAATTTTATTTTTATCAAAAATCTTTTATTTTTTTAATAAAGAGTTTATATTTCCTCTATCAATTTTAAAAATTGAATCGAAAAATAAACGGGGCAAACGGGACAAAACGGGACGGGACGGGGCACTAGGTGCCGAAAAATAGCGGGACGGGACGGGACGGGACACCGGCACTCGTTGCCCCGTTTCGCACCCCAGACCTAAGTCAGGGTGTAAAAGATTTTCAATGGAAAGCCGCGCAGCGGCTTTATTAAAAACAAAGCCGCGAAGCGGGTTTTCAAAATAGCTACTTCAATCTTTTTCAAGTTCTGTCAGACGAAGCCACTTTGCGGCTTCGTTTTCAAAAGCCGCTGGTTGGCTTTTCATTTTAGCTTTTCAGACCCTGACTCAGGTTTTCTACGCAGGTTGGTGAGCCCAGGGCGAGAGACTTTTGGTTACTCCTACAATAGTGTCCTATTTGAATCGAGTTACAGTCACATTCTAGTAATCCTTTGAGCTCTCCAAAGACCCTCTAACCCTAAATACACAAAAATACGATTCAGGGAGTTTGACCTTGGCCCCCGTTTTTCGCCCGCCGCGAAAAAATGATTGATTTTGATGAATGTGCGTTATTTTCGCGAAAACGAAAATCCCAAGGTCTTTTTATAAAAACTGCCTTGTGACAAATCCTTTTGGCGAGGAAGAATATAATAAAAAAAATCTCAAGAGGTTAGAGGCCACTTTTTTCAATTTGGCTCTGAGAGACAAATTGAAACAGAATTGACTGGCGCCAATTTTACACCATTATCAATTTAGATTTCTTCAGAGAGCGCGGCGCCACTACAAAAGAGCGATAAATTTGAGGGTGAGATTCAGACAAAATTGAACAAATATACACAAGCAGCGATTCTAGTGCTGTATCTTTTTCAGCCAGCGAGGTAAAATTCTGTTATAATTCATAGAATAAGGGTTAAGGATCCCCCCAGCGTTAAGGGGTTAGGGTTAGGTTAGGGGTTAAGGGGGGTCCTTAAATTTATTGAAGTGATTTTATGGATCAGGGTTTTAATTGGCCGGTAGGCCAAAAACAGCAATCTTATTGGTTATCCAAAAATGCACTTTCTAAAGTTGGTTTAGGTATGGGGCCTCTTATTAATTATTTCAAATAATTTATTTGTAATATATAATATATTATATATTAAAAAAAAAAGCATTTTTTTTTTGCTAAAATTGCTTAATTTCCCAGAAAGAACAAGGTGAAAGATCGAACTCTAGCTTTTCAGGTCAGAAAACAAGAATTTGTTCGAAAACTCGAGCAAGTCAAGAGTTGTCAGTCAGAACTCCCCAACTGAATTGAATTTATTCGTATCGTGGTCGTTTGAGCATGGCTTGTTTGGTCACCTGTCAAGTTGCCTCCCCAAGCGCTTCTTCCGTTCAAACAGCACGGTAGAACTTCTGTCCAAGTTTTTTTTTCTTCTTCGTTTCGAGATCAAACGCGACAGCTCGACATTTTTGAGCTGCATATCTTTGCTACTGAATTCGAAATTCGTTGAAGATCGGCGAGCTGTGTAAGCTTGTATTTTTCGAGTGGATTTAGCCACTTGAAATGGAGATATTCAGTGCAGCAATCAACAAGCTGCATGTCTCTGTCTTCTTTTTATTCTTAGATTAGACAGTACAATACTGAATTGACCGCAAGGGAAGGTCAATAGCCTCATTTTTACGTCAGATAATTGTCTTTGCTTGGCAATCTATGAAGAAAACACGAGCCAGGGTCCTGGAAGAGCTTTGATAAAAGCCCCCTAGCGGCTTTCTGAAAAACGAAGCCGCAAATCGGCTTTGACAAAACTACTATTTCAGAACATTTGAATAATTCTGGCGAAGCCGCTTTTGCGCTTCGTTCTTTAAATAGCCGCTTTGCGGCTTTTATCAAAGATCTTCCAGGACCCTGTCTCAGGTTCTCAACACAGATTGCCGAGCCAAGTTTTGCATTCTTTGTTGGATTCACTGTCTGACATACAGAAACGAAAGAGGACGCAAAATTGTCTCATCAGTAAATCACTCTCTCTTTCTCTCTCAGTATGCCACCCACGCATTCATCCCTCGACCGGTGGCGCAAACCTGTTTATAGACTTATTTTTCTTTAGTGATTTTCTCCTGTATATTTTGAGCCCAAAGACCCTTGCAAGGTTACAAATTGTCTAGAAAGAGAAGCTGTTCAGTAGCGGCGGCAATGAGTCAGATTTTGGGCACACACGACCACACAAAGGAGCGCCACCATCACATTCAGATCCTATCATTCAGATTTTGGCATCGATTTTACGAGCGGAAACTTGCATCAGAACTTCATTCACCAAAGAGCCAAGCTGCCAGTCCCACTTTTTTGAAATCAACAAAGAGAAACGAGCAGAACAGAAAATCAAAGATGCCGTTTTGGAGCAGACCCAAGGTTGGAGGAACATTTTTAATAATAATTTAATAAATAAATGATCAGGAAAAGAAGACGCCGGAAAAGGTCGGGATCAGAAAATAAATAACTCTACGGAGAAGCAAAAAAGAAAGCGAGAAAGAACGGAGAACAACAAGGATTTACCAAAAAAAACACAAAAAGGCTTCAGTAGAATATAAAGTAATCTTTTATAATGCTAAAGATAATATAAACAATATATAAACAAATATAAACAGAAATAAATAATATATAAACAAATATAAACATAAATAAACAATATATAACAAATATAAACACAAATAAACAATATATAAATAAACATAAATCAATATAAATAAACATAAATATATGATATATAAATAAACATAAATGAACGATGAATAAACATAAACAAACAAATTTCCACTCCCAATCGCTTGTTTTGCAGAGAGAAAACTCGCTCGTAACTTTCGAGAATTTGAAAATGGCGCGCTCTGATTGGCTGATTTTGTCAGGAGGGGGCGTCCTCAGCCAGTCAGCGGCCGCGCCGATTGTCAGAACGAGAGAAACGGGATAACTACTGTATATTTACAATTTTACGTTAAGTTAAAGATGCAATTATTCAGAGAACTATGAAATGAAGACCTAAGAGAAAATTAAAATGAACGAACTCGGCTGTTCTGTCGGTTGTTTCTTTGTCCACCCTGTCCGTCAAGAATCGCAGCCAAGGTAGCCTTCCTACCGTCAGAGCCGTCTTACACAATCGGTATAATCTCTTCTTTCGAGATTATCTTTCTCCATTTTTTAAATTCTAGTTCGGGACGAAAATGGGACCAAATACAAAATACACTTGAGCGAGCGCGCAGAATGGCAGCACTCTTCCCGAGAACAGGATCAAATTGACGTATTCTACGCTAGAACGCGATCTGGCGAAAAGTAAGAGACACTGTTGGGCATTCTCTTTTCAAGGATTTCGTGCATGCTCGCCCAGCACCAAATACACGCTTCTTTTTTCGCACGGCAATGCGGTCGACCTCGGACAAATGAGCTCGTTTTTCATCGGACTGGGTAACTCGGAAACGAATACTGCTTTCGCTTACTTTTGATCGCATTTAGGGACGCGACTCAAGGTCAATATTCTGAGCTACGACCAAAGCTCGGGAAAGCCAAACGAGTCAAACTTGAACAAAGCTTGCGGCGCGGCGTACGAAAAGCTACTCGAGAAATATAATGTTCGCCCGGATCAAGTCATTCTTTACGGACAGTCAATCGGCACAGGTACCATTCTATTTAAATGAAGGAAGATTTTTAAATTCGCAATCGTTAAGTCCCGACGACTGATCTAGCAACAAAAGTCGACTGCGCCGCCGTTGTGCTTCACTCGCCCTTGTCTTCAGGCTTCCGAGTTCTGTTCCCACGGCAAAGAGAACATGGATTTTTGACGCTTTCAAAAAGTAATTAATTGCAACCACGACGCTTGTTATAATATTATTACTATTCTAGTGTCGAGAAAGTGCAACGCGTGAGGACTCCGACTTTGGTGATTCACGGGACAGAAGACGAAGTAATTCCATTCATTCACGGAAAGCAGATTCTCGACAGGTGCCCTAAACCACTGTCACCACTTTGGGTTAATAGTAAGTCCGCTATATTCTGGTGAAAAATCTTGACTGAGCCTTAGAAAACCCAGTCAAATCCCAGCTAGTCAAAATTTTTCTCGAGAAATCGGTTCTCAATCTGAGTTTTCTCTCTCTCTCTCCCTCTTTCAGACCTCTCTATAAAAGCCGACTCGAGATTCGCTTATTTTTCGTTTTTTGAAATTGAGAGAAATTGAAAATCTAGATTTCGCTTTTTGAGTTATTTTTATAGAGAGGTCTGAAAGAGAGAGAGAGAGAGAGAGATTATTTTGAATGTCGTTTTCAGAAACAAAAAGAACTCAGAGCAACAAATGCGTGAAGAAGCAGCCGCTTTCCAGAACGAAATCGAGGAGTATATTTCGCAAAATGACAGGTAAGAACTCTCGCAAATGAATATGTTTCAACTAACGATATCTAGTCTGCGAGAATTCGCAATCGAGGGTTATTGCTCGTTTATCCGCTCTTACGCCGCGAAAGAAGAGTGACAATGTATAATATCATCGTCTTTGTTGGAGCGATTTCTACTTTTTGCTACTCACAATGAAAGAGTTTTCCAAATGATCTTCTGTTTCTTATACTTCCGCTGTCTGTTATATTTGAGCTAGATATTATTATACTAGAGTCAGTTCTATTAAAACTAAAAAAGAATGGAGGAACTGTCGGCTTCGGAGGAGGGCTCTCCTAGAGCAATCAGGTCAAATTCACCGAGCGACAGAAGCAGGCTGAAGTTAACCCCAACCTCTCCGAGCAATTCGGACAAGGTAAGACACCGAATTCTAGCGCCGTTATAAAACGCATTCAGGTCGACTCCTCGCCCGAGTCTCCTCCCGACCTGGACAGTGCGGCCGATGCGACGGCTACATCCTCGAAGGCAAAGAACTCGAGTTCTACGTCCGAAAGCTCGAGGCCAAGAAGGCGAACCAAGGTAAAACAGCGAACTCTAGTACAGACTCTTCAACTAGTTAAGGTCCACACCTTTGAGCTCGACGAGGAGGATTCGGCGGTGGAGGAGGGGCAGCCACTGGGGCAGGTGGAAGAGGGTACATCCGGACTGGAAGGGATAGAGGTGAGAGACTGACTTTTATTGGTGGTGGTGGTGGTGGTAGTAGGGAAGGGTGAGGATAAAAGCACCAGAATTAAATGGCATGGGGGTTGCATGTGTGACCCGTATGGGCAAACCTTGTGTAAACTCTGAAGAGTTCCTTCCATGTCAACCTATTCTGGTGCAACATTCCTCACACCTCTCTACCACCACCACCACCACACACACACACACACCACCCACACACACCACCCACACACCACCCACACACCACCCACACACCACCCACACACACACACACACACACAGACACCACCCACACACACCACACTCACAACACACTCTCACACACACACGTGGTGGTGGTGAGACAGCGCTAGAATAAAATGGCATGGGGTTGCATGTGTGACCCGTATGGGCAAACCTTGCGTAAACTCAGTTGAGTTCCTTCCATGTCGACCTATTTTGGCGCTGTCTCACCATCCACCACCACCACCCACACACACACACACACACACACCACCCACACACACACACCACCCACACACACACACACACACCACACTCACACCACACTCACACTCACACCACACTCTCACACACAGACACAGACACTCATCACACATTTTACACAGTTACTCATCACACTCTTACACACAGTTACTCATCACACACTTACACACAGTTACTCATCACACACTTACACACAGTTACTCATCACACACTTACACAAAGCCGCTAACATGTTTTTCTTGAGGCTGCCATACGATCACTGAGTGCAGTCTACGGAAAGAAAAAGGAAACCTTGGAAGAAAAGAACTCGTATCATTTTTGGCGGCCATGCGGGAGAAAGGATTCGAACAATTTAGCGAAACAGAATACGATGAAGATGTGATAAAATGCACGGTACGCAACCTCTTCCACCTGCCCCAGGTTTCCTCCATCGATAAATACAACAAATTTATCGTCCGAGTAAATGATCTTGGGGGTCATCTAGATGAGGACAGAGGAAAGAACAAGCTCTACCTCCTAATTTCCGCCGCTAAGCATCTGGCTACGGATAAGCTAGAACAGTGGCACCTCCGACCGGGACTCCTCCCAACCTTTGGTGAACTCTCTCCTAACCCCAGCCAAGCCCTCAGCCCGCTGGACAGGTTTCTACAGACACCGAGGCCCTTGGATTTCGAGACCAACGAGATAACACCGGTTCAAGAACTAATGGAGGAACACATCAGTAAGGTGTATCGTAAGAAAGAGCAGGCGAGGGACATTAACATCGAGATTATAGAGAACGGAAGAATCAGGAAAGGGGTTAGGATATATATTTAATATAAAGTGTACCTGTTTACATAAATTTACCCCCTATTAGCACAGTAGACTGGTATTACAGTCGTACCTGGCCCGCGTTCTTGATTAAATGCAATGGTCGGGGAGCCTCGCGACGCTTAATGTGCATAGAAATGTTCCCCCGGAAGGCACTCAATTATAAAAAGGATCAACGGCTACGCTCCACCTATTTTTATATCTCAACAATAAAGGACTGCATGCAACTGTGCCGCGGACACAAGGAAATCGAAGATATAATGCGAGAAGCCTACATGGCACCAGACACAATGGATGAACATGCAGCGCGTCTCACTTTGTTGACGAATCCAGAGGATGCCAACAAGTTCCTCGATCTTGACTCACAACTAGCACGACAACACTTCGCTGTGGCGATCCGACACTATTTTAGATCGGAGAAACATGTGGAATTTAACAACACGAACTGGAACTTATTTTCTGCCGAGATCGACCCAGACATCGAACACTATCAAATGGTAGGCTTCTCGCATTATATTTCCACGGCACAGTTGCATGCAGTCCTTTATTGAGATATAAAAATAAGTGTAGCGTAGCCGTCGCTTCTTTTTATTATTGAGCGTCTTTCTTTTGGCGAATCAATGAAGTTCTTATTTTAGACAGACGCTATGTTCAAAAGGAGACTCGACGCAGCAATCAAGCAGTTCTCGCAGCGGTCGCAAATGAATCTGTTTGCCGGCTCCACGTATTCCTACCAGAAGAAAAGAAGAAGAAGCGAGGTGATTAGTATATTTCATTCTATAATTATTCTTATGTTTAAGAGTCCGAGTGCGCCCGAGCCCAAGCGGAAGGAGACTACCACTACCAACCTCGACACTGCCGACGTCAACACCCCCTCTACCAGCGCCGATGTCCCATCAAGCAGCGGCGATGCCCAGATCCGCGATGCTCAAGGCGATCAAGATGACGAGGTAATCAAAGTATAATTTGCTCTTATTTAAACACTCTTTCAAGGATAAACGCAGCAGCACGGCATCCTTGGCTATCAACGTATCCGACATGGAAGAAGAATGAATTACTGCCAATCCCCTCCACCTGACACCAATAAAAAAAAAACAAAGAAAAAAAAAACGATTTTTATTTTATTTGGTTTATAAATATAAGTCGAGTGTCCAAAGTGAGACGCAGGCTTTAGTGGATTGAGTTTTCTTGTTGATTAAGTCGGTACTGAGTTGTTTATTAAGCAAATAAGAAAAGCTACCATAAATGCAGCCTCAACTAAACCACGCAGGTTGCAATTTTGAAAATGTTTTGCAGTGTATTTTTCCATTTAGCATTGATTATTATTCAAATATTTCGCGGTTAATAGGCGGCTTTAAGGTTGAGCGCAGGCTAGAATTATGGAAGCGGAAAGATCACAAACACCAATTAATTCCGTCAATATACTTAGCGATAAGACCGTTGATGTTTTTTGAGTCTATTAATCTGGCAACAGGCTTATGCATAGAAAACGGAAATCCCTCTTCGAATGCGTTCTGTGCACTGATTTTCCATATATATTTCGAGTGGGTGAAGCTACCGAGTAACAGAGTTAGAACATGTCTACAGATAGAAACACACTCAACCTTTACGATGTTATTCACCAATTCAACACACAGATGCTCCAATTTCATAATAAAACGCGAAAGCTTGCTATTCGAATCGATGAGCTTTTGAGACTAGAGACAGATAGAGAGGCAGGGCTCCGAGCAATCAGTGAGTTTTTTCCTTAACAAACATTTTTTATCAATCCATTTAAGGAGGACTTGCCGATGGAATAGACAAGGATTTTGAGGCAGCAGCAATTTTTGAACAAATCCTTAGTGGATCAGACGACGAAATATCAGTGGATGAATCTGATTCATCCGAGTCCGACTATGATGACAGTGATGACGAAACATACACTCCATCAACACCACCACAAACTCGAGGTAACGTTCGGTCTCGACCGACGCCAGTCAAACCGTCAAATTCACGAGAAAGACAAGCTAACTACGGTACAAACTTTTATAAAACTCATTTTTGATTCTTTTTTCAGGTTGCAAGAGAAAACTGGAATTCTCTTCAGATGAACAGCCTGCAAAGCGTCATAATTCTGCTGGATCTATGTCGCATGTCGAATCCGAGACGCAAGATATTTTCGACTCTTTGGAAGATAGTCAGTCTGGCTTTCGACCAATTTCTCCCAATGCTGCGGGACCTAGTCATGAATACCCTCAAAGCCAGAAATGGCAGCTTCGATCGCCAATGATTGACCTTAAAGACAGAGTCAGTCCAATCTCTTCTTCCAAATCATCCCCTGAAAAAGGTCGAGCTTCTCAAAAATCTGAAGCTATGGAAATCGTTACAAGTGTCATCGATTTTAACAAAGATTCTGAAGCTACCGATAATTGTGAGTAAATTATAAATTTCAATCGTCTGATAGATTAAATAAGCCATCATCGATTTGACAGTTGATTCTCCTCAGCAAGAAGAAATGCGGGTGGACGGCCCTCCGGAAAGTAAATTCTCTATCTTTATCATAAACTTAAAGCTGATTAGTTATCGACCTAACAATTGACGATTTCGAAAATGACTCGGAATTTGAAGAACTCGCTATTCGAAATAATGAGGAATTCGAAAGAGAAGAAATGCGACAAATCGTTTCCGAGTATGAAGGTATTACTTCTCCCGCAAGATCGGATACCATCATACACGCAAGACTCACCCCATATCTTCTTAGCGAGTCTGATGACGAACCGTCTGATAACTCGGTGGTCTCCTACGATGATGGATACAACGGAATCCGAGGCCAGTACCTCTCCCCAGAAGAAGCCGAGCTGCTCTTCGACAGAGAAATAGAAGACCTTTACGAAATCTTGGGTGTCACTTACGAAGATCCTCCAGCCGCGCTCTCTCCCTAAATACTCCTTTGATATTTTCTTTTCTTGTGGTGAAAAAAATCTTGATCTTATAAACTGTTTATTTGTTTCAATAAACGGATGCGGTGCGAAACTTTGAACTTGTTCCAACTTTGTTATAAGCTTCATCACTTTGATATTTAGGCACTGAAAAGAGCATTGGTATATCTTATTTTAGCAAGCATTTGCACCTTATTTTCATTCGAGAAAAATGAACCGATCAGTCCCAATGTCTGACGAATTTCCTTTTTTTGACATTCTCTGCGATATGAAAGATGAGTTACTTTCCGGTCAAAACAGACTCGCCCAGTTTGTCGGTGGTGGACTTGCTTTATGCATTGTCTATTACTTCTACTTCGTCATTTATATTTGCCGAATGAAGACTCGAAAAAGAAAACCGGTCGAAGATAGACGAAACAACTCCCTTGTTATTTCTGAACCTTTTCCTGCACCTAATGCCTCCTGGGTTTGAATAAACAACGAAAAATTGATATTGTGATTTTATTGAAAATTCTTGAAAAGGCAGGATCCGATATAAATAATTCGTTTGATGATTTACGCAGGCAATGTTTTGGAGAGCGATATGTTAAATGAACGCGTGGAAAAAAGGCGGTATAAATATACAGAAAGACGTAAGGTATCAGTGGAAAACGCATAGTTTATCTATCAAAAAATTACCAAATGAACTGGGAAATAAGCAAAGATTTGATCGAAAAGTTTCCGTAGAAAACGAAAGGATAACAAGGTATTTTGAAGAAAATATAATATACAATAATATTGAGAGAGTTTTGATTATTTGTTTTTGAAACTGAGTTAATTTTTTTCCGTGTAAGGCTATTGGTGAAATTATTACTCGATTTGAAAGAAGAAGAAGGTTATCATGACTGTGGCGGGTATTTACAAGTTACTTTTGAGAAACCTGAAGTTTCCTTGAAAGAGAAGGCGGATGATTTGACTCGCGAAGTTCGACTCTTCTAGTTTGTGTCCATGAGTTCATCTAGGCGCTCTAAAATCTAAGTCAGATTCGATCTATATTGGGATAAATTACCAGAAATGAGTTGTTTGAGCGCCAAAATTTGCTCAAAGTCTACCCAGATGGGAGCATCCAAGGTTCCGCCGACTTTGCCTTAATCAATGAGTTAAAAAAGAACTTTAGCAACTATTTACCGTAGCAAATGCTGAGTGTGTCATAGAGCTTCAGAAGCTCGAGACGAGTCATCATCTTGATGGAGTGCTTCGTCAGGTGTTCTTCAATGGCAGTCAGCGGTTTTCGCTTTGATATTTTGCTCATCTTTTTGGAATGTCTGGGAAAATTCTTTGCTTCTTATCAGTGGCGATTCTCAAGAGAAAATAGCTTTTCTTGCTTTTTTTTCAAATCTGATCTAACGACCTTGTGCAAGGACGCGCGCCTTTAGGTAATTTGCCATCAAGAGTGTGTGGGCTGATTTAGGCGAATGGAGTTCAAGAGCTGCAGGGCGCGCGAATTTTAAGCACTCCCGCTCAACCCATTTTAGCGTGGGTGGTCTGATCGAACCATCAGATTGATGGCTGTGATTCCTGGTTTCGCTTCTTCATAACGAAAAAACGATGTCTTTCGAGAGGATCAAAAAGCTGAATATTCCAAACAAAGGTTAACAAGAGATTTTACAAAGAGATATTTCAAAATATTTAGTTTTGCCTACTGAAGAAGAAATTCACGAGCTCCAGACAGAAGACCGAATCCTTCTTTGTATCATATGCTTGCTATCTGTTTTGTTTTTGATTTTTCAATCATTGTAAAGATTTATTGAATTGGCTTATCTGAATATTTTATATATTTAGATTCTTTTATTATGTTTCGAAAATTCAATCATTACAGAGCAAATATCAGAGTAAGAAAAGACGAAGTATGTTCAGGCTGAACAAGTTTATAGAGACGAATCTTCCGTAACAAACGATTCTAACCGGTCAACCAACACACAGTCACAAAAAATTATAAAGAATTGAACGATCTTACAAAGGTTTATGCCTCATTTGACAACGCCAAAACTCATCCTTTTTTAGCTATTATTCCACCAACTGTTCTACCGATGCTTCTCTCTGACACTGAATTTCGATAATTAGCTTAATTTTCTTCCAATTTATTTCAATAGCATTCTTTGATTCGAAATTCATTAAGATATGTTTCCTCTCAACCTCCACCCAGTGATCAACTTTGGCGACAAAACAAACAAGCCAAACTCAAGCACTGTGGTGGATTCAACGATTGTGTCGACAAGAAGCGGTGACAAAATGACCAACCCGACCTCTGACCCTGCACAGCAGACAACGAATGTGGACACCGAAATCGCATCGATGTTCAGCAATTGGAGTAGACAGCAGATTATCGCAGTTTCAGCGGGCATTACAGGTTTTTTCAAAGACAAAGGCTAGCAATAGTGAAAGTTATTTAGGAGTCATCATTTTCCTTGTACTGCTTGGATTTCTCATCAGAAAAAAAGCGGTACGCATTCGAGCATTTGCGCTTACAATAAGACGACGATGGGAGAACTACGTATTCGATTTACGAGTGAGCTTGGCGAATCGATTGCTCTATGAGCAAAATGGTGAGTTTGTAGTTTTATTTTCTATCAAGATGTTTACAACTATCTAGTTGAAATGACCGAGAACAACGAGCGTGATCAAAGAACAGATGACGATTTGACTACAGAAGACGATCGACCTTGCTGGAATTGGACATGAAAGAGAAAGAACGCGTTATTTTAACTGAATAGAAAGAATTTGAGTGTCTAAATATTTCGTTTTTTCTCTATTAGACTGATTCGCAATGGAAGACTCCTCTTACGACAACTACCGATATGATTACATCTCATCAGATTACCTCACAGAGCTCTGTGCTAGAAAAGGTACATACAAGGACAATTTTTTTTCTTGAAACCTTCGTAAGACGCTGCGAAAGAACCAGCTGTAGAAGAACCGCATCTTCAACTCTCTGAGAACAACAACGGTAATAAGAAGTTTTTACTCAACAATCATTAACTCTCATCGAAGACGAGCGATACACCCTCATTCTTTACTGCCTTCTCGCTGTTGTCTTTCTCAACATGATCCTGACGATTGTTGTCCTCTCCACCGTCACAAAGAAAAGAAAAACGAAAAAAGCTCCGAAATCAACACGTTAGTTTTGGCTTCTTTGAGACCCTTATAAATGATTATTTTAGTACTCATCAGCGGCCCCCTTCCTGAAGAAATTTGAAGCTCTTTCCCTCACTGAAAACAGCAAATATCGAGTCTGACGAACATACTGATAAAACAATAATTTGTTAGAAATTTTGACTTAGAATTGAGAAAAAGAATATTCAGTATGATCCATATACCTCTTGGCCCGAATAATGGTTCAGTTGTCGAACCAATAACTCCAGAGCCAACCATCGAACCAATAACTCCAGAGCCAACCATCGAACCGAAAAAACAAGCCTTCAATGACGCCATTGCGCTTTTCATAACCCTGATCGTCTACATTGTGTTCGTCGCCTACATTCAGCGTAAGTTTCAAAATCATGGCGAAAACAAGGCTAATTTGGAAAATTAAGAAAGAATCAATCAACAACTCAACATCGCTCGTGGTCACAATCCGGAGAATCCAGTCATCGAAAATCAGCCACACATTGTTGCACCTGAACATGTAAATCCTCCATTGGAAAATCAACAAGCCCACGTCGGCCCTATCCCACTACGCGAAGCTCCTATCCCACTACGAGAAGCTCCTCTTATCGCGAACGCCCCGCAGAATCGTCAAGGTAAATTGAAGACATGGTCACTCAATATAAAAGAATTTCTTTTAGTTAGAAGAAATCGTCGACAACCTGCGCGCCTACAAATAAATCATGGACAAGCACGATATTGACATCTCATCTTTTGCTTTTTCTTCTCCTGCTACACACTGATTTACATTCTTACACTGACTTACATGTTTGAAACATAATATATTTTGACAAGTCGAAAACCTTGATTTTTGTTTTTTTATTTCATGACAGATAAGCATTCTTGATAAAATTTTGTATGGAATGATGTTGACGAAAGCAAAAGAGTTGTGGTAGAAACTGATGTTAGATTCGACGCTCGTGTTTTGTAATCTGACGAAGATGAGTGTACTTTATGAAAGTTTTACAGTAGGGGCATCGATTTGACATCTCTTCGTTGTCAATTGATCGTAGTTGTGCATGGCAATCAGCGCAAACGTAATGTTTGCATGGCATAGGATCCTAAAATCATTATAATAAACTAATTTCTAAGCATGTTACCATGGGTTTGTCTGTTTCGAAACAGACCACGCAAAGATTCCTTTCTTCCTGGGTTATTTTCCGCGAAGCAAGCTTCAGTTGACGAGCTTTGATGATGATGCTGCCAATACATGCTCCTCGAGTGAATGTTCTGCATAATTGTGATGGAATCAGTGCGTCTCTAGCGACATAATGATTATCGTTGATTTCAAACGCATTGTTTTTGAATTCAACCCATTCCGCAGGCGTAAATGGATAGTAGTGTCGTCGTGAGCATTCTCGACACTGACCACCAGGGACATGATTACCGTGCAGATCGCTACGTCGAATAACGCTTATTGACGGTGCAAGAGACGTTTTTTTGTAGCAAACACGACAATAAATAATTGCCATGTCGTCTGTGATGCTCTCAAGCTCAAATTCTCGCATTTTGCACGCAATCAAATTCTTTGTCCTCATCTTTCTTCCATTCTAGCGCCATCTTCTAGCGTATTTGAGCATGAATAATCAATTGAGCTTAGTCTACTGTGAAAGATCCGGATTATCCTCATTTCCGAGAATGGTCCTTAGAGCATGAAACGTTTTAGTTTTTTGATTCCTGGTCTCAATCCCTGGATAACTTTAGGAGAGATAAAAAAATATGGGCAAAATTACAAGGAGCTTTTTAAAGACGGAAAGCTTGCATCCAGAAATTTCATTTCCTATTGCAAAAACTTGACAGATGCAGTAGGAGATAGAAACATAACTGAAATAATTAATCACTATAACCTCCACATAGTCGAAGTAGAAAACATTAACAAAGGACGTAATATTAAACTAAAATTAAAAGAGGATGTTGTTTTAACAAAAGAAAGTCTGATTATTGAAATTCTTCCGAGCTCACTCTATCTTTATCCGTTTTCCTCCTTCATTTCCTTACTGCACAAGCCAGTGAAACCCCAATGTGAGCTTGACTACTCTCTCAAAATCAAAGGATTCGAAATTTTTGGCGGTCCAAGCATGGTTTTCGCGAAAGATCTTTCAAAAATTGCAAGAGATCTCAAATATGAGCTAAAGTTTTATGAGGTCATCCGCTCAAAATCGCTTTTAAATAAACTTTTGCAATCTTTTAAGCCAAAAGAACATGAGCAAAATCAAGTCTTAAATTTTTGTGTAAAAGGACGATTTGATCCTTTCAAGATCTGCGCTTGACTTGAGATATATCTTTAATGAAAAAGGTTTCGGGCAGATATATCAATGCTCAAACGAACAATGTGGATATGAAAGTGAGGAAAAGGCAAACATGGATAAGCACGAAAAGAAGTGTCTGACAAGAGTGAAAGAAATCATACCGAGACAACGTCCATATGGCTTAAGTGTTTATCCAATCATCGAAGCTATCGAATTTGGGTATCTTTCGGAAAAGATGCGTTCTTTTCGAAAATCGCGTTATCGTAAGTCTTAATAATTTAACAAATAATCATTTCTTGTTAAAGTCACGTTTGATATCGAAACCCTCGAGCGTAAAATTGAGATAACGAATAAGAAAACAACAGAAAATGCAGAATTACGTCTCCTTTGTATCGCGATAGGGAGCAACTTTGGATACAGTCGATTCTTTATACGTAGAGATGACAGCAATGATGCCGCAAAGCAACTTGTCGTCAAGTTTGTCGACGAGATTGAGTCTCTCGCGCTCCGCGAAAGACAATACCTACCAAAAGAACTGACAGATGTCATCGAGCATCTTGAAAATATTGTCATGAAGCAAGGTATTTAGTTAATGACAAGTGTCCTTTTTATTCTTTTTTCAAGTTCCACCGTCGAAAAGAGCGAAATTACGATACTTCAAGCGTGAATTACAAAATTATGCGACGATGGACGTTTACGGATTTAATTCAGCTAAATTCGATTTAAAAGTGATGGCCCCATATTTACTACCACTTTTGCGTGAAAAGTACAAGTCCAAAGTAAATGTCATTAAAAAAGGCTCGAGCTATTTCTCGATTTCAACTCCCCACTTTCAATTCAAAGACGCGTTGCTTTTCAATTCACCCATAAGATTAGATGGTTACTTGAAGCAATATGGGGTTAATGAGTCAAAATCAATCTGGCCATATGAAAAATACGCGAGCGTTATCGACATTATAAATGATCGAGAGTTTCCTGCATTCGAGGAGTTCTTTTCGAGTTTACATAATTCTCATTGCGATAAAAAGCAGTATGAAAAATGTAGAGCTGAGTTTTACCATAATCAAAAGATCAATCCAAACTTTACCATGGCCCATTGGCTAAAGCATTATAATTTAATGGACGTTAACCCTTTCGCGAAAGCTATCGACAACCAGTTTCGGGTTTTCTTCGATGTCTTTAAAATCGATCCATCATATTGTATGAGCCTGCCGAAATTCGCCATGGCCTGTGTATTTGAGAAGTTCTCGAAGACTTCTCCATTCATCTGTAAGTCAACCATCTTATAAATCATTTAACTCTTACTTAGACTCGTTTCACGAAAAATTTCGAATGGAGCATAAACTTCTTAGAGAAAACGTCATTGGTGGCCTCGTTAATGTTTTTTCCCGCTATACCGAACTTCGTCCAGGTGTAGAAGCTCCGAGAAACGCAAAGTTCGCTCCTAATGGCGATCCTTTTACCAGAGTGGTGTTTCTCGACTTCAATGCCCTTTATTTATTTTCACAAAAATGGAGATACCATCAACTCCAGGTAAGATTTTAATTTATTTTCAAGTCTAACATGTGAAATAGGAATAAGATGGACGAAAGTGGACGACACATTCTTCAGAAAGTCTATCATGTCAACCGGCAATAGTTTTGCTGCGCTGCAATGGCTTACTTTCATCGACGAATTTAGTCCGATTCTTGTCTCGTCAACTGGTGAAAGAATCCCTCTCGAGCATCAGTATTATCGTGGTGAGCATCAGATCGGTGACTATAAAATCGATGGATACGCGCAAGTTGATGGAGTTAATCATTATTTTGAATTTCTTGGATGTTATTTTCACACATATTGCCAAGATTGCAACCCAGGTGAAAGAGACTTACGATGGGAAGAAAAGTATAAAGTACTCCGCTCCTCAGGAGAAGTGCATGTAATGAGAGAGTGTGAATGGAAGGGTAGACGTATACTTAACCATACTCTAAAGGTTTCCAAATACTGGGGTCATATCTTCAAACTAAAGGAAACTGAAGACTCAATTCTCAAAGGTATAAAGAACAATAGAATCTTCGGATTTATTGTGGCTGATGTAAGTTGCCCCGATGAAATCTATAAAAAAATATCTTATATCAATTTTCCACCAGTTATTCAACGAATGATGATAACTGACGAATATTTGAGTCCCTACATGAAGGAACAATTCGCCAAACTCGGTAAAAAATGTCAACAAGAGACTGTTGTTCAGACTTTTAATGGTAAAAGTCTTTTTCTTTTGACCAGTCTCGCCAAATTTTACCTCGAAATCGGTTTGAAAATAACAAATATAACATCTTTCACACAATTTCGCGCTACAACATGCTTGAAAGACTACGTGGATTCAATCACAAACGGTCGGGTAAATGCAATCGTAAACGGCAAAGACTCGCTTGCGCTTGCTTTCAAAACAATTGGAAATTGCGGAGGTTTTGGAAAGGCAATAGAGCAAGTTGACCGACCAAATATGAAGTACAATGACGAGAAACAGCTTATGCGATCTATTGTTAAGCCAACATACAAATCTTCAGAACCTCTTTGTCAGGAGAATGGCGAGTACACTATTTCAGAAGTCACTTTTGATAAAATGAAAATCAAAGACGATAAGCCAACTGTAATGGGCGTTGCCATTTTACAGAACTCTAAATTACACTTTCTCACATTTGTATACAATTTTCTTCATAAGTACTTAAAGCCTGGATCCTACAAACTTAACTATTGTGATACCGATAGTTTGGCGATCTGTAAGTTTATTCATAGAAATCAAATATTATCGATTTTTAGCCTTTACTCGAAGCCGTGAATGTGAAGATAGTAATCGATCACTTATGGAAGCCACCTTTTTACCCTGCGTTCGAGAGGAGCTAAAAGATGAGTTTTTACAAGAATGGCACAAATGGCTTGTCCTTGAAAATACAACCTTGAACGAAAAAACACCTGGACTTCTTAAAAGTAAGCACTGACATTGATTCTTTATCTCAAATTATTTTTAAGAAGAATGGTATACAGACGACGGTGCTCTCGTCTGTTTGGGGAATAAAATGTACATAGGCTACGATAAAAAGGAGACAAAGCGCTCGACCAAAGGAGTTCCACACGCCGTAGAACTGAGGTTGACAGAATTTTTGGATTGCCTTTATGGAACTGAAAAATCAAACAACTCATTTACATTACGAATGCTGAGATCAACATCTGATAATATTGTGAAAAGAGTTTCGATTGAAAAAATTTTACTGTCAAACATTTTTGTTAAAATGCGTGTGCAATCAGACGGAATCACTTGCGAACCACTCACCCTTAACGGTAAACCACTCTAAACTCGATGCTTGACTACCTTCTTTCCAATTGAATAAACATTTGCTCTCTTTATAAACCAGTTTGATTATTTTTTTTTGCATGCCTTTTTATCAATCAGAGCGCGAAGACTTAGAAGTCCTCCGAAAAGAATATGGAGGAACCTACATGCCATTATCGAAAACCGAGCTTGAATTCTTCAAGGAGACAGAAAGATTAGACCAACTGCAAAACAGAGTAATCATCCCACCGCCTAAACCAGGACGAGTTGTTGAGAATGCTCACATCCGCCTCCTTATCAATAAGAATTTCAATCTTTACAATCTCGTAGACGATTTATTCGAAGCAATCTCACCACCTTTTCGATGTTCTGTTGATTTTAGTCTGCTGCTTGAAAGTGTGCTCACAGAAAATGTCAACGATCGCTACAGATTTTGCTGGTCTCAAAGGTCTACCGCGCTACCGATCGAACCCTTTTTGATCAAGGACAATTCTTCGAAGAAAAAGTTTCTCCAAAACATCCCCAGATGGGAAGATATACCCTCTCTGACCGAACGAGCTCACCAGAACCAGAGCAATTTTCGAAAGAGCGGCTTCAATGTTACCAAATTACTGACATGTTCAATTTACGTGACAAAATTGAAATAAATTCTGATTGATACCGAATATATTGTGCAAAATTGCAGAAACAGTCACATGTTGAATGGAAAGAAGAAATTTCTGATTTCAGGTTATCTTCTAACCACGATCAATTTTAATCAGAATCGCAGAATTCAAAGAAGTAAGCTGGAGGTTCGTTGAGGTTATGTCGGTTGATCATCGGTCCTTTTATCAATTTGATTGGGAAGGGCTCTTTTTTCATCATTCGAACTCGAAGGGATCCGAAAACGTATTCCATTCGCAGCGCAGATTCTCCGAAGTTTACCAAGAGAGTGATCGGTATTGACTTGTAGCACTTCTGTGTTGTGTCGACGTAGAACCCGTTGAGCTTGAATAGTCCTCCGCCTGTTGGTTGGGAATGAAAAGTGTAAGATTCGAGTGCAAAAAGTAACATTTTTGATTTGCGAATGAAATAGAGTGATTTTTCGACAAGTCCGAAAAAAATTGCTCTTTACTGCCTTATCTGCATAAATTAAAAGGTTGAGCAAGCAGATTAAGCGCAAGAAATAAAGATGCTTTTGTTTTTCTTTCTGATCACGGATGACCGCTCATCCATAGACAGGGTTGCTGATGCTCTCAAATTTTAATAAAAGAGTAATTACCATGAAAACTTTTATTCTTTCAATATTTCGATAGACAAACACGATTATTTTGCACCATTTGAATTTATTACTCGAGTAATTTAAAAAAGTCGAATTGAGGTAATTCAGAAAAGAAGGAGAAAGGAAACATAGAGAAAAATGACAGGGGAACGAAACTTAGAAAATGAAAACAGAGTTGGAGAACAGAGGAGTATTTCACTCGTTCTTTTTCTGGAACAATTCATCGTTGAATTTGAATGCAAAGGATGGAGGGATGTTCTTCTCTTTCTCCCAGGCGGTTTGCTTTGCGTCTGAGACGAGAATAACATCGACTGGACATTGGTTTTCAGCATGAGCAAGAAGAGTGGCAAAAGAATCAGTTGTGGCTTTATGATTGATTGTAAATTTCTGTAAGCTGATTTCCTCTGGAGGTTGTGACGGGTCATTGACAGTCTCGTGTGCTGGTAAGTAGGTTCCTTTTACTTTGAAGAAGCCTCCATTTTTAAAGGATCGAAAAGTGAAAGTTTTGATTGTCACAAGCATTTTTTCTTTTTTTTTTATAATGGGAAAGTGTCAACTTGAAGACAAGAAGTCCTAAAGCGCTGGTTATTCAGTGCATTTTTTATCACCCTGTGTATTTATGTTTATTTACCTTGGCATATAATCAAAGAAGAGTTTTTTCGACTTGTTTATGCTCATCTATCGTAAGCTTAACAGACACAATTGACCAAATGACAATTGAGAGGTCTTTGGTCAGATCTTCTTTGAAATCGAATGAGAATGAGAGCCAGCCTTGAGAAACTTCTTCTCCCTCGAATTCATGTCCGAAAATTGTGTTGCTTTTGTAGTTTTCCATTGAAAGCACATAGGAAAGATCACTCTGAGCGATTCGACCAAGAGCGTCTTGATATTTCCAATACGATAGAATCGGATACTGATTTGTTACTTTCTAAAAAAAAATAGAGCCCTATGATAATCGATATTTTCATTCACCTGAGGATATCCATTTAGCGATTGTCCATTAAGCATCGCATTGACTGAGATCAAATCTGGATTGAATGAGAAATTTGTCGATTCCATCGAGTCATCTCCTTCCAGAGCTTTAGTGTCAATAAGGCCAAAGAAAATATATGCTGGTGTATTTCCACCAAGCGCGTTATGCAAAAGGACATGTTTTCTTCCTTTAGGAAGAGTCAAAGTTGTGATCATAGTGTCGTTGAATTTGTAGGAGATCGGTTTCGAACGGATTCTTGAAAAGTAATTACGCAGACTTGGTGATGAGACATATTCAGCGAGTGCATAGGCGTCAGTGATCTTGAGTACTTCCCCCGGTGAATACTTTTCTTGAAACTCAGTTCCATGGAATATTGTTGAAAATTCGTGCTTCAGACGATAGAATGAGATTGAAAGATCTGTGTTGAGAGGTAGTGGCTTATTTTCAAGGAAGAATCCATGAGTAGGCAGGAAAATAAGTTCGTAAACATAGTTTCCAGCTTCATTGACAAAGCACTGAGGTCTCCGACCAGTTCGAATAGTTTCCTTCGAGGTTTCATCCTGTATTGTTTCATAGTGATACTCATCATAGTATCCTTCTATCTGGAATCCGGTTGCAACGTACAAGGGGTCGAAGTTTGTCCGCTTCGTCAAATAATCAGCCATAAAATAGTGCGAGCTAAAAATTCGATAATACTAGTGAAGCTTTCTTTTATATACTTTGAGTTGGAACTGTCTATGATTTGGGAGTTGACAGCGACTTCAGTTTTTCCAAATTGTTTGCTTGCAAATCCGTTAGATGGTATATAGCCTTTTTTCAATTCGATTGTTATATGAATGGCAATTTTATTTTTCACGAGCATAAGGTTTGGATCTGCATCAAACTGAAAACAGAGACGTCCTGTTTGTGATTCTTGTTCCCTTGGATAATGTCGTTTGACAACCTTCTGGTCGTAATATTCGACTTCGGACATTATTTCAATCTGAAAAGAGTTATGTTTAATATTTTCTATCACCATTTATTCACCAAATTTCAGACAGTCTGTCTATCAGCATTTTATCATTTTGAGACAGATTTTTAGAGAATATCGTTTGTAAAGATTTAAAAGAATAGAGAGAACGGTAAATGACGAAAAAACAGACATAGAGTCCGCAGAAAAAAGATGAGTTTGACTGCACACGTTGAAAATAGATTTTTTCTCTATCGCCAAAAAAGTCTGTCAGTTGCCTTGGATATTTTTTAATGCGCAAGCTATCAAAAATTTCTATTTTATCTTGAAAAATATGTAATGCTATCCAGTGTGATCCATAAGAGTTTTCTGGCGATAAATTTACAACAAGAAAAACAGGATAATTTGTAAGACGAGGTAAAGTATCAATTGCAAAAACACCGTAAAAATTATAAATTCGTTCCAATCGCTTGACGATAATATATGTCTTCATGCCTTTTTCTTTTTCGACGATTTCTTTGACTTTTTCAAATCTTTTGTTGTAGTATTTCGTTTTTTCTTTCCTTTTTTTGATTGTGGATTTCTCGGGGGAGCGAGTTTTAACTTTGTTGGACCGTTTTTTGATTTTCGTTTGCCTGCACCGGTTTGAGATTTGGGGAACCATTTTCGCGGTTTATTTTCCAAGCTTGTCATAATCGTTTTCATTCTCTCGGTTTAATCAGGATTTGAATCCAAAATTGCTGAACAAGGTTCGCTGGATCTTCGATCTCAATTGAAAATTTTGTTTCCCTCCAGTTATATATGTTTATCGGGAAGCAAAGAGGGGAGCGTTGATCTGGGAAATGACACCACCTATCGCCTTTGCGTATTTGACCAATCATGAGTATATTCGGAAGTCCATAGCAAGAAGCGATTGATGTACATTTTATGAAAACAGCGTCAAAGTCTCTAGGTGTTGTCATGAGATTGCAACCAATGTCAATAATTTGAACACAATAGTCGGTGTTTTTATCAAAGAAGATTTCAGGCACTTTCAACTCTTTTTTTGTCCCGTAGAGATTCAATATCTTCGCAGACATAATTCAACTCAAAGTAATATTTGATACCCGGCTGACGTTTGCCTTCTTCGTCGGCGATTTTGTACCAAACGATTCCAGCACGCTGGCGAATATCTGCAACGACGTAAATCTCTTCAGACCAATTTTCCGTATAACCCTTCTCAAATATGTCTTTTTTAATTTTCTTTCGAACAACGTTTCCAATTTTGAGCCTTGGTTTCACTTTCAAGTCGATATCTGGATAGAGGTTAGCGAAGACCCGTGCTCTGTTTTCTTGCGTCACTTGGCTAGGCGCCATTCCAATCGAGCGGTGTGGTGTAGAGTTATATCCTTTGATAATTTGAGGCAGCGCATCTATCCAATTTTTTGTTTTGTTGGTCTTCATATAAAGCTGAAGTCTTTTCTTTATGGTTTGGATTGCACGCTCCGCTATGCTTGCTTTCATCTTTGTTTTGATACTGTAATGATGGAGTCCATAACGATCAAGAATCTTTTTCACATTAGAGTTGTAGAACTCTAAGCCTTCGTCAGTTATCAGAGAATTGGGCCATTCAGGTAAATCTTGAAATATATCATTGAGAGCATTTGCAACATCAATTTTTCCTTTAGTTTTTAGAGGTCGTGTCCAGACAAAGCGAGAAAAACAGTCGATTATAAGAAGAATGTAGACATTGTGACGATTGGAAAATTTGTAGCCTTTATAGACTATGAGATCACCCATGAAGATTTTAAACTTTGTGTCGACGATAATTCTTCTTCGAGGAAATCGCTTTTTAACGATTCTTCGATGGGTGCTATGAATTTTATTCTTCCGGAGATACTCCGCTACTTTCGCTGAGAAGGCTGGAGCACTTGCTACGTTTTCGTAGAGGGCTTGAATCTGATCCTCCAGTGAGCTCTGATTCTTCGGTGATTTCTGATCCTTGAGAGGTGGATTCTTCGGTGATTGAGCTTTCTGTTGTTGGATCGCTTTCCGAGGAGGTTGACTGTCTTCTTCGCTTTTGTTTTTTCGTTTTCTTGACTCTTGATTTTTTCTTGTTTCTTGATCGTGATCGTTTGTCTCTTCTACGTTTCGACTTTGATTTTTTTCTCTCAATCTCTGACTCTGACGAGTCGTCTGTAAAGCTGTCACATCTTTCTTTTGCTCTGACTCTCGAGACTTCGACTGTTTTGCACGCCGTGTTCCTCTTGTCTTCATTTTTCTCAGTGGCTTCGTAGGTGTTTCCTTTTTCAATTATGTCGAAATTCTGTTTAAAATCGTTAGAGCTCACAATGAAAGCCTTCATTCCGTTGACTGAGTAAACGATTGGATAACAAGCAAATATATCCGTATAAAGCCGATAGCTGCAGGCGTAGGCCCGCGGCGACTGGTCAAGAAACATATACGGATACTGTAAGGCTTTAATGTCTTCTGAAGCACGTTTGAAAGCTTTCTGAAGTCCAGCTTGCGCGCAAATTCTTTTATTGATAGAACTGTCAAGTGCATTTCTATGGAGAAATATTCCATTGCAATTTAGCCTGATATTTCGACCAAACTTTCCAGATGCGAAATTGTTCTGTGTCATGATCATCACATTCAACATTCTTTTCCCACTCGTTACTCGGAAAAGGTGGTCGATGGCTTGACTTTGGATTGCTTCTTCATAAAGATCATCCAATACAATAGTAGTATGAGGACTCATCGAATCTATTTCATCTTGCGACGGAAGACCAACTCTGTAACTCACTGGTATTGTAAGATCCTCCCAGTCAACTGGCTTCTCTTCTAAGAAGCATGGATAATAGTAAATAACTCTTTTTGTTTTCTTTTGGAATAAATCTCTCCGGAGAAGAATTTGTTTTGCGGCAAAAGTTTTTCCAGCCCCAGACGAGCCGCTTAAAAGAATCCGGAACGGATACGCAAAAAGTCTCTCGGGAAGAATCTCACCACTGATCACTGTACTCATTTTATTTTTGACTTATTTTAAGTGTTGATCGCTGCTTTTATTTACTTTCGGAAAAGCTGGTTCAAAGATTGTCTATGATTACAAATTGGAAATCTTTATCGTAAATAAATCATATGCATCAACCACAAAAATTCTGGTTCAAAGAGATTAGCGAAACCCTGGTCAAAGAAGATTACGGAGTTCGGTTCAAAGAGATTGTCTCATTCAAGTTTTCCATATGCTGATAAATATTTAGAGACAGATATAATTTCCGATTTTTTTTTATTTGTTTAAAGATGACAGAAAGATATGAATAAAGGTAAGATCTCTTTCCTTTTGTTGTTTTTCCAGTTCGTTTTCGAGCATCATTTTATAAAAAGTACATATTCATTTGTTAGAATTCAACAAGCTCACTATTGGCTATTCTTTTCATTTTTCTTATCTGCGTTCCAGACTCATTTTAAAAAATCGCTTTTTCTGACTTGGTAAAATCGCAAACCCTAGCGGGTTTTTATTACATAAGTCTCACCAAAGAGGGCGTAAGACGCATGGTTCTACTGAGCGATTGGTGTCACGCTGTTGTGATGACACTAGTCTATAATGGTTCGTTTTACACCATTCGCGCACCGAACCAAATGTTTATTTTTTGTTTGTTTTCGTTTATTGACTGTTTACATATGTTTATTTATCTTTATGTTTATTTATGTTTATTTATATTTATGTTTATTTATGTTTATTTATGTTTATTTATATTTATGTTTATTTATATTTATTTATATTTGTTTATAAATTGTTTACGTTATCTTTAGCATTAAACAAGATTACTTTATATTCTACTGGCTTCCTCAAAAGCGGGGACAATAGTCTGAGCAGATGGCCAAAAGCCAACCGGAAACAACGGAACATGTAAATCACCTCGTGCGCATGGCGATTCAGAGCCCCGCTAGTTCTGTACTTCGATTTTCGAATGATTCAAACACTGCTTTTACGCAAAATGTGGCCGTTCAATGTCATTTTCTGACAGAAAGGAGGTGTGGGCTTACAAATCTTAACGAAAACAAACAATCGAAGTTCGTGAGCTCTAAATTGTCAATAAATCCTGTTGCAATTTTCGGATTGTGCTCGACAACCTGTGTAGAAAACCTGAGTCAGGGTCTGAAAGATCGTTAATGAGAAGCCACCTAGCGGCTTTTTTGAGAAAGAAGCCGCAAAGCGACTTCGCTAGAATTTGAAAATTGATTGAAAAGATAATACTCAGACTCTGACTCAGGTCTTTACACAGGTTTTCAAGCCCAGTCGAAAATTGCAACAGTATTTATTGTCAATTTAGAGCTCACGAACTTCGATTGTTTGATGTCTCAAAAACATCATCAATTCTGCACTCATGAATCTTTGAATCCAAAATAGCGGCGTAACAAAAGCGTAGCATTGACCTTGAGCTCTGTTGCCAAGGTCACTGATCTTTAGGTGGGGATTTCGCTATTAAAAATTCCCTCGTTAAAAATTTCCCCAATCAATCACTTCGGCTCCTTTGTTGACTTCTGCGCGAGCGGACGGATCGGCGATGATTTGGCAAAAAGAGAAAGAGCTGACTAAATTTTGAGCGATTTTTTCCTTGAATTTCGCACTTTTTTCTTCGAGAAATTCTGGAATTGTGACCTTCAAGAGACAAACTCAACGGCGAAGTTATGGGGAATAACTCGAGCTCTTATGACTTACCGCAAAAGCAAAATTATGAGAGGATTGAACTTTGCCTAATGATTTTCTACTGTTTGCGGTCAAGAGAAAGAGTTACTTTTGCGCGAGTTTGACTTGCGTAACCTTACTCGTGGGAGAATTCAATTACGTGAGCGTAAAAACTTTATGTTCGTCATAACTTTGGCGCCAAATTATCCGCCCGCCTGCCGGAAGTTGGAAAACGGATAGTTTATCTAACTAATAAATGTAATTTTCGACTTTTAGAGGGGTCAAAAGATCTGTGTAGAAAACCTGAGTCAGGGTCTAAGTAATCTTTGATGAAAGCCGCGTAGCGGCTTTTCCAAAGAAGTAGCCGCGAAGCGGCTTTCCATCATTTCCTTTTTAATCTATTCAATACCCTATATTTAAAAGATTGGAGAGGTAATGATAGAAAGCCGCTTCGCGGCTTGATTTTTGAAAAAGCCGCTACGCGGCTTTCATTTAAGATTATTCAGACCCTGACTCAGGTTTTCCACATTTATTGCCGAGCCCAAATCGGAGCTGGAATTCTTAATCAGCAAACTGTAATTGACGTTGATCAGACTTTAAATTGACCTTGCAGTGACCCTATCATGCGATAGTGGCCATATGAAACGTCCGATTCTGACAAGCTCGGAAGTGAATATTGAGACTTCCGAGCAGGATCAAACGCTCAATAATGGGATTCGGTACTAAGCGGCTCGTTTCATAAAATAAAAGCGCCTCTCATGGGAGAATCATCTCTTGAATGGCGTTTACGGAGTCAGAGAGTGTCAGGTTTTCGGCCGTAACAATGTCCAATCGCTCCGGTTGACCTTTCGCTGACCTCCGCGGAGGATTATCATTCTTCCATTTTTGAGAGTCTCAAAAGAATCTAAAGTGTTTAGAAAAAAAGTATCGATTTTTTTTTTCTTCTTTGCTCAACCGATCTTTTTTTCTTTCGGCAAAACTTGAAATGAGAAGTAGAGAATAGAATTTTTAATCGATTCTGATCCTCGAAAAACAGCAGAGCTGCTACGAATGCGACCGGAAACAAAGAGAACTTATTCACCAGGAAGAAAAGTCTAAGCAAGCGATGGATAGACTGGACGAGCTTGTCATGGACTCACAGTAAGTACCAGACGGTCTACCGAAAAAAAAATCCAGCACTAGGTTAGGATCCCCCTATTAGGGGTTTGGGTTTGGGTTAGGGCCCCTTAACCCTAACCCTAACTTTGAGTTTAGGGGCCCCTAATTGGGTTAGGGTAAGATTTCAATATTGTTGATAAGAAATCAAATATAGGACCCAAGATTGCTTATTTTGTCATTTTATAGACAATCTAGGGTTGTATATTTGAATTTTTATTAATAAAATTGAACTCACAAGTCATTGAATTCCCAGTTGACCATTTTACCAAAGGTCATGAAAACCCACTGTTCCAACAATCCCATTTCCCAGCTGCGGTTTCGATGGTCCCCCCTTCTCTCTCTCTCGTTTCCACAACAGGTCCGTATATTTCCCAGATGATTCCTCCCGGGCACGCGTCTTCCGGGCGTCTCTCAACCGCCCCGCGGCGAAGTTTGCCCGTTTTTTCGACTTCCCACATCGAAAATTCATTAGCGCATCGCTGAGCCCTGTCAGAAAAAAAAAAATCGGGCCCTCCGGCGAGTGAGCGCGCCGAGGCCATTTGTCAAATGGCGGAATAAAGAAGAGGTTGAGAATTAGCTGATTAAATTCCTTGCCAGGCTGGTGGCATCCACTTTTTATCGATTTATTTCGAGTTTATCGAGTCGGCGGCGGAATAAGCCAAACTCACGAGATCGACTTTGACGTCTGAGAGAAATACCGCCCGTTTCTCACCGCAAGACTGGTTGTTTTCCAAAACGAGAGAGAGAAAAAGACCATGCGGGGATTGTTGAAGCTTCTTCAATTTTCTCCTTCTAGGAACAAAGAAAATGAACGACAAGAGCTGGAAAAACGCCTTTCCGAGAAAGAAAACGCCCTGCAAGAACTCCAGAAAAACTTGCTCAAAGCTAATCACGAGCTAAGACGACTCCAGGTTAGTTTTGAGAGCTTATGGTTTGAAGACTTGAAAAAAATGTTGATCCATGATTTCCTGCTAGGAAATCGTGTCCAACTGTAAAGTGCTTTTTTATAAATCCTTGTGTGTATATTTGCATTGAGATTTTTGGATAATCCGCTAATTTCCCCAGAATTTGAACAATGTGGATTTCCTGGCCTCGGCAAACTGTGAACAAAACCTGAGTCAGGATCTGAAACACCAAAAATGAAAAGCCGCAAAGCGGCTTTTAATAGAGCCGCGAAGCGGCTCTGAAAGAATTCGAAATACATTCAAAAAGTAAACTTTCGAAGCCGCAGTGCGGCTTTTCATTTTTGGTCTTTCAGAGCCTTACTCAGGTTCCGTACACAGGATTTCGTGCCAAGCGACGTACAAGCGCATAATTGCGGCGCTTCGTTGTCTTCCTGAATTCCGCGTAAAATTGCGGAAATTAAAGAAGCTTGAGCAAACTAATTTGCCAAACTGGAGACAGATGTGTTTTTATAGAGGCGAAAATAGCTGGCTAACGTTTGCGCAGCACTTTTACTGAGTTTTGACAGCAGTTTAGGATGAAATGGAAAACAATAAAGCGATGGCCTTTTTGCCCAAGGAGGAGTTGGTGCACCTGCAGGAGCAATCAAAGGAGCAGAAGAAATCAAAAGAACTCGCCGAGCAGTTAAAAGAAAAGCTTGCAAAAGCTCAAGAGGTAAATACAATTCAAGTTTCCATATCTCTGTTTACTGTCTTGACTGCTCCCCAAATGTCTACATAGGTTTTGAATTAAGGGTGTCAACTCTGAAAATCGAGTTTTTGCTTTGAACCCCTAACTTCTATAATTATTTTTATATTTTCATTTAACGCTCACGAGATACAGATAAGAAAAAGCTTTCGATTAAGGACCCCCGTCAGCCTTTTTCGAAAAATCGAATTTCGGAATTTTAAAATTTTGACCCAATAAATGGATTCTTCAGGTTAAAAAAACGATTTTGAGGCTTCATTTTTTGGGGGTCTATCTCGACTCCTTCACCCCCGAAATCGCATTTGAAAATTGGACTTTTCGGCAAAAATTGACCAATTTGCCCTAATTTTGGCAAAAATATCGATTTTTCTTGGTTAAAAATTCCTTTTATCATGTTTTTAAAGCAAATTTAACCTTTGGACGCATTAAGTTCGTATAAGAGCTTATCTCGTTTAGCCGTTAGGGCCAGGGGACTGCAGGTAACTACTGGGGGCCCCAGGGGGTAGAGCCCCTTAGGTTAGGGGTTGCCCGAATTGTAACCCTCTACGACCCCCTAACCCTAACCTTGAAGTTGACTTGAAATTGGACAATCTCTACCAGATCCACTTTTAGCATCCTTTGTAGAGAATCAAATGCACCTGTCTCCGGAAATGAGCTCATGTTTTATGAAGAGTTTTTTGCCTCTTTCCTACAATAATGACTGCAATGATCCATTCACTCATTTTTGGCCAGACTTCAAGGTTTTTGAATATTTTTTTTCCGGGCGAGCTCTCGCCCAATTACGAATTAATTTTCGCCATTTTCGCTTTCCCGGCATCTCAATTTCGAGCGAATTGGGATCAGTATTTTGGGGTTAAATAATTTTGCTTTTTGTTCAGTCGTTGAAGAGCGCTCACGGGGCAGAGTCAGCTGCGAGAAAAGCGAAGCGAGAAAAAGAAGAGGAATCGAACCGCATCTGCAAGGAGCTTGAGGATTTGAAACAATCCCATGAGAGGCAAAAAGGCGACCTCAAATCGCGAGACAAAGAAATTGCAGCGTTAATTTCGGCAAAAGAAGACTTGCACAAACAGCTCCGAAGCTCCGCCCAAGAGAAAGAAGACGCCCAGGAGAAAATAAAAGCCCTTGAGGTGAGGAAAAATTGTCTGATAATCGAAAGAGTCAAGTGTGTTTTCAAAACCACTTGGGGAGAAAGAGGAACTGTGATATTTTTTCTTACTCGCAGAGTTCCCCATCCTCATTATTAATAATGGTCGCCATGGGATACATACTAAATGACCTCTTAATGGTCATCTTGATCTACAAAGAGAAACTCAGCCGCTCGAAAAAAGTCACTAAATCAAGGTCTAATTTACCATTTCAAATTCATTTTCTTTCGTAAATTTTATACTTATTTTCATTGAAATCATAGAAGAGTACCTTTCAATTTCAGTTGATAGGCGCACTTTCAAAGGGTAGAAGGATTGACCAAGATTAGAAACAGATTTTCAAAGAGCGAAAGCACATAAGTCAGGGCTTAGTTGTTCAATATTTACTCGTGATTATTTGAAATAACGATTTGCATTTGTTTTACGGGTGACGTCAGTGGTGTTCTGTATTTGGCCGGGCCGCAATAGCTGCAAAGTCAAACACGGAAAATCTCTTAGGCACCGCTTGATCTTTTTCTTTTCAGAGCGAAATTGAAAGTATTCAACAAATGACGCTCTACGATGACAAAGTCTGCGCGCTGGAAAATGAGCTCAGGTAGACAGAAAAGGCATTTGTAAAGTGTTTTATATGATTGTTTCTAGAGAACAGCGGCGGAAAAATCGAGAGCTCAAGAAACAGCTGGAAGCGGAAAAGAGCAAAAATGCGGTCGTCGATGATGGAGTCGACAAAGATGCAGAAATTGAAGCGCTCAAGCGGGAAGTTCTCGAGCTTCAGTATAGAATGAAAGAAGAAAGTGAACGATACGAGGTGAGTTCTTTAGTCTGGAAGTGGTCTGGATGACTTTTTTTAGAGCCAGTGGGAAGACGCTGAAGCCATGCATCAACGACAACTGAGAGCAATGCGAGAGGCAATAGAAAAAGCCTCGAATAGTGGCAAGGCAAATGACGACTCTATCAAGGTAAATGACAGACAAGCTCTTCATTCCAAAATGGTCAAATTTACAAATTTGAGACAATCCTAGGCTCCACGAGTTGATCTTTACATATTATAAGGCCATTTTTATCCAATTTATTTAATAATTTTTTCAGAAACTTCGCCAAGAACTCCAAAAAGAACGAGAGTCCAACCGTCAAAAGTCCGATGAAATATCTGAGCTTCGATCGAAGAATCGCGACTTCAACCGAAAATCAGCTGACCTCGAGAGAGTCCGCGCTGACTTGGCATCTGCGCAAGATAACATCAAACAAATGAAGCTGGAGAGCGAAGAGGAGAAGCGCAAAAATGACCGGATAATATTTAACTTGCGAGGACATATGTTGAATATTTACACCGGAAATGTATCTGACGAGATGGCCAAGATGCTCGACATTGCGCTCGAACTAGAAAGGTCGAAGATTCCTTGCGCCAATTGATTTATTAGAAGCAAAGCATCTATTGCTTGACAATCTCTCCACCTGCTTTACTTCTTCAGTTTTACTTCTGTATGATCCCAGTCATTAATAAATAAGCATGTAATAATAAACATGGACTGTGATCAAGAAAAGTTCTTTTAGATAACAGTGTAAATTCAGGGTAAGCCTCATCTGCCCAGAAGCCTCATCTGCCCAGAGCCTCATTCTCCCAAGAGCCTCATCTGCCCAGCCTGGGAGAATGAGGCTTCTTTATTAATATAGCATCCAAACGGAAATGCCCCAGATAAAGATGTTGGGTAAAAATAGACCCACTAGAGGGTTCAAGTATTTTTAACGGCTAGACCGGATGCAGCTCAGTTGAAAAAGTGTGGAGTAGTAGGATTTCAGAGCAAGAGTCTATTTAATATGCGGCATATGCGCTTCAAGTTCCGCCTCTCAAATCAGAATTCCTCTTTTCAGAAAATTCTACAACGAATAACACTTCATTGAAGATTGCTAAAATTGCTGCAATGATTTCGTCGATTATGGCGACAACAAGGAGATTCTTACATTAACCAATAACTTATTGGCAATAAGCGATTCAATAAAATGAAAGATCTAAGATGCCCTCTCCTGCCTCAAGTGTGTTCAATCTTATATGTTCGCTGTATGTTTCTTCTTCCTCAAGCGTATTCAATCACCCTCACTCCTCCTCAAGAAAATAAAGAAGAGTCTTCTGATGCTGAAATTTCTTGAAAATTTCAATCAACGAGACGCCAATTCAAAAAAGTTTTTTTTTCGTTATGATCCGTGGTCAGGTCGGTCGATCTTTGGTCGGTCAATGTCAGGTAGGTTTTGGTCAGCATTTGGCCGACTGTGACCTTGAAAAAGGGTGGTCGGTGCCGATCGGTGCATCGAAAACCGACCTGAGAATGTTAATCGCCTAAAACAAAATTAACAAGGATAACCAAAAAAAGATCAAGAAAGTAATTCACTGTCTGAAATCTTCTTTCATGCAAAAATAAAATTTGACAAGAGCCATTTGCGCTAAATGAACTTAACTTGGAAGCGCTCTAACTTGAAACTGCTCATAGAAGAGCCTTAATACTAAGCCGAAGAGCGGCTCTACGAAAAAGGAAGCCGCAAATTTGACGGCATCCTCTTTTAAGAACCCGCTTTGCAGGTTTCCATTCAACCTTTTCCAAACCTGACTCAGGATATGTACGCAGGGAGCCTAGTCCAGTTATGTGGGGGCTGACTTGTCGAGCCCCACAGATAGGGACAGCTCAAAAACAACTCCTGATAGCCAAAACTCTCTCACAACAAAACCTACAGTAGTATTTAAGCTAACTGAGCCTTTTAGTAAAAACACACCAAAGTTGATGGTATAAAAATTGATTTTATTCAGGTAATGAAGAAGAAAACCGGCCAGTAAGGCAAAGAGCACATTGATTCAGAATATGCTATTCCGATCGCTATTGTTACCTTCTTTCGGGTAACTTTCTTCTTCTTGTTCTTGAAGAAATCTTAAAATGATTAAAAATCAGAAAAGAACGTTGAATTTTACCTAAATTTGCTGCTTTCCGGACTGTCAAAATCCGAAGACTGAAGAAAACCATAATTTTCGCCCGAAGAACAAACAACGTTCTAGAGACAAATTTTTAAAATTCCCAGAATTTGACTTTCAAATTCAGACGACGAGTGCCAAGCAGACCCGGACGGGCGAGAAAAGCGCAAATTACTTCCAAATGTTATCGGCTTAGGAGCTAAAAAATGCGGCACCACCGCGCTGCACTACTACATGACGGCGCATCCGAAAGTCAAAGTTTCTCCAGATCACGAAGAACTCGCTTTCTTCGACAAAAAGTGGGAAAACGGAATCGACTGGTATCTCGATCGACTGCCGGAAGTTGCGGAAGATGAAATTGCTTTTGAAAAGACAAAATTAAATTTTCTGCAAAATAAAAGCGAGATTGCCGCTGCGAGAGAGATAATCAAATATTGGGTAGAAGGGATAAATATTTCGGTACAGAAGGAAGAGACTTTTTGTTTCTTCCTAAAACCTAACCCTAACCCGGGACCCCCCTTAGGTAAAAGTACTTCGTTCCTAACCCTAAAGCCTAACCTAGGGGGCTTCGCTGCCTTGGAACCCCCCTAACACTAACCAGAAATGAGCTTACCGAAATATTTTTCCATACTACGAAATATTGAAATAGTTTCAGATGTCAAAGTTATTTTGTATCAGCTTTATAAAATATAATTGCAAACGAAAACAGAAGTCATTAACATCAAGTGCAGAAACAAAGCAACCTACACCGAATACACCTTGTTTTCTGAATCCGAACTTTCAGAGCTAGATGCTTCTGACGAATCTGAAGAATCTTCTTCAGCTGGAGTGAGAATTATTGAATACGCGTGAGGTAGAAGGTACCACGTTTCTTCTGTCATGCCGAACTGTTCATTTGTCAAAGTTAAAAACTCGTTGTTGTCGCCATAATAAACGAAATCGTTGTAGCAATTGTAGCAATCTTCCATGAAGTGGTATTCGGCGTAGAATTCGCGAGAAAGAGGAATTTTTATTTGAGAGCCGGAATGGGCGATTAAAGTGTTTTGGAGAATGAATTCGGAGTTTTCGATTCGGTCCAGCACCATTTGGTGGAAAATTACTGAGCCGTCGGGATTCTGGTAACAGCCGGTGACGGTTAGAGGACGGGAGAAGGCGAAGTTGTGGTGGAGGAGGACTAGAATATGTATTTGATTCAGATTCACGAAACTTAACTTTGGTTATTAATAAAAACCTTTTTCAAAATTAAAATCGCCATTTACTCGTACGCCTTTTATAATCTCCCATCCACTTTCATTCAAATACGTTTTAAATTTCATTCTTCTGAGAAGCAATTCAATCTCGTTTTCTTGAAACTCTTGTTCTTCCTTTTTCGGGTTTAGATTGAAGCCAGCCAAACTCCGCGGATAAATTAGCATTGTCAGAAAAGTGAAGATTTTTTCGAGAGTGAAAAAATATTCTATTTCCAAATCTCCAACTTTCAAATCATTTTTGAGTGCCCATCTCAAAAGAACAGAAACTGAAATGGGGACACAAAGATCGCTTTCTTTTTGATTTAAAACATTCTTTGTCACATTTTCGAAGTCGAAATTTATCTGTCTTGTCAGTTTCTGCTTGAGATTGGCCAAAGCTGATGATTTGGTCAAATTCGGATCGTCAAGGCAAAAATCAGAAGGCGCGTTTTTTAGAGAAATTGTTTTTGACAAGTTTTCGATTTCTTCGGTTGATGGAGTTTTTATTGAGAGCCACTCAGCATTGCAAGACTAGAAATTATTATTTCAAAAGCGGCGACGAAGACTTGCCTTCAATTCTTCTTTGATTTTCTCTCTTTCATCCTCTTCGACTGGATTGAAGAGAAGACTCCAAGCTGTTTTCCAATCGCAAAGAATCAGAATGTGAAGTGGTGATGCATCTCCTCCTATTTCTCCATAAAGTTGGGAACTTTCCGAAAAAGCAGCAGAACCAGCATCTAGGAATAAATCAAACCGCAAGCAAATCATAATAAAGTGACTTCAATTTAAAACCTACATAAATATTGATGACTTCTATATTTGCTCCCTCTCCTCGCGAAGCCCATTCTTAGATAGCTCTCCCTTCCAGTTCTTTCTTCAATCGTGCCAAAATCAATCCATTTGCATTCTCCATTCTTCAATAAAATATTTTCGGGTTTCTTATCGTAATGAAGAATTCCAATATCCTTCAAATACTCTTCTCCCTCTCTCACTTCATTCGCGATTCTCTTCCTTTCCTCCAAACTCAAATCTTCTTTTTTCAATCTGCTTCTCAAATCAGTGTCGCACTTTTCCATTATCGTAATCAATCCAAGGCAGTCTTCTCTTTTCTCGTCTTTGCTTGAAAAAATTTCTATGTTGCAGAAATTTTTGATTACGTTTGGGTGAACTGGGATTACTGGAGCGTCGTCTCTTATATTGTTTTGAGCGATTTCGTAATCTTAAATTCGATTAAGAAAACTGAATAAAAACTAAAGTAACCTTTTGAAAGATGAATTAAAAACGCCAACTCCTCGTCATCTTTCGAGAAAAGCTTCGAGTCAAAAGCCTGAACCCGAACCGAAACTTCTAATTCTCCAAATTTCTCTTCCAAAACGATCGCTTCTCCTCCAGAAGAAATCATTTTTTGCTTTAAAGATTCATCGAGAATCCATTCTCCAGTTTCTTCTTTGAGTTCCGAGCGTTTAATTTTTCGTCCTTCGAATTGCGAATTTTTGACGAGGAGCATTTTTTGAAATGAAGAAATTTTACATTCTTCATATGAATCATATCTATGTTTACCAGAAACTTTTGCTTTTCCATTTTCAAAAATAACCTCCCACCATTCAGCACAAAGTTCATCTTCAAACTCGTATCTCTCGACCGACAAAATCAATCTGTCCAAATCATCTCTGCTCGTCATTCTTTTCAATTTCTTTTTGAAATTTTCCAGCCATTTCTCAACAGCGTCTCTGGTCAATTCTCTTGGATGAAACTCGTTCATTCTTTCTTTGACGAAAAAGGATATTTTTGTTTTTGACTTTTGCGGCAAAATTTAATTTTCTGCAAACAGTAAAATAGACTCTCGCTGCATGAGAGTAAGTCAAATATTGAGACATTTTGAGTACAAAGATCAAACCATTTGAGATTTTATTTGAATCGTAATACATGTATTTGAAATCAGAAATCAAGCAAGAAATTGCGCGAGGTTTCCCGTAAATTCTTCGTCGGTAAATCTGAGATGATCCCCAGCGAAGGTGAAAAAATGCAATTTTCCGGTAGTATCGAGCGTTTTTAACCCAATTCGGTCTTCTGTGTAAAGTTCTGTTTGATCGTAAGGGATTATTTCTGCATCTTGGCCGGGCGAATAGTAGCCAAAGTGGGGGGATTCTTTTGGGACGACCAGGGATGTACATTCGCAGTGGGGAAATCGCAGAAATCTTCGCAGTGCGACCTGCGAACTGCGG